GTTCCCTTTCCCATCGACCCTTGGTCACTCTCTTCGTGGTTCACTTTCCATCGCAGCTCAATCAGTTGAAGACTGCTTGTATTACGGCGTCGTTGATGGCTGATGGCATGTCATCCAAACTAGACATCACGTTTAAAATGGGCCAACAAGGGAACCAAACCAGTCAATAGATCCATTCCTTCCATCTCATGTACCAAAGTAATACAGTATTCAGACCCATATCCATATCCATAAGAAGTCATATGTATTGAAGCAAGTTGCTACACGTCAATAAAGCTGCTCCTCTATGATGGCTATCTGCTGTTCACGTAAAAAAGCTGTAAGACACGCTTGCAAGTAAAGAACGCTGTTGGGTACGATGGGGTAAAGAGCTTGCTGATAGCAACTACTGCATTGAATACTGTACATTGGATTGTGTAAGGGAAGCGCGCAAGAGAGTGTGTGGTGTCGAGAGACTCGTGTGTTGTAGAAGAGTGACAAGAATGTGTACACGCCATCAACTTGCCTCTCGGTCCAAGACAATCGGATAAAGACTTCGTAGGATGGACGTGATGGGTTGAAGCAGGACAATCGTTCGCAGGTGGTAGTTGTGCTTGAATGCACCAACAGTGAGAATGGGAGAAAGAGGCAAGAAACAGGGAGTGGAAGACCTTGAAATTAAATAGATTTTTCTGATGCTTGGGTGACGTTTCTTTGTTAAAGCGTTGCACATCAGTCAACCGCTCTGGGATAAAGAATTTGAATGATGAGAATGTTGGCTGGAGCAGGACAACGATTCACACGCATTGGGTTGGGTAAAAAGGGTGATTGGGAGGAACGGAATATCAAGTGGTAGTTTACGAATAATTAATCAACTGATTCTTTTTGAAGTCGGATGATGTTTCTTTGTTTGAGCATTGTTCAGTCAAATCAGCTCGGATCAAGGAAGTTGAAGGATGTACATGATGGGTTGGAGCAGCACAATCGTTCACATACATTGGTTTGGGCAACAAAGGCGAATGGGAAGAAGAGGCTATTAGCTGCCAATGATGAGCTGGTGCTGAATGGTTTGGAGGTATCATGCGTCGGCGCTTCCAATCATGCAAAACCGGTTGTGTTGCACAAAGAGGTCTATCTACATTTTTGGCTCTCCAGCGTCTAGCTACTTTACATTAAACAAAGACCACCTTTCATATACAGCATATGAAAAACATAAAGACGCCCATATCTCAAGACTTTACAATGAAACGTGTGGTTTTTATTGGAGCAATGTGCTCAGCTTGGCCAACAGCACCTTGTGTGAAAGTTTCGCGTTCAATGTCGCAAACGGCCCAAAAAATATTTTTTTGATCGTCGAAAAAAGTTTCAAGAGGTCGACCCCTGGATCCAGTTTGGCTGGTGGCGACATTGCGAAATCTGGGATTAGCCACGATGAACTTGAAACTGGCACCCAAGGTGCTGTTGGCCAAGCCGAGCCCATTGCTGTAATAAAAACCTCACGTTTCATTGTAAAGTTTGGAGATACAGGCATCTTTATGTTTGTAAGCGTGATGCTATATGAGAAGTAGTCTTTGTTCATTGCCAAGTAGCTAGACCTTGGAGAGCCAAAGATGCAGAAGGACCTCTTTGGGTAACTCAGCTAAAAAGTCAGGACTTCAGGGACAATGCATGAAAGGTACGCAACCCTCACTTTTATGTTATACATGGCAGCTAATAGCCACTTTTGTGCATTCCTAACTTTTGTGCATTCTATTGTAGGTGGACGATGCTCCTGCTCTAGACATTCATTTCCATGACTAAAGTAGGTTGATCCGAGCTGATTTGGTTGAGTTACGCTCACACAAGATTACATCGGTTGAGCTACATCGAGCGTGCTTTATGTCCAGAGTGATGTAATCTCCCTTTGACCGCAGCTCAGTCAAATCAGCTCGGATCAACCTACTTTGATCATGGAAATGAATGTCTGGAGCAGGGGCATCGTTCCCATGCAGTGGATCTCGGAACAATGATGACTGGATAAAAGTGGCCGTTAGCTAGCAATACATGCCTGCTCCTAGATGATCCATAAAGTAATTATACATTGACCTTTTCATTCATGCAAACGTAGCTGTGTTACACAACACGACCCTCTGCATCTTTTGCTCTATTATAGTGATACTACTTTACAATGAACAAAGAACTCTTCTCATATAGCATCCCGCTTACAAACATAAAGGTGCCTGTATCTCCAAACTTTACAATGAAACGTGGGGTTTTTATTACAGCAATGGGCTCGGCTTGGCCAACAGCACCTTGTATGAAAGTTTCGCGTTCAATGTCGCAAACAGCCCAAAAAATATTTTTTTGGTCGTCGTCGAAAGAGGTTGAGCCCCGGATCCAGTTTGGCTGGTGGCGACATTGCGAAATCTGGGATTGCCCACGATGAACTTCATACTTTGACACAAGATTCCTTTGACCCCGACGAGCACGTTGATCTATTAAAGACCCCACGTTTGATTGTAAAGTTTGGAGATACAGGCACCTTTATGTTTGTAAGCGTGATGCTATATGAGAAGTGGTCTTTGTTTAATGTAAAGTAGTATGACTATAATAGAGCAAAAGATGCAGAGGGCGTGGTTGTGTAACTTGAGTCATTCAGCACAGGCGATGCATGATTCTTGTACACTATCTACGGAATAGTTCAAAATGCCAGCTAATAACCTTAGTCCTCCCATTCTCCATTGTTGCCCAATCCAACGCATACGAACGATTGTCCTGCTCTAGCCCAGCATGCCCATCATTCAACTTTCTTGATCCGATGAGATTTGACTGAAAAACGCTCAAACACAGAAACATCATCCAATATCAGAAGAATCAAATTGATGTAGTTATTTGTAAACTGCCAGCTAATAGCCCATCCCTCCCATTCACCTTCTTTACCCAACCCAATGCATACGAACGATTCCCCTGCTCCATCCCATCATCTGCATCATTCAACTTTCATGATTCGAGTGGATGTGATTGGGCAACGCTTGTATAAAGGAATATCATTCAAGCATCAGAAGAAGTCTACTTAATTTCCAGCTCATCCACTCCCTCCTTGTTTCTTCCTCCCATTCTCAACTGTTGGCCCCATTCAAGTACAATTACCACCTGCCAACGATTGTCCTGCTTCAACCCATCATGTCCATCCTACAACTGCCTTGATCCGATTGCCTTAGACTGAATGCCAAGTTCATGGTGTGTACACAGCCTTCTTGTCTCTCGACTACAACACGTGCCTTCCTTGTTACTACACACTGTCTTGCGCACTCATCTGCCACAACCAAATGCAACAGCAGTTGCCATTACGGATGTCTTTACTCCATCGTTTCAAACAGCATTCACAACGTTGTCACTCTTCACAACACACGAGTTCCTTGACACTACATACGCTCTTGTACGCTTCTCTGCCACAGCAAACGCAACAGCAGATAGCGATTGTATAGAAGCAGCTTTATTTACGCTTAGCAACTTTCTTCAATACATACGACTCTTTGTGGATATGGATTTGGATTTGAATATTGGTTTGGTGCATGGGTTGGGAGGAATTGGATTAATGCAACACGTGGGAAGAGCGTTTTTCCTTCTGTATCGATTTGTAAACTTGACCATTATGCTTGATGCTATCATCCTGAACGATTGGCGTTATCCTATACCGTGGCAACTACAACAATCGTCATTCTTTGTGCAACCTGTCAACCATGTACAACCATCATCAAGTTCCATGATTCTCCCCCTCACATCTATCCATTCACCGTTAGACAATTGCACGTCCAAGGTAGAATCTTCCCATATCGATGTATCTCTCCATTAGAGCAACTCACTTTACTTCCCAATCTATCCTCTTGTGAATGATGTCGGATTAAAGGTTACTTTAGCGAATACGAGATTACGTTTGCCAACCATTTTCTAAGCTTCTATTGTGTAAGAGACTTCCTTCTTCCCGAGTTGGATCTTCTTCGTGCGTGGGCATTTGATGCATTGTATTATGGGATATGTATGGCATGGCAAATTCAGGATTGTTGAAGTACATCCATTTGTAGATTGTGTGATGAAGGATAAAGAGAGGAAAAGAAAGGGTTGGATTGGAATTTATCATGAACAAAGCAACACATGATGGTATACCATCTAGGCTACTTTCGTGGTGCATAGGATGGTCTCTAACCGCAAGTGGATTTACTGGATGAGATGGAAAGTGGTACCTACATCGACCAAGGAAACGCTAATGATGCTTTGGCACGTTGCCGTATGTGGCGATCAGATGATGTAAAATCAGCTGGTATCTTGCGTATGAAGACTTGCGAGGCAAACTACAACTTTTACAATTCGCCTGGTAGTCCTTTAATGGAGGATCCAAGAAAGCCAGTGACTTTTGGATGGAACCTATTATATCACCCCACCCCATGCAGGCTATTGGCCACCTAAACCAACTTTGTAGATGCACCTCGTGAGGTAGCTATATCCAAAAGTATAGTGTGTATGTACTTCATCAAGCAAGATGGTTGGCTTTTATTCCAATAAAAGAGCCAGATAATCCATATCACAATGACAACAACGACAATGAAAGTAGGATGACAATGAAACGCTAAGCACCACCATCACGACTATAGTCCACGTACTATTTACAAAGAGTGCGATCTACCATGTTACTCGCATCAACTTGGGTTTTAAAGGTGTCAGCAATCAAAGAATGAGTGATGATGATGCTGCATAAATCAGGGATCTGAGGTAAACAAGGTGGCAACAACATCCATCATCCAACAGTGCCATCCATCGGCTAAACCACTTGCTATGCTCAAATTCCACAAGATAAGATATTGCTCAAGGATATTTTAATGTAAGGAAATTTGATAGCATTATCTTCGTACTCAAGCGTAAAGGGGAAGGAATACAACGGCTTCCGAGCGTGTATGCATTAATTTGGCGTCTTTCTTTCTCCTCTCCTCTCTTTTCAAAGCGTGGCTCGGTCATCGTGAAACGACTTTTTGATCCCTTTGTCGATGAAAAAAGCAACGCAATCTTCTGGGCGAAAGGACGAATGGGTGCCCGTCATTGGTGAAACGATCTATACTGCAGGTTCGAGCAAGGTAACCAATCGCGCGTGATGCAATCTTGTACATGAATAACCGATGCTTTTCGTTTTAGAACGATGCAGCATGGGACGATAGCGAGTTGATCGAGCATTGGGATGCAGCTCTGGAACAATACAAGGTAACAGCAAAGTGTATGATAGGTGGATATAGCCAAAGGCTCATGATGTCCATATGATAGCGTTATCACAGTGAATTAGAAGATGGAGGTATCGACGAGGATCCATTCAATCATTATTCCAACATGTCATCATCGGCAAGGTATGTTCAAGAATAGCCATTCAAGCTTGGACCTCATGCCGTTTTCCTAGTAGAAAAGCTGCTACTGCTACTACTGCGACTACTGCGACTACTGGTAAACGACGACGGACCAACAGCCCCAAGAGACCTAAGTCTACCGCATCCATGCCACCACCACCACCACCATTTTCAATAGCATCAGCATCACCACATACGTCTATACCACCACCTCCTCTTCCTCCTTTACCCCATGCAACATTATCCGCCAATGGCTCGCCTTTTGTTTCAAATCAACCACCTTATCCAGGATCATCTCAAGATTCAGGTATGTTTTCGGTACAAGAGGAGAAGAAACGCTTTACTGATGAACCTATAAATGGTAGACATGGCTAATCTTATCATGGCATGGTATTATTGTGGATATTATATGGGATATTATCAGGTAAGCATGGGGAGGAGTGTACTACAACAGGATTGCCGCTAACCAAGATATAGGGTAGCAGACAACAAGGCTAGTAATAAATTCAGCTGGACCATTCCACCGTACACTTTCAATACTACGGCATCCATATATGACATTCTGCATCCCTGGATTTCGATTCATTCATGCATACATCAGCAAATCACGAGATGTTCCAATTAGGAAGGAGTGACACCAGCCATCCACATTTCCGGAGAATGCTACGAGTATGCTTATGGTATTGGAGTGCTGCGAGCAGCAATGGCTAATAGCAATTTTATGTTGACGTGAAGGCCACTCTCTATTCGCCGTTTTTACATCAGCCAAAGCAGCACATGTTATTCGCCCATCTCTCTTTTGGTCGCTATTGTTATCCACCTCATCGAATATTGGATGCCCTGATCGACCACTTCGTTGTCAACAATGCCTTTCGATACAACGTGACACACCATAGCATTGATCCAGGCAATAACAATCCGATAATGGCTTGGCAATTCATCAAAGGTGGTATCGGTGATCAGCAGTATTTTGAGTGAAGGCATTGCAAGCGTTCAAATGGTGGTTGCCAGGCAACGTTGCTCCGACAACCTTGGTATAGATGGGAGGATAAGATTAAGTTTATTGTCCTTTGGTTTATCTTTCATAAGTAAACAAGACATCCTTTACTGCTTTACATCTCCTGTCTTGTTGATGCGCTTTGTGATATTTAAAAACATGTTGCTTATGGCATGACAACCGCCCTAACCTGTATACGATGCTGATAATAGCTGGTATAGTAAATCCGGAAGAGTAAGGCCGACATGATCTACACGAGCATTCTTCCACGAGGTACTTGAATTGGGTATGCAGCCAATCAAGGTTGTCGGGATCCTAAGCTTTCACCCCGAATATGCCTTTTTTTGTCATGTCGATTATGATCATGTAATTTGTTATTGTTACCGCGGCACTTTCACGTACAAGATCGACATTCGACACACAACCATTTTATCGGCTTAATCACATAGCCATGGCATTCATTTTTATGTTATACGACTCGATCAACTTTACCATGTGATGGGAACGACTAGAGATAGGATTAAGGTTATTGTCCTTTTTTGCATTCAGTACACATCGGCATATGAAAACGCTGATCGCCAAAAAAAACCGCCATGGTGTCACTGATGCAACATTTCTTACAAACAAAAAAAGGAACAGGCACGAGTACAAGCGTGCCTGTCAATATCACGAGCCACTAAAATTTGGGAAACATTGGAAGATTGATTTGTATTTTGCTTACGTCTGTGGGTCCACACCATGGCGTCCTTGTTACGGGATGGAGTGCAACCGTGTTGACAGCAAAAGTGGTATACAATTACAAAAGAAACGTTCAATGAGCATGCACACACGCACTTGTCTTCCCCGCTTTCCTCGATCCGGGACCTTTCCCTCCGCGCTCGGAAATAAAATATAAGCGACGGAACCACAAAAGAATAAGGAGACATGCACAAACGATCAACCATTCAACATGTGCATTGTACTAGATAACAAAGCATGTTGTTTCTTTTGAAGCATGGATCATTCATGATGCCAATTATTGCAGCCGATCTTCGTTTTCCTAATCCATCTGTCAAAAAGAGATAAATGACGGCTCGGCACTGTGCAACGGTGTGTGAACAACGCGTGTCGAATCTTGCCCGATTGTGTGTAGCGTGGTCAAGTAAATTAAAAACGCTCTGAGGGTCATAGTGATACAAAAGCAGGAGCACACGCACGTATACAGACTGCTGTTTTGATTAAGGTAAAGAGAGAGAGAAAGAGGGAGAAGTTGGATGCTTCTATTCCTTTTGCCGCTAACGCTTGTGTTGCCCCACTTTTTCATAAAACCAAATCTTATGTGATATCTCTTGAATTTGGTCGCATCTGGTGCCGAAAATTATATTGAGTAAACGTTACTTGTATTACAGATAAGCTTTCGTGTTCAGGGCACATTTTCTCTTTCGCTCTTTTTTATTCTTTATCCTTGTCGTCGACAATCCCTTTTGCATTTGGTTTTTTTCTCTTCCCTTTTTCGTACATTGTTCCCAAGATTCCCTTTCAACGACATTTTTATACACGTCAATGATCAATCCCGAAGGGACTCAATCCACCTTTTGGCGGATATGCGATGACAACGGCAACTGTCACTGCGACTGGCGACTGACGCTTGGGGATTGTGCCGAAGACCAGGCCATGCGTATTATCTATATCATCAACATCATCGGCTCAGCAGTCGTTTCAGTTATCGGTATGCAAGTCGTATACATATACATCATCACATACAGCTGCTAATGGGTGAATGACAATAGGCATTGCATTGTTGTTTTATCGTTTATACTACCGAAAGCAACAGATCTTCACTAATCGTACACCCACTGGCTTTATTCGCCCAAAGCCCATCGAAGCCATGTTATTCATGGCCATCATCTTCAATTTACGTAAGTGAAAAGTACACACGCATACGTTGCTGGTCCTGACAGGTTGCTTCTTTGCATGGTAGTGCGTATGATACAAGCCATTATCATTGTCACAGACGCAGCTCCCAACCCAGCATTTAGATCTTGTAAGTCCCGGTCATCTTGTTTTCTATGCGTAGGATCGTATCTTAACTCTCAATGCTTGTAGTCATGTACGAGATCCCATGGCAATTTGGTCTTGGTGCCTTTGCATGCTATGTATTTGGTATTGCCCATACGGTAGCGGATGTATGTATTCTTTGGTTTGGTTGCTCATCTATTAAAGTGGTGGCAACACAGCAATATCGATTGTTTTATTAACCATCGATCTCTTTTTGGGTACCCAAAACTCTAATAGAGTAGTAAAACCATCTACAGCGCCATGTTTAGCTCGCCTCTTCGCATTGATATCCTCAGCACAACCTTTATTACCATGCCATTCATTACCAACAACATCTGCTCTATTGCAGCAGGCATCTATGCTGAGCGAGGAGAAGATTTTATTGCCGGCCAATTCACGCATGCCCAATATTACTTTTGGACCATCTATTGTGGGTCTTTGGGATTCATGATTCTCTTTGCTGGTATCAAGCTTTTACGTTTACTTGGCCATCATTTACGTATGCAACATGATTTGCGTACCAATATCGCAAAGATCAAAACCGGGTCCCTCAAGGTACGTATAATTTGTTACCGATCGACCGGTAAATGTTGTGTGCAACATTGTGTATAACCGTGCACGGGACAATAGGTGAAAATCATTATGCTTGTGGGATGCGTCTGCTTATGGGTATTCGCTTTGGTGCTTTGTCTCTATGGTGTATTACGTGATCAAATCATTCGCAATACGGGTTACAATCTTGCAATTTCTGCTGTTTGGACCTATGATGGTGTTGTGGCGACCTTGCTTGTGGAGATGGCATTGATTCTCAAGTACGTTGTTAAATGTGTGTGATGATAATCTTTGATCTCAATTACTAACTCAGCACCCAAAAAAAATCAGTCCACGCATGACAGCCTCTTTGGGTGTTTCGGGTGTTAGCACGAACGGCTCACAATCAGATCCAAGCGGAGGCACCACTCTCTCTACAAGCTATGCTCATAATGTAACATCGATTGATTCTGCAAAATGGGACAAGTTTGATACTCTTAGCCATCCCGACCACACGCTCCCTCCAGCTAGTGTTGGTGGTGGAAACATGATGATGATGGATGATGGCCTTCCACGCTACTCTGTGGGTGCTGATATGGGCATGGATATCCTCCATGGCAACAAGCAATACTCAACACCTGATAGTCGACAACATGACATGCAGCCTCATTCACGACCCATATCACCGTCATCGGTTCACCGACACCAAATTGAGCAAGATCAGCTCCACTATAACGCCACCAGCCAAGTACGTACGCCACCTCGCTACGTCATCACACCTATGGATGAACAACAAGGCCATCCTGAGAACTATGAATCATTCTCCACCACCCTTGGTCGAAATGGCTCTGTGATTTCAGCATCTCATTTAATGGGATACAACAATGGTCATCAATCTTTTGCCCTTACACATTAAGTAGAAAGGATCATTGACCTTATGGACAAAACCATGTTACCCTGATTCATTATGTAATTTATATTATCATTATATCGTAATATCTAAAAAAGAGCCTTTCAACAATGATGATGATGAGTGTGAAGAGGTGTTCAATCGTTGACCTCCATATGTACGTGGCCCATGTGGCGAAGTTGATGTAACACAGTGTATTCGATTTTATAATACAAAGGACGAGAGAGGGGGTGGATGATTCCTAAAAATGAGTCAAAGGAGGTGAGGGGTACGATTATCTCCTCTTCTTTGAATCCGTTTCTTTTTCACACATCCTCTTGGTTTACAAAGGGGATACCACGGTCATACAAGCAAGAGACAAGTGAACAAGCCCATCCTTTAATCACTTGTGTGTAAGACGCGACATATCAGTCAGCTTACCACGGCTCTCCCAAGACAACAGATAAACCCACCCACAACACCATTCCTCCTCAAAGAGCATTTGGTCCTTCTTCTCAATACCATCAACATGGCTTTCACTCACACTCAATCACCAGTCAACAACATCTTCATCGGCAATGTCAATGCGCAATGCCCACAACAACAACAAGAGAACCTCAAGGGGTACCCGGTACCTCTGGGCAACAAGACCGCACCGTTACAAAGCAGCACGTTGCCATGAGAGGGGGTAGCAACCATACTACTACAACTTCAACTACAGTGCCTTCTCCATCAAGACATCTTTTACAGTTTTTTCAAACGGATAGCGACCATGATGTGTCTTTAAACATTTACCGTGGTCGTCGTCGTCATCAACATGATCATCAGCAACGCTACACTTTTTACTACGAACCCTATCAACACAGCACCACCAACCATCGTCGTCATCGTCAGCGACATTCATCATCAAAAGCCTCCTCCTCACCCTTGTTTCCCGATCTTCCATCCTTCTCTTCCTCTTCCTCTTCTTTTTCCTCTTCTTCCTCTTCATCTTCTTACTTGGTCGATTCTTCTAGTCCCAGTGATGAGCAATTGATATTCCATTCTGATATTATGGATGATACAGCCATTTTCGATGATTTCACCCAATTGGCTGCAGCTGAAGATACTTTCATTCCTTCTTCTCCTTCTACTACTACCATTGTTCCCGACGATGATTTCGTATTGTTTCCTTAATAAATTGCGTTTGCTTTCTTCTTTGTCATGTGTTGTTTATATAAAAAAAGATGTATTTTGGGATGGTGATGGGATGGGGGGGATTAAAACTACTAGCTGCTAAGGAAAAACAACAACAATAACAACACAAATTCTTTTGCCCTGAGATCCAGTCTTGCTTGGCATCATACCATGGTTTTTTTAGAGGGGTGTGTGTGTGGAAAGTCATAAAAGAGGAATGGTGGTGTAGTAGGGAAATGTCATTTCTTTTCATTCTTGTCGATCTCTGTGTTCTATACGCATATCAGTGAGAAGGCTATTGATGTTGGGAGCTCTTTGGGGTTGGGGTCTCTCGACAAAGCCTGGCATGGGTGGATTACGTGATGAATGTGGGGGAGGATGACCACCACCACCACTGCCACTGCCACTGCCACTGCCGCTGTTGGGTGTAGAAGGTGCACTTGCTGACATATGAGGATGATGAAGAGCCGAATACGGTGCCTGTGTTTCAGTGGGTGGTCGTGCAAAGGGTGATACTGGGGAGTAGTACGAATCAGGTGTTACTGAATAGCGTGGTTGTTGGGTTGTGTACAGTAAGGATTGTTGTTGTGGAGCAGCAGCAGCAACACCTTCGTTGCCAGGGATACCCGCGACTGTTCTTGTTGCAAACTCATCTCGTTGGTGATCTATTTTAATCGTTGGTGGGTTATTCTTATCACTTTTTTTTACAACAACATCATCAATTAAGCTTACCTGTAGGTCGACTGGATATTCTGTGATGATGTTGTTGTTGCTGTTGTGCTGCCGCTGCTGCTGCTGCTGCTGCCGAGAGATCATTGTATTCATATGCCCGGTCATCATTGCTTCGTCGCCATTGAAAATCGGTGGTAATGTTACTATCGCTCCAAGGTCGTACAGGATGATGATGTGTAGCGGAAGAAATTTTGGAGGCGTCTGTCGAGGAAGTAAGATCAGCGTAATGACGTACCAAACCAGGTTGTTGTTGTGGTGCTGGTAATGGCATGGATGGATAATCGATACGCATGTTTTGATAACGAGCATCAACAGGGTTGGATGGTTGTGGAGAAAAGTGTGATGATGTAGTGGAAGATGCAACGATAGGAGCTGTTGGGCTTGTGGATGAAGATGTGGTAGAAATCGATGCTGTGGCAATGGAAAGAGCGGATGGATGATGATGATGTTGATGATGATGGGGAGGATGTGTTGGAGGTATATTACTGTTATTGTTGCTGCTACTTGTGACAGAAGCCAACATTCGATCTGATGACTGTTGTTGATAGCTGGATGATGATGACGAAGATGGATACGTGTAACTCTTGGGTTGCTGGTACATGTTCAAATCACCTGATCCACTACCACCAGCCGGCGTCCTTGAGCCTGAAGCAGGCGATCCCTCTGATCCAGATGGCTCCAAAATGCTGTGTTCATCATTTCTCACTCGTTTGCTGCTTTTATCCTCCACCGAAAGCATGCTGCTATCATCCTCAGGCTCCTTTCTTCGGCTATTCTTTTTCCGTTGTCGTAATTCCTTTCGGATGCGAATCTTGAGTCCTTGGTCAGCAAAGGCTCGTGACAAAAATGTCGATTCTTCCATTCCAGGAAACCTACATCATCATCATCACGACCATTCTTTAATAAATCCCATCCTCCTTCAATCGATCTCCTTTCCAAACTTACTTTTTGGCCGAGTAAACCACAAACACATCGGATATGATGGATCGACAATGATAGACATCCTTGCTATAAAAAGTAAATAGATACAAATGTCAATATAATGCCATGGATACGATCCCCATTTCCATTCCAAGAGTGTACGTCTACCCAATAATTTCAAAAAGGCTCAATTTGAGGCGATAATGTCCTTCCACTCGCACCGATAAATCTGGAAAGACAAAGAATCCAGCATCCGAGTTGTCAATGTCCTTGAGGTGGTACAGTGATGAGACGACCGAGCCTGTGGTGCTTCGAGTTTTGCCATCCCGTAATAGGTGAAGTTCTTCATCCAAGTCAGCCGCCATCAATGACGCATACATGAAATAATAAGGATTTTGCAAGAACGAACTATGATGCTTGTCAATGCTCATTGTTCCCCGAGATTCGGTAAATAACGCCACTCGTGATCTCTTTTTCTCTCGTATTCGCCTTCCTCCCTCCCCCCTTGATGCAACCCTTGTCACACTTACTGCTGGTCCGAAGATGGTAGATTAGGATCATTAACCTTGAGTTGCACAATAGCTATAAAACATGTTAGCATGTGTCTATACGTCAATGTTGATATGCATCAATGGTATTACGTGGAGGATCAATAGGTCTCCTATCAGCTGAATAGAAAAAAGCAATGTGCGTAAGTGTGTTGTTGTTGTTGTTGACCAAGGTCATGAGACATCGGGACAAGCACAGACCTTTCTCGCCTACACCACACATGCGCGATCGTTTTGGTTGTTGACGAAGCTGTAAATCATACTGGCTGAAAGAATGGCAAAGGTGAATAAGAGAAAAGAGACATTCTCGGACAAAAGGACGGCGTTGCGGAGCCCAGCTGCCGTGATCGAGACGTACATGTCTTCCCGATTGGAGCGAGTTTGCTTGACAGTCGCGAAATGGTATAGGACTGAATCCTCCATCTGAGACAAGGTGTTGAGTAAAAGAGAACTTGTCGCGGGAGAGTGGAAAGAAAGAAGAAAAAAGAGAAGAGAGAAGAGAGAGGGGGCTTTTTAGGGTGGAGGTTTTAGAGTGAATAAGAGAGCAAAGCAGGTGTCTGAGTTGGTCAATGCAAAACAACAGAAAAAAGAGACACCCACACACCCACACATACTTATTCACACCCACCCACACACCCACTGTATCTCACACACACACATTAAACCACCACCACCATGTTCTCATCTTCCATATCTTATTAACGCATTCACCATACCACTAGCATTATGGTTGTCATTCAAGTTGTATTTCTTGTTACCCCATCATCACGCCATCCATGTAAAATAAACATTGTTGCAACAACCACGTGTCCCATCTTTTTCACATTCACGCGTTGCTCACTTTTCGCCATGACATTTAGACATAAAAGCTACTTTAGATAAATGCTCCTGAAACGTAATAGTTGTGCTGCTATACTCCTCCTCCTCATTGTTACATGTCACACACATTTACCATTAGCCATAAAAAACGATAGTTTCCCGCGTTATCGTTGTCTGTACGCCATCAGAACAAGTCGTATGGATGTCTCTCTCTCACACACACACACATACATTGCACTCCGTGTTCCCAGATCAAAATGCTGTCCTTGGAAAAGGGGGCGCGTGCGGGATGTCAATGGGCGGATATCGATATGCATCTGGATTTAGTTATCGTGCTTTACGCACGCACACTCTCACACATGTGGATACCCGCGGAATCCCTATTGCCACTTGAAAATGCCACTTTTCCAATAGCATTCATTAACCTCTCCTCCTCCCCCCCCCCCCCACATATACTCTCACTCATACATGCATTCCACAGTAGTATCTCCCCGCTCTTGTGACAACACCACTACCACAACCCATTAAGGCAATTAAAACCAACGCTCGGTTGCCATGGTGATAATTAACCTTGCATAGCTCCCATCCCTATTACAGCTTTTTACTTTATCTTCAGCCACGCAGCTACGCCATATGATCACTAAACGGCTCATAGGCAAAGCCTTACTTAGCAATGCTTAATAAAAGAACATATTGGATATATAGAGAATGAAAGGGCGTGTACCATTGATTTGACTCCGAGGAGCTAAAAAAAGCTGGGGGTTGTTGGTGGGTCCCTGGGATCGCTCTCTCGCTTTTTTTTTTCTTTGTGCATTGGTGGATAATAGGTGTCTCACCTGGTAAAAGTGTCCCGTGTCGCTAATTTGGCTGAATTCATTTACAGGACAATCAATCAACACCAGCCAAAGAGTAATAAGTAGGAGAATGTAATATAACCGTGTGCATGTGTGAGTGTGTGCAACTCGACATATGTGGCAAGTGCTTTGGCGTTTGTTTAGGATCATGATGACATGCATGTATGCTGCTGTCTTGTTATCCGCTCCCGGGATCCGTGCTCACAAATGCTGCTCCTCCTGCTCCTGCTCCTGCTGGCTGTGTTTAATACATTGGCTTACTTTACATTGTTCTTTTCTTCTACCCTTATCTTAATCCTCTTCCCACACCCCATTCCCCACCTCATGGCATGGGTCATGTTGATCCCCCATCATCTTGATGTAGACAACACGCTGGCCCTGACACTCTTTTTTTTCCCACCGTGGGAAATGAGCTCATGTGCATTCGATCGTTTGTTCCCTTACTCTGTTCTTTTTTCTCTTTCTCTCTTTTTTTTTAATGTGCGACCCCGATCGGTGTTGGATGTAAAGAGAAAAGGGGGTCACTAGGACAGGCGGGAAAGACAAGGGAACAGCCTTTTTTGGTGGCAAGGCAAGATGTTGTTTAGCTTTTCTTGGTTAAAATGGAATATGTCAAAAGCAATGAGTAAAGATAAGAGCGACTCTAGTTGGCTGGCATTGTCTCGTACGATCTGAGAAAGTAGGTTCTGATACATGGCCTTCCCCCTTTTTTTTTCTGTTGCTGTGCCCTTTTTTTTCACACATTGTATGTATCCTCCGACGCCGGCATATCCGTAGCACCCCTTGACTGTGCAACACATAGCCTTTTATCCTTTTGATCTAACAGCGAATGATATCGCTTATCCGATTACGACTCACATTCCTGCAACAAATGGGTTGCCGAGCTGCTGGTACCTTGCATGCTCCTCTCCACAGTCCGCCATTTTTCCGCCATGACCCCAGCCAGTGATTATATGAGCTATATTTGCTATGATTGTCAGATGGGTTGTTTGTGGTGGTGGTGGGTGGTACCACATTGATGTGACAGCCCAACCATTTGGGTCTGTGGATCCGGGGACCGTGTTGATGTCAATTGCACAACATTAGCATATAGGGTTGCATGGATAAAAAAAACTCTTTCTCTTGTACTACTGGGACACACACATGGACGATCCATGCAACTCGGCCAATGATTGTCCTAGTATACTTTTCATTGCAAGAGCGGCTTTTGTCTTTCCCACAAGTTTATTCTGCATGCCCTCTTTGTTGATGATGTGCCCTTTCATATTACCACAAGGTCCATTGAACACCAACATGAGGGCCAATGCTGGGCTGATGCAACACTAAAGTCATCTGCTGCTGAGGTACAATCATCCAGAAATGTTAATACATGTGGCGTCCATAAACACAGCCATCACGTTTACCACATTAAAGTGTGTAATGCTTTGCTCCTCCCTTGTTTCCAAACAACATCATCTCTTGATCATCTTATTGATTGTTTTCAATATACAAACGATGAAGGATGTAGTAGGCATTGGCTGTTTCTTTACATGTGCCGTCAAAGGCCGTGACAACTTGTGAGCCTGCTAGAAGAGAAAAGATGGCATTGGATGACAAATAAGCTTCTACTTGATTAGTTTCACGAAGAATGATTGTCCCATCGATGCACGAGAGGTGTCCCATTGATCCACAATAAGCCCAAAACTTTAATCCCTTCATGGAAGTTCGCACGTTACTAGTAGTGAGCTAGTTATTAGTGCATCCATCACGTTTGAAGAAGAGAATGCCACTGACAAAGGAAAGGATGTTGACCAATTGCATCTCATACAATCATCCAATTTAGAGACCAAGTGAACACTTAGATAAAACTCATTGGGCATAGGCATCATTAGTGGTATAGGTAGTCGAGTATGTCATTTCCTATCAGCCGTTGAAGGCAAAACCAGAAGCAATGGCAGAAATACGTACTACATGAAAGAACAAATGATATTCTCCATGGTCCAGCATGAATTTCATGTGATGGATTGGTATAGGACAAGTGCGTCATTGTGGGTTGTTTGCTTGTACCACATCCTCCGTTGCCATGAGACCAATTCATGCAACTTGACGACCCTACTACTTTTTGCTCTTCTTCATTTGTAACATCATCCATGTTGTGATACCTGTATTGGTATATCCAAACCATCATTTTTTCTTATAAGATGACATGATTTATTATAAAGACATAGCTATGAAAAGAGTGGGAGATATGATTCTTTATGCAAGACATGGTGTCTGGGAGTGCATTAATCCCGTGGTGTGGCTTGCAAATGGACCCGCAGCAGTAAAATCACAGGGCAGAGTATGAGTGATTCAGTCAGCGTCATTTTGTATATTTCATGCTCTTAAGGCAGTCTGTGCGCGCAGTAAGACCTTCTTTAGCCACGTCTTTTTACCCATTTACCTCCACTTTGACAAGAGCACCCCATTTCCAGAAACGCCCTCGATCAACCATGAGCGATTGTCACTTTGCAAACAAGCGAGCACAGTATGAACCAAAACCCATCGTATACGGCATGGCAAAGAATGGCGCCGAAATGCGTATCCAACTAGACGACAAGGAAGCCAACATTTGCGAACTATTGCGTCAAGTATCCGACTACGTTGCTGCAGAACGTCCTGATCTACCACGCATTGAATCGCGCATTGCAGGTGGTTGGGTACGCGACAAGGTAAAGTGATAGCACATGTACATAACGGCTCGATGTGATTAATCCATTTGCTATGGTCTCCAGCTCCTTGGAAAGGATTGCCACGACTTGGATATTGCAGTGAACGATATGATGGGATACGAGTTTGCTCAATACGTCAACAAGTGCTTGGAAAAGAATGGATATCCTACACGCAACATTGCAAAGATCGACAGCAATCCGGCTAAATCAAAGCATCTCGAGACAGCCACCACAAAGCTATTCAACATCGAAGTCGACTTCGCCAATTTGCGCACTGAAGTCTATGATGATGATAGTAGAATACCATCAGCCATTGTAAGTCATGATCACGTGTATGTCTCATCATCCCCGCTCATGCATACATGAACTTGTTTTAGGCTTTTGGCACACCCACAGAAGATGCCTATCGACGTGATACTACAATCAACAGCTTGTTTTACAATATCAATACATGTCAAGTTGAGGATTTCACTGGGACGGTATGTTTGGTGGCTATGGAAAGGAAAATCGAGGGGGGAGATCGCTTATTGATCCTATGTATGAAACAGGGATTATCCGATCTTGAGCAAGGATTGATTCGTACGCCGTTGGAGCCTTTTGAGACCTTCAGAGATGATCCATTGCGTGTTCTTCGGTGCGTTCGATTTGCCAGCCGATTCAATTTCGAGCTTGTACCTGAAATCGTGGATGCTGTTAAGAATGAGACGATTCGACGTGCATTGGATGAGAAGATTAGCAAGGAGCGTATTGGCAATGAGCTTGAAAAGATGGTGACAGGCCCACTACCCCTCAAAGCAATTGAAATGATCCATGATCTCGGCTTGTACAATGTCATTTTCGCTACACATGCCAACATTGTATCGGGTACCGTACAAGATTCCAGTATAGCAGTACGAGCTGTAGGTGTTATCCAATGGTAAGCATCATGGGATGGGTTTGGTTGCCACATGTATGTGTGAGAGCTAACATGATAATTGGCATGCATGTCATGTAGGTTGGCAGGCCATCCAATGGAAGCATTACGTCCATACAGCAAGGATGAGATGCGATTGCTCAATATGGCTTCCTATTTTCTACCATTTTCCGACATCATTACCGAACAAAAGGGCAGGCATATCGTAGGTGTGCAAGACGTATTGCGAGATTCGATCAAGGTAATGGGTGTATTGTTTGTGATGATACGGCTTGGATCTCATTCGAATGAAGGCTACCAAATCAGACATGACTTGCCTTGCACATCTCTTTTCCGAATATCCATCATTTACGGTAGCTGTGGATAGTAACATGCAAAATACCATCTCACGACAAGAACTTGGTAAATACTTTTTAGGCAAATGTGGATGACTTTTGCTTTCCTAACCAATGAGGCTTTTTAGGCATGCTTATCCGAGGCTCGAAGGAACTATGGACAACTACCCTGAAATTGGCACTTGTGGTCGAATTGCTGAAAGCAAATGATACCATTGACTGGCGTCAACCCTACAACGTGACATCAGGTAGGTTTATTAGCTTGGATGGATATCAAAGGAGTTTGCTGACAAACATTATTAGATCAAAGCTTAGAATTTATTTGCGAGAAATACAACGCCCTGATATCACAAACATTGCAGTATGGTATTAGCGATTGTTACAAATGGAAGCCTATGCTTGATGTAAGTGGTGGGGGGAGATATGGATGCCTGGCATGAGGGAAGTTGCTAACTTTTGTTGTAGGGCAAAAAAATTGCACAGATCCTTGGCATCAAACCTGGTCCTAGTATGGGCGACTTGCTCCAGCAGACAATGAAATGGCAATTGGCAAATCCTGAAGGAACGCAAGAAGAATGTAGTGCCATGATTAAGGCTTATTGGGAAGCAGGACAACAGAGTAGCAGTTGAAGAATTAAAGTGTTTTTAAGCTTTATTGAAAGCACAAGCATCGCATGTAGTGGTAGCTATGTTGTTTAAAAGAGTACATTGAGGGCAAGTCCATGAGGTGTGTTTGCTGCTAGAGGTATCGACGGCATTGGTTCGCTCTGATAGACACATTGCACACGCTAGCACCAATTCTTGGTTCTCAAAGGTGCATATAGCACATATCCATGTCGAATGATGCCGTTTTGTTGTTGTCAATGCGCCTTGGTTATCATCATCACGTCCTCGCTTTCTTCCAGAAGGGTTGGTATGGCTCGTATCATCATCATCATCATCCAATATAATGACCGTGGATGTTGAAGGATCATTGGGAGTAGTGTCTTCAGCTGATTCTTCTTGCAATCCACCGCACCATTTCTGATCTCGAAGACGTCTTTCAGCTGCTCGTGCTGCCATTTGTTTTGGTGTTAAGCTCTTCTCCAATTGGTTGGGTGTCGATCCTCCAAGTCTTATACCACCAGTAGGAAGCATGACCCGTTGTACTTGTCGACGTTGTTCGGCAGCTACAAGAGTACGATTCTTGATATCCAAGGTTGATAATGGGAATCCGGTATGGCCACCCAATTTATGACCAACGCCATCAAATGCCGAGTATCCCTTTTGGCCTGTCAACAGCAACTGATCGAGCTCATCATTCAATTCATCCAGGATCTTGTAAAATGTTGCATCATGGGGTCCTCGCACTAAGCAAATGTCATCCAATAAATGAATACACTTGTTGTTGCTTGTCCATGATTGATTTACCTATATGCACAAGTCTACATTCCATTAGCTTTGTTGTCTTTCATCCATTTCAAATCAACATACTCATGTAGCATCGTTCCAAGAAGGTCATTGTAGTCAAGGAATACAGTGTCGTCGTAATGCGGTCGTAAACGGATATTGATCTTGTATCCATGATTGACGTTCAAACCTATGCAACATGGTATTAGGACATAGCCCATCATCAAACATGGTTTTCACTTACCAAGAAGGTTGGGGTTGGTAGGATAAAACTCACACAAGTGTTGCACTTTCCATCCTCGCTTGCGCATAATAGGGAGGACCTGAACATAGGGTTAAAAACAGCTTTCAATGTGAAATGAAGTGACTGATTCGTACCTGTGAAGCGATTCGTTTGAGAAGCTGCAATGCTTCGTTTGAGTTTTTCTTTTTCTTTAGTGCTTTGATTTCTTGAACAGCATGATTCATAAGGCTTTAGACAAAGAGAGAGAGAAAAAGAGCTGCGACCTGGATGGAAAGCATAGCCTTGAAACAGCCAATGAAATTATTCCTCCTTCTCCAGCAGCAATGGCATGTTGCAGCTAATGCATCATCGCACTACGAGCACCTCTTGTTTGCGCTTTGATCAATAAAGGATAACTCATATGATGTATTCCCTTCTCCATGGATCCAAAAATGTTCTTTGTTCATACACCTCTTTGTATACACGCATAATGCGGACAATGGGATCTGCCGTGTCGATTGCAATTAAGCCTCCACCCTATTAATAAAGTATCTGAATTGATTGTTTACATCAAAATGATCATCCTCATAGTCATAAACCATCATGCAATAGAGTAGCCATGACGCTTCTTTTACTCCACGCTCGATGGCTGTTGTATTTTGCCACGCATTGAAACATTGTGCTACCGATGGCTGTAGGTTCCACATCATCCGTAACACTGGGGGGAAGAAAGGACAAGTACAACAACACCAGTATCGTCATGCAGCAAGGATGTTAAATGATACAATGATTATGATCCAAAGATATAGATCCATCATTTGCATTGCTTGGGATATGACAAAGGATACACTTTTTTGCGTTACAGATTACTTAATATCGGCTTGCATGTATTTCGCAAAGGATAAGGGTCCGCTAAATTCACACACGCACACCATAATGGTACAAGAAACCGTAAACCGTTTTTCTGGTTAATGCATTCATATCGCATGGGGGATTGACACATGATACCCCATCCAAACACTGTAAGAGCTATTTTTGCTGATAGTGGTAAAGAGGCAAGTTTGGATGACAGAGGAGGCGCGTGTTTTTCTTTGTGCTTCGCATCATCATCGGGCTCATCACTCTTTTTACCAAAATGGCATGCTTACACAACCTATCAATTGAGGTCATTACCGAGATAACCGAGGGGGGCGGGAAATTCAACCAGGTAACAATAACCCCTGTAGATGGATATTATCCCAGTAATTTGGATGTCTGGTGACAATAGCAAGGTAGATAGCAAGATGCACACAATAGGGCCACGAGGTATATATAAAGATCCCATGTCGGATGTTCTTGTGCAACCATCCAATGGTTACTTTGCAAAGGGTGGTGGTATATTATTGCCCAAAACGACTCCGCCCTCTCCTCCCATTCCCATTGAACAAAGCCATTACAAATGGCGGTAATCATCTCCTCCTCCTTGGTTGTTTGAGTATATAGCAATTCTATTTATTCCCTCATTCACATCATGGATTCAAGGTGCTTTTTTGAAGAATACATAAAAAAAGAGACAAAAGAAGCGTGGGATGGGAAAATGCCAAAAGAAAAATATGACAGAAGTTAAAAATGTAGCACGTGGATGAGTGGTGTCATTGCTGCGATCAATAAAGAAAGGGTCGTCATTCCCAGATGTTGTACAAGGATGGTAACGATTGGGCACAAAGAATGGGTTTCCTTTTTCCCCGTCGTTTACAGAGTCTATCTTTTTTTTTCACTCTCACTTTGCTACTTGCACACACTTGCTCTTTGGGTGAACCAACCTTTCAACAGGTGTCAGTCATTCCTTTTCTCTTACAGACATGCCGTCGGCTACTACCTCAACCGCCATGCAACAAATGCAGTCGATTTCGGGCATCACGACGCAAATTCAAGCCACATCGGGTCAAGTGCCTCCTCCACTGGTGGGAGCGTCTGTTAGTGTGGTGGATGATCGAGTCTTTGTGTTTGCAGGACGACTCGTCAGTACACGTCAAATGACCAATTACATGTATGTGCTCGACTTGCATACGCTTGAATGGACACGGCATATCCCTCCTCCAGATTCAGCCAAGGCGCCTCGTGCTCGATACTTTCATTCTGCCAATGTGTACAAGAATTCGATTGTTGTATTTGGTGGCATGGGCACTTCACGCATGTCTCAAGACAACCTCTGTGTCCTTGATGATGTATCCATATTCGATGTCACCACCATGAGCTGGAAACGACCTACAGTGGAACCATCCTTATTTGCTCCTCGACCACGTTACGCACATTTAGCAGCAGTCATTGATGATAAGCTTGTTGTGATGGGTGGACAAAACATTGAAAATTCGTATCTCCATGAGATCAACGTACTTGATATGACATCTTGGGAGTGGATTCATGCACGCACCATTGAACAACATGTGGGTACTTATCGCTCCATTGCCGTGGCAGCACCACCAGGCACTCGATTACCTGCAGGTACACCAAGCAATGATATGCCCAGTAGTCGAGTAACAAGTCCTGATCCAATGAATGCCGTCAGCTCACACAACACTGGAGGTGGTGGTGGTGGTGGAAATAACGACGCACCATCATCATCATCCATTTATGTTTATTCCAATTACAACTTTACCGATGTTCAACGAGAATTGCAGGTGATTCGATCACCCTTGGGTACAGGAGCCACCGTGGAAGATTGTACACATGCTATGGCAGGAACTCTATTGCCTCCAGGACTGCGATTCCCTAGTGGCCATTCGCTTGGACATCACGTGGTCATTTGCGGTACCCATTTATCACCTCAACAACAAACATTTGCTATTTGGGCATTGGATTTGGGAACCCTTGCATGGTCAAGGATCGAGACGGGTACCATCTTTAGCCGTGGATCATGGAATTGTGGCACTGTATACCCGAACAACAACCGAGCTTTGGTATTTGGTCATCGTGAACGGCATTTAATGGAAGACTACAACCATCGACAGCTGAACTTTGATCATATTGCAATGATTGATCTCGAAGCCTTTGGTGTCTATCGTGTACCGGAGAACACGTGCTCAACGTTGGCTCAAGAAATGGGCTTGAGTTTATTGAATGAACCCACCGTATGTGATTTTCGGATTGTGAGCAGCGATGGGCGTTCGATACCAGTCAACTCGGCTGTATTATCCCAACGTTGGTCCTACTTTGCACAATTGATGGAGACACGCAACACACGACAACGACCCGAAGGAACAACATTACGCACGCATAGCTTGAGTTTGCCTTATCCATATCCAGTGGTCATTGCATTGCTTCAATTTTTGTATACGGATCACCTGATCACAGCTCAGCAATATCAGCCCCATATTCTTGCTCAGCTATTGTTATTGGCCGATATGTATGGATTGGGTCGACTAAGATTACTCGCCACGCATGCTTTGCACCAAATGCTCAATATGGCAACAGCACCACTCATCTTTGAAACGGCTGCCCTTTCTCACCAAACGAGCTTGCAAGTCCGTGCACTTAAGATGATGATTGCGGCTAAAAAGATGATCCAGCAACAACAACAGCAGCAGCAACAAGCAGCAACACCACCCACCACGATACCACTACAATCGATGAGCCATACACTTGCTTCTAATGGTACAACCACCACCACCAGCGCATACCCAACGACTGATAATGCATTTAGCCGTGAGACACACCAACGGCTTTTACAGCAACATCGACCCGCATCACCCTCCGCCTCCAACAATCCCAATTTTATTCAACGTTCAGCATCTGTTTCTTCAGCTGGTTACTTTGAGCCTCCTATCAGTGGTGGTCCTGCTATGGGTTCTTCTCCTCGATTCCCAATGCCATCTCGCAGTACGACCCTTCCACCTAATCAACAACATCCACTTTCTCCACCTTTGCCATCCCCTTCACTCGCTTCCGCTAATATGCCCAATCCATTCTCCGTATTACCCAACCCATCTTCTTCTCCACCTCCTTCTGCTGCAAGTCCAGATCTTGGTTTTCGTCATTCGCCTTCGTTATCAACATCGAAGCCACTGGTGCCTGTCGCTGTCGATGCCATTGCTTCTCAGGGCAGCAATACCACTGCAAGTGATTCCGATGGTGGTGGTAGTAATCCTATTCCAGGCGCTGGTACCATCAAGAAAAAGAAGAGACCTTTCCTTAGTAGCAAATTTGCAAAGAGTTTTGCTTCATAAATCATTCCCGTCCCCTTGATAGACATTCACAAACACCACCCCCTTCAATATAGACATTGCTTTTGTATCATTATATCATGTGATTTAGTCATTTGACGTCATGAGTGAAAAGATCATCTATGTACGTGTGTGTGGGTACAGTTCTATCATCAGGGCGTGATCACGTGCTGGTTTCATTATCCGAATTTTTCATGCAAGGCTGCCAGTGGATGATGGTTGCCGTTTTCCTATAAGGATAGTAGACCTGAGTACGGGATGTGGCCTAATCATTGAACGCTGTGGAAGGAGGGGAAAGCACATCTCAAAGAGGGCTATCCATTGGGACACAAAAAAGTCGCCTACTATAGCCTTGATATGCCGCAAGTATCAGAAGAACGACAAAAGACTTGCATAGGTACTATTCCTTGGCGACGATAGTGTAACGCACGCATCCCATCGAATTACTATAAAGCATACAATCGGTAGCTACCTTCCCCAACTATAATCACCATGACAACCATCCCCATAGCAACAACAGTCATTGGATCATGATTTCGACAAGAAATGATTGGAGGCGTAAAGTGCATCATTTTAACCCCTCGATTGTCACATCCCATTCAAGCAAGTATAGTTGTTCGGTTTGATGGCGGTGGGGAAACACGTACAGGAAAGGGATATCTTTAATCAATGTGTCATATCATCTCTGTAGTCGTAAATTACAGTTGGATCTGGTTGCGTGAGTTGTATTTGTGCACAAGTGACTATTGCATAGGAAAGAGAGAGAGAGTGGATGAGTTGGCATAAAAAGCTGAAACATCTCTCGCTTATCCTCAACCCCCCTTACCTGGCAGCCACAGAAAGCAAGGAAACACGCGTATACGATAGCAGCCGTGAAGCAAGCTTGTGCAGTAGCAGAGGGATCGTCAGGGTCGTCCATGAATTCAGTCAACACTTCCACACGAGCATCAAAGGCCAATCCAAGTAGAAACTAACATGTCGGGCCATTTTCGTAAGTTGCGTTGGCCATCTTGCACACTACAAAGGTCATGACTTACAAGGAAAATGATACCACAGAATGACAATACACTGCAGCATGCAGCATTTCCAGGACTGACAAAGGTCTTCATCGCGTCAATTGAATGAGTACTCGGGTGTGTCGCTGAGTGAAGAAAAGAAGAAGAAAGGATACAAGCGAGCGGACTCGGCTATTCGCACCCCACCTTGTGCACCCTCTCCTCCCTGCTTGCCTGCTTGCCCACCCAACCAATGTTGAAACCTACTACCAACTGAAGCACTTTATACACTCTTTTCTTAATCCCCCATCCTGTATTAATTTGTTGTATGATATACCTAATGCTGATGTGAAAAAGGAGACGTGGACGTTTAAGAAAACAAGTGTTTCGTGTGCCCTACTATGGTATACGATGGGCAAGCGTTGAAGGTATTCTTGTCATAGGCATCACTGTCGACTTCATTATATGAACATCACAACTTCAATACGTATACGTACATCCCATTTTCGAGCCATCTTTCACACTGCACCTTAACGTTCACCTTCCATCACGATGGTGTCTCTATGGCAGTAAGCAAGGCAGGCAAATTTAGTGTATGGTGCCTCTAGTGGTATTAGCGAGTCAATAGAAATGATAACTGGATTCATTTACGATGATGTGGGAGGATGGGGTTGATCAGAGTACCTGCTTTGTTAGATTCCCAAGTGTGCAAGATCATTTTTGGAACGCCATGAACTTCATTGATGATCTCTTTAGTAACGCCGTTAAGGGCATCATTCACTAAATTGAATGCCTTGTTTATTGCCATGGAGACATCATCATGGTTGAAGGTGAAACAATGTGAAAGATGACTCGAAAATGAAGGTGAATAATATGTGCACTTCTTCTCCCTATTATTATCGTGTTGACCACCTCCGGTAATAGTGCGAGGTACATGCATAGGCAACAGCGATCCCATAATGCCAAACTAATCGAAAAACAATAGATTGGTTAGCAAGTACAGACCCAAGGCACCTATTGTTGTCGTTACTCGTAATCCACAAACAGCTCGTCAAGCCCATTTGTCGCGTGGTTGTTTCCCCTTCTACTACAACAAGCCTTCATCATCCTCAACGACCCACAGCAGCAACGATCATCTCACTGTTAAGCGCCGCTCACCTAGCTAGTCCTTCCGATCATGCACCTTGGTGGCAAGAAGATGTCGATTCATGTTTAACCTGAGGGATGGAACAAGCAATAAAATATGGTACGCATAAGCATGATCAAGCTGTGATAGCAGTGCAAGGCTGGCAAAGTGGCCTTGGCAACACCAATACCTTGTGAGTTATTTATGCTCCATCATAGGACGTAGAGTTGTAGCTTGTTAACAAACATAAAGAATCAGTGTTATTGTCTTCTCACATCAAAGGATCAATGTAGCTTCTTCCTTTTATGCACGTATCCTATTCCTTGATCCCTTCTTGCATTCATCTCTCTTTGCTCTATCCCTTGTGTTCTCTCTTCTCCCACTGTAAACTCCTTTAACTATCTCTCTGCTTAGGAGAAAAATTACGGCACACTTTGCCTTGAGATATGGATACTTGAACGCCACAAAATAGCATGTCAATGCATCTGCGCAGTATACATCTTTCTCTTTAAACCCCCCTTAAACCTTCTGAATGGACGTGCACTCCTGAGCATGATCTTGGCCCTTTGGCAACCCCTTTCTTCGTGTACCCCTGATCGTTTAGTATTCTTCGATCCTCACCTATTATATAAAGAGGCTGCGCCCATTCAACATTCTTGCACAGCATATCAACCACTCCTGTTTTCCCAAATCACCTTACAGAAAGACCACACTTTTCACTTTCTCAGCTCACTCTCCACCTCCAATCCATCCAAGCAAGCATGTTGAAATTTTTCGCAGGTATTACAGCAGTGGCGCTGACCTTGATAGCCATGCCAGTGACTTCACAAGGAACGTACGAGTGCGACTTGCCCGGAGATTCTATTGAAGTCTTCAAAGACGGATTCAACGCTGATCTTGTCGACATTGGAGGATGCAAGCAGTACCAGAAGGGCATGGAAACCTTCTACGACTGTTTCGCGGAATCCAATTTTAACATCCGCAGGGGGATTGATTTCGCGAAATGCTGGAATGGCGATGTTAATTGCACCAAGGCATACGAACAAACGGGCATATGCATCAGCTGGAAATGCACGATGGACAAAAAAAAGTATGATCAATTAATCGCTGACGATATTGGTGTGATTGGTTGCAAGTACTAGCATGACACTTTCGTAATTGTTGATATAGTATCAAGCACTTCTACAACCTATAATAAATCATCGTGCTTCTTCTCACCGACAGCCAAGCTACGTAATATAAAATGATACTTGTAATACATCCACGTACATACAATATTTTGCTCATTTGACGCTTCTTGGTTTCTCAAAGTTTGATTTGTATATTGGGAAGTGACGGTAACTGTCCTTTCGGTGATTGCTGCTGTAACTAAAGCTCCTGCTCTTGCATTGATAGATGATCTTACTTTTCAGCCTTGTATCACGTATGATAATAACACAACCCATGAGTGGGAATATGAATTTATTTCACTGTTTGACTACTTGACTACTACTCATGTGCATGGTGTATGATGTTGTTGGGATGTAGAGAACGGGGTTTCAAGTGAATTTCCAGGTGTGAGTAGCCAAGGTCAAATGGTCAGATTGGGCACAGCACACTTAATTTTTGTCTTCCTTGACGACACACATACACATACACATACCTACACAACCTGTACAATGGGTCGACGGAAACAGTACATGGACGATGGCGACGATTCTTCTGACGAGGAAGGGGGTCGTATCCGATTCGACATTACCGACCGCGATTTGGAGGAAGAAGCTGAAGGGTTTTATGGAAGTCGCAGCAAAAGGAAACGCTTTGGAGACGACGATGACGATCTCGATGAAGACGAATCAGACATTGGACGTGGAGGCCTTGGATCAGGATTCAGCATGGCTAATATGGTGAATTTCAAACCGTCAACGACACAATCAACGCCTTCACCTGGCACAAGTCGATCGAGTACACCTAGTAAGGAAGCCCCTAAACGACCTCGTCAGCAACACAACATTCGACCTGCAGAAGACTTTGCAAAGTTCACCTCACACGGCACTGGTTTTGGTAAACGGATGCTTGAGAAGATGGGTTGGCGTATGGGACAAGGTCTTGGTGAAGAAGGTGCAGGTATCATCAATCCTATCGAGACCAAATTACGACCCAAGGGAATGGGTATGGGCTTTCGTGGTTTCAGTGAACAAACGCAACAAGCCAAGGAAGAAGCTAAGCGACAACATGGTGGTTCTACATCTGAAGAAGAAGGAGAGGAGCTATCTGATGACAATCAACAACGACAACAGCAGCCCAAACGTGAAGCATGGAAGCGTAAAACCCGTAAGCCAAAGACTGTATACAAGACAGCAGCTGCCATTATTGCCGATACAGCCGAACAAGGAACGGCAACAGGGGCAGTACCAGCAACACAACAAAAGGTTATTGATATGCGTGGACCTACTGTACGAGAAGTTTCATTAGCGGATCTTGAACGAGAATCGCCTAGCTGGCAGGAAACAACAACACGACTCCCTGAATTACGACACAACCTACGACTCATTGTGGATCTTGCACGAGGTGACTTGGAGAACTTGGCACGTGACCGCACATCGAATGAGCTTCGTTTGAAAGCATTGGAGGAAGATTGTTCAGTGATTCAAAAGCGACGTGAAGTGGATACAGCTCGACGTGACAAGGTGATACGTGTCAAAGAGATGGCTCAGGAATTGCAATCAATCTCAAAGAGTGCTTTGGCAAGTGGTGCCTATGAACAAGCCAACATTACAGCATTGTTTGGAGATGTCTTTGAGCGAATGATCAAGGAGTACACGCCTGAGGATATAAGGTCATTGCATTTGGATCAGATTGTCGTTGCCGTGTGGACACCTGTGATGAAGTACAAGACGTCAAGGTGGGATGTGCTGGCAGATCCAACCTGGGGAGCAAAAGATGTCCTAGCATGGCGCCAATTACTATTAGCCAACGATGATGATGAACGTGCTTTTGATTCCGATTTTGTGGTTCCTCGACGACCAAGGAAGGAGATACCCAATGCAACACCCTTTGAAATGATGATGAATACTGTTTGGTTGGTTCGTGTGCGTACAGCCATCAAGTAAGTCTTTTTTCTCTTTTATGCTTTGGCTCTTCTATATCTAACAACATGTCAATCTTAGTAATACTTGGAATGTGCGTGATCCGGAGCCTATTGTACAATTATTGGAAGCATGGAAGCCACCTTTATTACCCACGTTCATATTCGAGAACATTGTCAACCAGCTGATCCTTCCCAAGATATCACGTGCGGTGGATGAATGGGATCCTCGCAACGACCCTGAAATGGTTCACACATGGATCCATCCATGGCTTCCTGTACTCGAGGCATGGCGACTAGCAGAATTATTCACGAATATCCGACACAAGCTTTCTGTCATTTTGCGTGTATGGCATCCATCCGATGAATCGGCATTGCATATTATTACACCTTGGAAGGGCGTTTGGACGGATGCTCAAATGGAGACGTTCCTTGGCAAAGCGATCTTGCCCAAGCTTAAACGGGTGCTTCGAGACGAGTTTGTGGTCAATCCACGCGATCAGCAATTGGATCCATTGATATGGGTGCTAGCTTGGCGAGATTTGGTTTCAGAGGCGACCCTATCGCAGCTGATAGAGAAGGAGTTCTTTGGCAAATGGCTCGATGTATTATACAAATGGTTGACCCTCAGTCAAGATCGAATCAACTATGATGAAGTCCGAGAATGGTACTTGTGGTGGCGCCAGGTCTTGGAAACATATGGATTTGCCGACAACAAGACCATCTCTGCATGCTTTAGAAAGGGTCTAGATATGATGGCAGCTGCAGCTAGTGGAGAACCTGTAGTCAAAAGTTCATAAATATATATCTTTTTTTTTATGATGATGGCAAGCACATTCAATTAGAGTGTATTATAAAATGCATGGGTCTTATTTACAATTGCGAAGAGTAGCTAATAAGTTATCTAACTCTGCAAGTTCCTGATCCGGCTGGGAGTTCCGAGGATGTTTTTTGGATTGCCGAGTATAAGTGACTTTGACGTTGATGGGGTTTTGTGGTTGATATCTCGGTCGTCTTGGTTCATTGTTATTATGTTCATCATTGTTGTTGTTGTTGTCATTCAATGCCTCCTCAATCATCTTCATCCATACATCTTGTGGCAAGTTTTCATCTCCTCGTTCAGGTGATTCAGGTACAGGTGTTGTAGTCCAAGTACTATCCGCCTCATCCAAGTCATCATCATCATCGTCACCACCAAAGTCATATGCTGGTAGGGGTCCTCCATCATTGATCCCTTGTCCATTGGCACTTTTCAATCGAGATACCAGATTACGTTTGCGTTTTTGGCTTGTTTTTTGTGGCTGATAGTGTAAGGATGGACGTTGTTGTGAAGGTGGTGGCGGTGGTGGTGGCGGGTGATCATCTGTGCAACCAGGCAATGGATATAACTTTGGTTCACTGTACGCAAGAGATGTCTTACGAAATGTGCTGACGATAAGGTTGGGTGCAAAGCGTACTGATTTTTGACGTCTGGATTTGCGAGAGGAAGAGGAGGAGGAAGATGTGGGGGATATAAAAGATGAAGGTGATGAAGGTGATGATGACAATGCTGTTGATTTCGTTTGCAATGAAGATGCGACCATGAGACGTATTTCACCTGGATCATCCTCAGGGAAATCGAAAATGTCCATCTCCTCACTCTTGCTGTTGGGCTTCTTTACATGCTTTTGCTTGGGTGCTTTCGGTGTCACCAAGAGATCTGGATCAGTGGGGAAGGCAAATATATCATTGTCGGCTGATGATGTCGTATCATTCAAAGGTTGATCGGTGGATGATGTTGTTGTAGGGATAGGCGCCGATGTACTTTGTTGAGTCAATAGCGATGTCGAATCAAAGGCCTCCATTTCCACGTTTGTATGTGTTAGCAGCCGAATGTCATTCATGCCATTGTCCATAGCATCCAAATTCTCGATTGGTAAAGGTTCCAAATCTTGTTTACAAGTTGTTGTAAATGTGTCCAACGCTATTGCATGCGATTCGAGCGTTGTTGCTTCATACGAGGGTTGCATAGTGTGCTCCAAGATGTTCATCTTTTCCAAATGTCCATTGGTCAGTGTTGTTGTTGCTGCTGCCGTATTGGTATTGGGCGTCTCATGCTGCTAATAAGCGAAAAGGAGAGGAGGTCATCATTTCTAATCAACATTCAATAGCCCATTCATCTGCACTCAATTTACCATTGTAGCCGTTGGTGTTACATGCTCCTCATTATCCTCTCCAGGTAGTTTTTGATCCCTGATATCGTGTGCTGATGCCTTTGTTGACTTGATATGAAAGCTCTTATCTTCAATAGCAGCGAAAGGCGATACACCTTCCTCATGCACCTTCACAATGGTGGGTCGTTGTTGATGCTTCTGGTCTTCGAGATCGCTGTCATCGTCGCTTGAATCGGATATAAACTCCAACTTTGTCTTTCGCCGATAGGTGTAAACCGGTCGTCTCGTCAAGTTAAAGTGGGGAAACATGAGAACGATATGCCCAGGAACGCGTTAAATAAGATGCACACGAGAAACAAAAAGGAGAAACACCAATTTCCCATTTTTACCGCGCGCCGCGTCCCTCCTCCATCCCACTCCGCAAGGATTTGGTCACCTGACTTTCGTTCCTGTATGTGCGTTGTTGATTGACATGGCAATAAAGCTCTTTTATGCGTGATTTTTACTTGAGATCATTACATCAGCAACACCTTTTCTTATGACATGCTTCATTATCATCCACCTTGCTCTTTGTTTACGAGGCAATACAATGAAAGGCAAACAATGACATCAAACGGCGGGATTCTTAAAGACTTTAAAACGTATAGAGAAGGGATTGGATAAAGACTCATACCCTTTCTGACAGCAATAGATATAAAGGGAGGCGGATTTGGTACCATCTAAGAACGATAGAAGAGCATGGTCGTGGATGTTAGAATAAAAGAAGGCATACGAAGATTGACCCTTTTTCAAACGCTTGTTGTTCTTCACGTATGGTCCCAATGTTTTTCCTTCATTGCAATTCAAGAAAAGCTACATGATGCAGGATAGCGACATGTAACCACGTGCATGCTTATGATAGTAACGAGATGTTGTTTAATCATCATCATAAAGACGCAGGATTTAAGGTGGGGTGCTTTATCTCCTGATAGTAACTCATTGTTTGCATACGCACCATGATGTCATGTCAATGACTAGCCCAAGAATGTGATGAAAGAGAGAACAATGAACAATTCCAGGATTTGGAACTATACAACCAACAATCCATTTCACACATTTGAATAGCAAAAAGTAGTAGTAGTGCATGGACCAACAATCCCGCTAGCGGTGTGTGGAACGAAAAGCATCATGCACTTGGTTCACTTGTTGGACCCCGCCCATTCACCAAGATGTGTGTGTGTGTGTGTGTTTATATTATGGATGTAATACAATCTTGCTATCGATACAACAATCGATGACATATCACGAATAACGCCAACGATCCACATGAAATGCTTTATTAGGTAGATAAAAGGGAAGCAGTAGAGGGATAGTGCCTGTGCAAGCTTCGTTTACCAATAGTACGCTCCACCTAGAGCTGCAATGTGACCCATGTGCCACGCAACTTTCTTTTTTGGTCCTTTACCTCCTCAACTCTCTCCCTCGCTCTCTCGCACTTGTTCTCTTTTTTTAACGTTTGTGCACCCTCGCTGATTCCTTGTTTCTTTTGCTTTCTTTTTCATCTTTGAGCAATGACCCGGGTAAGTTGCGTTTGACTTTTTCGTCCCCTCATTGACTCTTGCTCAATGGCTTTGCTTTAGGTTGCTCGAAAGAAACTCGTTGTAGTCGGTGACGGTGGCTGTGGCAAGACCAGTTTACTTGTGGTTTACAAAAGAGGCGCCTTTCCAGAGGTAAAAAGATCATTTTGGGATACATGAAAGGAAGAAGGATTGCGATTACTCATGGATAGTAGCGTTATGTTCCCACTGTATTTGAGAATTACATTGCAAGTGTTCAACTCGATAACAAGACGATCCAGCTGGCGTTGTGGGATACTGCTGGCCAGGAAGACTACGACAGACTGAGACCGCTCTCTTATCCCGAGACCGACGTCGTCTTGATTTGCTTTGCCATTGATCAAAGAACGTCTTTCACCAATGTACAGGATAGGGTATGATATCATCATCATGTTTTCGTTTACAAATGGGAAAGTTTAAGGATATACATATACTCACATGTTGATCTCCCCAATGGTATCTTAGTGGCTTCCCGAAGTAACCCATTTTTGCGAAGGTGTTCCCAAGCTCCTCATAGGCACCAAGATTGATCTACGTGATAACGCTACCAGAATCGCGCAGTTGAATGCGTTGGGTAGTCAACTTATCACTTACGAGCAGGTAAGCAAAAAGTGCTCATTGTGTTTTACCACATGAATGAAAATAGGGTTAACAATGAAACCATCATAGGGTGAACGTCTTGCAAAGGAGATTGGAGCAAAATACCATGAATGCAGTGCCATGCTCAACAAAAATGTGAATGAAGTCATCGAAGCGGCTACCAGAGCTGCCATGTCAGGCGGTATCATGAAGCTGCAAAAAAAGTTGTGCACGCTGTTGTAATCATCTTTTATTAGATCTTGCCCTTGTTGTATTCCTAAATTTGTGTATACCCGTTACCCCTATTGTTGTTTTATCTATTGTGCCATCCTCAACAATAAAGCACGCTTGAAAAGAATACGTTTATATATCGTAGTGTAGTCTACGGATGATCTCCCCACACCACCTATGCACGTACGTTGTTTTTGTTCATCACTTAGCCAAAACAAAAAAGGCGCATTGTCATACATGAATATAAACTTTAATTGACTATTTACAGTGTACAAGCGTCCATCAAACGAGCGAGAGGCGGTGTCATGCCCTGCATCCCAAAACTAGTAAATCATCCAGCTAAGCACTACGACTACATACGACTCGTCATTTGAAGGGTCATTCAACATTCCAAATTGACACACAGCTCTGTCATTCCTAATAGCACCAATGATGATATGATGTAAATGATAATGCATTGTTGATAAAAGAAAAATTTGTACGGCTATGTATTATTAATCTCTTCTACGTCGTCGTTGAGAGCGCTCCCATTCCTTCCATGGTCTTGTATGCTTCATCCATTCATCTCGTTCTTCTCTTTCGCCTTCCAATACAGGGTTAACATTGTTCAACCAAGGATGATGCAACATGTCGATCGCTTGCACGCGCCGCTCGTACCGCAGCATCGGCATTAGAAAACTCTCAATCTCTTCAGCATCGTCACGATTGAAGCCGTATTTCTCATAGAGGACGTCTTTCAGGGGCCAATAACGCAGCCGGCTTATGTGTCGCAATTCGCCTTGTCGATTGAAAAATTCTCTTGAGTCTTGTCCAGAAAGTGCAAATCGTCGAGGAATGGGTCCAACTAGTTCAATAATCTGTGCAAGGTGGTCTATATATAAAATGCATGGTCAATAAACGCTTGATAGAGGATTGGAAAAAGTCCACCACTTGCCATCATCGCGGCTAAATCGGGATCCTTTTTGAGGGTCAAACAAGTAATCACCAGTCAAAAGCTCAAATATCTGAAATGCAAAAACATCTTTAACAATCCGACATGATGACCATGCAGGCCGTGTATGCGTGTATGTATGTGTGTGACATTGTTACCATGCATGCCAAACTCCAAATGTCTGCCGTAGCGTCCCATTTAGCTCCCAAAAGCACTTCAGGTGATCGATATTGACGAGTCTGGATATCTTCAGTAAAATGGTGATTCACCCAACATGCGTTACCAAGGTCTGCAATCTTAATCTTGATATCATCCATGCATTTGGTAGGTCGACGATCACGAGAACTATATTAACAATGAGCCTGTTGTATTCATTGATGCCGTATGGAGATTTCTCTGTACCTGGAATATGAATGTGATCTACGAGAAGAGTGATTGCGTCCCCTATGGTGATCTCTTTTGGCATCGGAGGACAACGGTTGCGAGGCAACGGGCTTAACACGAGTACGACGATCCTTTCGTTGACGACTACGCCCACGGCTTGGCTCATTGTCTGTGAATGAAGCGTCCTCACTTTGATCATCATGGATATCCTGTGTAGATTCACGTAAGAGCTCTTCGGCATTGTCGAGGTACATGAGCACGTTCTCAGGCTTGAGGTCGGTGTGGATGATCTGGCATATGCGATGCAAGTAATCAAGGCCAAGGAGCATTTGCTTAGAGATCTGCTTGACAAGGCGGATAGGGAGACCTCGATGCTTGTAGCGCTTGATCAAGGCAAGAAGATTTTCACCAAGGACTTCAAATGTCATGCAAACATGTGTGCCATTTTGACCCTTGACCATGAAATGATCCTCGATAGCCGTAACGAATTGAGCCCCCAATGCCTTTGGATCACTTTCAGCCACACGTTCCAATAACTTGATTTCATCCAAGGCCGTCTCGGTGTAATGCTTTGCAGACTTGACGACCTTCATTGCATAATGTCTCCGCGTCCTGCCCAAGAGTCAAAAAACAACCGTCTCCATCTGTTCCTTTCTTTTCTTGATAAAAGAAAAAACGAGTCGCTGCTTACTGTTGATCTTGCACGAGCCACACTGTGGAAAAGTGACCCCATCCTAGCTTCCGTACAACCTTGTATCGTCCATTCTCATACAACTCTCCCACTCGCACTGGATGGTATCCACCGGTCTTGTAGTCTCCTGGATCTTCTTCCTCCTCACTCAATCCATCAGATCGAGACGAGTGGTGAGAAGAGGACCGTTGTCGTTTGTATTGCATAGCTTTGCCTTTCTCGAGTCTATTGCAACAGTAGGCGTTATTTTCATACCATCATCCACCCCTATCACCTATCAACACTTACGAGGTTCTCGAATAACTACGCGCACGCTTATACACATTTCGGCTTGAATGACCACGGCGATGCGACGCCTTGTCAGAGCTTTGGATCCACGATCGATCTGGAAAAAAGCCAACCCATCAACCTGATGCCGTCCAAGACTCTGTTTGCCTAGAGTAAGAACTTACCTTTGTGATCGGAAGGCATATTTGAGTGGGAGAGAGTATCCTTGAAGAGAAACAAAGAAAACAAAGAGAAAAAGAACCAAAGGGGGAAACGCAAAAAAGTGCTTTTACTCTCCTCCGTCCTCTGTCCAAATTGGACGTAGCACAGCAAATTCCCTCCTGACGATCCTGGTTATCCCACATCACACATTTATCAATGTAAATCAGGTAGTTGATATTATCAGCATTTCACTCGATGAAGCTATCTAACATCAAAAGGCAACCCAATCTAGTTAGCGTTATCTGAAGCCAATGCAAATGTGCTCTCTCTACATCATGCATGATTGATAATACCTTCCATTGCCTATATAATCCATACCCTAACTAGGTAGTCTTGCTGATTCATAATCAACCATCCACATAAAACTTTGATGAAATCCTTTGTGTTATAGGAATGTTACATAAAGGCAGGACCAATAGCTATGTTGATGCCATCTTTCATTATGCTTTTCTTTGTCTTGAGTTTCCCCTCTCTTCCAAACGTCACTTTTACTAGCATAGGTTATGCTGTTGCTATTTGCTTTGCTTTATCTCTTCCTGATCAATTGCCTCTTTTCATCCAAGAACCTCCCTACAATGCGCCATGATACGAATGAAGAGCTCTCCAAGGTCACGTGGAAAGGTATTGTAATCAAATGGGATTCCCTGCAAGTGTTTCCATAGCAACGCCATTCATCATTCATTGAGGTTTAAAAGAGGATGGTACGTTTATTCTCGATGACATTGAAGGAAAAAGGATGATGGAGGAGGAGGGATTAATATCCACGTCTACAGTTGGCATCATCGGACTTGGGTCGTCCCGACAACCACCACCATTTAAGCCAGGAGCGCTCACGAGTTCTTCCACCACCACAACTCCACCTTTCGATCCGTTCACTGAACACGTCCTTGCATCATGAATATCGATGAAATGTTCAAGGTAATAAACGACTGCGATTGACCATTGAGGGTATCAAGACGCTCACCGATCCAACCAGATCCCGTCCATCCCTAGTGGACGCAACAAGCGCAAAATGCCTGCAACTCCCGATGTCGCCTTTCTTGAAAGTTACAGCGCCAATTCAGATACTCAAGCTGAAAGCAGCAGCGATGCAGCACGCAAACGAAGAAACGTGACGATTGAGGATGAAGACGAAGATACAGCGGGTATGGAATATGGCGTACAAGACGTGGTGGAAGAAGATGATGAAGAAGGCCGTTTCTTTGGAGGAGGATTGACGGATGAACAAAGTCGATTATTGGATCTTGTGGATCAATACGAAGATGACGAGGCAAGTCATGTCAATCAATGCTTTATGATACACGCGCAATCTAATCGAATCGTATGATAGACTGAAGCATTGTCGGCAACATCGGTCAAAAAGATGATCCTTAAATTTGAAAAGGCTATCAACAAGAACCAAGACCAACGCGTACGATACGCCGATCAACCTGAAAAGTTTATGGAATCAGAAGCCGACTTGGATGAGGAGGTCAAGAACTTGCTGACACTTACTCAGGCACCCCACTTGTATCCTGAGCTTGTCAAACTTGGAAGTGTCACTTCTATCATATCCTTGCTGAGTCACGAGAACACTGATATCGCCATTGACGCCATTGATCTTATCAACGAGTTGACGGATGAAGATGTCGGCTTAGCAGAAGATGAATTGGAAAGATCCGAAGAAGCAACAAATGGTGTCAAGACTTTGGTGGATGCCCTGGTATGTGATCATTCGCTTATTTCAATGTTTCAGCATACTAATCCCCCTCCCCCATCGTATAGCTTGAAAATGAGATGCTTGAACTCCTGGTTCAAAACTTGGGACGTCTTGATGAGAATGAAGAAGCTGATCGACAAGGTGTTTTCAAAATCTTGGGTAAGGAAGAGAGATTGGATGGCAGTTGGGATAGGGAAGGCTGACAAACTATATGTAGGCATCCTTGAAAATTTGCTTGGTCTTGATCCTCAGCTGGCCGAACGTATTGCTTTGAAGACTGAATTTCTACCATGGTTGTTGAAACGCATACAAACCAAGGGCTATGATTCCAATCGTGGTTACGCAAGTGAAATATTGTCCATCCTATTACAAGATAGCCGAGGTACTTTATTGATGATAATGGTGGCTATGGTTCATGGATATTGGTACTCATCAATGATCGGAATTAGATATTCGATTGAAGCTTGGAGAATTGGAAGGCATTGATATCCTCTTACGAGCATTATCGGTAAGAAAAAAGGAACATGATATATGGATCATGGTGTTGATCATCCTTGTAGAGCTATAGAAAGAAGGATCCTGAGGATGATGATGAAACAGAGATGGTGGAGAACTTTTTCAACGCCCTATGTTCCATGTTGAATGAACCGGAATCCAAGCAACAATTTTTGGAGGGTGAAGGTGTCGAGCTCATGGTCATCATGCTAAAGTAAGTATAGCAAAAATGGAAGGCTGGCAATAACTGAACCTTGCATGTTATAGAGAACGAACATTGGCACGCATTCGAGCTATGAAGGCCTTGAACTATGCATTGAGCGGCGAGGCGGGTCGAGGAAACTGTTTACGCTTTGTCGAAGCTATGGGTCTCAAAGTGCTATTCCCCATTTTCATGGGCAAGGTAAGCTATGATGACGATTGGTCTTTTTTGATCTTGTATACTAACGACTTTTGACAGGGCATCAAAAAGCTTAAAAAGACGCATAGCAAGTCATTTGTGGAAACCGAAGATGAAGGTAAGAATGAACAATGGGCCCATGTACCACACGATCTGATTGGGTTAAATTAGAGCACACAATGTGCATTATCCTGTCATTAATGCGCAACCTATCACGAGAAGACGTGGGACGACTACGACTGATCCGGAAATTCACTGACGACGACTATGAAAAGGTGGACCGATTATTGGAAATGAAGGAGTTTTATGAATCCAGAGACAACCGAGTACGAGAAGAGATTGAAAAGGATTCCAAGGACCTGGACGATGAAGAACGAGAAGAGATGCAAGAAGAATTCTATTTACGACGATTGGATGCTGGTCTTTTTACGCTTCAACGTGTTTGTTTGGTGATTGCGGCGCTATGTAAAGAAGATGAAGGTGTCAAGACAAGGACAATGATGTTGCTCAAAAGACAAGGAAGCGAGATATCAAGTATATTCAGGATCATAGAGGAGGAGACCGCTCTTATGGCCGACTTTAGCTACTTGCAGCGTATGGCAGCTGGTGGAGCAGTAGAGCCTGATGCCCAGCGATAAGAATGGCATCCTCATCATCAATAAAACATGAGATTGTCTTTTTTAATTGTATTGCCTTTTATCGAAACCGAGCGTATCCACAATATACACACGCACACGCCACACAAATGTGATGAGATGAAGAAAGGAACAGGACAAAGGGGGGTTGGGTGGGAATTCTCTTTCTTTTCTCTAGCAAAGATCAACCCTTTATTTCTTGCCAGCAGCAGCCTTGGCCTTCTTGGTACCACGGAACTTCTTGGCACGGTTCTTCTTTTCCTTGCGTTGCTTACGACCACCCTTGGGTGCCTCAGCAAGACCAATCTGTAATGATTAAAATAGATGATGAGATAGGCTGCATAATGACATCTCAAATAAAACCTATATCACTTACGCGAACAAGACGGTACTTGGGCTCGAACTTCTTCAAAGCTTCAACATTATCGTAGATAAGAGCAAAGCCAGTAGTCTTTCCACCACCAAAGTGAGTCTTGAAACCGAAAACGGAAATGACTTCCTTGTTGGCCTTGTACATTTTAGCCAACTTGTCGCGGAGCTCATCCTTGGAAATGCTGGGGCGAGCGGGATGAATAACGTCAACGACCATTTGCTTGCGTTGGAGCAAACGGTTGGTAAGGAACTTGCGAGTGCGGATAGTAACGGTAGTGTCGGCCTGAATAGAGCGAGAGTGTGTATATATGTTAGCATAGGGTTGGTTGCTATGATACGGGCTGACGAGGTCAAGTTGATGGAAGGCGTAAGTGGTGTATGATTTTTTGCTGTATCTGATTCATCCATCGATTCATCCTATTCATCCATTCATCGAATACATTCACCACGCCTTGATTGCCATCTTATCCCTCATCATCATTCACTATCCAACGTACCATGTCGAAAAGAGGGGGTTGCCAATAGCCTTCCCACACCGATCATGTTCACCGCGCTTCCCCCCAATCTAAAAACCCCGACTAATACAACCTCATGCGCACGGTGCACACTTCAAGCCTGTCAACAATCAAAGAAAATGCATCGTATCTTTTAATCTAGCTTGCCAACGCTATCATTGCAGCAATAAATGTTTTTGGAATATGAGTGTAACTTGTATAGATAGATATGAATTGGTATTTTTCATAAAAGAAAAGGTGCCTCCTCTACTTTAAAGCTACATTGTGCCCAATATCAGTCAACCATTTTGTAATCCAATCCAATCCAATCCAATCCTTCAACTTACAATAGCATCCATCTTTGTAAGTACATTCAATGTAGCTGCAACGACCTCCAAGGATAATTCAGAGCCAGGACGTATATCATTCTTTGCACCACTTCCTGCAAATGGCCATGTCGAGAAATCATTCATGAGCTCGTCCACCTTGTTGAAAGCTTGTTCTCGTAAATCCGGCTGCATATATAGCAAGGCGTTCTCGAGTACGTTGGCTGCATAGGCTGCACAAATCATGCATACTGTGCGTAGATAAGCGTGTGGAACGTCTGATTGGGAATCGATAGATGATGCTGAGACACGAGTGACAAGCATTGTACATACACGTTTGATAATCTCCTCTTTGCAAGCTGTATCGGCGATAGGATGCGTTGCCATGTCGAATAATAAAAAGTTGCGCTTCTCCGTTCGCAAGATGCCCTTGTCAACCAATCCTTTTGCCAAACGTTCCCTCACTTGCTTAAGCTGATATCCAATTTTCATGACATTCCATGTCTCGCCTAGAATCGTCTCCAATCATTTGAGTCTTGGTGGTGATCCTCCTCCTCCTCCTCCCATTTCCCCACTCTCTTCTTGGATATACATACCGCTCATCAAATCAACCCAGCTGGCAACGCTCATCTTTTCACTGATCTTCATCATCTTCAAAGCTTCATCCAGTAACACTTCGCCTGTGAGTTTGTCGTTGATCACCTCAATGTATCGATCTGTCAATGGGTATTTCCTTCGATTGGAATCCTTGACCATAGCAATACGTCCTCGAAGAGCAAGCTCCATCACAATACACCCACGTAACGCATAACTGATACTGTCGTTCCAAAATGATAAATAACCCTGGATCAAGGCATTAGCTATGATATAGATGTGTGTGTGTTCATATTCACGGACCTGTCTATCCTTAAGACCGAGTAATAACACTTCTTCCATGAGTGTGAGTCGAGGTGTGCTTTTGCTATCGTCAATGTCGTCAGGGTCATAGGCTATTTTCTTTTCTGATGATGGTGAAGTGGCGTTGTGATGAGGTGAATGGGAACCATCGACCGCGTTGTTGTCATCTGTGCTTGACGAAGCACCTGCTACTCGTCGTCGTGTGATAGTTGACATTGTGTTGCTGCTATTATCAATGTAGAAATGGTGCTGATTTGAAGGGAATATGGACCACGAGCATTAATAGCGAAAAGAGAACAAGAAGGTGCTTTGAAACAATGAGACGATGTGTCCAAATACTCATGCCCGCCAGCCTTACTGAATTAGGCCAATACCATTCACGCGCATATTCATTACTCCCCCTTTCCATCGCACACACCCACACACACGGATACATAGGATACATATAAAAACAAACTACACGAATAAATATATACTTTTGCATATATGGGAGATGATTACTTTTTTTACACTCTAAATCATGCGATAAAAGGTGAATCAAATTCTCAGCCAAAGCTACTACATTAGGGCTGAGCAACGTACGTGAGTGGCAAAGGTACCTTTTATCCGATGGAATGGTTCTATCATGAAATTCCGTGGAACAATACTGATTCTTTATATCTCAACAACAGAAAAACAACTATGGAGCATAAATAACACGCAAGGTATTGGTATGACCAAGACCACTTTGCCAGCCTTGGACCGCAATAACAGCTTGACCATGCTTAAGCATGCCATATTTCATGGCTTGCTCCATACCTAGAACACAAAAGAAACCGTTAATAGATTATTGAAATAATCACACTATAACATGCAACTCACCCCAAATCAAACGTGCATCCACATCTTCTTGCCAAGGTGCATGATCTGATGGACTAGCTAGATGAGCGGCGCTAACAGTAAGGTGATTGCTGCTGCTGTAGGTTGCAGAGGATGATGAAGGCTTGTTATAATAGAAGGGGAAACAACCACGCGACAAATGGGCTTGACGAGCTGTTTGTGGGTTACGGGTAACGACAACAATGGGTGCCTTGGGTCTGTACTTGCTAATCAATCTATTGTTTTTTTCGATTAGTTCACTACTATGGGATCGTTATTGCCTATACATGTACCTTGCACTATTACCAGAGGTGGTCAACACAATGATAACACCAGCATTTTGTTCATTGGCAGCACTGACAGCAGCACATGCAACCGTCTCAGTCGTCTCCGTTGGAAGCGATGTGAGAGATCGCATCTCATTAAAGACAGCAGGATAGCACAACACTGACTCAGCCATCATACAAACGCTATGCATGGTACGCACGGCCTCTTCAGGATAGTTGCCTTTGGCTGTTTCTCCTGACAACATCACGCAATCAGCTCCATCCAAAATAGCATTGGCAACATCTGATACTTCAGCACGTGTGGGGCGAGGATTGTACTATGCAAAAGAAAGAAGCCTTATTCAATACAACAAGCTTGTTGGACCCTTTAACCAATTACTTACGGTCATCGATTCAAGCATTTGTGTTGCACTAAACAAAAGGCATGGCGTGTTAATGCGTGTTGTTGTTACTACTTGTACCACATGGAATCCAAGAAAGCTTACCAAATGACGGGTTTGCCAGCAAGGTTACACTTGGTGATCATCATCTTTTGGGCGATAAAGACTCGTTCCAAAGGAATCTCAATGCCCATGTCCTATTTGGTTGCAAACAAAGTAAATAAATAAGAATGCAAAAGAATGAGCACACTACCACTTACGCCCCGAGCCACCATAACGCCATCCGTCTCCTGCAAAATGTCATCAAAGTTTGCAACCCCCTGATGGTTTTCAATCTTGGCAATGATCTTGATATGCTTTCCATCCTCTCCTAGGACTTGGCGGATATCACGAATATCTTGGCCACTACGAATAAAGGAAGCAAACACCATGTCGACGCCATTCTTGACACCAAATCGCAAATCCGCCTTGTCCTTTTCTGACAAGGCTGGTAAATCCACATCCGTACCAGGAAGATTAACGCCCTTGTGTGCACAAAGCTTGCCACTGTTACGTGCCCGGACACGAATTTCATCACCATCCACCGAAAGGACATCAAACGACAAAACACCATCATCGACATAGATCATTTTGCCAGGCTTGATCACCTTGGGAAGGTTCTTGTAATCCATGTACATCACTTGGTCATCACAAATATCCTTGTATTGCTCGTCGACGCTGAAAATCATCTCATGACCAGCACTGATAGCCACCTAAAACAAGCATACATGAGCGGCGCTCACTCAAAAGTATACGCGAACACACCCCTTGTATTTACCTCAACATTATCACGCATGTTTCCAGTGCGAATTTCGGGTCCTTTGTTGTCCAATGCAATGGCTGTTTCGCGGCCCGGGTACACTAATGGTATTTCATTAACAACCTGCTCACACGCTTTCTCAGCCTCATCCCTCCCCAACAACTACAACAACAATCAAAGAAACTTACATTGCACACTTTTACGCGTGTTGTCAATAACGGATTGGTGATACTATGTATATGTGTGTGTAAAAATAACGCGCTTAGTCTTGTGCGTCTTGCGGCATGTCAAGTCTTTATCTGAGATTACCTCGTATGTGCCGTGTGAAAAGTTCATCCGAACCACGTTTAGGCCAGCGTTGCGAAGCTTGGTGATCATCTCAACACTGTTTGTCTTGGGGCCTGTTGGGGTGTGTGCGTATCAACATGCATATCATAAATACGGCTGTAAATGGGATCTTCTTCTCACCAATAGTGCCAATAATAGTTGACTTGCGAACCGCTTCGAGCTCAACATCCACATTCATTTGGGCCAGCCATTGGATACTTGAAGTCACCTCTGGAGTAATGATGGGTGCCATGATTCGTTGAAAAAGTTGAAAAAGAAAAGGAAAAGATGCGTTGGAATGCCATGCATGGGCCGGTTCCTTTTTCTCGTTTACTTCTCAGTTACTGTGCGACCAAACCAAGAAAGGCAAGGTGCTTATCATGTTGCATGGTGGCACGTCGACAAATAAATGCTACATGAAACACGTAGTAAACAAACACACAGACGCGTTCTTGTTTTGTATACTGATAGAAAACCACCATGCCATACATGAATGATCCCTTATCTCCATCTCTCGCTGTAAGGTGTACAAAGTAGAAATCAAAGAACATCGTTTTAATGAGAAATCGGGGAGGTGGTGCATTATTGCTGGATAGGGTGGAAGCAACATCATGCCATGAAATATAATAATACAGTGATGAGGGAAATTGCGTAAACTTCTCGGGTATAAATGACAAATGCGCATGTGGTATTCTCATCCAGAGCTCAATCCAGAATCAGAACGCATGTATATGCTCGTATCCATCTCCTCTGTTGCCTGGCGAAGTAATACGCTCTCCATCACCGCCTTACGTTCCTGGGTATTCTATATCCGGTATGTGTAAGTTGTTGCTTGAATCATAATGATTGTCGTCTGCTATTCACCTCGAGTCTTTCGAATAAATGTGTGATGATGCTGTTCCTGCGTGCTAATAAATCTTCCAATTGCTCCTTCTCTTCAGATAATTTGGCATGCGCTTCTTGTATGTTTTGTAGCCTACACGTCTCTCGCTCAAGGTCCCGATCCCGATCCTCCAATTCTTGTTGTAACTCCTTGTTTAATTGATTCACTACATGATACGCTTGTGTCCACGACCCATGCTATTGTCAAATAGGATATATATAATTTAGTATAACTTCAACATGCAAGGATGTGACTTGACCTCAATGTTCGCCTTGTACTGATCCAAAAGTTCATTCAGTAACTCATTCTTTTTGCTGGCAGCGTGTAGCTTTTGTTGTAACGTACGTTTGGCATACAATGCCTCACTGATTCTTTCCTTGGAAATCCGCCTTTCATTTTTGAGCTTGTTCTCGGCCATTGTCAACTTGGTTTCCAGAGCAGTGATCTTTTTCTCCCAATCCTCTTCCGCTTGAATAAGTCTGGCACCCATATGCTATTCGAAAAAGCCTCAATGAGTGATTCTACATCCTCATATCATCACCATCATATGCACGAACCTTTTTCACAGCAGCTAAATCGTGTTCATAATCCTCCTCTGTCACCATCTGCTGCTGGTGTTGTACTTGCATGCTTGAAAGCATCAACTCCTTTTCACGCAGCGTATCTCCCAAGCTATGTATCTTGTCCTCAAGGTCTTTGATTTCCTCAGCATGGATATTCCTCTCTCGTTGGGTGGCATCGGCTTGTGCTTCAAGGTGTCCTTCCAATGATGCAATCCTCACATCTCTCTCGCGTATCTCCCGCTCAATTTCAGTGACCTGTCGCTCAAGATCCTTGAGGTCATCTTCGTATCGTGCACGTGCTTCATTTAAGCCCTCAGTGACATAATCAAGCTCTGCCTCCAGCTCTTGTATGCATGCTTCCTTTTGCTTGACATCTTGTCTCATTTTTGTCAGTTGCTGCTCAAGCTCATCAATGTCATTCTTGCATAGCCTTTCATCCTCAAGTTGTTCTCGATGCTCTGCAATCTGAGTCTCTTTGATAATGATATCTTGTCTCAATCGCTGAATTTCATCCATGGAATCCTCTTTGCGATGACGACCAGTGTGCTCCAATTTGCGCCTCAACTCGCTGATGACCAAATCTTTTTCCTTTTCACGAGCTTCCAATCTCTCGGCCCCTTCAACCACCTAGGATTCATGCATTAACAAGAGTGCGTTTGTTTGCGATTGGAAAAGCCATGTTTACCTTAAGTACTTGCTCTTCAAGCTTGATAAATTCTTCTTCGCGGCTGTCAATCTCCTTCTCCAACTTGATAATCTCGTTTTGGTGGCTGAACGTGTTGCCATCGAGTTCTTGTCTCAATTCTCTCACGATCAAATCCAAATCATCCTTCTCCCGTCGTAGATTGCTGATTGTATTGAGCAGCTCAGAGATATCCTTTGTTGGTATCCGCTCTCGTCGTTCCTCGATCATCGCTAATTCACGTTTCAAGGCTTGGCATTCATTCGTTTTATCACGTAGCTGCTGTCTTGTTTCGTGCAATGATGTTGACATGACATCCAAATCCCGATACATCTGATCCAATTCTTTGTTCTTCGAAACAAGCTGCGACGCCATCTCTGCATTCCTTTCTTGTACTTGATTCAAGGTCTATTTTCATTTATAATCAGCAAGTTGATACACCATTCACGTATGTATTCTTACCTGTCGTAACTCTTTGTATGATATGGCCTGTCTTTCATGTTGGAAGGATGCATCTTTTAAAGTGGTCGTAGCAGTGGTGGTGTTGTACCTTGAGGAAGAGGAAGAGGAGCAGGATTCAGCGCCAGATGTCAAACGACGACGTCGATGATGAGTAGACCAAACATCCATCTCGGTGTCAGAAACGTTGTTGATATTGTTGTAGCTGCTACTCCTTCCTAGTTTGCCACTGAGACCCCCATAGCCACCCATAGATCCTCCACGTGATGCCCGTAATCTCGCATTCTCTGATGATAATTCACTGAGCATTCTGTGTAAGCGCTGATTCTCTTGTTCTTGTCGATGGCATTTGGCAACGATTGCATCATAGTCGGCTTTCTCCTCGGCAGACATCCCGTGTTGTAAATCACATGATGGTGTAGCAGCTGCCGTGGTGGTGTCAAGCTGTTGTTGCAAGATATCCATTGCATGATTGAGATCGAGAAGCATCTTCTTGTACTTTTTCAATTCTTGCGTCAGAATGGAGATATGGACCTTGAGATCAACGTTCTATTGATATTGTCAGCACATCACCCTTAACAACTTGCTTAATAACTCACCTCTTTCAATGCATCATCCATATGGTCCGGTGATAACTCATCCAGCCGTTTCTCGAGATTGTAGATCTTGAGCTTCAATCCAAAGTTCTCTTTCTTCAGGATATCGATCGTCTATGATAGTGAATCAGCAAGAGACCTGTTGACGATAAATCCAAATACCTTTTCCTGTTCTTTCAATGTCGTCGAGCTTGTGGATACGCCTTCTCTTTTTGCAGATCGATTCGTTCTCGTATGTTGATGTTGTATATCCTGGTCATCGAGGATAGGATTGTCACCCACGATAGATAATTGATCAAATTGACAATCGATGCGGCTCACTTGCTCGAAGAGGCTGGAATGATCATTAAAGATCCCGAATTGCTGCTGCAGCCCTTCACTAGTGGTTGTAACGTTATCAGATCGTGGAACAGGTGTCGCCTCATCGCATGAAACATGATCGCTTGGTGTCGCAGTGTCCAATTGGTGGAGCGGTGGAGATCCAGATCGTGTCGAAGGTCGTATTGAAGTTGACTCATTGGCTGTCAAGTTGGCCATGTCAAGTGGACGCCCATGGGTGAATGGGGAATGACGGTGATGCTGATTGCTCCTTTCACTACTCGATGGTGTGGTCGACGATCGTTCAAGTCTTTTCTGGTGAGCCATTGAAACGAAGGAATGGGTCGTCGTCGTCGTGTTCTTTGTGTGAATGAGAAAGAGAGAGATATGATACACTCCCCTTCCTCCCCTTACAAACTACAGATAATGAAGCCCGTCATATGCGCTCTCTCGCTTTAGAAACAACCAAACAACCACCAAAAGGGGGCATCCCATTATAACACTGTCTTGAACAATATATGCTATTTACACATACAAGTGCCATTTTTCAATGATGATGCCATATAAGATGCTGCTGGTCGCCGACAACAATGATTTCATTTTCTCCAAGATATGCAATCATGACAAGCACGGTCTTTTTAACCCCCCCTTTTTTCTCCTTCTTTCTTGTCTAATGACAATGTTTATTACTCTGAGCATTTACAATCTTTCAAGACATGCCAGGTCATGCGAAATTGCTGCATGAATCTGAATACCAGCCTGTGTAACATACCTACAACTCCACACAGCATCCATCCTCACGATACAACAATACATTTGGGTACATGACAAACGCCTGCTGATAAAGCGATGAGTGCAGACATTTTTCATGTCAACAAGCAACGCTGATTTGGTAGAAAGATAAGATTACATTATAAGAACGTAATAAATAGTAGCACTCATGGGATGATAATAGCTGCAATTTTGGTACAAGAACACAATAATACATTACTTGAACATAGCAAGATGAAGATGAGAGAATTGCTTTTCTTCAATGTATACCACCTGCTACTCACATGCATATTGCTAGCAACATAGTTGATAGAAATGAAATTGATGTTTATAGATATGCGATGTGTATGCCCTTCTCTTTTCGCACGTTTTTGCTACTACGATTGCTTATGCTACTTGATAATAAGAACAAGGAACTGAGGCACCCTTTTACAAGGGTCCACTAGTACGCAACAATCTTCTTTGACATACTTAAATGATTGAGTTCGACAACATGTATTGGATTCTTCTCGTTGCCAATGAACTGGTCACGTGACCCCAATCGAAAAATTGGCAAAACAAACACTCTTTGATTACCGGGAATCGAACATCGCTCCTAGGTGGGCTCGAACCACCAACCTCCTGATTAACAGTCAGACGCGCTAGCCAATTGCGCCATAAGAGCTTCTTGTCATAAGACGTCCGTGGTGGGATGGTCAACCTTCGCGTTGCCATATTTGGCCGAGAATTTAACCCAAGTGAAACTTTTGCATTGTCATCCACTAGATTAGCTGAGCGTGGTTATTTGTATAGCATCTGAAAACGTTTATTAAAACCCTTGTCTTTCGTCTTTGATATTTTTGTCTGTGGACGTTTTTGTGTGGAAGCAGTTGCGATTGCTTTTGTTGGACTTGACGATTGAAGACTCCTTGTGATTACCGTATTTGGATCGATTGACAACCTCTCTACAACCTCATACTGCCCTACGTCTCAGTCAAGTTAAATATGGAGTGACATCACATTTCTGAAAATTTCCCAAAAAGGAAGGTGGCAAAATAATTGAGCCGGACGGCAACGTCAACCGGACCAATGACATGCGTTAGGGGTCTCCTAGGCTACTTCCGACGTTTCGTCTTCCGCCGCTTTCGTATCAACCTCCTTCATGCACACAAACTCGCTTGTATAGTTATACTTTATGTTGTATTCAGGCTATCCATCATACCCAATAAAGATCCAACATGTGTGTCTTAGACTTGAACAAATGATATCTCACATTCATCGGTTGCCACTTGGCATCAGGAACACCGATACCTCACACACATCCTGAACCTCTAGCATTATTACCTACAGCCTAACAGATCTAATACCGCACCATGAATGGTGCGTCTACTGTCGTCTCATCTCAGCTAGTTTCACTCCATAGAATATAAATACGCATGTATCGAGCATATCTTAATACATGATTATCTTCGCTTTTCATTGACTTACAGCCCTACTTGTCTCTTTGCTTGATAACATTTTTCAGGACCAAAATTTTCATTTCATCATATCTAACACAACCATACAACGGTCAACCTCTTCCTGGTGATGTTATATCGTGATGGCATTGTTCTTACGACCGTCAGACTCTGACAACCATGGCAACAACCAAGGCAACAACAACAACTCTGCTCCTGCCCCTGAAGGATCAAGACAATCTGGTTCAGGTGAAACCTCTGTTTCTCAAACCACCACTGGCTCATCTGCACCTGAAAAGGTGCATACCGGTTCCACCGAGAAACATCCTCAACAAATTTTTTCACCCTTGGACCAACCAGGTGCCCCTGCTCCCATCACTGGTCTCCATGTGGATGGTTCCAACTTGCAAGAAGGCTTTGAGGAAGCTGTGCTTGTAGCACAACAACGTGTGCTAGCTCTGTCCATTGAGCAATCCAAGCACCAAGTCAGCTCCCAGCGTGATCAGGTGACCCGCATCCGTGCCAACTTGGTCGATGCACAAGTGCATTTGGAGTCATTGTTGCGCACCAAGCGTCTTATGGAGCAATTCCAGCAACAAGTTGCTGCCCCCACACCATCACCATCATTGTCTAGTGCTTCGTCTGAAAGCTCAACAGCTTCAACAAGTGCTAGTACCACCAATGATGCCACCTACAAGAGTGGTAAGCTTCCTGTACCTCACAACATGCCATGGCTACAAATTGAGGGCCACCACAAACACAACATCAACAAGTCCAAGGATGTTCACTCCACCATCGATCGTTACATACAACGTTTTGATGCGGTCCTCAGTGGTTATGGTATGGTCAAGGATGAGAATTGGGAGCGTTTATTATCCATGCACATTCTTGAAGAAGACTTCTCTTGGTTTGAGGATACTCTAGCTGATCGCCACTTACCTTGGTGTGAAGCTAAAGAGATCATCCGATCCCACTTTGGTTCCTCTCTCTCCCGCCAAAAGATGTCGGCTAAGGTGTGGACCCTCAACATGCGCAAGACCGAGACCTTTCGTGCTTACGAAAAACGCTTTCGTACTGCTCGTCGTGCTGGTGGCGTACCTGACAACAATGCTTTGGCGATGAAGTTCCTTGGCTCTTTGAGCAAATCCTTGAGGGTCGAGATCCAAACCATCTTTCGCCGTCAGAACATCACACCCAACAGCATCACCGACGTGGCAAATCAAGCACGTGACATTGCTGATGACTTCTCGGATGAGTCGGCTAGTGATGATGATCGTGGTCGTCCTTCCCGTTCCTCTCGTCGCTCTCGTCGTTCTCGCTCATCATCACCATCAAGATCTGCTTCTCCTGTTCGTCGTCGTGGCCCCAAGAAACAGCCAAAAAATGATGAGGACAACCCTCACAGCATCAAGGGCTGCAAGTACCATGGCGCCAAGGCTCACCACACCACTGAGGTGTGCAACCAGAAGGGCTTGAAAAAGCCATACAAACCTTCTGCTTCTTTACTTGCCTCCAAACATGCACCATCCTCATCAAGCAAACCTTCAAGCACACCTTGTTGGCATTGTGGCGAACCTTTTGACTATGGTCACTTGGCTGTTTGCAAGGCCTCTAAGGGCAAGGGTAAGGCAACTGGTGAGCGTGTGGTTCGTGCATTGCGTCCTGCTTCAAAGAGTAAGGATAGCCAACCTGCTCCTGCCGCATCCGATTCGGGTGGCTCTGACGATGATATGGATATTGATCAGAAGGCACAAGGTAAGCAGTTAATCAATACACAACATGATGATCCCAATACAATTTACTTACCAATCCTCGTGCAGAATGATCACAAGATTGCGGTATTCCTGATACGGGCGCAACTATTAGTACGCTTTCCACACTTGTTTGCAATAAAATTGGTTGTTCAGTAAATTTTGCCGTCTGTTCATGTAAAGGCTGTTGGGAAGAATAATTATGTTAACGTACAAGGTGAAACTGAACCCCTTGTCATCCGCTGTAACAAACGTACCATCAGGCATTCCTTCGCTGTTGTTGATACTGAAGAGCCGATGCTTGTTGGCAGTGACTGACTTGTATAGCAAACTTGGCATTTACATTGGAGGACTACCATATTCTTTTGATGAGAACAATGACTCCGATATCGAGGAAGAGATTGGCTGCATTGACGTACCCAATGACTCACCTGCTGGTAACAGCTTAGAGCGTGCTCTTCTTGAACGCACCTTGAAACCGCTCATTGAGGCTAATCAGCAAATTCCCAAGAACGCCTTTTGCACCGTACCTGAATCAAAGATTTCACTTGACACCATCGATGATGTTACCGAACGTGTTAAGTCATACCCTGTGCCTAAAAAATGGGAACCATTGCTTGATGAAACCGTCCAAATGGTTGGAAGATGGCATCATTACCTATGCACCTGATTTCACTGAGTGGCATAGTCCCATCACCTTCGCACCTAAAAAGGATGTCACTGGCAAACACACTGGTGAGAAACGCCCTTGTTTGGATCCTCGGCACTTGAACCGTCACTTGCGTGATGACCATTATGAATTACCTCTTATCGAAGAAGTCTTTGAAACATTGAGTGGTGCATCCATTTTCCACGCTCGATCTTAAAAGTGCTTTTCACCGATTCGAGATTGTCGAATGATCGACCAAAACAACCTTCTCTGTACGCAATATCCACCACATGTTTGTTGGGTGTCCATTTGGCCTCAAGTACATCTCGGCTAAATTTCAACGAGTCATGTCAACCTTGCTCAAGGACATGCCTTTTGCCACTGCATTCGTTGATGATATCGTTATCTTCTCGAAGACCATGGATGAGCACATTCCCCATGTTGAAGCTGTCATTAAAGCATTGACCAATGTTAATCTCGTTTTGAACCCTGACAAATGTCACTTTGCACAGAAGTCGGTTTACCTTCTTGGCTTTTGCGTGTCCGCTGACGGGCGCACACTGGATCACCGTAAAGTCACAAACGTGCTTGAATGGCCAGTGCCCAAATCCATCAAAGAGGTCCAGAGCTTCTTGGGTGTTGTCAATTACTTTCAACAACACATCCCCAATCGATCTCTTCTCATGGCTCCTCTTAGTGCGTTGACCACCAAAAAAGTCTTGAAGCCATCTGATTGGACACCTTTGTGTCAAACTCGGTTCGATCAATTGAAAGAGCTTCTTACCAAAGTCCCAACGCTAGGTCATCCAGATCTTCGTTATCCTTTTGCGGTCGCTACTGATGCCTCTGATGTGGGTATTGGTGCTGCCTTGTTCCAAGTCATTGACGGCAAAAAGCGTTACATTGCGTTTATGGCTCGTTCGCTCAATAAGCATCAACGTCGCTACAACATCTTCAAACGTCTGTTACTCGTTGTCTTTGCCTTGCAAAAGTTCCACAAATACCTTTGGGGCTCCAAATTCCAATTGTTCACCGATCACCAAGCTTTGGTATACTTGCACTCCCAAAAGCTTGCCAACGATATGATGGCTCGTTGGATGGCTACTCTCATTGATTACAATTTTGAAGTTGTACACATCCCTGGTGCCGATAACACCCTACCTGATCATATGTCACGCCTTTATCCAGAAGGACCAAGGCTGGAGGGGGGTAATTTGGATATCATCGGCACAATCCCAGGCGTCACACAACAATCACCAATGGGAAAACAGCTTGATAAAAAGAAGAAACATGCTATCAGACGTACGCTTAGATCTCAATCAAAAAACCAAAGCATGGAGTTGCCAATGCACCTCGATACCAAACAACCAACTCCATTAACAGGTCTACTTACACAGGACTATATCCCTGACATGTGGACACCACCACCTAATGAACGCCAAAAGATCCTTGATGAGCACCATCTCCTTGGCCATTATGGTGCGGATGCAATCGTTGCTGCTATCGTAGTAATGGGATGAATTGGACATCAATGCGCCAACAGGTTCTTGGATACAGTCCGCCGATGTTTCAATTGCCAGATGTTCAACGTATCACGTTCTGGTTTCCATCCTCTTGAAATCAATAGAAGCAAAGCGTCCTGGTGACCATTGGGCTATCGATACTGCCGGTCCTTTACCAACCACAAGCCGAGTTACAACTTCGTACTCGTTATGGTTGACATCTGTACACGCTTTTGTATATTAAGACCATTACCTTGGAAAGATGCAGGACATGTCGCTGAGCAGCTAACCGAGTCTTCTGTGAATTCGGTTTCCACAGATATTGCAATCAGACAACGGCACCGAGTTTGTAAATGAAATCGTGCAAAATCTTGCTGAGACTTGCGGTAGTTGATCACCGCCTCATCACACCCTATCATCCTCGCGCCAATGGTGCAGCTGAGGCATGGGTCAAGAAGACCAAAGAAACTGTCAGCAAACGTTTGGATGGCATACGTGGTGCATGGGACTTTTTCTTACCAAGCACACAGCTTGCATTGACAACAAAGTACCCAAACGTACCAAAGTGAGTCCCTGTCGCTATGTTCGGTCGTCGTCTCAACGCGTTCAAGGACTACCGTGCAGTGATGATGGACCATTGGCCGACTTGAATGTTGAGGACCCATTGAAAAAGAATCGGAGCAATATGGAGAACGTTCTCTTCCCCACCATTAGGAAAAAGAGCTTTAGCAGTACAGCAACCTGATGAAAGAGAAGTTCAACATGAAGCACAAACTCGTCGAGTTTCCACCGGAAGCCACGTAATGCTGCGTGACAGGTTTAACAAAGCTACCTTCAAGCGCAAATATGCAGGCCCATTTCCAGGTCATTCGTGTAACCAAAGGCGGCTCTTACATCCTTCTTGATGAGGATTCGGGAAAAGAAGTACCACACCGCTTTGCACCATGGGACCTTAAACCTGCTTCATTAGATGAGCTTGAAGCCGACCCAACCGAACGAGAAGAACATTTTGTGGTTGAAAGGATCATCGACTACAAGGGTACCAACCCCAACAATCTTGAATAATTGTCTGCTGGAAAGGTTATCCTCCTTCTGAAGACTCATGGATTCCACCGCAAAACTTTGATGACCTTTATCTCGTCGAACAGTTTTGGAAAGACCGTGATCCACCACAATTCCTTCACCACAGGGAGACCAAACGTCGGAGAAAACACCATGCATAAATAACGCATGACCCTGCGCTAGTATACCACCCAAGTGCCAACCTGGAGGGGGGTGATGTTGTATTCAGGCTATCCATCATACCCAATAAAGATCCAACATGTGTGTCTTAGACTTGAACAAATGATATCTCACATTCATCGGTTGCCACTTGGCATCAGGAACACCGATGCCCTCACACACATCCCTGTAAACTCAAGAAAATATTGGCTCATGGTGGCGCTTAATAGATCAATGTTCACCATGAATGGCGCGTCACTGTCGCCTCATTCCAGTTGTTTCACCAGAACAGTAAATGGCAATGTATCATACATTCCAACACATGGATTATCTCTGTATCAATGACTTTATTGTTCACCTTACCCCGGCTGATACAACACTCCTTAGGGATTATCTTGCTGGACAAAAAGCTTTTACCTATACACAACGCACACTACTCGTCATTGCCTTCAACAACGCCATTGGAGCGCAATTGCTTTCACAAATGCAAGCAGCAATACGATGCCTAGCAACTGTTTCCAGTGACACCCATATGTTTGAATAAATCAGCGTTCAAGACACACTTGAAAACTATCGTAAAGCTGGTTCCAGCAAGCATTGTTTATTGTTGTATAACTGTGTCTATATGATTGGTGCATGCAACTTGGACAAAGGCGAGGGAAAAAAGCTGCAACTCGACATTGCTATACAGTTTCATTGCTCATGACGACGACGAAGGGTAACAAGAGTGGATTCAAGGGATTGTATTGTAACGTATCAGTGTCAGTGAGGTAAGGTGTTAGAAACAAACGTGATGGTGGATTTGCGCAAAGACATAGGGTGATGAAGACGAGGAAAACGGGTTCATTGTATGGGGTTGTCAACGAGTGTCATGCTTGACATGTGTCCTTGTGGTTCTTAGTTGTAGGGATATACATTCATATCATCTATCTTTGCTTTATTGCTTCATTTTTGTATATACTCGTTATCCTTTTGGCATCATTCCTCATTACACATGTATATACCTAGCTTTCATTCAGCAATAAACCATCAGTCGGTTCTCTCGTGTTATCTTCTCATACTCGTTTCTTGACTCATCTTTCTCTTTGTGTCCCATCACATCCTCCCGACCAGTAGACATCCTTCATCCTTCTCAGCCTCATCCTGATCCTTGTTGGAAAACACTTAGCACCTTCCACGTTCCTGCTTCCTTCTTCATCCGAAACCCAAGCCTTACAACGAGGACGTAGAATAGAAACCATCTTGCATTAAAACCAAGGCAAGAAAACATACATGAGCAAAAGCACAAAGAGTAAACTATGGATCATAATCAAAGACATCAATACATGCATGATTTTTGGATCACAATGATTGTCCATAACGCACGAAGAAAAGATGGCACTTGATGGTGCTGTATACAATGACAACGATATACAAAGGCTGAAAGAGAACATGGTAAACGTGTGAATTTTTATGCATACACAAAGGATAGAGGTTTGTTGTACTTGTTTTTGAATATAGGTGCTGGTAATATGGCCAGGCACCAAGGAGATCAGGAACCACTGTTTTAAAACACAAGGTGAGGATGGCTCAAGACAATAAACCTATTACAAAGCAAAGCCTTGTAACATGCATCGTTCGTTGCCATACAATGGGACAGCAGGATAAGGATTTGGAAATGATTCGTGTAAATTTAACATGCTCAACGCAAAAATCGAATGCTATTTCGAGTGAGGAGATGTGATCAAGGTAGCACCATGGATACCTATCAATCCACCAGCGTTATGAATATATCGGCTTTTGGCAATATTATCCCTGAATTGCACAATCATTCAGAGCCATCCAAGCACATGCCCATAAACACTGACAGCTTACAAATCAAACGTTATGGATCAATCCAGTGGCACGGATTTGGTGTAACTGAAATGACGATTGGCTTTGCATCATTTTCGGTCAATTGGAGATTGTGCCTACAACCAAAAAAGTGACACAAACACAACGAGACAGGTCGTCATACATCGGCTGGGATGCAGTTGCAGGTATTGCTATTTATGCAACAGGGCTTTTTACATGTCCGTGGATGATATGATCGTATCAAAGACTGCAATAACCTCTACCACACAGCAAAAATCAATCGAAAGAGCTATACTTGTATGTTTCAATGGCTTTTGGTCTAGCTGCGATAAACGTAATTTGAGTTTGTGTTGTGTTCCTTGGTCACATGCGCCCCTTTTTGAATTACAAATACATCCCAATCACTGATCTGCAACATCCTCCAGCGGAAGCCGTTTCCTCGGTAACCCCCGTAACCTTTAGCATGCTGCACGCAACAACGTGGTTAATACTATACATCCATTTTTATTTACATTCATGATGGCTATCAATGTTACGATGATCTTGATGCATTGGTACATCTATTCAGCTTTGTTTTACATGTAGCCAAGTTGTATGCTTTATACTTGCAAGTGGCGGATTACGTGGCAAGTGCGGCTATGTGGCTATGTGATCCGCCAACACAATCGGGGAAAGTTTGGCCGACAAATGTGTGAGAGAAATCGTGGTACAACAAGAAGTATGATCTTCCACAACCAGAAATATCAAGAAAGGATCGCGTGAAACTTTCCCCGTTCTCCATGGATATATAAAAAGAGGCAATAATGCCTGATTCCAAAGCTTCTGTTTCATTAGTCTCACACGGATACCCTATCTCGATATTTATACTCACCACATACATTGATGACGACCTCTTCTATAAAGACCGTTACATCAGATCTCGAACGAAAAAGCCTTGATTCGGATATCAAGGATGGTGATTATGCATCATCACCAACAGCCACTGCTACCATTACAAATCGAAGACGCTCGGCCAATAGCGAGGTTGATCATGCAACAACAACAACGACGTATCCACGCATTGCAGAGTCCGCCCCTTTCCCCGCTCTTGGAAGTGTAAATGAAGTGAGCCGGATCATGAGCCGAGAAAGTGGAGTCCAAGCACAACCTAAAAACGATAATGCAAGCATTGCAACTGAAAAAGGAGGAGACGCAAATGAAAAACCATGGGAGGTACCGATAGAAACAGAAGGATGGAGAAATCCAGGTTGGTTTGCAGTGCTTGCAACCTTCCTAGTCAACTTTACCGTCTTTGGGAATTCATTCTCATGGGGTAATTTTCAACGATTGCAAGTATCCACATGCTATTGACAAGCACTAGAGTAATAATAATATGGGTATAGATATCTCGAAGAAGTGTATGCGGAAAGCACAACTCAATTTGGCATCTCGTTTATTGGCACAATGGCCAACTCTTTACTCATATCATTGGGCGTATTTTTGACACCAATCATTAGTCGATTTGGATATCGTGCTACAATGGCCGTTGGCGCCATTGTGTGTCCATTGGGAATGGTACTTGCAAGCTTCACAACATCCTTGTGGCAATTGTAAGGATAAAGGATTGATACATGGTGATGTTGAGTGTTGCTCATCATGTTGGATCGATATCGTAGATACATTTGCCAGGGCCTTCTCGTAGGCATAGGAGGTGCATTCGTATTCTCACCTTCTATTACCTTGCCACCGCAATGGTTTACCAAGAGAAGAGGATTAGCTGCCGGGATCGCAGTGAGCGGATCAGGGGTAAGGGCTTAAATTCAATACCAACAACATTATTCTATGCTCACTGGTCATGATGCATAAAAATTAGATCGGTGGTGTCGCATTATCCCCGTTGACAGTGCGCCTTATTGATGAGCTTGGATATCGTATGGCATTGCGTGTACTTGGTTGCATTTATTTCGGCATCCTTGTTATAGCCATTATCTTTGCAAAGAGTCGCTTTCGACCAGCACCTTCAAACACTGGTTCCAAAGGTCTTGATGCATTCTTTGATCCTTCGATGCTTTCATGGAAGTTCTTTTTACTCGCGTTATTTTGTTTCCTTGTACCATTTGGATACATAGCTCCATTCTTCCTTGCTCCTACGTATGCTTCAAATGTGCTCCTTGCCGATGCTTCTACTGGTTCTACGCTCGTATCCATCATGTCAGGTAAAACGCCATATTCTTAGACATATCCTCTCATCGATATTGATTGCTAACAATCATTGCAACATTACCAGGAATGAATTCAGTCTGCCGGATTACCCTGGGATTTTTGGCCGATCATACGGGTCGTCTCAACACCATGTTTGGATGCACATTCCTTGCAGGTACGATTGCTGGCGTTGTTATTACCACACATCAAATGGCATTAACGGCGTTATTTTTGTTAAAGGCATCTTTACAATGGTTGTGTGGCAATTTGCCAATTCATATGGGGCCTTTGTTGCATTTTGTGTTCTTTATGGGCTCACTGGCGGTGGATTTGTGTCATTGTTCCCTGTGGTGACTGCAGAGATCGTTGGTATAGAGCATATCCAAAAAGGTCTCAGCACGTGCTATTTCCTCACCATCTTTGGAAACCTCCTTGGGACGCCTTTGATAGGTTTGCTACAGACTTCAAAAGGATGGACAGCTGCCATCCAGTTCGCTGGTGCTCCCACTGTGGCAGCTGCGTTGGTCATGCTATATCTTCGCTTCATTGTCAACAAGAAGGTCTTTGCCGTTGTATGATCCATATTGTGCCTTTATTATGTATTTGTATATATGTGCAACCGCTGTACTGGTAATTTGTTCTTGCTTCCTAATAATAACCTACGGCTAGCGGCTGGAATTGCTCGCTTACCTTTCAATGACTTAAGGCTACCTATGGAGTAATGATCTTACATGTTTACACAAACACATTAAAATCTCGTAGTATTCATATTTACAGGAACCTGCTTAATCCTTTTCGACCCACAATACGAAGAGACTACCTCTGATAGCAGGCCATTCCTCCCATCCACCTTTGTTGCCCGATCCAATGCATATGAACTATTGTCCTGCTCTAGCCTAGCTTACCCATCATTTAACTTTCTTGAGTTGAGCTAACCTGGTAGTAAGCCAATGGCTGTTGTTGGATCATCATTATCATGTAAAGTGTAAAATGACACACACCCTTTTGCTATACGTGAGGATCATTTCTTTTATTTGCGTGTACCTGTTGTCTATCGTGAGGGTGATGATCATGATGGGTGGATGGTGTATGTGGGGTCATTGAGTAGTTTCAGTGTAATAGCAGTAGGGGATTTAAACTTGGGGGACAGCAGCTCCACGACTTGAGACAACGCTTCTCTTCTCTTTCTCACTCCTCTGCTTTTATTCCATTCACGACATTGCGATCAAGGTAATGTACTATAAAAGAGTGCTCTTGTTGGCTGTGAGGTGTTAATGTAGTTCTGAACATGCATTGTCAGGGAGTGAGTGTGTGTCCAAATGCTGAGAAATGAGCGTGGTTGGTGGTTGGTGGTTGCCATGGCGATATCGTTGCTTCTTCTTGTCCGTTGCTATTCCCGCCTTACGCTTGGTGTCAACAGGTACATTCAGAGTCTAATGTTGCAGCCGAACTGGTTCCATTGACGCGTTAGCTTGTATAGAGAGCAAGTTTGGTTTCAAGACGTTGGCTGGTTTGGCGTTTTGTTTCGGCTCAACTATGCTACACCATGGTTTTCGGTTTCCAGTAACCAACAACAACGGGTCTTTGTGTATATGGAAAAGGCAAGTACAATGAAACAAGCAATGAAAAGGGTGCTTATTGTGTGTGTGTGCTATTAATGAATTGAATAGATTTCTTTGGTCAGGCAATGCAACTTGGGGCATCATCATCATCTCTTTGGGTTCAAGTCCCAGCCTGTATCAAGTGGTCGCTGCGTCGCTCTGCACTAGCCAAGTGTGCTGGAAAAGCTTCTTGGAACGCGCCCAGGGCTCTATAGGCCTGCGTTTGAGTTGATGGGTCGACGACGATGGATTTCTGGAAGAGCATGGTCACCGTGTTGAGGTAAAAGGGGATTTGCAACAGCTTGTGAATGTGTTTAACCAACACGGTCTTCTCGTGACAGCCACGTTCTTTCCCTTGAGGATTTCTTTTCATGTGGTGGGAAAATGATTGGAAGGATTGGGGATCATTCTTCCTTTGGAGAGGATGAATGAGGACGACTATGAGCCTGGACTCTACGTAAGTGATGTCCTTCCTTGCCATGGATCGAACTGGCCTTGCGTGATTCGTGCAGTGCCTTCTCAAGAACAAGGGATCGCCCAACGTTGCTCGTATGGTGGTGATTTGGTTTGTGAATTCCTTCTGATTTGCTTTCTTCTTTTGAGAGGATCGCCTAACGGTATACCAAATCGTCATCATTCCGGTACCAGATGGTCTAACTTGCCTGCTTTCTTATTTGTAGAGATGACGATTACGATGATTACCACATTCACAACAATGACGATTACGATGATCACCCCATCTACAACAATGACAATGATGACGACAGCGAGATTCAAAAGGAAGCCTGCAAGATCCCATTCTTTTCAACTTGTGTATTTTTGGATGTTTGGTGTGACGGATGAGATTGAGGACTGGTGACGAGTACGAGTAGGAATGATGACGGAGGACGACTACGACGATGGTGGTGGCAATGTACAGTACATATGTAGCAAGATAGCTAGATGAAATAAAGCATTGTTTATTTATTACACGCTTGTTGGAGGTTACTAGCTTGTGGATTACATACTATTGCTTCGAAGATGGAATAATAAAGGTGGTCCGGTTATCTGTCATGCAAGAAGTACATGGCTTTTGTGATACAATAAGGAGCTTGAGAAGAGAAAAAGTGAAGAGATCCCTCCATTGAGTTTCAGGATGAGTGACTCATTCAATATGAATATGTATCTTTTTACATATACAAATTGGTTTATGCAGCTCGACCTTCTTCTACATGCAAATGTGATGCATACCTTGACACACCTTCATTATTGGATGCTGTTTACTTACGTACCTTCACAAAAGGCAATCATCATCATCATCCATTTGTGTAGCAACCTGTCAAGGACGCGTTTGTGTAACCACTACGTGCGGTTTCACTCAGCTCTTCATCTTCCCCGTTAATGCAGCCGACACCATCCACTAGGAAAAAGCAACTCCATCACGCTTACAGCATAGGTAAAACATAAAGACGCCTGTATCTCCAAACTTTACACTGAAACGTGTGGTTTTTATTAGAGCAATGGGCTCGGCTTGGCCAACAGCACCTTGTGTGAAAGTTTCGCGTTCAATGTCGCAACCACAGCCCAAAAAATATTTTGGAGGTCGTCGTCGTCGAAGAGGTGGACCCCCTAGATCCAGTTTGGCTGGTGGCGACATTGCGAAATCTGGGATTGGCAAGCTTGATCGTGAAACATTCACACAAGGTGCTGTTGGCCAAGCCGAGCCCATTGCGCTAATAAAAACCCCACGTTTCATTGTAAAGTTTGGAGATACAGGCACCTTTATGTTTGTGAGCGTGATGCTATATGAGAAGTGGTCTTTGTTTAATGTAAAGTAGTATGGCTATAATAGAGCAAAAGATGCAGAAGGACCTCTTTGGGTAACTCAGCTAAAAAGTCAGGACTTCAGGGACAATGCATGAAAGGTACGCAACCCTCACTTTTATGTCATACATTGGCAGCTAATAGCCACTCTTGTGCATTCCCAACTTTTGTGCATTCTATTGTAGGTGGACGATGCTCCTGCTCTAGACATTCATTTCCATGATTAAAGTAGGTTGATCCGAGCTGATTTGGTTGAGTTACGCTCACACAAGATTACATCGGTTGAGCTACATCGAGCGTGCTTGATGTCCAGAGTGATGTAATCTCTCTTTGACAGCAGCTCAGTCAAATCAGCTCGGATCAACCTACTTTAATCATGGAAATGAATGTCTGGAGCAGGGGCATCGTTCCCATGCAGTGGATCTCGCAACAATGATGATTGGACAAAAGTGGCCGTTAGCTAGCAACACATGCCTGTTCCTAGATGATCCATAAAGTAATTATACATTGACCCTTTCATTCATGCAAAAGTAGCTGTGTTACACAACACGACCCTCTGCATCTTTTGCTCTGTCAGGGCCTAGCTACATTACATTAAACAAAGACCACTTCTCATATAGCATCACGCTTACAAACATAAAGGTGCCTGTATCTCAAGATTTCACAATGAAACGTGGGGTTTTGAATAGAGCAATGGGCTCGGCTTGGCCAACAGCACCTTGTGTGAAAGTTTCACGTTCAATGTCGCAACTGGCCCAAAAAATATTTTTTTGGTGGTCGTCGTCGAAGACGTCGACCCCCAGATCCAGTTTGGCTGGTAGCGACATTGCGAAATCTGGGAATGGCCACGATGAACTTCGTACTTTGACACAAGATCGCTTTGACTCAGCCGAGCACATTGCTCTATTCAAACCCCCACGTTTCATTGTAAAGTTTGGAGATACAGACACCTTTATGTTTGTAAGCGTGATTCTATATGAGAAGTGGTCGTTGTTCATTGTAAAGTAGCTTGACCCTGATACAGCCGGAGACGCAGAGGGACTTCTTTGTGTAACACAGCTACTTTGCATGACTGGAAGGATTGATGGATTATACTTTATGGTCTATCCATAATAGTCCATATGGCGCGCGCTATCAGCCAATTCCTCACAATCAGCATTGTTGCAAAATCCACTACATGGGAACGATTCTCCTGCTCCAGCCGAGCATTTCCATCATTCAAGTTTCTTGATCCGAGCCGATTTGACTGAGCTATGCTGGAACAGCAAACATGAAAATTAATGAATCGCAGACCCTGCGAATGTCTCCGTCTTTCAAACTTTTGGACGCTCGCATTTTAAAGTTTCAAATGAAACGTGAAGTTTTTATTAGAAAAAGTTGATCAGCATGCTCGAGAGCACCATGCTGACCAATTTTCAAGTTGGAGGTGGGCAACTTCGGGGCGGTGGACCGTCCGCTCCTTATTTCCCATCATCCACCATTTGGACACCCCCGCATTTTAAATCTTCACAATGAACCCTGCGACTTTTAAATGAATGAAGTTGATCAGCATGTCCCAGCGAACCTTCTGACCCAGTTTCACGTTCGAGATGAGGAATCCCAAGGTAATACATACTATTTCGCTAAATCATGAATCTGGCGCTGACCAGCTTTCCGACCTCCATAGTAAATCCCACATTGTACCCTCCCATTCGATTTTCTCAAATGAAACATGAGGTCTTTTTTTAGAACATCGTGATCAGCATGCCCAAGAGCATCTTGTGTGAAAGTTTGAGGTGCGAGAGGGGGGTGATCTCAATATCAAGGTTTGATGTACAGTGTTCATGCATTTATACAAGAGGTGTCCAACCTATTTAATTCCCACTTCTTCCACTTCAGCTTCCTCCCTCTTCCTCCCATTCTCGACTGTTGGTCCATTCAAGTATACAACTACCACCTGCGAACGATTGTCCTGCTTCAACCTATCATGCCAACCCTACGATTGTCTTGATCCCGTTGTCATTGGCTGAATGGCAAGTCCATGGCGTGTGCACCCCACTACAACGCTTGCATTTCTCGACACACACCTTCTCACTTGTACATGCCTCTACCTGGACCAAGCGTAACATTGTTCGTTCCCGCAATTGCCATTAGCAAGGCCTTTACTCCAATTGTTTCAAGTTACTTGCAGCAACTTGGGCCTTACAGGCTCTTTTTCGTGAACAGGCAGATAGCCAGCTATATATAGAAGCAGCTTATTTACGTGTAGCAACTTGCTTCAATACATACATATTACCATGGAAATGGATATGGATATTGGTTTGGTATATGGGTTGGAAGGACTTGGATATGCAACGTGTGGTTAAAGAGCCTTTGTTCTTATGTATCCATTTTCACTTGACTTTGATGTTATCATCCTGAACGATTGATACATCCATTTACACGCTATTCCATGAGAGCTATTATGATCATCCTTTGGACAACTTGTCAACCGTATATAACCATCATCATCTAATACCATGCTTTGATTCACCATTCATTCACCTTTGCACAATGCACGCCCAAAGGACAGGAACTTCTCAAATCGATGTACCTCCTATTACAGCAATCCATCTCTTGTGAATGCTGTTGGATTGAAAGGTTACTTTAGCGAATACGAGGTTCCGTTGGCCAACACATTTATAAGTTTCTATAAAGCCTTCCTTCATACTCAGTTGGATCCCGTTGTGTGTAAGCATGGGATGCATTGTATTATAAAAAGATTTATGAGAAAGGGCTGATTGATTCATTGTGCCTTGAACAAAGGACTATAACTCTTCTCCCTTTTTGGATGATCAGATCTTGTCAATAACATCGTAACACGCGTTCCTCCTTGGTGATCCATATCTTATAAGAACATACAACATCATCAAACAACGTTCGCTTTATTATATAAACCGATTTATTAGAAGGCGCTGATATATACAAGGGTTGCCCATTCATGAATAGAAATCAGTGTTGATATTGATAGGTGGATAAAAAGTGGTTAATTCGAAGATGAGGAGGATGATGGCATGACCGCCTTCTTCATGAATTGGAGGAAACGTCTTCCATAAGCTGTGGGTGGAACGGCAGAGATCCCATACTAAGTCAATCAAATTGGCATTAATCACGTTGCACTCTCATTCCACGTCATTGGTACCTTACCTTATCTTGGGTAATGCTCTTCCATATGTGCTCGGTTTTCTTCACCATGTTATAAGGAGTAAGGATATCAATGATGCCAACAAAATAAAGCGATAATCCAGGTAGATTGTGCTCATCAGTTGATTGAAAACCACCATCGTCTGCATAAAAGATGCACCAGCGGCGTCTGTAATAGTCACCATACATCAGCACATGCCCATAGCTGATTACAGCATGCCATACTTACTCCTCGGATGGGGACTCTGGTAATTCTGAACTATCCAATTGTACCGGACTTGTATTCCGTAATGCCTTTCGTACGATATCAGCATTGCTTCCTCGACGACTTGAGCCGCCGAATGACATTTGTCGTTCCATATGATCGGTCTATCATCCCCTAATAAGAACATGACAAAGTATGGGTATCCCAGAGTATTTACCTTGACCACATGAAGTTGATGATCACGAATGCCTTCAGCGTTGCCCCGTCTAAGATCATGTATGCCAATCAACAAGCTATAATCCATGATGTTGAGACGTGTCAACAGCTATTCAATGTAAGACATGTTAGGATGGAAGAGACACACACGCAACTGCCTTGTCATAAACGAACCTCAACGTCACGATCAAGCTGCTTCAAAAACAAGGATCGTTTCTCAGGTCCAAGTCGAAGCCGTTCTCCACGAGTGATCCAATTCTGATCCTTGAGCGTCGTACCTGGATTTTTCTCGAGTTCTTCTTCAGGGGTAAGACGACCAAAAGTTGAGCCCTTGAGATCAAAAGTCAAATGGACATCCTTGCTGCCTGGAAAGACATTTCCCATAACGATAAAATGCGTCTTGCGACCACGAGGTAACTTGATGCGATGAAGGCCGTAGAAGCGTGAAAGCAGGGTGTTGGGATTTTGACATACATGCTAGCAAAAAAGTTGTTAATCACACGTGGGGGCATAGATACCTCCTCTTCAACTTACATTGTAATAATCCTTGAGCACCTTTCGTAGGAATCGATGTTCAGTGTGATGAATGGTCTTGATAATGAAACGATAATCCCTTGAATAATAAAAGAAACTTCCACTCTTTCCTGGAGACGTCAATTCCGACAAGATGTATTTGTTGGTCAACGACATCTACTCGCAGCGGGAGGGAGGAAGGGAGGGAGATGGAATCGATTTTCCTGTCAGAAAAGAGTTGACCGCTTGAAAGCAAACCAACACACACACAATGACCCAGATTCACTCACCATATAATCAGCAGCATCGACATGAAACTTTTCACGTAAATGGCGAAAGACCCAAGGTGCATAATCCTTAAACTTAAAGTCGTACTTGACCCCTGGCGTAAGCTCATTCCCAGTGCTAAAACGAGGATTGAGTGACACTTGATCCATTTGATAGAATGAATAATAATACTCACATGTCAAACACCAGCTTGTGAGCAGCTTTGAAGTCCTCATCTGTCAAATCGCGCCACATTTTGGCAGAGACCCGCCCCACCTAAATACCCATATCCATGATCGGTATCCTTTTCTTTTCAACATGCAGCATGACAACCAATCACTTACCGCGATGCGTATACCTGTCAGCATGTCGTACCTATACCAACAAGAACAATGAATATCGTTGTTGTAGAATCAAGGAGACACAATACTCACATGAGCTGGTAATTTCGATGACCTTCAGCGATACGAGTGCCGATACGGATATGATCCTGGTGATCATCTTCATCATCTGTGTCTGCATAGGTGCGTCGTTTACGAGTAGAAGCACGACGAGCTGCACGACGAGATGCGATCTCCACTTTGAGGGCTGCTTGTTCTTCAGGGTCCAAATCCAGGATACTTGATTGACGAGCACGGCGCATAGACATGGAAGAACGTAAGGATGCCCGACGATAATTGTTGATGGATTGTGTAAACGTATGTCGGCCTGAATCTGAATCCCTAATGGGTTTTTGTGGGATATTGACTGGTGCTGTTGTTGATGGTTCATTATCATGGGCCAAAGGATGTAGAGGATCAAAGATTGTTGTTGTCGCTGCTGCTGCTTGGTTATCGCTTCCATTCTCCTTGTTGCATAATGGATGATCATCATTATTGGTGGTGGTATCATGGTGGTTGCTAGTGGTTGCAGCTGTTGCTACTTGCTCTGGAGTTGTTATCTGGACATCTGCTAATAGTTTACTGCCACCAGTGGTTGTAGTGGATGGCTCGGGGAATTTGCGCGAAGGGTGGTTGTTGGTGGTATGTGTAGTATTCATGGGTATCGACCTCTTCACAGTGCTTGAACGCGATGGAGGTGGAGTGGAGGGTGCAATGTATTCGGAACTTTGCTGCTGATTGACGAGGGTAGAAGACTTGAAGACAAGGTCAGGATTGGGTGAAGTGGGTGGAGTGCAGGGACCATGCGACAACGAATGTTGATTGTGGTGGTGGTGTTGGTGTTGAATGTCTTCCTCTTGAGTTGTTGATGTTACTGCAGACAAGCAAGGGGCTGAACAAGGTGCGTGCTGCGATCGATTTAAGGCTATTGTCATTGTCCCTTGCAGGAAAGATGTTGGTAAACTCCTTACGCTCTTTTTTTCTTTTCTTCCTTTTTGTGTTCGGCCCCTTGTTGGTTGGTAGTACCAAAATGGTGTGTGCGGAAAAGTATGCTCACACATGCATCATAGTGTGCCTGGCAATTGTCATGCTAGCGTCTCTTGGATATGCTCACCTCCATCACATTGCATAACTCCCTCTACTGTATCAAAAATCTATTACACTATCATCATCATCATCATCATCGTCCTCCCCCTCTTCCTCAACACCTTGCACCAATACTACTTGATGATAATATAACTCAACAGATCGCGATTTGGGATATACACGCATAAAAATTATACGCCATATGACACTATCTTTCATGCAGCAGGTTTCTTGTTATTCCCCCATCCCCCCATTCTTCGAGTAAAACTCTCCGATAACAATAAATACAATCTTACGTTGTAAATCGCTTACAAGTGCTAACAACGACTTTTTTCACATGAACCGGCCATCATCGCTATTACTATTCTTCATATGATTCCATAACGCATTTACGACAGCTTGAATCAATCATGCAGCTCATGCATGATGACATGCATTATACCTCATCTCGATTTAATATCATATTCACAAGCTTGAAGGAGTCATGGTTTATTCCACTACTATGTTGATCATATGCCGTATTTAACAAAGGGTGTATGCTTTGATCATTATGATGGTACCACAAGGTTCCGATCAACAAATACTCCCGTAAGCCCTTTATTTAAACAGAGCTATCAAAGGTTGATGAAGCCGCAAAACCTTTTGGATGTCCAAATATCAACAGGGCAAATGCGTGCAATGAGGAGAATCGATATCCCAAATGATTCGGAGCGGTGTCGTATACTTCTTTGTCCATCCAATCCTTGAGGTCAAGCCCGATCAAGAAGTCATCGACCACATCTTTGCTTTGGTGCAATTCCCTGGGGACAAGAGATATCAATTCACCACACATGAACTCGCAAACCTTCCCCTATACCACATGAAACCGCTACCTTTCTCCCATGCTTGTATCGTTCCGGTACATCGCATACATTCGGGTGTCGTTATGATGCCCACTAGAATAGAAAACCATGCCATCTATTACACGCTGCCACGAAAAATAAAGACCACTTTTGTTAGCGAACCAAATATACGTTTTGCTCTTTTTGCTACTTATCGTTTCAGCTTTATTGCTCCTCGTGCATTTGTTCACATACCACTATTCGAATCAAGGGATCGGCTAGTGGCTTCGTTTAGCACCTTCTTGGCGCGCGAGCCACATCCTGTTTCCAACATTTTATTATTATCGCATGCTTACCATCATCATCATCATCATCATCAACGCCATCAGTTGTCGCCACCAATGAATAGCTCATTTGCAACTACACCCATCCTTAAAGATGAAAGGTGTGCTTTTATTATCAATAATGCATGGTATTCTTCAACGTGAAGGTGTTAGGGAGATGTCTACTAGTGGCCAAGATAGTGAGATAAGGGCGTTCGGAAAATAGAGGGGCGATGGTGATGTCTGAGGCTCAAATCAAAAACGCTTCTTGCTATTGCCGCCTCACCTTGTTCTTTTTCTACACGATCGCAAAATGTATAGTCAGCCACCTTTCAATGTTATGATGCAGCAACAGCAGCAGCAACAACAACAACAACAGCAGCCATCGCCAAGCAATTCGTCAACTGCAACTGGAAGACCTACCGAGTCAATATCGCCAGAATTAGGTGAGTGAGAGTCAAATGGAAAGGAGGCGATCGGGTTGCCAGGTGAGACTAATAAGGGTATCAGCTTCTATGTTTAAGCGTGATAAGGATGGACAATTGCTTTGGTTTGCAGGACCACCAGCTCATGTGACGCCTACCACTCAACCAGTGCACTCGGTCGCGTACCTAGAATGGAAGAGGAAGCAACAGCAGCAGCAACGACAGGATTAAAGTTTACGAGCGCCAAAAAGTGCCATCACAGCACACGCACACGCACACACCACTCTCCATAAAAGCAAGCAGATCATCCCCTTGGTTTCTACATCTCTCTCTCTCTTTTTCATCTCTCTTCCATATCACAAATCATGCTCTCTCGTACTTTGCTCCGTATCCAAGTCACTCGTCCTGGTGCTATCTCTGTAGTCAACCGAACTTATACCGCTGTACCCACCATGCCATCATCATCATCCGTGCTGGGTAGGGAACATCAAGCTCAAGACCATAGTGGCCATGCCCAAGAACACAATCCTATTCAGGCTCTCTATAACAAGGAAAATGAATCTATGTTTGCACACCATGTGGACCATCATTTTGATCAACATAGTACCCAAGCTCCACGTTCACTTTCAGATGATATTCATGGCAGTAGTGACTCTTTCAGCCCTTCATTCAACACCGTGTTTGACGAGTAATCACGACGCTTCCCTATCTCTCTTAATGTATATATTGATTTTAACCCCTTTCCTCTTTTGCATTGTCAAACGCTTTTTATCATGATGGATGTGTGTGTCGCGAATAAAATGGATACCAAAAACCCAGAGAGTTGTGGGGCCCCTTGTTGCAAAAGGATCATCCTCTCCTGAGATATGATTGTGGATTGTGTCGGTTCAAATGAAAACTCTAATAAAACTTCTGGAAAGTCATCTTGCAGCAAAAAGGCGTTTACAGGCTGTTCTTGGCAGGGATGAATAATAGGATGCGGATATAGAATAACCATGGAGGGTCATAACATAGCTAGTTAAAACACACACTGCTTCAAAGAGGGCAGCTAAACGTATCACTTGCTATCTAATTTGTGCCTGTTTGAGAATCAAGGGTGAAATGTACCATCATTCCTCGATGCCATTGGTGCGAGTTGTGAGAACAAAAGGGGCAAGTGTCATCCATGCCTTGTCACAAGATCCAAACACACACACACACACACACACACACACACAAGCTTTGTTGAGTAAGGGGCGTAAAATGCAAATCAAGAACATTCTGTGTCAGTACAGGGCGGCACAAATGCATTCACAATCCAATCATGAATGGCTATGAGCAACGTGTGAACTGTATCCAGGTATGCCATTGGTTGCCAAGCAGCTGTTGACAATGCACATTGCTGCTGCTGCATGTTTAGGTTTATCGTCAACAACGCACACACACATATAACAGCTCTACTTGCCACAAACACACTTTTGGATCATGATGATATCGATAATGTATTAGATTTTGTAACGAATAAATGGATGGATGGATGGTTGCTATACAGTAACTATGCAGTTGAAAAGGTGTAGAATAGCCGTAACCCGACCGACCAATCATCCACAGTAACGGCCACCATGGAGTAGAGAATCGAAGATAGAATGAATAATACCCCCATTACAGCATTCGCCTTGCCCCAAAATGACTCGTACGGATTGCGTCGACCAGCACAACAGCATGCACCCATAAACCAAAGTAATGGACATACCCTATCATTCAAGATTGAGTATACCTCTCCTACTACATCATCACCACGATGAAAGTCCTTTACCATCCCAATACAAAGAAAATGATTGCCGTAGGAAAACGTCGTTCTGCAGTATTCACATAGATTCGATCCCTAACACCTGATCTTCCTTGATAATGGTATCGTTGTTGTGTTGCTACTGGGAATGTCTGATAGTGATAATATGGACGAGGGTGTTGTGGTTGTGGTTGTAATACACCAGCTACTGGTTGTTGATGAGAAGAGAGCGGTGGAGGTATAGTTGGATACAAATGACTTTGCTGTTGCTCATTTGAAGGGAGTGGAGGTGGTTGTTGCTGTGGTGGTGATGAAGACGAGGCATTGCCCTGGTAGAACCTAGGATTGTACGCTGCATTTTCACTCTCGTCGTACGATGGTGGTGGGTCTAGATCGTGATCGGGTGGATTGCGCTCATTCGTTATTTTGCCCATGGTTGGTTGAGAAAGTCTTTTTACAAGAGTTGGAAGAGAAAGTTAATGCAGCGGGCGTGACACTTATCACCCGGTCTTGGCAATCACCCGCTGCCAAGAATGTTATGCCGACCAGCACACACACCCACACTACCAAGACAAATCATTCATAGTGACAGTATTGGCTCATTGATCCCATATGGCTATATCGACACAATGAAATGTGTTGCACAAATGTTATGCCATGTGCACCATGTGGCAGCAGGGTCCTCTTCTCTTTTCTCTCCGCATATAAACGCCAACATGGTTTATGCTTTGTGTACACCACACACGCAGTTAAAGTTCATGGTGGATCGTCCCTTTCTTCTCCTCTTTTGGATTATTTCTTCATCTACCCCCCTTGCACCACCACCAAGGAGTGCATTTTTAGCATCATGTCGTCATGGATCAAGGTGTTTAATAGCTGTACAACAGCTCATTTCAAATACATTATTAGATTCATCATCATAGAATGCGATGATCGATAAAGTAGGATACATTCACCAGTAATATCGTTACTAAGGTCATGTCAAATGGCATGTTTGTTGATGATTCTAATAAATGCTTTCTCCTTCTCCTTGGTTGGTCCGGAACATCTTCTTCTCCTCTTCCCCCACATGACGCGTCAATTCTGAATAATGAAAATCATGGCGTTAACCATGAAATCAGAAGAATGTGCATGATGCTGCGCATTTAGAGCGAAAATACAGTCCATCCATAACAACAGCAGCACATCACATGATGCTTTTGGCATCACTCTTTACTTGAGCAATGCATTGACATCTCTTTTTTCAACCTTTGCCACCATCATGTAATGATAATCCCTCTTTCTTTTTGCCATCGTATCCTAAGCGGCGACAATTTACTCCTTGTAAATCGACAACCATTATTCAGTGCGATAATCCACTAGCAATCTGGTAGAATAAAAGGACCGAGATCGAGCGATGACTAACAAAGGAGAATAAGAGAGAGCGAGGAGAGGAGGTAGCTGTTCATCATCATGTAGGAGAAGGGGTTAGCGAGTATCGTGCACAAGCACAGATACCTGTCGGGCCAAAATGTCGCGTGTATTCAGACCGGGCAATAGCTATAAATGGAGACGATGCACGTCCCATTGACCCTTTGAAGTAGCAACAACGATCCGACAAAAGGAAACATCACATCAAAAGAGCCACATGGATGATAGGGGACAAGGATAAAACAATAGGAGTCTATCACGCTCAATTTTCATCACATCCATTATTCGCATACACTTGTTGGATTGTTGTTGTAAGAAGGTTTTTACTTCACTCTATTCATCACCTCCCACCCATCCGGTTTATACCAACCTATCACTCATCAACACCCAACACCACGCGACATGCCACGATCCACCCACTTTTTATTTCTCTCCCCCTTTTACAAGGAGTATCTTAATATAAAAAGATGTCGGCTGACAGCTGTCGTCTTGAAAGTAACGTACACCCATCAACAATCGTCATTTGAAACCAGCACATACTATACACAGCGCTCATAAATATACGCACACCCATCACCCTTTAATAGCTGCCACCATCATCACCACCACCGCTTTGGGTCATTTTTTATCCCCTTTCCGCCTCTCCCTCTCCACCACTATCCAAGACCCCCATTTCTATATCACTATTGTTCCTCCGCGGCAAGGATCTACCTATTTTATCACTGACACGCATAACACTTTTCATTGTTTCTTTTCCCTCTTTACCTACTACTACTATTCACTGCATAAACAATCGTTACATTCATCCATACATCATTACAACATCATGGCATCGTATTGGTATTCAACGGACGGCATGGATCACAAACGACTATCCGATCGGCACCTCGAGTTATTGGACAAGGCATTTGAAGGAAAAAAACGAGTGGAAATCCATGATCAGCAAGCATTTGGCAATGCAGCTGCTATAGCTGATCCATTTCTTGGCACCATGACAGCAGGCGATATTCATTACGGTCTTTACAGAAACCCAACTTTACGAGTCATGATGGATGATGATGATACAAGCATGGATTCGCTTGTGATGCTTGATAGCACCACTTTAATGCTTGATGCATATCAACAATCAACCCTATCATCAAATGTTCAGCATCAACAACAACGATATCAAGATGATCATTGGGTTCTTGTTGCATCAGATCGACATGCCTCATCTTTGGTGGGGCAACGACGGCCATCTGCAGGAAAGGCGGTACCACACCATCAGCAATCGGCAAGCAACAACACCAACAATCCTCTAGGGAGTATGTCTAGAACCAATAATCGGCGAGATGTGCCACCTGAAGAAGAATGTGCATGCTGTATCATTAGCTAATATGCAGCATAATGAACATACGGCTTGAACATATGCACTTCACCATACAAAACAACATACTACTACAACAACCATAATGGCCACACTTGCATTCACTTATCAAAGATCTCCCTTAACATGTTAATTATTATCATCACAGCAACACTTTTTGCTCACCCTCACCACGTCATCCACCACACATTTTGCATTCCTATATAGTTGCTATAGCTGTTGTCACAAATCGTGTAACATAAAACCCTGATAATCATTGGCATTGGCAGCACACAAAGCCTGGCTACATAACAACAAGAAAGAGGAGGAGTGAGGAGTGGCATGGTAACGGATACCACTGTTGCCTGCTTTTGGACTACAGGAGCTTGTCGTGTCCCCATCAACAACCAGTACATTGATCCTCGATTGGTGTTGTTCATTTTTTTTATTAAGAAAGATGCTATGTAGAAGAAAGAACAAGGGGGGTGGTACGATCTATCACTGTCGTCCCTATTGTCATATACATCTACATGCACAGCCACGTAAATACTTGGGTGTTTGTAATGCATGTTGGATCCATCAGCGTAACACGACGACATCAGTTGCCATGCCAACCCGCTCCAAGTCACTGGGAAGTGTCTCACTAGTATGTGTGGTATCCAAATGAATATACGTGGCAAATACAGCATACTTGGATCAAGCTTACCACGCAAAACAAAGAAAGCATCGAGAGTATTTACCCAAAAGGACTTGTTCTTGTATTGCCGTAGCTCACCGTATTCCTTCACATCATCAACCACTTGCTTTGCATCTTGAGCAGATATCCTCGCACGTTGGCCTTGTACTTGAGCAGCTTTTTCACCACAATCATCATTCACCTCACTTTCTTGTTGGTCCATGGGCGTCATCATCATCATCATCATCATCCTTCAGAGGTCGTCTACACGTAGTGATTCCACGAGACTCGATATCCACAAGCAAATCAGATAGTGGTACACCTGGTCTCTCAACTTCAAGGTCCCTAATGGGTTGGTCATTGGTGTTGTCATTCGACATGAGGACAGGGGTTGAAGGTGGTAGAGATGACAAGACTGAATTGCTGGGCGTTGGCGGTTGGAAAGGAAAGCAATGTCGACAATCGTGTACCGGATTCCTTAGTCCTTGGACAACGAGCTTCATGTCCCTATTTGCTCTTTGCCCCTTTGAACGTCCCGTTTGCTCACTAGTGCAGAAGTGAAAAACAATGAAAATAAAGAAATCGCTTTTTATAAAACGCGTTGTATCGCTATCCTAATGCGTTTCATGCAACAACAGCGTTGCACCAGCTGCCTGGTTACTATCCCGCTTTCCCGTTGGCAGTTACTATCTCCCTTTCTTATTGGCCAGAGCTTTTCTTATTTGTTAAGTGCGTTTGTTGCAAGTGGTATATGGCTGTGATGGCCTCGTTGATGCGTATCTTTGAGTAGAGTATTAGATGATGTTTTCCACTGTGTTATTTGCCTTTACCTTTAAATCCCAGAACATTCGTACATATCCCAGCACAGCGTGTTCGTCATCAGGATTAACAGGGATTGTACATTTATCTACCCGATTCATCGTAAACACACCGGGTGCAAGCACCGCGAAACACCAAAGCCGTATGTGTATACCTTTAGGAGCACTCTGTTACTTATGCATCATTATCAGCCGTATAGCTACTTACCATGGGAATGGACAAAGTACAAATTTACGGACTTTTCACTGCGGTAAAAATATTCCATGAAAGTAAGGATGTATCCTTGAATAACACGGTCCTTCAATTATCCATGAATGCACTTTCAAGACCTTATTCATGGCGTATTGAGATCCATTATTTGCTATTTGCAGCATGTCAACTTCAGCACCCGACGTAGACCATGGTATGTAAACCAACTTTTGCAGATGCTTCAAGGGGAGATAGCTATATGGAAAGCAACAAGGTGGCGTGTATGAGTATGACTCATCAAGCAACATGATCAGGATTTACCTTTCTATAAGGATCCAATATCACAATGACGACCGCGACAACAATAAAGCACTATGAAAGACCACAAAGATCAGCAATTACTCACAGGTTGAAAGATGTAATACATACAAACCTTGGAAATTTGACCTTGTAAGCAGTGAAAGAAGTATGACAGAGGAAAGAGACGTGTGGGAGTATGATGGGCGGCGACAACAACATCCTTTTATTATGCATTGTGGGCGTGGGTAGTAATTCTCTCTGTTGGCGATGATGCAAGAGCTGATAAATGATGGTCCCGCATACACCAGGAATAAATCTGAAGAGCTTAGTGCAATGTTGTCTATGCATCATACATCGGCCAGAATAGGGCAAGTGATAAGAAATCTATCAAGGAATTAATCACTTGTACGCCTAATGCACATGCCCATTATCATAAAGGTGACTTAGCATGTTGTCAATGTTCTCTTGATATTGGTATGTGTGTTCGGTAAGCAGCGAGGATGATAGGATCACCTTTGATATCAGTAATCAAGCATCGCCTGGCATTGCGCAATCGCGTTTTGAATAAAGGATGGTGCAAGAGACATGATGCAAGTAGCAAAGTCCCTAGTGTTCTAGCAGAAGCAATCCCCCAATCTACGTATACATCATGTGCAATCCATCATAAACTCCATAAAAGGAGTATAAATCTTCCATTGAACAATACGCATATACTGATGTATTACCACGATTCAAACTTGTCAATCACACACATGCACTTTAAGGAGACAAAATGTAAATGACATTCATTGTGCCACATGCTACCATCCAGTGGTGGTATAACAAAGAAAACATGTTCATTTTCTCACATCAAACAAAAAACGCGTGTCTTTGTAGCAGGACACGTGGATTCAAATTACTGTATCATCATGGGAAAAGAAAAAGGCATCATCAATAATGGATGAAGATGCTCACCCAAACGATAGTCATTATCATTATTTTGCTGGAGGATAGTAGTATTTGCTGATGTTGTATAAGAAGAGTAGTTGCTGCACTTGATGGATGAGCGTCATCGTGCATGGATGCTGCTGATGCGTTGTTGACTGATTCGGAACGAAGTTGACTGGCAGGGCCACCAGGTCGTTGACATCGAAAGTACTCACTACAACCATCTTTGCACAATTCTTGCGTGACGGAATCGGTGCATCCTTCTTGACATTTGGTTTCCCGGCCTCGACATTCAGCCACCGTCACTGGCCATTGATAAGGTGCACATTCAGGGATCTTGCTCTACCACAGCGTCGTCATGTCGTTAGCATAATAAACAAGGTCCACTCCTCCTTTCGTATATAATACCTTGCAATTGCATCCCCATTCCATGGTATCTTCTTTGCAAAAGCTAAAAGTTATTCAACAGCATTAGTATAATGGCATCCACAACGATGATTTCCATCCATTCAATTATACTTTAGGGAGACTTGATCGGAACCACCGCATTCTTCCTATAGTAGTAACGCATTGCATGAGCTTATATGGATCAATAATGTGGTTATTGGATCACACCTACGTCGCAAAAGTCAATTTGTTGATGGCATACATCCGATCGAGCTGTATCATTAAGCTCAAGGATTGACCATGTACCAATGGGAATCGCCACTATTGTAAGAAGATAGAGATTAATGCTTGTCGTCGGTGATGTTGGTGCTGCTACTACTTGCATGGTTGTGATATTGGGTCATCATGGCCATCCATTGCAATGTCAGGTGGCAAGTCAAGGTCTTGGTCATTTGGTGATGCCATGTCTTCATCTGATAAACCACCAGCTGCATCCATTGGAGATGATGCATCAGAGATCATGTCGGCTGATGATGATGATATGGCTAACGAGATCGAGAATAGAACAAGTAGTAGAGTCCAAGAGTGACGCCATGATGATGCGTTGAATGCATAAATTTGCATGAAGGAATACAGAAAAAAACGAGAGGAAAGGGAAAGGGGTGGGAGGATTAAAAAGAAATAAGCATCAGAGTATATATATATAAAGAGTGGGGTGGTCATTCAAGAAGTTCATCTTGATGTTCTTTTCTCTCTCCTCGTAATAATCCTCCTCGTGTTATACAGAAATCTCAGCTTAGCAGAAAATGATCCAAGGGAGGATGAAGGGGAACAGTACTTTATAGACACATGTGAATGCGTGTGAGCGTGTGGATGGATGTCTCAGCCAATATACGATTGTCTTTTGCAATCCCACCTTATTACTACTACTACTGGTATTACCCGTTTGATAGTATTTACTTTACTCCTTCCTCATAAAAGCTCACCCCTTCTTTCTCTATCTCTGTGTCTTTTCCTTTTCTCCCCCTTTATAAAAAAGAAGAATGACGTTGTCTAACCAAGAAAGTGGATCAATGCTTCTTGCACAAAGTATCTGAATCAGAGATCGACGCTACAGCGTTTTGTTTGGCTAGGTGTCTCGCAAGCTATTTGCTCGGAAGCTCAATTTAACATGTTGGTGTCTCCCATAACTGCCGGCGACTCTTATATCTTTCCCAATACACCCTACACTGCTCCTTCCTGTCCAATCTCATGGATCGTTCCAGGTGCGATAACAACAACTACAATGCAGTGTTTTATTTGACTAATGCAGTGGTCCGTCTATTATTATATACGTAGCTCGCCAACCCCTTCGAATCAAGATGCAGTGAACGCCAAAAGCTCCTCGTTTGATAAATTGCCGCAGAATTACAGACTCGTTTACGATCCAGAACTTGACCAGAGTGCAATTAAGGGTGCTCATCCGATACGACGCTATGAGAATGAAGTGGTACGATCATTGGCACCTTCCAACAGCTCCAAAAAGAAAGGGAGATTGACTCTGTTTTGTTGTAGGCATCAGGCACACCTCGAGATCCACGTGCAAGTGTTCTTGGCTATGGCAAAACGACGTCAAGAGGTAGTCGAAAATACAGGAGCAAACTAAAGAAGATTGAGTATACGGTAAATAGTGCGGCATGTTGGGCACGTTTTGGATGTATGCAACTTATGCCCCCACCTTTTTTTAGACTACTACCACCACCACCACAGCAACAACAACAACGACAGCTACCAACAGCCATCGCAGCACATCATCTGAACGATCTCATACACAACAAGCGGCAGCAACTGTGATTGTATCCAATTTATCACCATTAACGACTGAATCGCAAGTGGCTACCTATTTTTCCATTTATGGCCAAGTGGTGTTTGTCGAGATTGAAAAGTGCGCGACTACGGGTGGATCTTTGGGTATCGCCAAGGTCATATTTGCATCTGAGCATGGATCCTCATCGGCACGACAAGCTGTTGACAAGGGCAATGGACGTAAAATGGGTGCGTCAGGGCCCGTGCGCGTAGAGTTGGATCCAAGTGGTAAGTTTTGGGGGGTCTGGGATGTGGATGAATAGAAATTTCCATATATGTAAGTGATCTCATTGTTCTTTTTTCTTGGTGGCACAATAGGTGAGAAATTGAAAGCAGCGGTTGCACGGACACAATCAAAAACATCAGACAAAGATGTTGGAGAACCACGATCCTCTTCTTCGTCATCCTCTTCAGCACGTCCCTCATCAACAGCAGCATTAATCGACAATCAAAATCATCATGAAGAAGGCGAAGTATTGGAGGATGAAGTGCCTCGATGGTCATCATCATCATCATCATCACGACATGATAAAAGGCCGGCATCATCATCATCGTCATCACATTACCATCATCACCATCACCATCGAATGCCACCACGTGATTATCGATATGATGACAGAGAAGATCGACGCTATCCACCACCACCACCACCACCTTCTCGTAGTATGTCAAGTCAAGGTCCACCACCGCCACCCATGTATATGTCGTCTTCACGTTATCCACCACGTCCACCACCACCACCTCCACGACATATAGAAGCTGATCGCTATGGTCCACCACGTCGTCCACCAGGTCGTTGGAATAGAGATGCACATAGCCCATCACCAGGTCCACGTTATCGCAGCCGCAGCCGTAGTCGAAGTCGTAGTATGAGTCGTGAACCACCACCACATCCACCACCTCCACCAGGTTATTATCTACCACCACATGATCGTCCTAGTAGTCGTTGGGGAGGTGATCCTGATTGGGAACGTGACCGTCAACGTCGTAGAAGTGAATACCGTGCACCATCCGATGATAGAAGACGTGATGATTATCGCCGTTCAAGTGGAAATGTCGAACATCAGCCATCACTCACCATTTCACGTAAATGCTTACCGTTCATGCGTGGTGTTCTCGAAGATTTACGAAAGCTGTTTTATTATTACAATTGCGTGGATGTAAGTATGGATATAGACAACATGGATACAGAAGCTCATTCGCTTTATTTATAGATTTACCATGATGCGGATGATTGGTTTGTAGTATTCGATTCTGTAAGCGCAGCCAAACGAGCCATGACAGCAGCCAATGGACAACAAGTAATGGGCCATACATTGGCAATCACCTTGCATGATCCAAAGGCAACACCCTCTTCAGCATCTACAAGTAGTAGCAGTACCATACCTGCACGTGATCAACCACCATCCTCCATTACCGAACCATCACTTGCATCGGATCATAAACAACCTTCGCCAACAAAGGAACCTGCACGTGATCTTCCTATCAGCGAACAAGCCAAGCAATTGCTCTTACAACAATTGGCAGATGTATTTTTAAAGGATCTCAAAAATCGTGTGGTGGGTCCTGCTATCACTGATTTCCAAGCAAAGAGAGCAGCTGCAGCACATCAGCAAGCCAATATGACTTCTTCATCATCAGCTCCTTCGACCACTATTGCCGCCACCACTACTACTACAACAGATACAGCGGATACAATCGTTGCGAATGAGATGAAATCTGAAGAAGGTGTCGAGGCTGCTTTACCATCACTCAGCAAACTTCCTCGATTCAAAAAGAGAACGACGACGACAACAACAACCAATGAAAGCGACAAACCATCCTTGGGTATTGTGAAGAAGGAAGAACGACCACGACGTTTGCGTGATTACTTGAGCGATATGAGTGATGAGGCGCCATCACCAGCACCAGTGGAACAGCATACTACAACCACCACCAGTGATGATGATGACTATGAACAACGTCCCCCGACATCAGAGGTTGCCATGGATGAGGATGAAGTAAATGAAGAGGATGAGGAAGAAGAAGAGATGATTGTGAAACGACCCTCTCACAAACGACGAATTGATGTATTCGAAGAGGACGAGGAAGAATCTGAACCAGAGATCAAAGCGAAGCCACGTGCCAAGCCTCGACGATTGCGTGATTATCTCAGTGATGATGAAAGTGAAGAAGTGGACAATGATCATCATGCAGCATTTTTACAGCAATTACAACGATCTCAACATGATGAAGAGGAAAGTGACGATGAGGAAGATGTATCTCAACAAAAGGTGATCGTTGCTGAAAAGGATGGAGATGAGGATCGAGATGTGGATGTGGCTGGTACACCCGATTCGCTCGAGGAGGAAATCACACAAGCATTGCTCAGCAATAACAACAACAAACAAAGCAAGAAACGTGCACGTGTGGAAGAAGAAGAATACGAATCCGAAGAAGAAATCATGATTCCATTACCCAAGATGAAACGAAGAAAACGTCCTGGAAGACCTAAAAAGGCGACGACTGACAAAGCAGCAGCAGCCATAGCAGCAGCAGCAGCAGCTTCGGCAGCATCCACTTTGACCAAAACTCCAGAGGAGATTGAGGAAGAAAAGCGTGCTGAAGAAGAGGCTGAGCGAAAGAGAGAACAAGCACAACGTGACAAGGAGGAATATGAACGGCAATTGTTGGCAACGGATGAATCGGACCTTGAGGAACTTGGCACCCCCGAAGATAATGGAGGCTCCGTACCACCACTACCACAATGGGATCCCTTCCAACAAGTACAAGATAGCGAGGATTACGAGTTTTTGCGATTGGCTATACTAGAAAAGGTGGCACCTCAGGAAGCAGCAGGTACGAAAAAAAAAGTGTGTTGAAAATGTTCAATTTCTCAGTGGAGCTAAAACCTCTTTTGATTATAGATGCCATTGTCATCATGGAGAAAGAAAAGAGTGGCAACAATGTACCTGCAGGATGTGCACGTGCCCGTGGATACTATGTCATCCCCGAATCGGAAAAGGCAACTTATCTCCCGAGGAACAAGGCTGTATTTGACAACACGAGCAGCAACACACCTACTTCAGGACGCATGACTTCACGTACCAATCGAGTCAACAATCGACGCCTTGTCGCTGGAATGGATATGCACAAGAAATCCATGGTCGATTCCGATATTCTCAAGTTCAATCAGCTCAAGAATCGTAAAAAGCAACTACGATTTGCCAAGTCGCCTATTCACGATTGGGGTCTGTTTGCTGAAGAACACATTGATGCCAATGATATGGTGATTGAATACGTTGGAGAAATGATTCGACAACAAGTGGCTGAAGAACGTGAGAAACGATACGAACGCTGCGGCATTGGTAGCAGTTATCTCTTCCGCGTGGACGATGATACCGTCATTGATGCAACCAAAAAGGGAAACATTGCCCGGTTCATTAACCATTGTTGTTCGGTAAGTGTGGTATTATAAAGGAAGGTGATCGCATCATCATTGTGGATACTCATTATGTTCATACACGTGTGCCATCCATTGTGTGACACGATACGTACACAGCCCAATTGCAGTGCCAAGATCATTGCCGTTGACAAGCAAAAGAAAATTGTCATTTATGCCAATCGTGATATCGAACCTGGAGAAGAAATCACATACGACTACAAGTTCCCCATCGAGGCGGACAAGATACCCTGTCTATGTGGTAGCAAATTCTGCAAGGGAACGTAAGTTTAGATGATTGTTATTGTTGATGTTGGGCTTGGGTAAATGCATACTAACACTTTTCCATGATAGGCTTAATTGAGCAAACTATACTATACCACCAGCAGCTGTTGTTAGCTTACACCATCATCATCGATATACAAGTGTGGATGTTTTTTTATTATTGTAAATATAAAAAAGTGGCGTGTCCCAATCAAGAATTCTGTTATGCACAACATCATCTTGTCCCACGTTTGTTGTCGGTCCTGAAACTCGCGTGTGTATGTGTACACCCAGATGACACAAAGGGGGGGGGGATAAGGATTATTACTCAGACCGCGTTTTCATTGTGTGTGTGTGCAAGAAAGCGGAAAATTAGGATCTACAGCTTCTGATTCTGTTCGCTTTTTCTTACATTAAGGTTCCATTTCCGCCTCCTGCAAAAGCAGCGTTCCGTACTAAAAGCTGGAAAAGCCGATGCACGATGTGCGCCCACGGGCATATAACAACCGAGATGATGCATTAGAAGATGAATAAAGCCGATGTATATATAACAACGTCAGGATAAGGAGAACCCTGTCTACATGCTATATGCACGTCATGTTTGTTTAAATTTAACCGTCAGCGGCTAGAGAGATGTATGTTGTTGTTTGTGGTGATGGAGTTGTACGGATACACGGATTTACAAGCGGCGCCTTGTCTATGTAAGTCATGTGTTGGTTTTTATCCAATGTGTTTCACAAACGTAAAAGTGGTATGTATGTGGACCGTATATGTATTTACTAAACAGCTATAAACTATGTAAAAAAAAAGAGAAGGGAAATGGGCTATATGTGTAGGAACAGAAAGGGTAAGATATACATCAGAACAAAGAAAAAGTATACAAAAGATTGGGGGTAAAAAGGGGAGTTGTAGTAGAGGGAATGGGGGTATATCAAAGGCATAATGATTGCTTCCCATATGTGCGTATCGTATCAATGGCATGATCAATAAAAAGGGTAGGTGAGGATAGACTACAATATGTGTGTGTGTGTGTGTGTGTATATGCGTTGGGGTGTATGTGTTTGTGTGAGGGAGGTTGGGTTGTTACATCCCCTTGTTAAGTTGCTCCAGAGTTGCTTCGAGGTCACGCACCCGTTGTTGGTAATTAGAGAGCTCTTGTTGAAGCATCTTGATATGGTCTACACTTTTACGCAAGATAGTGCCCTTATTGAGTCGAGCCATGCCACCTTCTTCCATGGTGAATTCCTCGGGTAATAATGTGCCAAGTTCTTGGATGCGTTCATTAATGTTGTCCCTTCGACGGCGTTCAACTAAAAGATGCATTATTAGTATTCTTGCATAACTTCACAGCCTCGTATAACACATACCAGCATTGTGCGACTCTCGTCGACGACGACGTTTTTCCATGATGGCTTGCAAGCTAAAAATACGTTATTAGTATCAAGCTGCGCATATAAATAAAACATTAAACTTACTTTGCTTGGGCAGCAATATCATCTTCATAAGGATCTTTGATACTGCGGTCTGCCGCAGTGGCACCCATAGTAGTAGTAGCTGCGCCCTGTGTCGTTGTTGTTGTATCGCCAAGACTTCCAACCAAAGAAGGCTGATGGTGGTGGTGGTAATGATGATGATGCATGGATGTATTGCCGCTAGGGGCACTCATGGCAAATGCAGGGGCTGTTGGTCTATTGTTGCTATTACTGCCATAGTAGTATGGGCTACCACTACCATTAGGCAGCATGACGTAGGGGTCTTGCTGATAAGGCTGGTGCTGATGCTGATGCTTGGCAGTAGTAACAGGTGTCATGCCGTCATGGTTGTACAAGTAATCTTCATTGGATGAGGACATTTGAGCAGCTGAAGGTGGCGATTGGAGTAAAAGATCGGCTGCGGGCATACCAGACACCGAGGATGTTGTGGTAAACTCGGAGCAGTCAAGATCCGAAAGATTTGGAGAGCTTTCTTGTTGTGGATGATGAGGCTGTTGCTGCGGGAAAAACATGTGTTGGTGTTGTTCCAGCATTGTTGTGTCGCCATAGCTCATCGTGGTTGAGTCCTTGAAACGATGACTTTCTTGCTGTTGCTGAATGTGATATAATGTTGGATGAGCCAACAAAGATGATGGTGGTTGTTGGTGACTGGGTCTGTTGATGTTTGCCATTGAAGGAAATAGTGGTGAGGGGAAAAGAAAGATGGGAGAAATGAGGGCTGGGTAAGTTTTGTATTTATAGGAATTACGATGACGAGGACAGCAACAATGGAAAAAGTGATGTATCACGGGAATGGGAGAAATGAGAAAAAGCGCGCGCGAAAGGAGCAACAGCTTGCAGCAGTGTGCTCGGTGTGACAGAACTCAAAACGGCTATGTTGATGCACCTCGGCTGATGGTATGATGGCGGGTAACAACGTAACTCTACCACAACACTTTCTATACCTTGCAGCCACTCGCATAATACAGCTACTGTATATGCGTGGGAGATTGTGACGAGAAGAGATAAAACACTTGATAGATGCATCTATCGTTTCATGTTCCATCATCATTACTGATATTATCATCCAAGACCAAAAGACAAGGTCGGCGATCTATCTTTTGCATTGCCAATCCGCCCGGATGTGTATGTTACATCCGTTCTGTGTTCCCTTTTGCCCATTGTTTTTTGTTATGAATGACGCATGTCGTCCTTCCACACAACCCAACAACAGCAAATCCCCGCCCTTCATCGTGTCACCCCCCATCACAACCATGTTTGTGTTGTTCCTTGCTCTTCTCTCTCATCCTGCATAACCCATTTCATTCACTAGAATCGATGCTGTGCACGATGACATACATGTGCAGGTGGTTTTTGCCCGCCTAATATTCTTTGTCTTTCCCACACTCTCCTTGCTCAAACCAACCCTTGTTTGGTTATGGTGCATAATGCAGGATTTAAACGTGTCGACAGCTCGTTGCTTTACAAAACGTTTCAGCATGTGACACCGAATCAGCCCATTCACTCTGAGATCAAAGCTACAGGGTTCTCCACTCATGCTGTGTATAGTAGGTACATCATGCTTTGTGTTGTTGGCAACTAGAGGGGTGAAAAAAAGAGATCGAACAATGTCATCACCACCATCATTATCATCATTACCAAACTATGTACTAACTACACAACCCCCGATCCAACACAATGTCTCTTCCAAACCCGCCCTATCTTTATTCTGCAGCCCGCTTTGCAAGGGGACCTATGTGTGTGTGCTAGCATCGGATCGGATGCACTAATAAGCTGAGCATTTACAATCCACATCCTTGTACACTCCATCTGCATGAAAAAGGAATGCCATGCGAGATGAGAGAGAAAAAGAAAAGGGAGCGGCGTAAAAGGAAAACGGATCTCAGCTACCATAAATAGGCATCTTCGGATACACACGCATATACACGCATACACACACACTTGCTCATCATATATCTTTCCGATCGTCAATAGGCAATGACATGACAACATTGTCTTCTCCCGCCCGCTGGACTACTCCTTTTTCCTCCGCTGATTTCTATTTCTAACCACAGCCCGCTCAACCACAGAAGCCCTCACTCTCCTTGTTTTTTTTGACGTGCATATTATCCATCAGACCGGTTTTCATTTGTGTCCTCTTTTCAAGGGACAGTGGTGGCCACTGTAACTTTTTCCCAAACCCAATTTATCCCTCCGTGTCCGAAAAAGGACAGGCTTTATGCGTGAAAGTACATGCGTTTGTTGTTATTGGTTCAGCCACGTTGCAACCTTGGATCTACCACCTATTGCCACTAGCGCCCCCCCTTTTTCCATCATGGTGTGGTGGTGCTACTAGTTGTAATAGTGCGATGGAATGAGAAATCATGCGTATACAGCTTACTTGTGAAAAAGCGTTGGCTGCTGGTTATTATTATCATCAGGCGATTGAGTTGGCTGATGTTGATCTCGCAATGATAGCTAAGCATGCGTTTTCCAATTCGGCGAGTGTGCACTATATAGAAAGAAAAAAGTGAGAAAAGCCAAGATGTTGGCATTTCCAGGTTTGGTGGTGGGGTTGAAAGTTGTCATTTTACTATCGGCTGCATCATTCGCCTCCTTGTAGTGTATCATCTCGCTGCCAACCAGATCCAAAAAGGTGCATACTATATCAAATATGGTATCTTCACCTTCACCTACGTAATGTTGGGCTCGATAAAAAAAAAGGCCCTTGTAGCTTATAGATCATCCTATTTATGTCAAGCCAAATGCGTTCTACTTCTTTCGTCATAGATGTATATCATCATCCTAGTGTTGCATTACGTACTTTGAAAGAGTAGTTTCATTAAGACCATAGTAATAGTGGTTTCCTGTAATCATCAAGAAGGCCTTATAGTAAAATGAATGCATTAGACCTCCAATTCCAATAGCTGTAGCAGGATGATAAACATTGGACTTTAATCGATAAATGTGAAATGGCTTATAGTTGAGGATGCGTAAAGTGATTGCTACTACCAATGACATGGGGAAAAGGTAAGACGTATTTGGAGAAATACGATAAGGCTTGTCGATGGTGCCTGAATCATGTAAAACCAAGCCAGAGTTAGCATGTGACCGCTTTGGAGTTGGGCAAGCTCGTCCTTTCTTGACCTCTTTCAACTTGCACATACACTATACTCACCATGACCGGTAATTCGACACTTGCACCACCGTTTACTCCCTTCTAATACGCTTGTAGACTATTTGGAGGAACAACAAAACGAATTGGAGGCTCTGCAATCCATATATCCCGAGGAATTCCAAGGTACAGACCAATCTACTGGTGACATGGGCCGCATCGCCTTCACTGCTTTGAAACGGAAACTCATAAACGTTCCTATACACAGAGATTAGCGACAACGAATTCACGATTGCCATCCACCCTGACGATTTGGAACTGGAGAATTCATGTATGTGTTATGCAAGCAGCCACAACCGCGTCAGTGAATACTCATGATTTGTTTGCAGGCTCTCTCTCGCTGCGTGTCAAGTATACCCCCCAGTATCCAGATGAATTGCCCGAGTTTGATATCGACGTGTTGGAGGGGAAGATTTCAAGTGACCAAAAAAAGCAAATCATGGATGCCTTGAAAGCTTCGGTAAGTTTATCGCTCACACACACACTCTTTTTTTCTTGCCTTTTGTGTTGATCATGTATTATGTATGTATGATATTAGGCTGAAGATTCATTGGGAATGGTCATGGTATTTACATTGGCATCATTGGCTAAGGAAGAGTTGAATCAAATCTTGGATGATACTTTGCGAATGCGTGAAGCCGCTGAAGCCGAAAGGATTCGCCGTGAGGAAGAAGCTGAGAATGCAAAATTCCGTGGCACCAAGGTGACCTGGGAACGTTTCCAAGAGTGGAAGATCAAGTTCGATCAAGAGATTGCCGAGAAAGAAAAGGAAGAGCGAGCAGCAAGAGCAAAGGAACTCAAGAACAAGTTAACAGGTGATTCATGAATGGATGAGGATGTCATGGATTGGATGGTGTGTTAACTCATGATGATGCGTTGTGTAATAGGTCGTCAGTTATTTGAACAAGACACTACGCTTGCAATGTCTGATTCCAAGTACATGGAGGAAGGTGACGAGTCTGTGGATACAAGCAAATACGATCGATCCGAGCGGCAATATGAGGATGAAGATGAAGATGATAAGGATGACGCTGTATGGAAACGGTTTGGCAACGAAGATTAGACGACGCAGTACAACAATAAAGAAAAGGAGTTACAACGCAACACAAAGGAGAGGGACGAATGTTGTAATGTGGGAAATGGGCGAGTAGTAGTGGAAACAGCCAAGGGCAAAGATCGCTATAGCAACAACATACGACACGCTTCATACGCATGTATATGTACATGCACGTCTCAACGCATTCCTGCAACGTGGCAGTGATCCGCAGTGCTCAAAAAGACCATGATATCCCAATACAGCTCCGACTTTTGGTTCTATTGTTATGACGGCAAAGCAGGTTGGTAACACAGCATCATAAGTGCATATAGGCTGTGTATTGGAGTGTGTGATACGACGTGAAATGAGAAACATAAACTCTATCAAATGAGTCCTTTAGTGCTTGTGTCCTCTCTCTCTCTCTCCCCCCCTTTCATTCTTTTGTGCGTGTGCGTGTGTGTGTGAAAGAGTACAAAAGATAATATTATTAGCAGTGGTGGATTCTAGTCTCTCTCTCTCTTTCTCCTCCCTCCTATCTGCAACATCCATAACTGCGTCTCGTTTACACGCTCGTGCATATCCTCCCTCTTTTTTTCTTTTCTTTCTTTATACAACAACATCTTCTCCCCCCCTTCTTTCCTTGATTCTATATTCTATTCTCTCTCTCTCTCTCTTTCCTTTTCCTTCTTTTAATGCCACAGCAACCATCACAACAGCAACAACGACAACATCAACAACAACCAGTGGCAGTTTATAGTAGTCTTTCGGACTCGCATACAAGTCGCGATATTCAACACTCTCCTCAACAAGATCAGCTGTGGAAGATCATTGAGAAGCAGCGCGTCCTCATTCAAGGCCTTCAAAAGAGTAATGCCATTCTTGCTGCCGAACGTGATGGACTACGCGACCGTATTGTACATCTCGAACAACGACTTGCTTCTTCCAACAAGGGCGAGACTGGCGAAGACGTATCAGTGCCTGGATCAATGACATGCTATAGTCCTACTCCACCACCTCGATCACCCTATCGAGCCAGCAATAGCAACAGCAAACACAATGATGATAACAGTAGCAGTAGTAGTGGTCATCAGCATCCTTATCATCATAATGCAGATAACACCAGCCGAGGCGTATCTCCTCCACCTCCACCTCCACCACCTTTTGACCGAAGACCTTCCACACCTGCATCTCCTCCACCAGCACCTTCAACACCTACTTCACCTCAAACCATCATTGAAAAGGATGCTCAGCTTTATGCTCAATATCAAATGTCGATCCAACGAAAGGAGAGTCATCATTACAACAGCAACAACAACAACAGACCAACACCAAGTAAATCAACCGATACAGCAACATCATCATCCTATTATCATCGACCCGAGTTAGGAAAATGGTCATCATCAGCAGTCGATGTTAGTAGTAACGGCGTCCACAAGATCCATCATTCTCGATCCAACATCAATGACAGTACGACAACGTCGTGGTCACCCTCCCCGAGTAATAGCAATGATGATGATCATTCTTCCCCTGCTGCTGCTGCTGCTGCTGCCGCCGGTGGTGAAGCTCCGCTGAGACTAGCCAAGTTAATGGATGATGTGATTGTCAAGGTGGTGGGATCCAATATCAAGCGTAACGAAAAAGGTCGTGAGGTGGTATCCTTTGTCATTTCTGTGGGAAAGCGTGGTGGTGGTGGTGGTGGTGCATCTGATACTTATGAAGAGCTATGGCGGGTCGAAAAGCTTTATTCGGATATCCTTGCACTTGATACCAAGGTATGTAATTGAAAAGGGGTGGAGGATGATGAATGATGATGACATTTACTGTCATTCAAGCATTTCATTGTGGCTTTAAGGAGATTTTAACAATGATGATCCTTTCTTTTTTGCTATAGATCAAATCCACCGGGGATCACACTATCAAGAAAAAGATGAGCAAATTACCCGACAAACAGCTGCTATCTTCTAATAGTCGTGCGCCAAACAAGATTGATCAACGAAAGGTATGTAATACAATGGTAACACACCCTTTACATGGCTAACTTTCTATTTTTGCATGAATTGTGGTGGATCCTTTTTACCCCCTTTTTTAGGTTGCACTCGAGCAATACTTGCAGCATCTTGTGTCTCTACCACATTCAGATATCACTGACATTTGTGAATTCCTCAGCACGAATGTATGCGAACGTGACGTATCCTTCCAGGTAACACCACAAATTTACAACCGATTTCACATGCATTTAGCTTACAAACTCCTTGCAAAATCTAGAAAACGGGACGTAAAGCAGGGTACTTGACCAAACGAGGCAAGAACTTTGGTGGATGGAAATCACGTTACTTTGTTATCAATGGCCCTGTATTGGAATATTATGAATCGGTAATTACGATAGGAAAAGGGGGGTGGTTGGGTGAGATCGATTGATTTCTAACATGTTTTATGTAGAAGGATGGTGCTTATTTGGGAGAGATTAAGCTTACCAATGCACAACTTGGACGACAAACCAAACCCCATCCTGCTGTGGAAGACATTGTATATCGTCATGCATTCTTGATTGTGGAACAAAAGCGACCAGGCGTCCATAGTAGCCTCTCTCGCCATATTTTGTGTGCCAATTCTGATGAGGAACGTGATGAATGGGTTCAAGCGTTGATGCTCAACATTCGTCAAGGAGGGGACAACAGCAGCAGCAGCACATCATCATCCAGTACCAGTAGAGCGGACAATGTCGGTGGTGCGGGCAACAGCAGCAACAATGGCACCAACACTAAAAAGGCAACGAAAAAGGGTGACAAGACACGTAAAATATCCAAGGTGGAAATTCGACCTGTTGCAGCTGCACCTATCAGTCATATGAAACCGAACCTTGGTGCGGACATGGACAAGTTAACATCCGTTCCTTCCGTTAACGTGGTTCCTCTCTCATCCCCAACTTTGGATAACAACAATGTCATCGATGAATGCAAAAGCCCAACAAGTGATAGTGCTCCAGAACCATCTCCATCGTCATCATCATCAGCTACGCTATCGACATCGTTACCCAATATGCATGTGTCACCTATGCTTGGTGGACATTACCAACCACAGCTAGCGAGCCCACCACCACCACCACCTCCTCCTCCTCCTCCTTCATCATCACACCAAGGATCGACAACTCCACCTTCAAGTACTACTTCTTCACCAACACCACCACCTCCTCCACCACCTCATCAAACACCTCCTTCACGAGAAATGCCGCCTCGTAGAAATTCCACTAGCAATGTATCAGAGTCAATGGATGATGATTCAACACGTTTACGACAAACAATGGGTTCGCCTATCCCCAATGCTATCCGCAGCAGTGAAGATTTGGTACTTGATAGTGGCAACAATGATGTATCGGAGCGTCGTATCAAGCAAAAAGCCAATCGTGTCACCATGTGGGGAAAGAAAATGTTCAGTAGCAGTAGTAGCAGTGGCGGTGGATCAAGCAATGCTGAAGGAGGAGGTACTGGATCACCTAATCCAAGTGCAAGACCATCCACATCCTCTTCGTTGGCTCCAACAGACAATAATGACACCGCTTCAAGGATGAGTAGCGTGCCTTCTGGTTTTCGTAGCTTCTTGTCAAGATCATCCAATGATTCCAATGAACGTCATTCAGAAGATAGCAATGGATCCAAGCAAGTCTTTGGTGTCCCTCTCGAAGATGCTGTGCGTGTGTCACGTGTTGTGGAAGGCTACGAATTGCCATCTGTGGTATACCGATGCATTGAATACTTGGATGCAAAAAAGGCAGTGATGGAAGAAGGCTTGTACCGTCTCAGTGGCAGCAACATGGTTATCCAAAAGTTGAAAAAGAAGTTCAATCAAGGTAAGTTGTATATACATACACTAAGAGCAGGTGGGATAAAAGTAACCTTATGATCATCTTTAGATGGCGATGTGAATTTATTGGCAGCCAAGGAAGAATACGATGTACATGCTATCGCTGGATTACTCAAGCTTTGGTTACGAGAATTGCCTACAACGGTATTGACACGTGAACATCGCGCCGACTTTTTACATGTCATTGGTATGTGCTTAGCTAGGAATACATTTACATCTTTTTACTCATGCTTCATGTATAGATCTATTGGATCGAAAGGATCGTGTCAACGAGCTTGGTCGATTAGTATCATTGATTCCATTGGCCAATTACACTCTCTTGCGCGCATTGACAGCTCACCTATTGCAAGTGGTGCAGCATTCTGAGACAAACAAAATGACGATGCGCAATGTCAGCATTGTGTTTGCACCCACACTTGGTATCCCGCCGAGCATTTTCAATTTGTTCATGAGCGAGTTCGAGTACATCTTTTGGACGACCGAGAACGGTGATGCTGCCCCACGTATGATTGAAAAAGATGAAAAAGATAACGAGGAGCAAGTTGCCAATGAAGAAAAAGGCGACAATCAGGCCGCACAACAACAACACGAAGAAGAATCACCAGCTCCTCCTAATACCACTGATACGGATACCCAACAACAAGACAAGCCAACAACACCATCGTCATCACCATCACCATCACCACCTCTACCATCTCTTCAACGTAATCACACTTTGAGGCTACGTGAGGAATCGGGTCGCAGTAACCGAAACAGTGTCAATTATATGGATGGTGCACCCAATGCTATTGTATCAATGGAGAAGAACGTGGATGGTAAGTGCTCCTCTTTTACACAACATAGCATGATACTTACATGTATGAAAAGGCGTTTCAGCTTTAGCCATGGATGAAGAGGAAGATGATGTGGATGATCTTGCAGTGCTCAAAACTAGCGACGAAGAAGAGTCCTCCGATCGGGATGAAGACGAGGTTGTTGAAGCTCTTATCAATAAGCGATACTCTCGCTTGCCGCCACCCCAAGGATTATCACCCATGCCACCACACCGTGCACCAACAACAACATCCTCCAAAGGATCATCTGCACTTCAACCTCTGCAACAATGATCCTCACACACACACACTATTATTGCCATATAATATCCAATCTGTATTGCGCTTTTCGACTTATATATATATACTCCTTTGTTCTTGTATCTTTCACCCCTCCAATGCTCTATTACTCCTCTGATGATGTACTAATTTCTACTATACTTTCAAGATAACTAAATATACATATTCACGGCCTCGTCTTTTGAAATGTCATGTACTACATGCTACCTTTGAGTAATTGCTATACTATGCAGCCCAGTCTTGTTGTGACACTTGTGGTGTGGTAGCAGTAATTGGCTTTGGCGCCAAAGTCGACTTGTTTGATGCATCATGCCACATGCTGGGAGATGCAATGATAGATGGTGGTGGTAAACGTTGTTGAATACGAGGAGGTAATTGATTTGAGTTGTTGTTGTTGTTGTTGTCATGGTGAGCTTGTAGTACGATAGGTGATGTTTGCGATTGAATTGCACATGATAGTATTTGTGGTCTTGGATGAAGTGCTGATGGTGCTGTTCTTTTTCTTCTTGGGGATTGAACAGGCTGGTCAACCGAAGCTATTACATTCTCATTGTTGATCCGTATCTATGCTGCACTGTTCGATTCCTTCCACACAGTGTATCGTGAACGTAAAGTAATGCATGTTGGATCCATCAGCGTACCGTGACGACATCAGTTGCCATGCCAATACGTTTCAGGTCGCTTGGAAGTGTTTCACTAGTATGTGTGGTATCCAAATGAATATGCGTGGCAAATACAGCATACTTGGAGCTAGCTTACCACGCAAAACAAAGAAAGCGTCGAGAGGATATATCCAAAAAGACTTGTTCTTGTATTGCCGTAGGTCGCCATATTCCTTCACATCATCAACCACTTGCTTTGCATCTTGAGCAGATATCCTTGCACATTCGCCTTGTACTTGAGCAGCTTCTTCACCACAATCATCATTCACATGACTTTTCTTGTTGGTCCATGGTTGTCATCATCATCATCATCATCCGTCAGAGGTCGTCTACACGAGACGCGATACCCACAAGCAACCGAGATAGCGGTACACCTGGTCCCTCAACTTCAAGATCTCTAATGGGTTAGTCATTGGTGTCGTCATTTGACATGAGGACAGGGGTCGAAGTGGTGGAGATGCGGACGAGATCGAGCTGCTGGGCGTTGCTGGTTGGGAAGGAAGGCAATGTCAACAATCGTGTACTGGATTCCTTTGTTCTTGGACGACAACTTTATGTACCTTTGAACGTCCCCGTTTGCTCATTAGTGCAGAAGTGAAAGATAATGACAATAAAAGAAGCCAACTTTTATAAAACGCGCTGTGCCTGTCCTTGTGAATTTCATGCAACAACAGCGTTGCACAAGCTGCCTGGTTACTATCCCCCGTTCTCATTGGCAGTTACTATCTCCCTTTCTCATTGGCCAAAGTTTTACTATCGACCATTCTTATTCGTAGTTACATACTTCAATCGGGCCCGGGTAACATGGGTGGGGCCGCCCTATTTAATTTTTGGTAGCATCTCCCTGGATCGATCAAAGTGAATGGACGCACCACTTGACATCCACAAGCATGATGACGATGCATTAGAAGAAATAATGCAGATGAAAACCAACGCTCCTGATGGACCACTGTAATAGGAGACAATGATAATGGCTATGTGGCAGGATGGGATTATTTGGTGGATGGCGTACATAATATGGTTCCTTTCCATCAGCATGCTGTCGGCTACTAATAGACCAGGTTACCATATGCAAGGCCTGTGTTTTGATTCACGGCACCTATGTATGCAACATCGTGTGGTTTTCCAATACACAAGAGAACGAGAGAGAGAGAGATAGTATGTGCATCAGCGTATTCAAATACGAATGAAAGAAGACGTACAAGAGCAAAATGTGGGAAATGGCCGTCCCTAGTCGTACTCTTGGTATACTTGACATTCATTCATCGATCCTCCATTCATGCATGATATCCTCTTCCTCACTGAATCCACGCATATATATGACCCAAGATCCATTAATAATGCTTGGGACTGATTCATCTGCCCATATCCAACCTACCGTTGGCGATCCTATTACCGTGTGAGTGGGGTGCTTTTGACTTGACACAAGGGTTCAGCCTTTATCGAATCGTTTTTCAATATCATGACTCATGTAGAGCAAAATAGCATACAGCAGCAATGGTGGTGCCTTATCTTTTGATTTGTAAGCATTACGTGATGATCATAATCTATGGTATCCATCATCATCGTGGCTGACGCGAAAGCAAAAAGATACAAACACACGCATACACACGCACACACACCCATGAGGATGGATGTGTATGCACTCTATATGAGCGTTATCGATAGTATCGAGGTGGTAAAACATTCAAGTGTTCAAGTCATTGAGGTCTAATAGGGCATATGTTTACTATTTTATGGATGTTCAAAAAGCATCAGAAAGAGGAGTGAGTGGTCGCACTGACATTCTAGTAGAGGGCCAATAAGCATCTGCTCAATCAAGGATAATTTCGCCACTTGTGGTATGTCATGAATGACACAGCATTACTAAATGATGATTGGCATGAATGGGAAAAATTAAATCCCGAGTAGCGCGGGGTTGACCGGATGCGTATATAAAGCAACTTTAGCAAAGTGCACCTCTTTTCTTTCATCCCACAATATACTACAATGAACACATCCACACCACAATGCGCGTTTATTGGCCTAGGAGCTATGGGTATCCATATGGCTAAACACATCCACAACCATCTCGTTCAATCGGGTCATCCACCCCTACTCGTATACAATCGTACGCGTGCTCGTGGCGAATCGCTTGCTTCTGAAGTCCCTGGTCTCCAGGTTGCCGACTCGCTTCAACAAGTGGCACAAACAGCCGATGTTATTTTCACTTGTCTTTTGAATGATGCAGCTGTGTCCCAAGTTATTACCGATTTGTTATCAGCGGGATTGAAGGAAGACGCTATTATTGTGGAACAATCAACCATCGCACCCACTGTTACCAAAGAGCTTGCTGCCAAAGTAAACAAGGAAAGCAAAGCACACTATATCGCATGTCCAATTATGGGTCCCCCACCCAAAGCTGCAGCTGCCCAATTGATTGTTTTGGCTGCTGGACCACAAAATGTACGCGACAAAGTCCTACCTCTTTTGGTACCTGCTATTGGCCCCAAGGCGATTCAACTCGGTGATGATCCCGTACAAGCTTTGCATATGAAGCTCACTGGAAACTTTTTCGTTACCTCGTTGGTGGAGATGTTGGGTGAAGGTATGACGTTGGGCCAGGCATCAGGTGTTGGTCAAGATAAGGTCAAGGAGTTATTGGATGCTCTATTCCCCGGCACGTTGATTCCTCAATATGCCGATCGCATCGTGAGGAATACATACAAAGACCAAATCTTCTTCCCATTGTCTTCAGCAAGAAAAGATGCCACCCACATTAAGAATTTGGGCAATAGCGTCAATGCAAAGTTACCCATCACTGATATCTTTTTGGACCATCTCAACTCGGTTCAAGAATCCGAAGGAGATCTCGATATTTCGGGTGTTGTTGTTGGTAATGTACAAAGGGTAGTGATGTGTTTATTATACAGAATTGCTAATGTTATTACTATCAATAGCATCAAGAAAAGCTGCCGGTCTCAATGAGGATGGCTCGAAACCATAGAAACAATGAAATACTAGTTTATGCGGACAATAATAAAGCACCACTTTCCTTTTCTGTATTCCTATCCCACACACCCTTTGACCCACTACCACGATCGCGCGAGATCGCGCTACACCCATGTCTCGACAGCATTGCATTTCTATCCGCATTGTTAATATCGATCACTACTTGGCTGAGCCTGGTCCCTTCGATCGTCGTTTCACACCTTACAGCGAGACACCATTGGACAAGGTGCCGGTGATTCGAATATTTGGATCGACGCCTTCTGGACAAAAGACATGCTTGCACATTCACCAGGTATGAGTGCGTTGAATGTAGTAATAGCAGTGTATTAACATGGATGATGATAGGCGTATCCTTATTTCTATGTGCCTTACAAGACGTCGTCCATAGATCCCGAAGATATCCAACGAGACATTTATCAGTTTGGCGCAGCACTCAATCAAGCCATTGCACTCTCCAAGACGACAGCTAAAAAGGATGCGAGCGATCAGCAGTATATTGCAGCAATCACTTTGGTCAAAGGTGTACCCTTCTATGGATTCCATACAGGCTATCAAATGTTCCTCAAGATCCATCTCCTTAATCCATCAGACAAGCAACGCATGCTGGATCTCTTACAAAGTGGTGCTATCCGCGAGACTATCTTTCAACCACATGAGGCGCATATATCATTCGAATTGCAATTTATGATGGATTACAACCTTTTTGGCATGGATTGGATTCATATCGACTCAATTCAAGACAACGATCCACAGCTTAGTCTACGTTTTCGGCAACCATTGATGGATGAGCCCAAGACACATGTCATTTTGAGCCAACATAGCAGCAATGAAGAGAGGGGGGATGTACAATACTATACAGCAAGGAGCATACCAGCCGAACTACAATGGGCAGAGGTACCACGTTCAAGCTATTGCGAATTGGAGGCCGACACGACTGCCATGACGATAGCCAATCGCTTGGAAGTGAAGCAACGCAATATCCATGACAACGAGCATACTGGAAGTGTTTTGCATGAGCGTCCTTTTGACCCATCAGAAAAGTTGATCCCTTCACTTGCTTGTATCTGGACGGATGAGGAGAAAAGGCGACAATCCAAAGGCGAGAATATGCCATCATTTGCTTCTCAATCATCGGATCAACGTGTGCCTGATATCAAGTGGGATATGGAACATCGATGGCGTCGTATGCTGGATCGCTATATTGCATCGGATCAAACAGTACCGGCAATCAACAATGATATTGCCCTTGCATGTCCTGAAGTACAAGCCCCTTCTTCAATGGCAGTAGACATGTCCCATATACCTTCAGCATTCGAAGCAGTCGAAGCATTATACCCAGATTCCTATTTCAGACATGGCAATATCCTTCCTCAGTCTCTTTTTCGCCAACGCACTAGTAGCGATGAACACCTCTTTTCTGATTTTGGATCTCCTTTCAATATACCCACTACCACCACCCGCAATCAACAAGAAATGCTTTTGCAAGCTCAGCACAGCGTTGACGAGGACAAGATTCGATCGTTATTGGAATCTCAATCTTTTCATGATGATGGTGAAGGAGGAGGAGGAATGGATGATGATGATTTATTGGCAATGTTGGATGAATTTGAAAACCGTGAGGATATGGATGATGCACAACAAATGGAAAATGATTTCCTCGAGGAACCAGATGCTGCTGGAAGTAGCACCGACCGATTATTCAGGTTAGCATGAATCGGATATCAAAATAAGGATGACATTGCTGATTGATGGCATTGATAGACCAAGGAAGTTGGATTTCAGTATTCATGCAGCCCAAACGACTGAAGAGGACGAAGATGATCATCAGCTCATGGTCAGCGATATTCCTCCGTCACCTCCACTGTAAGTATATGAATTACAATGACATGGGCATAAACCAACAACGAGTTCTTTAGACGACACAAGCGTAATCGCCTCTATTTGCCGCAATTTGATGGTGCAGGGGATAGTGATGATACAGAGAGCAACGACAACGACACCAATTTTGAAAAAGCATGGAGCAAGGTCAAACATCGGATCAAGAACAGCAAACGATCATGGGATTTTGTGAACGAGCCGATTGTGGAAATCAAACACGACGCCGCACTGCTTAATTTCATTGCATCAAAGAGTCAAGAATCGATACCCTCCTCCTGCTCCCCTCCAAGGGCATCGCATCATAGCACATCATCATCATCATCATCGAAGACAAGGACAACATGCTCTCCATCACGTGATATGAAGCGACAAAAGATTGACGATCTTCGAGAAGAGTATGTATTTGCTCCTCCTCCTCCAGTGGTGACAACAGAACGTGTGCAATATCAAGAGCCTTATTACAGCAATCCAGCTGATGTACCCAACAAGCCCAAAGTATTCTCTGGGAAGGAATTTCGGCTAAAGTCCAAGAGTCTTTGTGATCTCAAACCAGTGCAAGGGCGATTCTCACATGATCACAGCATGGCAAAGTCATCAACGCATATCAAGTTTTGGGAACCATTGGATCCTCCACCCACATTCCAACAAGTCAAGCATTGGTTACAAGATAAAAGCAGTCATTGTAAGGAAGACGACACAAGACCCAAGAATATTGAGCAATCTCAGGCAAGGAACATGTGAAATGGATTTTGGGATTGCTGTTGACACTATGTACATAATAGCTCGATGGACCTAGTAAGCTGAATTCCTTTGACTTTCAATTCAGCTTGACCAAGCCCAAAGGAAAGGTGTCATCAACACGCAATTATTTGGACCTGCTGAGTCTTGAAGTTCATGGTATGTATAATGAAGGTGGATGCGACATAGTATTAGCATGCTGACAAACGAGATATCAATAGTCAACACACGTGATGATAAGCTTCCCGATCCGGCACATGATCCAATACAAGTCATCTTTTGGTGTTTGCAGACTGAAGATGTCAATATTGCATCGAATGGCTTTCAAGAGGGGTATCACGTTGGGATCATAGCTGTTGGAGACAAAGTCAAAGTGTCAAAAATTGGTTTATATGGTAAGTTCACATCATTTTCCTATGCTAGCGCTTGCTAAGAATCCATCATAATAGATATCGATACGACCTATGTTGAAAACGAGTATGAGCTTCTTTTGACATTGATCGACAAGGTGCGACTTTATGATCCGGATTTTCTCGTTGGATATGAGCTCAACAACTCTTCATGGGGATATGTGATTGAGCGTGCTGCACAATTGAGTAAGTAGTGACCTTCCCTAGTAGTGATAGGATTGGCCTATTGATAAGGTGCTTTAGAAATCAATCTTATTGATGAGCTTGCCCGTATTCTTGCATCATCTGATACCTTGCAACGTGATCATTGGGGTTACCGAAAGGCTTCCGTGTTTCGTACCAGTGGCAGGCACATGGTCAATGTATGGCGTATTATGCGTGGCGAGCTCAACTTGACAAGCTACACCTTTGAAAACATCGCCTATCAGCTCTTGCATTGTAGAGTACCCCACTTTTCGCATCGTACATTGACGACATGGTACAAGGCTGGTGCTCCTGTTCTCAAGCATCGTCTCTTTCGCTATTACCTGGATCGGGTGCAAATGAATCTGGACATGCTCGACGTATCAGAATGCATAAATCGGACATCCGAATCTGCACGTGTATTTGGCATTGATTTTTATTCTGTAATTACGCGTGGCTCCCAGTTCAAGGTGGAATCAATGATGTTTCGACTTGCCAAGCCAGAGAATTTTATATTGGTCACGCCAAGTAGGAAGCAGGTAACATCTTTATTTGGATGTAACGTTGAAAGCATCTAGTAACCATGATCCTTGTTGAGTAGGTGGGACAACAACGAGCAGCCGAATGCCTTCCTTTGATCATGGAACCGGAAACAAAATATTACAACAGCCCATTGCTTGTACTCGACTTTCAATCTTTGTATCCATCAGTCATGATTGCCTATAATTACTGGTAAAGATAATCACATTATATGGACATGGCTCGTGGGACTGATACGTATGTATTATGATTAGCTTTTCTACTTGCCTTGGTAAAGTGCGTGCTCCAGATGATCCGCCCAGATTTGGTGTCAGCGAGTTGGACGTTCCTCCCGAGATCCTTGATCAATTGAAAGATGAAATCAATAGTAAGTGGATACCCCTCCTTTTCATTCATGATGGCTAATGGTAAAACGATTTAGTTTCTCCTAATGGTATTATGTTTGTCAAGCCGTCAGTGCGCAAAAGTCTACTTGCCAAGATGTTACAAGAGATTTTGGATACTCGAGTTATGGTGAAGGCATCAATGAAGGAATATAAAGATGACAAGGTATACATCAAACACAAATGAAAAGGCGTTGTAGCAAAGGTTCACATGATGCATGTATTTTATAGGGATTGCAACGCCTTTTGGATGCAAGACAGCTTACCTTAAAGTACATCGCCAACGTCACCTATGGATACACGGCTGCCACCTTCTCTGGCAGGATGCCAGCTGTCGAGATTGCGGATAGTATTGTCCAAACAGGTCGTGAGACCCTTGAAAAGGTGAATATTGGATCATGCAAAGATAATGTTGCCACCAGACGCACTGATTTCTTTTGCTATCTCTATTCTCTGTAGACAATTGCCACCATCACACAATCCGAAAAGTGGGATGCTCGAGTCGTCTATGGTGATACAGATAGTGTGTTTGTCTACTTGCCAGGCCGTACTCGGGAAGAAGCCTTTGTAATTGGGAACGAGATTGCAGATACCATCACCTCCATGAACCCAGCACCTATACGTCTAAAGTTTGAAAAGGTAACATGCGATCAAATACATTTCTACGTGCCCTTTGTCAACACTAACACTGATACCATTCTTTGTTAGGTGTATCATCCATGTGTACTTGTTGCAAAGAAGCGCTACGTTGGGTTCAAGTTTGAGCATCCCGATCAAGAAGAACCAGAGTTTGAAGCAAAGGGAATTGAGACTGTGAGACGTGATGGGACACCTGCAACACAAAAGATTTTGGAATCTGGTCTCAAGTAATTGTGATTGATATGGCGAAAGTGGATGTTAGCTTATAGAACATTTGAACCCTCCTAGGATCCTATTTCGTACTCAAGACATGTCCGAATTGAAGGATTACTTGAAAAGACAATGGACCAAGATTCTATCCAATCGTGTTCCTTTACAGGATTTCATCATTGCCAAGGAGGTCAAGCTAGGATCATATACTGAACAAGGGAAACCAAATGGTGCTCGTGTGGCAGAGGCACAAATGGCTTTAGACCCAAGAGCTGCACCTCAATATGGAGAACGTGTACCGTATGTTGTAGTACACAAAGGCCCTAATGCTCGACTACGGGACAAGGTCGTTCGCCCTGAAGAGATTATATCTGACAAGTACGTATTGTTGATGTTGATGCTAAAATATTGGATGCTGACATTTACAACATAGCTCATTGATGCTTGACGGCGAGTATTACATACGCAAGCAAATTATACCCCCATTGGCGAGAATCTTTAATCTTGTTGGTGTTGGTAAGTTGAAGCAAATCTACAATGACGAAGATTCCTTTTTAACATGTATTTGATGATTAGACATTGCAGCATGGTATGATGAGATGCCAAAGCAACAAAAGGTATCAGCTATTGCCTCCTCTCATTATGCCCAGCATGAAGCACAGACCGCACGACGCATCGATCAATATTATGCAAGCAGCCATTGTGTCGTATGTCGACGACTAACAAGGAATGGTAAGGGGATATCACAGATGCTCAAAAAGAGATCTATATGCTTATTTCATCCTCTTCCCCCGTCTTTGCCATAGCCATTTGCGATGCATGTCAAGCCAAATATGCCAATACAGTGTACATCCTCCGTTCACGGCAAGCCGAATCCCAAACTCGCATTGCAGATATTCTCAAAGTGTGTGATACATGTTCGCAAGTTTCATCTACCATCAATGCACCCACTGATGATCGTGCTGCCATTGGAAACACTGGATTTGCCGACCATCCCTGCGACTCACTGGATTGCCCTGTGTTTTACGAACGTGTCAAGGCCAAAAATGATATTCGAGCCACCACCACATATGATGAGTTATTAGACAAATAGAAAAGAGGGGATGCTTTTCTCTTTATAAAAGTTGCATATGATGAATCTCTTTCTATTGTTGCTGGGGCTTGTGTTCGGCAACGGGTTTCTAGGCAACGAGAACCATATAAGCATTCCACTCCTCTTGCCATTGTATACACCCACACAGTTCCCATTACCTGTTCAGAAGCGACACCCTTGGACCACTTGGCAAACTTGAGGTTGTTTTGGTTACGGGCCTCAGCAGCGACGCGAAGGTCGTTCTTCAAAGAGTTGCGAAGGGCACGAGCGCAAATGTTAGCGTACTGGATGTAGCTATAATGGGGGGTAACGATGGAGGCATGGTGAGCATCAAGTTATTGCATTGGTGGATAAAAGGTGTTCAATAAAAGGAGTAATCACGACGTACGAGAGACCGGCAGACTTCCAGGCAGACATGATATGTACTGTATGTCAAAGGGGTTAAGAGACGAAAAACAATTTTCGGGCGGGGAAGGGTGGCAATTCCTCTCAGATGACGTCTTACTTTGGATGATGGGCTCTCTACAGCCAACCATTCATTCATTCCCCTCAGCCAATTTGATACCGACTCTCTTTATATCCACAACTACCCCCCACACACACATCATGCTATGTCCTTATATATAACTAGGCTACCTTTTGCACAATGAAATGGTCTACGTTATCATTCATAGAGTCGTCTTTGGGCGGTAGAATACGAAAGCTGTATTCAAGTAGGAGACGCTGTTATCATCCATGGAAGGAAGATGCTAATGGAATATAAGCGAATGATAACTGTGTACTACCATACAATCATTTAAGGAGAGAAAGCATGAACGGGTTGCAAAAGAAGGTGGAGGAAACAATGAGAACGAAATAGACTGCATGAAAAAGATGTCCTTGTTTACTGCTCAAAGAGAAATGACAGAAGCACTAGTAGCAAGAGCCTATTTATTGATGGGACATCGTATGAAGGTCATAGAAAAGGTGCATATGTATGGGTATGTATTGTCAAGCGAACGTCCTGATGGCACCGGGATGATGGTGGGTGGGCAACAAGCAGTCAATTTTTCTGGATCATTCTTGAAGGAGAGTGATTTAAGGACGCAGGCACGTCAGGCTTTACAACTACACTCTTTTATCACCGCTCATGTCCAATCCACGCGTGTAAGCTCATGGTTGCTTGGTTACAAGGTTACACTGTAGATATTCCTAACGCGTATGCTTTATTCTTTTGGTTGTATAGTTTCTTCGACATCACTATTGGCGGCAAGCCTGCCGGTCGCATTGTCTTTGAATTGGTAAGGTTTACAACATGCCGTCATTGGCGGTTCTTGCAACAAGAGGAAGGGGACACATGCTCACGCACAACTCGTTGGATATCGTAGTTCAAGGATGTCACTCCCAAGACGGCAGAGAACTTCCGTGCCCTTTGCACTGGTAAGTGAACAGAGGCATGCTCTATGCGAGACGGGACATTGATACTAATGGTTGTGCTCCACAATAGGCGAAAAGGGTGTTGGCAAGGCTGGCAAACCATTGCACTTTAAGGGATCCATTTTCCACCGTGTGATCAAGGTGAGTGATTTGAGGAATGGAAGAAGATATCATTATTAATCCATGATGGTTATAGAACTTTATGTGTCAAGGTGGCGACTTTACCAATGGCAATGGTACTGGTGGTGAATCGATCTATGGTGAAAAATTTGAAGGTACATTAAAGAAGGAGGAGAGGGGGGAGGTGTTGTATGGTGGGTAAATGTCACATGATGAGTAACCGAATATTCATTCTTAGATGAGAACTTTGAACTCAAGCACGAGAAGCCTTTCTTGTTGTCGATGGCCAATGCTGGTCCTGGTACCAATGGATCTCAATTCTTTATCACCACTGTGCCTACTCCTCACTTGGATGGCAAGCACGTTGTCTTTGGCAAGGTGCTCAAGGGCAAGGGTATTGTGCGTCAAATTGAAAACCAAGAGACCACCAGTGATCGTCCCAACCAAGACGTTGTGATTGCCGACTGTGGTGAGATCCCTGAAGGTGCTGATGATGGTGTGCCTGCACCCACTGATGGTGATGCATATGAGGAATACCCCGAGGATTATGAAGGTCCCAAGGAAGACAATGATCTTGTTCAAATTGCTACTCAGCTCAAGGCTATTGGTAACGACTACTTTAAGAAGGGTGACTATGGCAACGCCAGTGCAAAGTATGATAAGGTATGAGACGTTTTATGTGTGTGTGTGTGTGTGTGTGTGTGTGTGTGTGTGCGTGTGTGTGTTGCTCCATTTTTATTAACAAGTTGTCCTATGTAATAGGCTATTCGTTACTTGAATGAGAAGCCCATGTTTGATGAAGAGGATACTGAAGACTTCCGCAAGAACTACTCTGCTGTCAAGGTCCCATGCTTGCTCAACCGTGCCATGTGCGCCCTCAAGTTGGGTGAGAACAAGGAAGCTATCAAGGCTACAACCACTGTGATTGACTATGATGCCAAGTATCTCAAGGACACTGATGTGACTAAGGCATACTTCCGTCGTGGTATGGCTAAATTGGCCAGCAAGGATGAGGATGGTGCTATTTTTGATCTCGAGAAGGCCGCCGAGAAGGATCCCTCAGATGCTGCTATCAAGCGCGAGTTGACCAATGCTAAGCAAAAGAAGGTCCAACGCAAGCAAAAGGAGAAGGCAGCTTTTGCCAAGATGTTTGGTTAGAGAAATACACCCGTACACATGTTTATATATACACATCCCCTTCAGCATTGTTCTTTTTTCGCTCCCACATTATAATGCATGTATCCTTTCCAATTGTTCATAAAAAGCTTTTGATGTTTGCAATGGCTTTGTATTAAACCAAAACGTCCTTTCTTGACTACTACTACTTCTTAAAGCTTGCTCTGAAAGTAAGATTTCCATTGATCCAATTCCCATCCGGAAGAAACGCTGTTGTCCTGCAAGCCATCAAAGAGCACGGTAGGGCTAACGTGGATGCCGTTTTGGCGGCCAATCTTGATACAAAGCTTCAAATCATTGGTAACAGCATTGCCACCGTTCTTGACTTCGGTACCAGGAGACAACAAGCTGACGATCTTGTCGGCAGGAACACCCACAGCTCCAGCAATCTCGGCTACTTCGGCAACAAGCTGATGACGTGTCTTGTTCTCAACAGCTTCATCAAAGAACCTAGATGTGTGTGATACGTCAATGCGAGTAAAGATTGGATGGTTACATTCGATGCTTACTGGGCCTGTTTCTCAAAGAGAGCATCCGAGAAGGGGAAGAACTTGCTAGGATCAACCTTTTCCACTGCCAATGCTGCTTCGTGCACAAGAGTCGAGGTAGCATGCCATGGTTGCACTTGCTGACGGAAGATCAATTGGAGTTTGCCAGAGTAATTCTGCTCAACATAGGGCCATACTTGCTATAACGGATAACGCACTAGTGTCAGTATCATACGCGTCAAACAAAGAAAGAGAACACTTACTTCACGAATACGCTTGTAAATCTTGGCACTGAATGGACACTGTTGAACGACGTGCGATTAGCACAGCACACCCAATGAACGTGTTGTCGCAATGCCCAGTCTTATCTTACCACGTAATCCAAGTAAATTTCAAGGGTGTGAGGAGCCGAGGCAACACCAAGACGATGAGCTATTGCAATCCGTAGTGAATCTCATGTTCAATTGAAGCAATAATAAACACCAATGCAATAGCTTACCTGCGAACTGAGGAGCGAGAGCCATGTTTGTAAAGAAAAGAGACAAGAGAGACCGGGTATGTCGCCATCTCTCTTACTAATTGAGGGATCAAACGCGCTTTTCCAATTATGGCACCCTGTTGCATGAATCAGTGATCGTATTCTAGTTATCCCATGCTTCTTTCCTTGCACCTTCTTGTGTATTGTGAGTGTACCTTCTATGTATTACGTTTGAGCTTGGATTACTACGCTGGTTACCAGCTCCAATGATCATGGATTATGTGTCATTTGGTTATCCCATCATCCTGATGTATACGATCAGACACTGGAGGTTTTCTAATGTTGGATGATATATGGTTGTTTGAGCGTTATTCAGTCAATTCAGCTCTGATCAAGCAAGTCGAATGATGAAGATGATGTGCTTGAGCAGGAGAATCGTTCACATGCATCGGTTTGAGCGACAATGGTGAATGGGAAGAAGGGCTGTCAACTGGCAGTTTATGAAGCAATCAATCACTTGATACTTCTGATGTTTGGATGATACTCCTTTGTTTGAGTGTTGTTCAGCCAAATCCTCTCGGATCAAGAAGTTGAATCATGGAAATGATGGGCTAGAGCAGGAGAATCGTTCGTATGCAGAGGATTTGGCAACATTCCTGATGAGAAAGAAGTAGCTTTTAGCTCGCAATATGAACTGTTACTGAAAAGTGTAAAAGTATCATGCATGGCCCCTTCCAATCGTGCATATCGGCGGTGTTACACAAAGGCGCCCAAGTGCATCTTTTGCTCTATCAGGTCCACCTAATTCACAATGAACAAAGACTACCTTTCATATAGCATCACGCTTACAAACATAAAGGTGTCTGTATCTCCAAACTTTACAATGAAACGTGAGGTTTTGAATAGAGCAATGGGCTCGGCTTGGTCAACAGCACCTTGTGTGAAAGTTTCGCGTTCAATGTCGCAAACAGCCCAAAAAATATTTTTTGGTCGTCGTCGTCGTCGAAGAGGTCGACCCCCAGATCCAGTTTGGCTGATAGCGACATTGCGAAATCTGGGATTGGCAAGCTTGAACGTGAAACTTTCACACAAGGTGCAGTTGGCCAAGCCGTGCCCATTGCTCTAATAAAAACCCCACGTTTGATTGTAAAGTTTAGAGATACAGGCACCTTTATGTTTGTAAGTGTGATGCTATATTAGAAGTGGCCTTTGTTCATTATCAAGTAGGTGGACTCTGGCAGAGCAAAAGATGCAGAAGGATCTCTTTGGGTAACTCAGCTAAAAAGTCAGGACTTCAGGGACAATGCATGAATGGTACGCAACCCTCACTTTGATGTCATACATTGGCAGCTAATAGCCACTTTTGTGCATTCCCAACTTTTGTGCATTCTATTGTAGGTGGGACGATGCTCCTGCTCTTGACAGTCATTTCCATGATTAAAGTAGGTTGATCCGAGCTGATTTGGTCGAGTTACGCTCACACAAGATTACATCGGTTGAGCTACATCGAGTGTGCTTGATGTCCAGAGTGATGCAATCTCTCTTTGACCGCAGCTCAGTCAAATCAGCTCGGATCAACCTACTTTAATCATGGAAATGAATGTCTAGAGCAGGGGCATCGTTCCCATGCAGTGGATCTCGCAACAATGATGAATGGATAAAAGTGGCCGTTAGCTAGCAATACATACCTGTTCCTAGATGATCCATAAAGTAATTATACATTGACCCTTCCATTCATGCAAACGTAGCTGTGTTACACAACACGACCCTCTGCATCTTTTGCTCTGCCAGGGTCCACCTACTTGACAATGAACAAAGACCACTCTTCTTATAGCATCACACTTACAAACATAAAGGTGTCTGTATCTCCAAACTTTACAATGAAACGTGGGGTTTTTATTAGAGCAATGAGCTCGGCTTGGTCAACAGCACCTTGTGTGAAAGTTTTACATTCAATGTCGCAAACAGCCCAAAAAATATTTTTTTGGTCGTCGTCGTCGAAGAGGTCGACCCCCAGATCCAGTTTGGCTGGTAGCGACATTGCGAAATCTGGGGATGGCCACGATGAACTTCATACTTTGACACAAGATTCCTTTGACCCCGACAAGCACGTTGCTCTAATAAAAACCCCACGTTTCATTGTAAAGTTTAGAGATACAGGCGTCTTTACGTTGTACATACGCTGTAAGCGTGATGCTATATGAAAAGAGTTCTTTGTTCATTGTCAATTAGCTAAACCTGATAGAGCCAAAGATGCAGCGGGACCTGTTTATGTAACACAGACATGAAAGATTCATGCATGATACTTATACACTGATAGCCCATTCCTCTCATTCATCTTTCTTGCACAACCCAATGCATGTGAACGATTGTACTGGTCCAGCCCATCATGCCCATCCTTCAACTTTCCTGATCCGAGAGGATTTGACTGAAAAACGCTCAAACACCGAAGTATCATCCAATATGAGAAAAATCATTCTGCAAAGTTATTTGTAAACTGCCAGCTAATAGCCCATTCCTCCCAATCATCTTTGTTTCCCAATCCAATGCATGTGAGCGATTCTCCTGCACCATCCCATCATCTCCATCCTTCAACTTTCTTGATCCGAGTGGATTTGACTGAAAAGCGCTCAAACACAGAAACATCATCCAATTCAGAAAGATCAAAGTGATGTAGTTATTTGTAAACTGCCACTTGATAGCCCATTCCTCCCATTCACCTTCTTTAGCCAGCCCAATGCATACGAACGATTCCCCTTCTCCATCCCATCATCTCCATCATTCAACTTTCTTGATCTGGGAGGATGCGACTGGGCAACGCTTGTACAAACAAATATCAATCAGCATCAGAAAAAGTCTACTTGATTTCCAGCTCTTCCACTCCCTCCTTCTTGCTTCTTTCTCCCATTCTCAACTGTTGCCCCATTCAAGCACAACTACCACCTGCGAAAGATTGTCCTGCGTCAATCCATCATGTCAATCCTACAACTCTCTTGATCCGATTGTCTTCGACTGAATGCCAAGTCCATGGCATGTACACATCCTTCTTGTCACTCGACTACAACACACGAGCCTTCCTTGATACTACACACTGTCTTGCGCACTTCTCAGCCGCGACCGAACGTAACATCTGTTGCTGTTAGTGATGTCTTTACTCCATCGTTTCAAACAGCATTCACAACGTTGCCACTCTACTACAACACACACTCTTGCACACTCCTCTGCCACAACCACATGTAACAGCAGATAGCCAAAGTATAGAAGCAGCTTTATTTACGTATAGCAACTTGCTTCAATACACACGAATTCATTATGGGTGCGGATCTGAATATTGCTTTGGTGCATGGGATGGGAGGAAGTGGATGTATTGACCGGTTGGTCCCCTTAGCCCATTTAGAACGTGATCTTCAGTTTGGATGATGCCATGTCAGCCATCAACTACAAGCAATCTTCATCTGGTTGAGCTGCATGAGGAAACAAGTGATAGACCAACCGCTGGATGGGACAAGGAAGCATCATCAGCTACCACATGGCTCTTCGATCATCATATGGGACCTGCCATGGGTATGGTGGGTGGATGCAATCAAGTGCAGTGATGAGAAACTATGGAATGTCGCTTTGGTTACTGGAGACGTCGTCAGCGGGAAAGAAGGTACCTATCATATGAATACTGCTTCGGATGATGGTGGATTGGGCGACATTGACGAGAAGGCTTGTGTCTTTGACGAAAGGTGTTTTTACAACCATGGATGGATGATTTTCGAGTCAAGGCACGCAGCAATAGGAAGATGTTCATCAAGGATACAATGACACAGTGATACCCATTGACCATATGCAATTCATCTCACATTCAACTTGCAACGCTATTTCTTTATCGCTATGTACTTGAATAAATGCTCAAGCTACCGTGTTCTATTATTCGACTTTGAATGACCAACATGATATTTAGAGCATAATGGTATTATCAGCTCATTGTGCGAGATGAGGATCACTTGGTTGTTTCCTAGATTGATGTGACTAGGTCAGGTTGGATTAAGAGATACGCAGCCTGTTGGATTGGGAACAACCATAAATGCAATTGATTTTACGCGTAATTATAGTCAACCAACAATGTGGAAATTGCATCCTTTTGTTCCAATAGGTTGCACAATGGGGATACTTTGTCCTTCTTTCATGCATAATTGCATTTTGAGATCAATTACACGCCATTGCTTATAAGCCAAAAGCAGAGAAGGCATGCTACAACTATCAATCCTACATACAGAATTTATCCCATTGCTGCAATCGACGCATGATTCATATTGACACAAAGATCTATCGTTTCAATCACCCATCCCATTCCAACACCACAATTGTATTCACACATGTCCCCAGAAAGAAAAGAAACTTGAATAGAATCCACAAATACACACGCACAAAAAACTCGAATCCTTGTTTTCGTTGCCTTTTTGTATATTTGATGACAATGCTGATGAAAAACGACTATGCTGAAAAGCGAAACAATTTAAGCTTGCTTGGCAGCAGCCTTCTCGGCACGGATACCCTTGGCGGGGCGGACAGCCTTAGCCTTCTTGGGAGCTTGGGAAGAGATGACAGCAGAGGCACGAGCAAGAGCAGCCTAATTTACACAGTTAATGATTAACCCTATCGCTTGATCCATTCATTTTTCAATCTTTACCTTGCGCAAATCAGCACGGTAACCAGAGCGAGCGACCAAGTTGGCGACAGACTTGGCAGAAGCACGGCGAGACTTGGCAATGACATAGGAGTGAGTAGACTTGGCGGGCTTGTTAGCTTGCTTGGCCTTCTTAAGGGTGACACGGACACCACGGGGAGCAGCAGCGATGTCAACAGCCTATAACAAACACGTTGCATTTAATAAATGATCCAATTATTATGATATCCATCAAGATCAAAAATTTACCTTGTTGTTGGCAAGACCAGAGTACTTGAAAGTGTTCAAGTTGGTCAAGTTACCACGCTCGGCAGTGAACTCAACGCCATTAGGACGCTTGACGAGGAAGGAGTTGTTGTTCTTGACCAAAGCCCAGACGAGTTCAGCGCTCATTGTCTATACAAAATGTCGTGTGTTGGTTCATTTTCTTTTGTCGCATTCGTTTGTGCTGTAGATGAGACTTACAAATAGGTTGGAAACTGAAAAGAGGAAGGCCTACAACTTGCAGCCAGCAATAAATTTTTTATTCGTGCCCCTCTGACAAGCCACTTTAACAAGCGAACCGTACATTGTATCCGTCACGTGATCACTTGACAGGTTTGCTGACGATGAATGTCCAAGATAACCTTGCAAGCATGCAAGATTGTATACAACGGCTTACGAAGTTCCATGTCTATTTCATCCAAGATCGATCATCTTATATATATTGTTTTTTATCGTTGTGGTTTATTGTTATTGACTTCTTTGAAAGCTGAGACTATACAGTTCTTAACCTCCTTATAGCTAACAATGACACTCGTTTCGTCGTCTCTTGAAGTGAGCATGATTTTTTCATCCACGCCGGCATCCAACTGTTCGAAGCATATGTAAGTGATTGTCACCATCACCCTTTCCTGATTTACCAGCTTACCTTGTTCAAGCAAGATACAACATGAGCATTATCCAACCTTGGCTGCCCATTGTCGTCTGTTTGATGAAATACGTAATCTCTAAATAGCTTGATGATGTACTTTTCTCCTGTTTCTGACCAAGAGGGATCATTCTCAAATCTAGGAAAATGGGTATATGAGCCATCTCAAGTACATAGGAATCCTTCGCATCATAATACTAACTCTGCACGCTCGTTGATAAAACCCATTTTGGTCAATAATCGCAAAAGTCGTCCATTTTCCAGCTGCCGACTCAACTCATGATCCAATACATCCGTGTAGCTACAATAGATATCAATAAATGGGACTCTTGGTTCCATCCGATGCTTACCTTTGGTTGCAATTGACCTCATGCAATATCCTTGATCCAATCAATGAAATCACGTGATCGATGTTCTTTGTTGAATCTGGCTTGCTCAATAGATACAAAACAACCTTCTTGATATCTGCTGAATAACAATGGGACACAAGTTCAAAAGAACGAGGGAGGTTCTGAGATGATTGTGGTATGTTGCAAGCGAGTTCAATGATAAGTTTGCCAAATGCCAAAAAGTCTTCTTGTTGGTGTTCTTCGATAGTCCCATCTCCGGATTCAAAATGCAAGACATCCAATGCTGCTGAGCAATTGATACGGAGTCTATAGATCAAATAGTGTCAGCGAAAGTAGAAGAGACCTTTTCCCATCATCAAGCTTACCTGTTCTTGCCTGTAACAAGAATCTTGGATGGTTCAATGCTCCTTACAGCAAGACCCGCCTTGTGCACTTTTTTCATTGCTGATGCGATTTGGGTGATGTAGCTCCATAGGGTGGTCTCCGGGATAAAGGTGGGTGCACTACCATTGGCAGAACGATTTCCCATGCCGTACATGCTAAGCAGAGTCTTTGCTCCAGGATGATACTGGTACACGAAAATGACAGCTATTCACCCAACGTAAGAGGATGGCCCATACTCCCTTACTCCAACCACTTACAAGGATCACCAAAAGCACGTGTAGTAAATGCCTCTCGGATGGATACAATATTTGAATGCCTTATCTTTCGCCAACGTTCAACAGAAGCCATAGCTTGTTCATTGACCAAACGGAAACCTAAATCGTCATGATCAATACCAACATCTCAATCACCAAAATGGTATGCATAGGCGTACCTTCGACTCGGTAAAGAACATAAGTGCGACCATCCACTGTGGAGACAGCCTTGTACGCCGTTGTTGGATGATTAAAGAACATGCTCTTGTGTCCAGGCTGGTTGCGGATTTCCAAAGGATACAATGAATGATATACATCCACTTCCTGGGGCAGACCTAATTCACGTGCTGTCATGGGGATAAGTATTTATGATGGTGATTCCCGTTTTTAGCCATCACATACCTGGTATTGTAACCAACTCGTTCTCATTTCTTCGTGCTAATTCTTCTCGTAGTTGATCGGGTGTAAAGAAGGATTGTAGTGCCCGTTGTTGTGTTGAAAGATTGGCAAGATGTGGCAACGTGCGAGCGTGCATATGGTATTGCAACTAGATCACACAATCAGTCCATTTCTTTGCGTTGTATTATGTATGAAGAAACTCACCGGCTGCTGATCAAACATGGATGCCCCCATATAATAATAGGGATCGACTGGGCCTGGTTGCATCATGCTCATGGATCCCATGGACGACATAGGTGGATGTGGTTGCATCGGGGAAGCGGCTCCTGATATCTAGATAAAGTCAATCATGAATCCACAACCCTGTTTGTCGAAACGCATACCTCGCCTGCCATTGTGAAATGAGAGAAGCTGTTGGTAAGACCTGACACGGAAGCATCACCATTTGTAGATGGATAGCCATTTTGTCCGCTAATACAAACATGTGAGTATTTTCATTGTTGATGTATCAACAAAGAAGCATGTACTTACGAGGAAGCGGGTGGATTGATTGTATTACCTATATCCCAAATGCATGAGATGGATGTGATTTCATCAATAAAAGTGAACTTTTACCCTCTGCCGTTGTTGTTGTTGTTGTGACTAAGATACGCTTTGATCAGCCCAATGTTGATTCTCTCCTTCATTCAAAATGTGTGTTACAAACCTTGTGTGATGGCGTTAGAAGATGATGTAGGAACGAAGACCGGTGCATTGACGCTATCTGGGGTTACTGTGGACACCGCATTGGCAGGTTTTGATGTTGCTGTAGGTTGCTGGATACGCACCGTGGATTTGCTATGATGTATGTTAAGCATGCACACACCATCCACATTACCCCCCCCTTTCTCTATTCCATATCTTACCTTTCAGGACTAGGTTGAGATGATGGTTTGATGCCCTAATGACGGTATTGAGTTATCTTGCCGGGGTTTCTTCCGATGCATGCCACCACCACACCACCACCATAGCACACTACCACTTCGTGGTTGAATTCGCAGCCTTTGTCTTCGAACTTGCAGAACCCGTGGATAATCACATTGCGACATAGACGTTTAGCATTCACGTTGGCTACTTGACCAAAAAGTCAGTAAAGTTGGGCGGATCAATAAAAGCAATGAACAACCTTTTGGTTTTGAAGCAGGCTTATTGGCGGTGTCGGTCTGTGAAGAGGTTGAAGCAACTGCATCCGGAGCGACGATGGGAATAGCAGAAGGCGATTGTGGAGGTAGAATGAACTGATGGGTGAAGGGTTGCTTTTGCATTGGCAGACGTGTAAAATGAGAGTTTCGGTGGTGGCGGCGGTGAAGGAAGCAGGATTGATATCCACTGAAAATTCGGCTTCCAATGATAGTGGGTTTGTCCGCTGCTGGTAGTGAGAGCGAGTGAGTGATTGAGTGGGTGCGTGAGTGAGTGCGTTTGTGTGTGGGGGGGTTTAGTTTGGGGGGAATAAGAACGGGAGAGGATAACAAGGACACCAATGAAAGATTGATAGTGGATAGGAAAGGAAAAGGAATGCTGATAACACGAGCCTGTGCGGATCATCAGGCGAAAAAAGGCACTTTTTTCTTTTCTACTGCACAAATGACATGCCACCATCCATAAACTATCTCCTTCTTTCGCTTCTTTTTCTCTTTACGTTCCCTTTCACTCCTTTTCCTAATGGCTATTCTATTCGATCAACCTATGTTATCATTATCAACGCATCACATTCATAATGTCGATATTGACGACTTGAAGACAATGTGGGCTGGTACATAATGGCATGATTCTTTATCCTATTTGCAACGGGACATTTATATAAAAAACATGTAGTCTTTACCAAATGCAAAGCACATCTTGAGAATGGAAGACGATTGGAGAACATGTCATGGCGTCTTTGGTATCATGAGAAAAACTCAAACAGCAGCAGCAGCAGCACCACATCATCCGCCGCCTATTTTTCCTGCATGTCAGCAGTTGTATCTTCATTCGATTCTTCAACATCCTCCTCTTTCATTCCCGCATATTCAACTTCACCTGCTGCAGCATCCACAACTTCTACTATTAATACCGCCAGCATTCATAATACCAATACGTGTGTTAAGCGCTTCATCTCATCCATGGAGCACCAAGAAGATTGGTCACGTCATTCTCATCAACAACACAACACAACAAAAGCCGTGGCACTTGATACCAACAACAACAACAATGCCACAAATGGCACAACACAAGCAGCCGTATCTGCAACCGACGCATCCATCACGAAACAAACATCCAATAATGGAACTTTGCAGCGGTCGCATGATCGACAAGCCCAGCAAAGTACATTACAGCACCACCATCAAGAACAACAACAACAACAATCAGCCATCTCCCATCATTCAACGTTCAAGCCACGTGTTTCTATCATACAAATCGATCCTGGTGATGATGAAGATGAAGACCATGAATCCCTCGACAATGTTGATAATGATGATCGCAATAATGACGATAACTTTTTCAACAAATCCAAGCCGGTACAACGATCCTCAGCATCACGACCTTCACTCTTGACTGCAATGCTGCGAAATGACACTTGTGCAGCCAACGCTACAGGAGGCTCAGCAGCACCAAAGAATACCAAATCAGCACGCGATCATTTTCTTTGCAAGGAGCTTTCCGAAAGCCTTAGACGCAATGTCCTCTGGGAGCAAATTCAACAGCGAGCTTTATATCCTAATCAACTTTATCGACACCATCCAGCAGCAGTAGGAATACGGTCAAGGAAACAGCAAGAGCAAAGTAGAGGGGTACATAGTAATCGTAATAACTTGCAGCATACTGAGTGGTTGGAAAGCTTTCATGGATGGTAAACAATAAAGTGCTGCTGCATGTTGCTCAAGTTGTATTTCAATACCCCAATTGATCAAAGAGTAATACATTGTTTCAAGCCAGATGTATGGCTTTGATCTTGTGAAGATAGCTTTGTAGCAACAAGGCGCAAAGAATGTGGATGGTGGCAACAACATGTTATCCTATTTTGGAAATAAAGGGAAAAGAGGAGGCAAGGCACAAAATCAAAAAACACAATCAATGTGTCTCGAAACAAATCAGGACCGCATTCCAAATCATGGTATCATCTTGCACCTCCCCCCCCTTACCCCCTTGATATTCATCTCAATTTACTACCTTGCATTACTTAATTTGTGGCCAATTACCAACAACCCAACAACCCTGAAAATCAATCTCTCTTTATTGGCTGATACCTATTACGTATGTTGTATGTATGCAGCAACATCATAATGATGGTCGACAACAGCTCCTTTTTTTGCATCCAGCTTGATGGAACGACAGCTCGTGTGTGCTCTCTCTTTTATGATTCATTATACTTTTTCATCTTCTTCATGTATAGAAGGGCTGAAGCGTTCGAGATCTCTAGGGGTAGACAAATAGGGGACATGGACTACAATGTGATTGGGGTATTGCTTATAATAGGATAAAACATCTTGATGCAGATCGAGCTTTCCACTAGCTTCCGGTGCTAATGCATGCCGAATGAACGCAACTGCTGCTTTCGAGTTCAAATCAATCGCCAGTGCTGGATCAATCTGAAAGGGGGATCGAAAATCAAATCGAATAAGATGTCGAAGAACCAGCTAGTGGACCACAAAACATGATGAGCATCTTTAAAAATGGGGTAGTGGATGTCCTTACCATAACGTCAGATTGATGTGTGTGCGCCGTGCCAGTCAATGAGAAGCATATGGATTGGTTACAGCAAGGTGATGATTGCATTAGCTCTTGTACTGTATCAAAGTTATCTGGCCAAAAGGCAAATTGTTCGCTTAAAATGGCAAGAACGGGTCGATAAATGGTGCAAAGACGATCCATCATCACCAAAGGTTGTGTCCATGGGTCCAATAAAATCCCACATTTGAATTGTGTTTTTGGATGATTCAACGCAAGTATCTTTGAAAAATGGATGAGCCCACGTTGTGTGACTCATACATGTAGCAAAAGATGCTTACCGCAGTTGCTGCACCAAAGCTATGACCCGCCATCACCATCGAATCCAAATCAAGCGAACCACGAAACCCACTGGTTGCCTTGGATTGTTTCATTGTTCCCAAGTTTAAGCGTTCCATTGCATCCACGCAAAGTTGCACCTCAGCCAAGCGTCGTTGCAATTGTACATGTCGATAATCCCACACTTCAGGTGGCAGCCCATCATATCGTATCCAATCATCTTCTCCACGTCCTTTGGCAAGGCTACCAGAGCCATCTCGATGTTCAATCGCTGCCACTACAAACCCATAGCTCGCCATGCTTGAACAAAACGAAGAATAAAGATGCCTATTACCACCTACATTATGGTGAATTAACAACGCTTCCTCTATTTGAAGGTTATCATGCCATACCAAGACCATGGCTGAAAATGATGATAGGGTAACCAGAGGTGTTTTTGGGAGGCTTTAAAAGAGCAGCATCAGCAGATGCACGGATTTTGATGCGTTTTGCCAGTGCCGATAACCAGTCCGCTACAATGCCTGGCATGTGTGCTACATCTTTACATAATGCTAATACAAAAGTGAGTGATGACTACCTTTAAACAATGAATCAACACTACTACTACTACCTCTTGCGTATTCTTGATTTGATACCCAACAAGCTCGTCGATCATGCTTTGTTACGTTTGCGGGGTAGAATAGGCGGATGAGGAGTGAGGATACTGGAAAGCTTTGGGGTCCTTTTTTGCTGCCAACATGCCATTCGAGATCATGGCAGCCTACTGAATAAGGTCCGCCCAAGTCAGGGAAATCAGCAAATAAAGACATGGTGAATAGATTAAAGTCTCATCAAACATAAAAGACGCATGCGTTGATCATCACAAGTAAATTTATATACATGTATGTAGAATGCTTAATTACGCAAGCAAAGGCCCATCTCGGCATGCGGGTCGGGATCATGGGTATCTAGTACCGCGCTTTGATGGTAGGTAGTAGAGCAACCAAGATTTCAAATTAAACCGACACTGGGTGATCTGTACAACTGTATGTGTTGTCGCTCTTTATCATCTTGATGGTTTTAGTCGTCGAACTTACAGCTACATACGCGACTTGCCGTAGCATGCTGCATACCATATCATCCGAGAACAGCGCTACACCCATCATTCTATCGATGGTGATGTTGCTCTTGTACTGCTGGATGTCTTCATACATAGACTTTGTGTCATTGTAAAATGTGCTACTATGATATTGCATCAAGGTTAACCTTTTATTTTTTGGAAAACCGGATTTGATAAATAACCCACCCAATCCACTAATCCATGATTGGCACGATAAGGTCAACTAGGATAGTTGTAAGAACATCGCATGGGGATTTAGTTTTTTTTTCTCTCTTGCTGCCCGATTTCTTACATCAGTGTGCTTTACCGAAACGATTACCAGTGCCGATATCCCGACATGTGTATAGAGAGAAAAACATGATCCGGACATTCGATGATAGTAGAAGTAGCTGGTTGTTGTACGTGGTTCCTCACTCAAACAAGGGCTATTGTTGTAGATACCATTACCATGGTCGCAGGATGATGATGCTCTTATTTGACAGACTTTAGTAACCTAAATGTCATTGTATGCCAAAGTCGTTACCGTGGTAATGCTTCGAAGGCTAATAAAGCATGGGGACATCTGCTGACAATGCTCTAGGTTCGAGATCAGTCTATGGATTACTGTTTGAGCTCGTGCATGTGTGATTCTCTTCTTTATGCATACGATGATGTGATGATCTACTGCAGCAGGGCAGTGCATGTGCAGTTGAACCAACGATAGGGTTACGGTTCTCTAAATATGTATGGATGAGGTTGATACAACTTGCTTTGACAGCTATTACTAACCATGCAGGTACGAGATGCTGTGATGGAATCATATGGAATCATATGGGATCATGAGGTGACTTTACAAACAAGGATGAGGCACCCATTTATCAGCTATAATTTCCCATTGGGATAATGTAAGGAATTACACGACGACGAACTTGGTGTGTATCGGTGCTCGTCCAATGTGGAAGGTTGGGCATGGTTTCAAGGTCACTTGACTTGGAAGGAAAGAGGCATTTTACGTTGGCTGAGTTACCACTCACACAATTCTAACTTGGGTCTCCTGGCAGCGAGCCAGTTGTTTATGCAATCAACGTCACCAAGACTATGCAACGAAACTCCTCATCAATTTGGATTGATAGAAAACGTAATCGTAATGTATTGCAAATTAGTTATTCATGCTAATTCTACGATAGGGATATGCCAATGCTAGGTGGGGTTTTCTATCGCCATCCTGGTTCACCATCTTTCTATACGTTGATGGTGTTGATTAGTGATTCTTATTATCTATCATGCAACACCCGCCCTTTACTACCAACCTTTCAAGACATAAGCGAGCGTCTTTTGTGTGGTTCTTCAAGCCTTGCTGCATGATGCACGAAGGGTCCAATGAATCATAGGTCAACAGAATGATTGCGCTTAGCTGTATCCTCCCCTAAAACTTCATCAACGTGGTTGGCACATCCTGTATGTTGGGTCTTCTTCTATGCTGGTCGCTGCCAACTGGTGACCCTGACCCAAGTATTTTGGTTTTGGGTCGATAGGATGTTTTCCTTCCTTGACAATGATCATCGTGTAATAATAATCGATGCTTTGGTGAATGATCCCCTTCCTTGTTGACTCGTATGAGATACATGGCCTTGATCACATCATCATTTGATATCATTGTTGATGTGCATATTGGTATTGGTGAATCTCTGAATGTCTGCAGCTGCTGATGTCACTGGTCATGAAGGTGTCGTCTCCTATAGCAGTGTTGGCGTCAGGCACCGTTTTGCAGACCTGCATGATATAAAGGGGAACTTTGTATTAAACCCATTGTTCACTGTTCTCTTCCTCACAAAGATACTCGAACACCTTCACCGAATCTCACGTACTCTTATCTTGCTCTTCCATTGCACACATTTCCACATCGCCACCAGCACATTGGGTTCATGCTAACGTTGCGTTCTCTGAATGGGCGGCCGATCAGTTGATTGCTTGCGTATACATGGCGACTGAGATCAGCATTCACGGCGTCCTTTTGCTGCCTGTGGACATGATATGACGAAGGGAGAGAAATTGCGCTCCTTCAAACGCGACAACATTTTTATGCAAACTCAGGTGCCACGATTACAGAGCCGGTGGATCACAAAGTACGCCAAGTGACAGTAAAAACCCAAGTCCACGTACACTGTGAACAGCTGCACAACGTAGTGCATCTCCTGTAATGGGCGTACATACTTCTTCACAAGATCCTGTTCGTGGGAATCGAATTCAAATCCAAGTCATCAGCATTTACGACGACGATGTTGTCACGGATGTGTTACAGTATTCGTCTATGATATCATCAGCCTTGGTAAGAGTCCATTATAATCTTCATCATGCACTGCATGGACTAATAATGTGGTCATTGTTGTCTTCCAATTTTATGTTCTTTGTCTTGAGATGTTGGAACTTACCATCCTGCGATCAAGTCTTTGCGGTATGTGTTGATTGTAGTATCCGCCACTTCTTGTTGATCAATGTTGTGTGTCTGTGTACAGTAGTATCCATTTGAGGCGTGCAAAGAGTCACTGCAACATCGAAGTACTTCACTGAAGGCAAGCCACCCGAGGGACGGCATGATGTCAATAATCGGATCGTGGCAAGCTTCGGCATCATTACAACAAGCGAGGCCATGCCTCTCACGGCCGTTCTGAAGCCTTTTGGACATGAGTATGTTGGATCTGGATTTATGCGAAAGGGCCAAGGAATACCAATCCATTCATGCATCAACAATGACCAAGGCAAGTATACTGACCTGTGGCAACATTATAGCAAGCTAATGGCGCGATATTAGGCTACGTTACGAACGGCAATGACTTACATCAAAGCAACGCTTCATTTTTATCAAAGTTGGTCCATAGACAACAAGTTAGCTCGTGTATGGTTATAGCAATATCATTTTACAATTCACAATACACCACTTTGACCAGATGCTTTTATTTTATGCTGCTGATTGTAAAACTTGGGCGAGAATGGCGATACCCTTTCGTAGCTTTTCTTCCTCAATAGTGAATGTTACTCTGAATATACCAGGATAGCGTGTATGGAACACATGACCAGCTGCAATATACACTCCACGATCAAGCAAGGTCTTCCATAGCCAACGTTCATCTTCAATTGTAGGAGATGGTCCATTATTCCTTTCCTTGAGTAGACTTCGCGCATCCACTGTAATAAAATGACCTGCATTGGCAGGGATAAACTCTAAACCATGATGCTTCAGCGCATCTACTGCGACCTTGTATGCATTAGCGAGTCGACGTTTGTTGGTAGCGAGAAAATGATCCACCCATGCTTCATCCTCGAGTATGTTGGATACTAAGCGGTCATTGATTGATGATGTCCAGCTAAACATGCTACTCATCACGTGATTGTTAATTGACCTTGTTCATGGATTATCATTCGTTCACTTACGCAGACGTGGATAGCACATTACGTAGCTCGGTGTTATACTGATCAATGATAAATCCCATACGTAATCCATTCATACAAAAGTCCTTTGAGATGCTATAGGCCACATGCACAAGTGATGGATCAATCACCTGATCTAGGTCCGGAAAGCTGAGTAATGACAAGAAGCTCTCTTTTTGGACGTGTGTGTCATCATGGCTATGCACCACCAAATCACCAAATGTGGATAAGCCATATACTTCATCCGAAATTACATGCAAGTGGTGCCTTGATGCAAATTGAAGGAGCGTTTCCAATGCTTCTCGAGAGAAGCACCTGCCATAGATAAAGAGTGTGAATCATAAGGAAACCACCTCCATCATCATGGACCCCTTTCATTGCTTACCGGCCAAATGGGTTGTGTGGATTAGTAATCAACAGCGCCTTGATACGCTTGCCTTTGTTGTTTACAGCATCATCAAAAGTATGTTCCAATACCTCATCATCGACATGCATATCCCAATCATCGCCATTTTCATTAAGATACAATGGTACAAGATCCACTTGTGAATTGAAACAGACGTCTGCATCAAGGTTGCCATAATAGGGGCTCACCACAAGTACGCTATCACCTGGATCAGTCACTGCCATGGTGAGGTAAAAGATCGCTGCTCCTGCACCAGCGGTGACAATGATATGATCTTGCTCGACATCTCGAATTGGCTTGAAATGGCGTGTTATCGTAGATGCCACAAGTTGTCGAAGGCGATAGGAGCCTTCTGGACGTCCATAATTCAAATCCTATCATGCTGCGTTATGATGGATGAATATAAAAAGTAACACGACAACTTTTTACCGCCAACTCAAATCCAATGGATGCTGGTATCTATTGTTTCAAAATGTAGCATGACGCTTAATAGCTAATATCATGACACACACCCATGCACTATGTATGACGCATCTACCTTTTCACCGAGCTCATCATTCATGAGGTCGTTTTGAGCTACACCAAGATTGATGACGGGATTTACAGGGTGGAATATATAATCCCATGCATCCATTAATGCATCCCTCATCGGGTTTGCAATATTCAAGCTCTGGATGGCGCGTTGCGATAAGTTAGACGACTCGTTGGTCATGGTGCTTTTTGCATGAAATGGTGGGAAAAGCTGAAAAGAAACAATGGTTGCAAGTTTTGGATGATGCGATCATTGTAAATGATACGTTCTTATATGCACAGCTTACGATAGCTGACGTCTCTCTTCAGGCCATATGACCAAGTGAGCACACAAATGGCGCAATTATGGATACGTGGGTACGTGATCCTGTGCTCTTTGCTCTTGTCGCCGCGGGATATGATTTTCGTTTTCTTTATACCATGGCAACGAGAGCATCGTTGTTTTCCCAATAGAGTGGATTAATGTAGACCCTTATGAAAGGAATACAAGCATTGTGGAGATATGGGTTTGTTTCACCATAGCAAATTCATCGTGGCAAATGGGTGGACAGGAGAATGGGAACACAAGGTGAAGAATGACCACCCTTTTATACCACCATCTTCCCTTGGATTGGTTTCTCGGCATCGGTTTTTTTGTCAAGTGGAAGATCCTATAACCTTCTACATCCTCGTCCCGTGTCCCCTTATCATGTTGTGGATACAGTAATTTTGGTTTGAGAACTTTATCCTTTGCATGTATGCAGGCGTTGTATTCAATACCACCATTGATCAATGGCTTTATGAATGTGAAAACTTGAGTATGGTATTAGAGAAAAGGATAAATGATGTGCAAGGATCGGTGTAATCCCGAAAACAAAGCGAGCTACCACGTTCATATGAAGTTAATGGGTATGAGGAAGGAAGGAAGGTGACGCTAGCTGGCTTAATAAGCATTCCAACTTAGTGATCGTGTGGTACACATACGTCAAAGCGTTTAAGCGCCATGTGTAATCTTTCATTCTGAAGTCACTATAGTCGTGGTGGATCATGATGAGTATGTTGTTGGGTCATATCAGCGGATATTATCATCACTATGGTGCCTTTAATCCGCGCGTTTCGGAGGAGATTGGCATGTGTCAGTCGCGAATTTCGAACCCCTTTGTGCTTGGATCAGTAAACTTGTTGTTGTAGTGACTCATTTAATAATACAATCCAAGTAGACGTACATAAAGCTTGGCATGGCTCATAAAAAGGACACCCTATTCCCTCCACAGCGTCATTGGCTGATTGTGGTAGATGCAAAAAGAATATCAGGTGATTGATTTTTTTGCTTTGTGATCTGGGTCGGGGGGGGGGTTGTATGCGTTCTAGAGCAAAAGACTGGGCACATTGTTCTTGCACAGATACAAAATTCGGAGTCGGATGAATCCTCGGGGAGATCAGGATGTGCATGTGCACGCACCACAAAACGATATATACCTTGAATCGTACCATCTTTAGGATCGGTAATGTTGTACTGCGTCAAGCATCCCCTCTCCTTTTGCATCTTCCGCCCATTGTCGGTACCCAATATCATGGGCTTGTAAGACATTAACTGTGTGTGGATCATTTCACAGTGGCTCCGATCCGACGGGTGATTGTTCTTTTTGAAATCCACACACGTTATAGGCGGCTGATGGTTGGAAGAGAAAAAAAAAAGCAACTGGGTGCTTTCATCACTTTTTTTTGCCAAACAATGTCGGGCTTGCATTTCAAGACAAGATACACAGAAATAGCATGTGCGACCTAAACGGATCCAAATGAATGTAACACGTGCTTTACTTTATCAGGTGGACACAAGAAAAAAAAACGAGTCGAAAAGACCAAACAACATCAAGGGGGTGATGTACATGATTGCCCAAATTTGTTGTGTAATGTAATATAAATGATGAAGATGATGATATAGATGCATTATTAGCTACGCACAACGCTTTGTATAGTGATGAGGAGGAGAAGGGAAGGAGATGAGTTGTGTGGCCAACTTTTTTACGACCTCCTTTTTCTGATCGAATTGTGTGTATTGTTCTCGATTACACGTACGCACGGCAGGATGGTAGTGATGGGTCTCATTTCTGATTTAATTTTTGACAGATGGTGATACAAAGCAGGCATTATTGTACCCAACAGGCTGTAAACACCCCTAAAACGGTCATGGACCAGGCATCCACACAAGTGAGGGTGATGCGTTGTTTCGAATGCCGCCTCAATCTAGATATATGTGTGATGGGATCAAGTATTCATTTTATGAGTCAACCAGGGGCTACGTAAGAGACGATGATGGAGGAAAGAGAGCGTAAATGATCATACAAGACGATGCCAGTAATAATCAGGCCATATTGTCTTTTGCAGTGTGTCGTAAATGGATGCATGCATAAAACGAGAGAAAAAGATGAAATGCATGCTGATTGATCTGGTGGAGTGTGAGCGTGTGTGCTCCATGCATTCATTCTTTTTGGAAATGGCAACGTGTGCTCTCGCTCGATTGCCAGCATGACGAAAAACTATAAATTACGGAGACTCACTTTCTCGTTCTCTTTTCTTCTTCCTGTTTCCTAAACACACAAATCATCATGTCCGCAGCTACCGAACCCACCACCACTACTACTACTGCTCCTGCCGACGAGACTGTTCAACAACAACAGACCACTGAGCAGTCGACTGAAACAGCTCCTGCTACCACCACCACCACTGAAAACTCGGATGATAAGCAACAACCTGCTACCACTGAAGAGCAATCCAAATCGGATGACAAGAAGGATGAAGAACAAAAGGATGAATCCAAGCAAGAAGAGGAAGCCAAGCCTGAGGAGGAAAATGCTGCCGCTGCTACTACTGCTGAAGAATCCAAGAAGGAAGATGACAAGCAACAAGCTGCCGAAACAAAGAAAGATGAAAAGAAGCGTTTTACTCTTTTCAACAAGAAGGGCTTGAGCAGCTTGTTCGGTGGTCGCAAGGTAGGTTGATCCGTTTATGCAATTTGTATTGTTTACACCCAACTCATCCCATTACTATTTTAGTCTCCTGTTGCTGAAACCAAGGAGCAAGAACAACCCAAGGCTGCTGAAGAGGCTACTGCTGCTGCTGAAGAGCTTAAGGAAGAAGAGCCCAAGAAGGATGAGCAACCTGCTGAAGCTGCTGCCAAGGAACAAGATGAACAAGAACAACCCAAGGAGCAAGAAGAAAAGAAGGAAGAGACCACTGAGGCTCCTGCTGCTGAAGAGGAGGAAAAGCCTATGCCCAAGGAAGAGAAGCGCAAGTCTTTCATTAGCAAGCTTTTCAGCAACAAGAAGGCTACCACTACTCCCAAGCCTACTGTTGAAGAGACCAAGGAAGAACAAGAACAACCAAAGGCTGCTGAAGAAGAGCCCAAGAAGGAAGAAAACGAGGAGCAAAAGGAAGCATCTACCAGTGACAAGCCTGCTGCTGAAGAGCAAGCTGAATCCTCCAAACCTGAAGTTACCGAGGAGCAACAACAACAAGAAGAAGCTGTGAAGCCTGTTGAAGAAAAGAAGGAAGAAAAGAAATCTCCCAAGCTTGGTCGTCGTTTGACTTCCTTGTTCAGCCGTAAGAATAACAAGAACAAGCCTGCTAAGGAACAAGCAGCAGCAGCAGCTGAGACTGTTGAAGTGGTAATGGAAGAGGAGAACAATGGTGAGCAACAACAACAAGAAGAAGCAAAGAAGGAAGATGTTGTCGTTGAGGAGGAACAACCCAAGAAGGAAGAAGAGACTGTGCAAGATGAAAAGGCTGCCATTGCCAAGGAACAGGAACAGCCCACTGCTACAACTGCATAAAAATGCTCTCATTGTGTTTGTTTCACCCTTTTTATCTTTCCATACTTTTTACTACTATACCATTACACTAGTTTTATTGCTACCTTTAATGTGCCATTATATTCTTCATCACCATTAAAAAAAGATCAAGTGACTCTATCCTAAATTCTCAAACGTGTTACTTAATTATGAAACAAAAGAGGGAACGTATCCATGATATCACATCGCCCCACGCACCCACCCCCTGAAATACCCAGGCCCGCCTTGTCTTCTTCTCTTTCACTTTTTCTTCTACGTGCACCATGCTATCCGCTGAACCAGTCGACACTATCCAACAGCAGCAACACAATATTGCAACCGATTCCCTCATTGAAGACGTGAACTTGACCGTCATTCAACATCCTTATCTTGACGAACTTGCAGACAAGATCAGAACCGAACCCATTCCATGGCAGGTACGCCACACGCACCTTTACCCTTTATTTTCCTTTTCCCACTATCTATATACAACAATGCGCTGACAGAAAGAGTGTGTACAATGAATGTCCTAGGACTATCAACGCGCTGGTCTCATTACTGCAGACGAGGTGGCCATGATTGAACACGTCGAAAACAAGACGCCTGAAGAAGTCAATACTATCATGGCAGAGGTACGGTGGTTGGTGTGGATGGTGGTGGTGGTGGTGGTGGTGAATGTGGGGCCGTGGGCCTTTGCTAAGCACGAGATGTGTCTCATATGCACCATGATAGCACGGTCTTTATTATGCAGGCATGTACCTGGATCTTATGCATAAGCTTGCACGCGTCGATGCTGTTCAAAAAGTATTGGTCCTTATTCAAGACATGTTGAATGGTAAGTAGATCCATGATGACTGCTTCATTTGATGTTCATGTCTTGTCTTTTTTAGATCATGATGAAAGAATCGCCCTTTTCCATCAAGCAGCAGCTTCTCGTCCAGAATACCCATTTGGTCCTTTCCACAAGTAAGTTTAATCCATGGAGGTATCAAGCATACGACTCATCTATCCCATCACAAAAGGGCACTACAAATCAATGATGAATTTATTGGCATTCAATCGAGCAAGATTTTGGCGTTGCTTGTTTGGTAGGTATTTCTTTTGACTGGGTAAAAGAAAGAAGGAGGGTCTCTCATACAACGAACATAGTTCTACCAACAACCGTGACATTGATATCAATGACTTTTTCCGATGGATGACCTTTCAGCTCCAAAGCCGTAACGCCAACTTGATCGAGCTCAACATTCAAATCCTTGATGCACTCTTTCATATACCCCCTTACAGAGTGGCGTTCTGGAATACGCTTCATGCAGTGGATACGTAGGTTGAAAAGAGGGGCAATGTTCAAAAAACGTCTTTTTCACATTGAATGTAGCCTTGTCAACATTCTCAAAAAGGGCAGTTCCAATCCTCAAGTGACCTATGAAATCGTGTTTGCCATTTGGTTGTTGACATTTGATCGAGATATTGCCGCCAACCTCAACAAAAAGTACGATGTGATCCCTACATTGATCGAAGTTGCCAAGCATGCTGTCAAGGAAAAGATCATTCGCGTGGTGGTGGCTACATTCAAGGTGGGGTGATTTGCATCGTTGCATTGTTTTCTTTCTACTTATGACATGTTTTGTTTAGAATTTGATTGACAAGGCACCCCGAGCCAATCTTTCGGCCATGTTGGTTGCCAAGTTGTTGCCATTTGTTGAACATCTAAGCACACGCAAGTGGTCTGATCAAGAGGTGGTGGATGACATTGAATTCGTTCAAGAACGTTTGCAGGACAACTTTCAAAGTTTGACGTGAGTTATTCTTTTGGTGGGGGGAGGGATTGTGGATTGGATACACAGTGAGTCTAACATGGAGGATGATGTAGTACGTTTGAAGTCTATGCTTCCGAATTGGAAACGGGCAAGCTCGAATGGTCCCCTCCACATCAAAGCGAGAACTTTTGGCGTCAGAATGCTAGCCGATTGAATGAGGATGATAGAAGATTATTAAAGTAAGTTGGTTACCAAGGGCAACAACAATGAGACAGGTTCGCTGATGGATGATCTTTTATCCCCGCTTTAGGATGCTCGTGCGATTGTTGAGTACAAGCAGCCAACCCACTATTTTGGCCATCACCTGCCATGACATTGGACAATATGTGAAATACAGCGGCAATGATGGACGAAGGTATGGTATATCCATCTTCTACATATACATCTTGATTTTTATGCTAATGATGCTGTTGCCTAGACACCTGCAAGAACTAGGTGCCAAGCAAAAGGTCATGGAACTCATGACCCATCAAGATCCCGATGTCCGTTACCACGCCCTTTCCGCAACCCAAAAGTATTTCGCTATGGTAGCATCATCCTCGCAACAATAGTAGCTTTTTGAGTTGATCCCTTTTGTTTTATGCTATATTAAACCGTGAATTGAACGACTTTTTGTATACAGCTGTTTTATTTGATACATGGTTACAAAGATAGCAAGGTCTGTTGTGGTGTATACATGGATACAATAGCAAGCAAATGATCGACGATATCAAAATATACGTATAACTCTGACAACAACAAAGTGAGAAGAGATAGTAAATGCCAGGTCGTTTATATGTATATATATATATATATGAAATGTCTATGGAGTGGTTGAGTGGGTGTTGGTTGTGGTGGTGGCTACAAGAATTCTATACATGGAAAAAAGGGAGGGAGGGGAAAAGAGCTTGTACAAGAAGCAGGAGCCTAATCTGTATGCTAAAGAGAGCGGCAAGAAGAGGGGGATTTTTTGGATCAAAGTACAAGATGATATGATGATTGGGGGGTAACAAATTTGAGAGGGGGTTGTGGGGGAATGATGCAAGAGATGAGTTATGCAAAAGATGACAGAGGTATTTTTGGTGAAGGAGGAGGTCAATGTAGTAGTAGTTGAGAGAGAAAGACGGGTCTGTGCGGGGATTGCATGTCAACCTTATTGAATGGTGCATTGACAAAACACAGGGCCGCCCTCATAATCATGATGGTGATGATGATGATGATGGTGATGATCAATGGCAGGAGCACTTTCACGTTCCACATGATCAATGCGTGCGTAGGCTGGCATCGTAGGTAATTTGTGAAACACAGCTTCGCATTCAGGAATCGAACCAGCACTTCTTCTTCTAGCTGCTGCTGCCATGGCTGCTGCTGCTGCATGGTGTCGATGGTATCCGGTATCCAAGGAAAGTCGTTTACGAAGTACCTCCACTGCATTTGCGTGACAATCAAGGCTGTTGCTCCTTCGTTTGCATCCAACCGTTTCCAAGGGATCATTGTCTTCTGTTAAGCTGCCAACGCCTGAATCATGACTGGCACTTTTACGATTCTCCCATCGCTTCAAATTCGATTGAATGTATTCCACCGTAAATGACATTTCTAGAATAGATACATACAACAACAACAATCAACATCACTGAAAAATAGCTAAATTCTCTTTGTTGGACTTACCAGGAAGAACTTTGGATACACTTTGGAAAAGGCCAAGCGCAACAAAACGGATGAATCCAATTTGAGAGTCTTCCAAGACAATCTTGTCGCGATCATTCATTGGCAAGCTTGGTAAGCCCATAGCACGTTCCAAATCACCTTGAGATACACATTCTTGTACGAGCAACTCTGCCCACCTAGCAGCACGTAGAAAGGGTCGAGTCTATTCGTGCGTGTTTTCTTAGCATACAATGGTCATGAAGCTTCTTAAAGATGATGGATGCTTACCACATTGCTAATGTCAGCACACTTTATCAGTGCACTGCAAAGAGTGAGTCGCTCGTTTTCGCATGAAGCATCGTCGAGTGATTGGAAATTGCCTTGGGATATCCTTTGAGCCTGAGCATGAATTTTTTCAACATAGTCGCCATGGTGAGCCATATCGGTTGCCAAGATGCTTGTGACAACAGTTTTTCGAAACTCTAAAGTCATTATAAGTCATATGTACATCACCCAGAATAAGGAGACATACCTAGATAATCAGGTGACGAAGGTCCACCACCGATTTGATCAAGACCATGTTTTTGAATGATTTGAAAGAGGGTCATTGAATGAAGACTTTCGAGCACCGAACGATCGCTATAGAGCAATGCCAAAGGCGAAGCCGAGTTGATCTGTTGTTTGAGAAAGGTGTGATGATGATGGTTAATACAACTCAGGATTATGTGTAACAAAGGGTGCGTGCGCTACCAGTACTTGCCAAAAATGCATTGTTGACACCCGGGTGCGCAGCATCGTGACCGATGGCGGCAATTAAAAGTGCAAAGATATCCTTGGGACGAAGAATGTGTTGAGGAAGGCCTTGTTGTTGATGATGATCTTGGGGCTTGTTGGCAAACGAGAGCAAGCCGAGACGACAAAGAAAGTAGTACAAACACTGCAAGACATCGATGGCATGGGCAAAGTTGTGATAGGGGTTCCCATCATGGTAAGCACCCGATAATTCAATAATGAAGTCGTACAACTGGTCTAGAAATGTTACGCAATATTAATGATTCCCAGATTCATGGCATATATATAACAAACATAATCTATACACATACCTTGACTAATGGGGAGTTGAAATAAACCTGGTAAGACCAAAGCTTGCTCAAAGATCAAATAGGCACAATAAACGAGATCATCGTGGCCAAAGTCAAAGGGGTTGAAATCCCAGCTGGAAACTTTGTGTTTCAACAATGTGGCACGTTCACTAAGTAGCAGCAGAATCCATGTAAGTGATTACATACTCCCACCCAATCAATGGCTGTTGTGTGTATACTTACCCAGATAAGCCCCGAAAGCCAGAAACGCGTGCTGTTGTTGCTGCTGATGAAGGGGATGCATAAATGTCTAGAATCGTTTGCGTAAATCTGCATGCAAGTTAGTAAAAAGGCTTAGGATCGTGTGTGTGTGAGAGAGAGAGATTAAGTGGTAGACTTACCGATTTCCTTTGCTAAAGATATCTTGAATGCGATGCTGCAGGGCATCGTCAGAACAAAGAGTCGAAGCAGCTGACATGGCATTATCAGGAAGCGAGGGTGAGGATGGCAAAAACGATGCAACTTGGTGCATTTTAGAATCGGGTCGGCATCGGTGTAATTTCTATAGTGATTGTAGATCTTTGTTGTTAGGGTAACAACATAACATTTGTGTGCGTGTGTGTGTGTGTGCATGTTTTCTCTTCTCATACCAGAAATAATGTTTTGATAACCGTCATTGGTAATGGTTTCAAGAGATAATCCACTGCACCTGCATGCATGCACTCGATCATCCATGGTGTATTGTCGTCAGTACCGCACGCTATCAAGAACATGCTATGTCAGCTCCATGCATCTTTACAACCACCCACTGCGATAAAAAGATTACCAATCACTGGCACATTGTCGGGCACGGTGCACACACTATTTCGTATCAGGGCAAGTCGTGGATCATTCAGGGCCGTTGACGAGGAGGGTGCACATGAATAAGAGCATGAATAAGAGTATACAGTCTCGTCGTCATTGTCGTCATGAATGGTGGTAACGGATGAGGTGTTATCGAGATCAATCAACAGAATGGTGGGAGTGGAGGCATGCTGGACTCGATCGAAAGCAGAGACGAGGTTTGTATGATAAAAGACTGCAAAAGAGATTAGTAAGAGAGAGAGAGAGTATTGATTGTTTGTTGTGGTTGTACCTTGACCAAAGACAGACTCGAGTTTGGCAGCGTATTCAGGTTGTTTTATGGAGTGATCATCATCATTCTCTGTGTTCTCGATTAAGAAGGGAGTTGGTGCAGGATGAAATACAACGACGATCGAGCATTGAGAAGGATCCATGGTTTAGTAGAGTGGCGGCGGCGACGACGACGGCGAGAGAAAAGAAAGGGAAAAAAGGGTGCAGTGAATTACAAGAGAGAATGGCCGAATCGCACGCACACACACAAGCAAGTTGAAAAGAAGGGTTGGTTGAGTGGCTGTATATGAGACGAGATGGCAATGAGCAGCGTAAAAGAGGAAGAAAGAGAGGAGAAAGAACAAAAGGGTGGGGGGTGGGGAGAGAGAGAGTAAAAAGGAAAAGGAAAAGCACACAAAGAAGAAGAATGGGCGTTTCTTTTGTGACCTACCGGGTGTGTGAGAGCGAGAGAGTGTGTGTGCGTTTTGAGCGTAGTGCAACAGTGGCAGCACAGTCAGGATAGTCAACGTTGTACAAAGAAAACGAGGGAGAGCCAGAAAGAAAACCTTGGCCGACCATCATGGCTACCACGTGGCAACCGTAACATGGACCTCTTATTTTCCACACCTCTTTTAAAACAATCATAGTTTGAAGATTACTATGATTACCATTTACTATGTTACAATTTTCATTACCCATCCACCCACTTTGTGCTATTAACATGCATCCCTCTCCGCCACGTGCGTATCTATCTCTCTACTTTTGTGCGTATACGTAATGATACTATGAGTCGGTGTTTCTTCTCATCATCATCTGGTGATCGTCTCATCATCGTCATCAGCATCAGCATCATCATCATCGTCATCGCATCATAGCGCACAACCCTTTACTCCTTGTCAACAAAGAAATTGTGTGTCTGTGTATGTGAAACTGTAAAGAACTATCAATATTGCTATTTCTTGTAGGTTGATCCAAACAAACATGCAGCACATTATTATTGGGAAGGAGGGAGGGAGGGAACGAGATCCCCATCACCTCCTTGAAGCATTACCCCGTTCTCACTCTTACATCATAAAAATCCCCAGCACTTTTTTTCCACAGCTCAAGTGATGCACTCTCTTTTCCCTTTGCTGCTGCTGCTGCTGTTGCTACCACCATGTGCTTGATACGACTCCATCCCCATGACATCGTGTTAGTTGGAAGCCAGCTGATCACGCCAAAAGTAAGATGACCAATCAACAATTTCAGGCAACTTTTACTTTCTTGGCATCTATGCTAAGCAACAACCCATCGTAAGAGGAAGGAGGAGGACGAGGAGGATTGTATTATGCACAACACGAGCCAAGTGGCGGTAATCCTATGCATCTTGAGCCAAAGATAGAGTCTTGTTTTGCTGAGATTCACGCATGTACAAGCAAGGCAATGTGATTTCCATTGTTCAAGGCGCCGCCGTCCCCTCTTTTGTGTTTGGTGGGAACGTGGCCATGAATAGTAATCCATCCTCGGAACCCATTTATCCATGACAAGGTTACACACATGGCTATTTCATTCATTCATTCATTCATTCAATGATCCCCAACTTTTAAAACAATAGCAGCAGCAGCAGCTGATCTTTTTAATAGGTTAAACAGGCTTGCATCTAAACGACAAAAAAAGGGGGGATGTTGACGGGGAGACGAAAAAGGGCATGGAAACAGCAGTAAAGGTGGTGGTAGTAATAGCAACAAGGGTAACCATGGCATGAATAGTTGCATTTCCTCACACCCCCTTTCTATCATCATCTTCTCCTTTCTCCCACATGGCCATCGTGTTGTGTTGTTCATATGCTGGATGAAGTTGGTGACTGGATATCGTTGTTGTTGTTCAATAAGCAATTTGCTTCAAGTTGTTGAGCCATTGCATCGATAGCAACGATGATGATGGAAGAGTCGCATTGGGAGCATATCTTGACCACACTATTGTCACATGCATAAACCAGTTATTCACCCTATCTTTCACACTTCTCATCACACGTTATACATACACCAGAAAGAGAACTTCTTGCCGAGCCATCTGCCGACAAATGGAAAGATCACCAACGAAAAGAGTGCGTTAATCTGTGCCTTGCTTTCTTCCCATTCAGCCTCGGCATCGTATGAGTAATAGCTGTCGCCTTCAGAAACATAGCCACCATCCGTATCAATGTCGTCGTCAATGCTAATGTCATCCTCGTAATCCGGTCGCGTGCTTTCTGCCATGGTGTTGTGTGTGGTGGGTGTTGTGTGGTAGCTTCGCCTGCAAAGAGAGGGAGTCCACGCGCCTTGCCTTATAAGAGCGGAAAGTGAAATAGACGCCCTGCTGCAACAACTTTGTCGAGATTCAAGTCAGGTACGATTTTGTCTAGATGGCCCTCTTGCACATCACAATAAAGAGCTATTATGGAAACACACTCTTTTCCTTGATTACAATATAGTCTGATTTCCCTTTGATTATCATTGGTATTATGTAGTAGCCTAGTAGTTGATAGCCTTTTGGGATGATGCATGATGCTTTGATCACATGTCCATATGAACGTTTTCATCATTCTCTTCTCTTAATTGATAAAGGACATCATGTTCACAAACCATACCAACGCTGTAGGCTTTAGTATATAGCTTCTCTCGTCCACAGATGATAACAGGACACAAACGCTGTGAATAGGTTCGACTATTGACAGTAACGATCGAGCTGTAGGCTTTTTGTTTCAGTCATTGGGGCTATAGTCACCAAGCAAAGCAGTGGTCGCATCTCACCAGATGGAGTCAAAGGAGTAAGAGAGAATCCTCTCTAATGCGCATGCCAGCGGGCTTAAAACAAGTATGTACCACGCTGTTGATTTTGATGGGCCAAAGATAGCAATGAACACAAGTAATACATAAAACCTACTTTATGGATCTTTGACTCGTACATAGTCTGAATCGATGGGAATCAAACAAATAGGCGTGTGATGATGTTTGGGATAGCAGCCATGTTGTTCACGCAAACAAAGGAGATCGTAATGGAAATATAGAGCCATTGCTTTATGTAGCTTGGGCATTTGATTTAATTGGGTTTTTGGATGATCATTTGATATAACAAAGAACACGTTGTAGATTGTGAGTTATTGTGTTGTTGATCATTGACGAGGAGGAGGGGAATAGTTACAACCAGCGAGATCCTTGCCACCCACTTTTCAACCTTTTGGAGCCCTCCTTCCTATTGGTTGCCTATATACAATATGCATTGGCAGTCTATTGGGATATGTGTATGGTCATTCATCTATAGCTTGCTGCTTGCACACAACCTTATGCACGCGTGTTGAAACGATATCAATGATAGGAGGGTGTCAAGTCCACATACAATCAAAAGCAAGCATCGTATTTATTCATGTGTTCATTGTGATTGTGATGTAAAGTTCTAACCAAGGGGATCCCATATGCGAGATGGCTGACAGCTTGTTGAATTAGCTAGCTGCATTTATTCCCGCCGCGCAGGAACTCGTTGCTTCTTGTACTTTTCCTCCTCCCCCAATGACAGCAGTCCATCGCAGTATATCCCTTGAAGAATGGGAAGCCAAGACACAGCTATCCGAGAGCGAGCTTCAAAGCGTGTACGAACTTCAAGATGCTTGTGCTGAATTGCCATTGCCTTCCAACTGGGTAAATGCTGGAACACCCAACTGACAACGTTTTGAGCCCATGCGTTAACAATCGTGTTCTCTAGTCATCATCGTCACCAGCCCTACCTCGTTCTTCAGGTGGACATACACCAGACTCATTACCAGGCAGCGGCACTACACAATTGACGCCCTTGAATGCGGGAGCACTCTCCAATCGCTTATTGACATTGTCGACACGGCCACGATCGAGCACCAACTTGCTTATTGAAACAACTACAGCAGACTCAGAAGCACAAACGCGATCAGCACAAGAATTGGGTGCCGAGAAACCTGTTGAGACCTTACAACAGTTTTTCGATTGGTTTGCTCAAATGGAATCAGAGATGGAAAGGGATCAAGAAGATATCTATCGGTGAGTGGCATGGTTGCTATGGTTGCAAGATGAATCAATCACTGATCATTGCATACAGGAACTACCTTGGTGTCGTATCTCAATATCGCCAATCATGTGACGATTTCTTGAAGGATTTGGAGGATACGTCAAAGCTCTTTGATGATTTGGGCAACGAATATGGATTTGTGGAAATGCGTACGCGATCTCTTCAATCAGCATGTGAGAAGCTCTTGAATGAACAGGTATAGTTGACATGGATGAGACACTCACGTGTTGCCATGGATGTGGGATTAATCATTTAGGATAGGAACGTTTGACAAGATTGGCAGATGCGCTTGCTGAGAGGTTGACCTACTTTAATCAACTGGAGCCGATTGCAAAGCTATTCAATTCCCCCGGCGAAGATGTTTGTCTTCATCCAGAATTTGTTCCCATGCTTCAGAAACTAGACGAATGTATCCAATACATGCAGCAACACGTACGTGATCATCATTGTATCCAAGACCATCTCACCGATCAACTTGTTTTATAGCTCAAATACCGTGATGCCGAGCTGTATCTTATGCGTTTTCAACAATGTCTCACACGAGGAATGACGGTGATCAAAATGTACCTGGTGTCATCCATCAAATCACTTGGCTACGACGTTTACAAACAAATCTCATCCAAGGTAAAGTGGGGAATAGAGGTATCCTATCGAGATCCATCCTTTGTTAATGTTATGGATAGACCACCGATCAGCCCCTCGCTCTTAGCAAACAAACGACACTGCTGTACGTCAAGTTTCGAATGTTATCATCCACCTTGAAACCTCTCAGCATTGAGCTCAGTAAACGATGTGAAGGCCATAAAGAGTAAGTTGCAATTGGGAAGGGATAGAGGCATATATGCTAAAGCCGACCCCTCCCCCTATATGCAGGTATCAAGCATTGTATCAAGACATTTTGAGTTCTTATTTCCAAACTCGGCAAAATCTCCTGGGTCCTGTGATATCACGCAAGATACAAGATCTCGGACCCTACAATGGCGACTTGCTTGAATTTGTAAGTTTATAGCCAGCCACCCATTACGTCTTTATTAATACGATGATTAGGCAAGGAATGGATGTGCATACATGATGAGCTTATGTCTGGATGAATTCAACCTTTTCTTTAACATGTTCCCTTCCGGTGATGATGATCTATAGTAAGTGCTCGTATTGAAAAGGATGGAAAGCGTTTGCATTAACCAAGACCTATGACCTATTAGCACCTATCTTGATCTTCTTACAAGTTATCTTTACGACTATTTGAGGAAACGGATTATTCACGAGAACGATATTTCGGTTTTATCCGAGTTATGCAACATATTCCAGATGTACGTGGCCACGGATCGGGAGCTTACAAGTAAGTATGGATGATATCCTTGCATGGTATTGGACTAAAAATGGAAAACAGATGACGACAACGATGAACAGCAACACAGCCTAGAATTTGGACATCTTATCGCAAACGTGCTTGAGGACGCACAAGCCAAGTTGGTTTTCAGGGCACAGACCTATATCCACAATGAGATCCAAAATTATCAACCCAAGGCTGAAGACTTTGAACTCCATAAAGCAGCAGGTACGTGAAGTCTTTTGTCATTTGCACATGTCTATTTCTGACACCTTTTTATAGACACTACGGATATTCCAAAGTCATCTATTGTACTTGAGGGTTCCAAATCTATATCAACCACCACTGAGACAACCGAAGAAGCACCAGCTACACTTGCCATCGAAGAAGATACAACAGACACCCAATCCACCAACCCTCCTCCATCCAACAATGATAACAGCTCAGGATCACCACTGGGACAAGGAACAGATACGTCACGAGGCTGGTTCCCAACATTGCAAAAGACTCTCTGGATACTTTCAAAGCTGTATCAGTGCGTGCAGGTGAGTCACAACAAGTTGATGCAGCTGCAAGAGAATTACTCATCATCTGCAATAGACCGTGGTGTTTGAAGATCTTGCTCAGGAAGCCGTATCACTTTGCAATGAATCTCTAAAGCAGGCCTTTGAAACGATTACCACTAAAAAGGTTAGTCTATTCAAGCAAAGGGAGAGAAGGAAGGATAAAATTTGCGGAGGTGGGCGCAAGGAGCAAGGGAAGGGCAATATATATATGTACCCATGCGCTGCAACGACGATCATGCGGGTATTAGGGAGATGCAAGAGTGAACTCAAGCTTATTTGTTTTTCTTTTCTAGTCACGATTGGATGGACAACTCTTCATGATCAGGCACTTGTTGGTTCTCAAGGAACAACTTGCACCATTTGAGGCCAACTTGGTTCATTCCGGAAAAGAGCTTGATTTCTCACATGTCACAGGTTTGTGGGTGGTTGGTTCCTGGATTTTTGATGACGCACCAGCATTGGATGACACTTTGGCTAATGAGGATATCATTTATCGCATAGATACGCTAAATTCCCTGCAACAAAATCGGTCGCTCATCTTTAATCCCAATACATTGATTGGCTTGGCACAACGAGGTATGCCCCGTGTCGTTGAAATCAGCTTGGATTCAAGGCGGGAGATCGACCGAGAGCTCAAGCGAATCTGTGAAAATTTCATATCCGACTGTGTACATGGTGCTGTGGAGCCGTTAACCAACTTTACCATCAAAGTAAACAATGGGGGATACGAGAAAGCAAGGAGGGATGAAAGGAGATAAGAAGAATTAACTAAAGCATATGCATACATAGGTAACGACAATGGCACCTGGAAAGACGATCGAGAAAGGCAAGTTTGTGTAGTTCTCAAGAGAGCAAAGAAAGCAGGTTGGGATTTACACATTTCATTTACTGTAGATGAGATTCTGGATACTGTTGGGCAATTCAAGGAATCCGCTGGTGAAAGGATACGATTTGTTGTGAGGAAGCTGCGTGAATATGTCAATGATTACAAAATCGAGCAAATCTTAATGAAGCCGATACAGGTAACGGGAAAAAGAATTAGCTGCTATAATATACATTCATCACTCATCCATGCTATTAAATCCATATCATAGATGAATGCACTAGAAGAGTACAAGGGATTTTATCGAGCGGTGGAATCACGGATGGGATCCGAAGATATACATGAAACACCTATTATGTCTGTAGAAGCAGCAGCTGTATGGTTGTCACAAGTGAAAGATCAAATCGATGTTAATGACGATCATGAATAAATTGGCAGCACATGCATAGTAGCGCTAATGCTCGTTAATATGGGGGGTAGGAGGAGAATGTTGCATCGCTTATACGTACAGCATGCATCGAGCACATGTGACGATCACTCTGCAATACGTAAAAGCTACAAGCCAAACGTTGCTTTTTTTTGCTATCTCTTTCTCTTTTCTTTTTATCAACTACTTGACACCTCCTCACTTTATGCTCTCAACCATTCGCTCTACTGCATTACGGATATGGCTGTTCACGTTGGCTTTTTCATCCATTCACGTTACTTTGGCCGTCGAGGAAGAGAATGACACCAATATTGACGTCAAATCACCAGCATTTTGGGGGCAAATTGTAGCCATCATTGCTCTTGTAATCTGCAGTGGTATAGTTGCAGGTGAGCTTTTCCCCTCTTTGAATCGTTGTCGTTGCCATGGAAACTGATAGCATTATTCATCCTCAATGATATCAAGGTTTGACGCTGGGTTTGGTGAGTACTCCATCTTGCATGAACGACCCTGTATTCATGGATGTGCTGGTAATAGATGTCCCAAGACACGACCAATTTGTCCATCCTTGCTGCAGCTGGAACGCCCAAGCAAAGAAAACATGCATCTCGTATCATGCCTATCAGAAAAAATGGCCACCTTGTGTTGACCACACTACTACTCACAAATACGGTTTTGAATGAGACATTGCCTGTATTGTTTGATGGCCTTTTCGGCAAAGGTATGTTTGCGGTGATCGATGTAATTAGTGTGAAATAAAAGCGACCTGAAAAGATAGGGCAGGGGCAAAGTCATGTAAGATGATGCTAATGTGATGCATAAAACAGGTTATATTGCCGTGGTTGGTTCCACTGTGCTCATTGTCATCTTTTCTGAGATCCTACCACAAGCCATTTGTTCACGGCATGGCCTTGCAGTGGGAGCCTTTTTCGCCATACCGGTTCGCATCTTGATGCTGATATGGTTTATTATTGCATGGCCTATAGCCAAGCTACTTGATCTTTTGCTTGGAAAACATCAAGGCTTTATGTACGGCGTTTCAGGTACGACCAATTGCGAATTCGCGACAAGTGCGCGTGTTGTTGTTGTTGCGTGCTTGTCAGCCAAAATCACTCAGCCCAAATACTTATCGTTGTAAATAGAGCTTGCTGAACTCATCCATTTGCATAGCAAAGATAGCGATGCTCATGGCCCATTAGAAAACGACACCGTGGAGATCCTTCGAAACACCTTACAGCTATCTGAGAAAACAGCAAGCGACATTGTTGACTCCTCTCGACAACGATACATGCTTCACGAAGATACCCAACTCGACATGGAGACAATGAACGACATTTTGAAAAATGGATGCACAGCCGTACCAATATACAATGATGTCCCTGATTGCAAAAAGCCATCGATCATTGGCGTACTTCATACCAAGGTACACAATGGACACCATCAGCGTTTCATACTCAGCTTTACTCATTATGCTTCATGTTTTTAGTCATTGACGGCTCTAAACGTGAAAGACAAGACGCCTTTGAGTAAATTGAACCTTGAAAGTATTTTGTATGTGCCGTCAAGTACTCCAGCCATGGCGCTCTTACGCATGCTGCAAAATGAAACAAGTGAGTGATTATGCGCGCATGCATCATGCATTGACCCTTAGCCCTCTAAACGTTATTATTGCTTTTATGTTGTGTATGTGCACTTCAATTAGGCCAAATGGCGGTGGTTTATCAACCATGTCAATGTACCGCATCATCGGCATCTTCTACACAAGAACGTCCTCAATCATCAAGATCATCATCATCTTCCTCCTCCTCCTCCTCTTCACACCAAGATGCCCACACATTTCGTCATTATCCATCATCCTGCGAGAACGTTTCCGAGCTGCCGAGCCCTGATGCAATACTAGCTCTTGTCACGTTACAAGATGTGCTTGCCAAGATCATGACAAATCCAACAAAGGATGACGGCACATTTTGCGGTGTCTTGGTTCATTGCCCATATTCGGAAAGCAGCAGCATTGAAAATAGAAGACCCAATAACACAAGCATGGATACTGTGTGGATGAGCCAACAACGCATTAGCAATCGTACAAGCAGTAGTAGTACCGTTGTATGACATTAGCCATCCATTTTATTTCAGTTGCATTTTGTAAAGTAAAAAAAAAAAGAAAATCGTGTTACAGTAAACCTACATTTTTCGCCAAGATGTTTATTACACAGGATCGACAATCATGCAGCAATGTGCCACAAACATAAATGCATGATAGAGAGCGAGAGCGAGAGAGAGAGAGCATTCAACACCCGCCCCCACCCAAAAGTGATATGCGTGCTGCACAATTGTTTTATACGACTTGCTTTCTTGTATACAATGACTTAGGGTAAAAGGAACCCACCAAGGATGATTATGCAGTACCCTTTGTTGAGAAACCCACACAAACATATCGTATCTCAATGCATATACCCAGTTTTCCCCTTGTTTTTCTTCACCACGTTCCACCCCTAAGACCCCTTTTATGCAACGACTACCGCCCTCGAGACAAAGCATCACCATCATAATGGAGAAAGGCAACGAGATCGGCTATACAACCGTGCGTGTTGCATATGGCTCGATCATAATACAAATACAACACAGCAGCAACCGTAATGTCTCAAAATGGAAAGACACATGGTGTGCATACGTGTTTTTGGATTTATCCCGGATTAGTCAAGTGTATTGTATTGCCGCCTTTGCTCTAAAAAAGTATACATTTCACTGTGCAATATCACGTTTGCATTATAATGCACCCCTGGTTGGCTATTGTATACGCTATAAGGAACATAAAGAGTCTTTAGTTGAGCTGGTAGTAGGTAGCAGTGACACCTTGCGGATATGAAAGTTTTACCGTAACTTGCATAAAAGCCTCTTGTTGGGTGCTTTCTCTCCAACACAGTAGTGGCCTTTCACAGCCCTCATCAATGATAAGCCTGTTGGCAAGATACGAAGCATCCAATAATGTATAGCACTTGTATGCAGATTTCATCAGCAACAACAACTGTTGTTTTCCTATAGTCCATGATGGAAACCTATGTGCTTGATACTACTACAAGCGGGCGTAAGCATTAGTAGCAATTGCAATTCCCTAGCAGTGATACAAGTTATACATTGCTGAATGATGCAAACGCAACTGTACCACTAAGCTGATATGGTAAAGCAATCAAATTAGGACCATCGATCTAATCATTTATCCCTCACAATGATATGGAGTGCGTCATTCGCATTCTCTTTATTTTTTTATGACCTCTTCCTTTTCGGCATTATGCTCGATAAGTGGGTTGCTGACAGCAGCAGCCGATCTTGGACCGAGGACCCTTGCAGTGCCACCACAATGCACAAGATCGCATGACTAACATGTCATAGAAGATGGATGCTCCAATCATGTCCACCAACTACAAGCAAAATGAAAGTATGTATTGTAGTCACCTTCGCCTCAATACAAATTCAAAAAGACGCAAAGGAAAAAGAATGGGATTACAAAAGTCCCAGGCCTGACGTTGATGATGGCCATTCACTGCTGCTGTCAACCAAAACCAAAAAAGAAGGCATCTTGCTGGGCGGCCTTTCTTGCCAAACAAGAAAAGGATTTTTACGTCTCACGCTTCATGCATTTTCATACAAGATACTTTCGGATCACTTTGGCCTATTAACCATACGATGGTCAACTTGAAAAACATGCCATACGGGCTACATATCATAGACGGACCTTACTATAGTAGGCGTACATGAGAAAATGTCCATCATGCAACTCCACCAATAAACATTGATCCTTCAAATCCTCCTGCCCCTGAGCTGTGTTACGCAAACACGCCCCTCTGTGTCTTTTGCTCTATTAGTGTATGTCTACTAGCATAGCAACACGCTTACCGCATAGGTAAAACATAAAGGTATCTGTATCTCTAAACTTTACAATCAAACGTGGGGTCTTTAATAGAACAAAGCTGCTCGGCGGGGTCACAGGAATATTGTGTGCAAGCTTCACGATCGAGGCGGCCAATCCCAGATTTGCCAAATGTCGCTATCAGTTTCAAGAGGTCGACTCGACGTGAGTTTGGCTGGTGGCGACATTTGCGAAATCAGGTATATTGTCCACCTCGATCGTCAAACTTGCACACATGATTTGATTCCTTTCACCCCACCGAGCAGCTTTGTTCTATTAAAGACCCCACGTTTGATTGTAAAGTTTAGAGATACAGGCACCTTTATGTTTTACATATGATGTAAGCATGATGCTATATGAACAGTGGTCTTTGTTCAATGCCAAGTAGCTAGACCCTGGAGAGCCAAAGATGCAGAAGGACCTCTTTGGGTAACTCAGCTAAAAAGTCAGGACTTCAGGGACAATGCATGAAAGGTACGCAACCCTCACTTTGATGTCATACATTGGCAGCTAATAGCCACTTTTGTGCATTCTGAGATATTACGTATAAAAAGAAGATGATAGAGAAAGTGAAAGTACGTTGAGAATCAATATACTGTATTCAACTTAAAGGTGCCGTTACCAGCTACAACTACAACATGTCTTATATAGGTTTCTAGTATGGCTGTGTGACGATGCTAAAGGGAGATGGCGTTTACATAGAAGGATGTTGGGTACACGAGATGACGGGGCTCATTGAGTGATGAACCTTGAGTGTGGATATGGAAACGTTACATTCGGTGTCCTCTTGCGGGATGAGTGTGGTCGTTGTGATACCTTGGCTTGTCACCTTGTACTTGATGATGGTATTGGTACTTGAAATACGACACATTCCCAACTTTTGTGCATTCTATTGTAGGTGGACGATGCCCCTGCTCTAGACATTCATTTCCATGATTAAAGTAGGTTGATCCGAGCTGATTTGGTTGAGTTACGCTCACACAAGATTACATCAGTTGAGCTACATCGAGCGTGCTCTATGTCCAGAGTGATGTAATCTCTCTTTGACCGCAGCTCAGTCAAATCAGCTCGGATCAACCTACTTTAATCATGGAAATGAATGTCTAGAGCAGGGGCATCGTTCCCATGCAGTGGATCTCGCAACAATGATGATTGGATAAAAGTGGCCGTTAGCTAGCAATACATGCCTGTTCCTAGATGATCCATAAAGTAATTATACATTAACCCTTTCATTCATGCAAACGTAGCTGTGTTACACAACACGACCCTCTGCATCTTTTGCTCTGCCAGGGTCCACCTACTTGACATTGACAATGAACAAAGACCACTTCTCATATTACATCACGCTTACAAACATAAACGTGCCTGTATCTCCAAACTTTACAATGAAACGTGGGGTTTTTATTAGAGCAATGGGCTCGGCTTGGCCAACAGCACCTTGTGTGAAAGTTTTACGTTCAATGTCGCAAACAGCCCAAAAAATATTTTTTGGTCGTCGTCGTCGAAGAAGTCGACCCCCAGATCCAGTTTGGCTGGTGGCGACATTGCGAAATCTGGGGTTGGTCACGATGAACTTCATACTTTGACACAAGATTCCTTCAACCCCGACAAGCACGTTGATCTATTAAAGAGCCCACGTTTGATTGTAAAGTTTGGAGGTACAGGCACCTTTATGTTTTACATATGCTGTAAGGGTGATGCTATATGAGAAGTGGTCTTTGTTTAATGTAAAGTAGTATGGCTATAATAGAGCAAAAGATGCAGAGGGCGTGTTTGTGTAACTTGAGTCATTCAGCACAGGCGATGCATGATTCTTGTACACTATTTAGGAATAGTTCAAATTGCCAGCTAATAGCCCATTCCTTCCATTCCCCGTTGTTGCCCAATCCAATACATACGAACGATTGTCCTGCTTCAGCCCATCATTTCCATCCTTCAACTTTCTTGATCCAAGGTGATTTGACTGAAAAACGCGCAAACACAGGAGCATCATCCAATACGAGAAAAATCATTTTGCAAAGTTATTTGTAAACTGCCAGCTAATAGCCCATTCCTCCCATTCACCTTTGTTGTCCAATCCAATGCATACGAACGATTGACCTGCTCCAGCCCAGCATGCCCATCATTCAACTTTCCTGATTTGAGCTAACCTGGTAGTAAGGTAATGGCTGTTGTTGGATCATCATTATCATGTAAAGTGTAAAATGGCACACACCCTATTGCTGTACGTGAGGATCATTTCTTTTATTTACGTGCACCTATTGTCTATCGTGAGGGTGATGATGACGATGGGTGGATGGGGTCTGTGTGGGGTCATTGAGTGGCCTCAGTGTAATAGCAGTAGGGGATCTAAACTTGGGGGACAGCAGCTCCACGACTTGAGACAAGCTTCTCTTCTTTTTCTCCCACCTTTCCTTATTCCATTCACGACATCTCGATCAAGGTAATGTATTATAGAAGAGTGCTCTTGTTGGCTGTGAGGTGCTAATGTAGTTCTGAACATGCATTGTCAGGGAGTGAGTGTGTCCAAGTGCAGAGGAATGAGCGTGGTTGGTGGTTGGTGGTTGCCATGGCGATATCATTGCTTCCTTTTGCTCGTTGCTATTCCCGCTCTACGCTTGGTGTCAACAGGTACATTCAGAGTCCAATGTTGCAGCCGAATTGGTTCCATTGACGCGTCAGCTTGTATAGAGGGCAAGTTTGGTTTCAAGACATCGGCTGGTTTGGTGTTTTGTTTCGGCTCAACTATACTACACCATGGTTTTCGGTTTCCAGTAACCAACAATAACGGGGTCTTTGTGTATATGGAAAAGGCAAGTACAGTGAAACAAACAATGAAAAGGGTGTTCATTGTGTGTGTGCTAATAATGAATTGAATAGGATTCTTTGGTCAGGCAATGCAACTTGGGTCATCATCATCATCTCTTTGGGTTCAAATCCCAGCCTGTATCAAGTGGTCGCTGCGTCGCTCTGCACTAGCCAAGTGTGCTGGAAAAGCTTCTTGCAACGCGTCCAGGGCTCTATAGGCCTGCGTTGAGTTGAGGATGGGTCGATGACGATGGATTTTTGGAAGAGCATGGTCACCGTGTTGAGGTAAAAAGGGATTTGCAACAGCTTGTGAATGTGTTTAACCAACACGCTCTTCTCGTGATAGGCTCGTTCTTTCCCTTGAGGATTTCTTTTCATGAGGTGGGAAATGATTGGAAGGATTGGGGATCATTCTTTCTTTGGGGAGGATGAATGAGAACAACTATGAGCCTGGACTCTACGTAAGTGATGTCCTTCCTTGCCATGGATCGAACTGGCCTTGCGTGATTCGTGCAGTGCCTTCTCAAGAACAAGGGATCGCCCGACGTTGCTCATATGGTGGTGATTTGGTTTGTGAATTCCTTCGGATTTGCTTTCTTCCTTGGAGAGGATCACCTAACGGTATACCAAATCGTCATCGTTCCCGGTATCAGATGGTCTAACTTGCCTGCTTTCTTATTTGTAGAGACGGCAATTACGATGATTACCACATTCACAACAATGACAATGATGACGACAACGAGATTCAAAAGGAAGCCTGCAAGATCCCATTCTTTTCAACTTGTGTATTTTTGGATGTTTGGTGTGACGGATGAGATTGAGGACTGGTGACGAGTACGAGTAGGAATGATGACGGAGGACGACTACGACGATGGTGGTGGCAATGTACAGTACATAGCAAGATAACTAGATGAAATAAAGCATTGTTTATTTATTACACGCTTGTTGGAGGTTGCTAGCATGTGGATTACATACTATTGCTTCCAAGATGGAATAATAAAGGTGGTCCGGTTATCGGTCATGCAAGAAGTACACGGCTTTTGTGATACAATAAGGAGCTTGAGAAGAGAAAAAGTGAAGAGATCCCTCCATTGAGTTTCAGGATGAGTGACTCATTCAATATGTATATGTATCTTTACATATACAAATTGGTTTATGCAGCTCGACTTTCTTCTACATGCAAATGTGATGCATACCTTGACACACCTTCATTATTGGATGCTGTTTACTTACGTACCTTCACAAAAAGCAATCATTGTCATCATCCATTTGTGCAACAACCTGTCAAGGACGTGTTTGTGTAACCACCACGTGCCATTTCACTCAGCTCTTCATCTTTCCGTTAATGCAGCCGACACCATACACTGGGAAAAAGCAATTCCATCACGCTTACAGCATATGCAAAACATAAAGGTGCCTGTATCTCTAAACTTTATAATGAAGCGTGCGGTCTTTACGAGAACAATGTGCTCGGCTGGGTGGAAAGTACCCTGTGCAGGTTTGACGATCGAGGTGGGCAACTTCAGGTTTCGCAAATGTCGCCACCCGCCAAAGTGGATTGAGTCGACCTCTTGAAAAAGTTTTTGGCTGGTAACGACATTGGGCAAATCTGGGAATGGCCACGATGAACTTCATACTTTGACACAAGATCGCTTTGACCCGCCGAGCAGCTTGTTCTCTTAAAGACCCCACGTTGCATTGTACGTAAAATCTAGAGATATGACTGTGTTTATGTTCTCACTATGCTGTAAGCGTGATGCTATATGAAATGTGGTCTTTGTTCATTGTCAATTTATAGAGTGTGTTTTATTCGGCGTCAATGGAAGACGCATTGATTTAAAAGATAAAAAAAAAATTAAGAGGGGGAAAGTACATATCGGCTTTGGGAACAGAAACGTTCTATGAGTGTATAGGCAAGAGTGAAAAGGTGAGCTTCATTGAAGGGGATTTCTTGATATATGAACTCCCAATGTCTACGCCAAACAGCCCACACACCACAGGCCACCAAAACACGAAAGGAAAGGAAGGGAGTCATCACGGCGGAAGGATACGAAGGATTTAAGGCCTTATGGGACCTGTGGCGGGGATGTAATGGTCGAAAAGACGTCGCCAAAAAGGTTGGACAAAAGGACAAGAGAAGAAAAAGTGCTTGTCATCCTCAACGGGTTGCAAACCAGGGACATTGAAAGATTGACAAATAGGGCAGATTGGTGACGGAGCGATGTTGGGTGCAATGTGATGCAAACGTGCTCGACATGGTATGCGGAGGTGATGTAAGCGCCAAAGAACCGTAATGATGCGTTGGGGAAAAGGTGAAGACCAAAAGCGTCGCCATTCGGATTTGGATGCACGTGGGTAAAGGTCGGGGAGTTGGTGAAAGGGGATCAAAAGGCTGTACCGAAATTGTTTACGGGTGAAAGTGACGAGATCCAGACCATTGTAAGTTGTGCGAGCCAAAAGCCGGTGGAATGCATGATCAAAATAAGGTGATGGTGTGGAAGAATAAGGGACAAGTAATAAACGCCGAAAACAAACTTTGAGGCGCCATGCACCATGTGTGTCAATGTCCTTAAGAAAGGTGACAACCTTATTCCGATTTGAAATGGATCGACGTTCTGAAAGGGTACGAGCACGACAACGACGTAATTGTTGTTCATTGTCAAGTAGCTCGACCATAGCACAGAGCAAAAGATGCAAAGGGGCGTGTTTGTGTAACTAGCAGAGAGAGGAGGCGAGTTAATGGTTGATCCTATTGGTGGACAGTGCATGATGATATTGTTATAGCGTCTTAAACCGTTGCGTGTCTCTACACACAAGTACAAAACAAAAGGGGATAAGTATACAATGAAAGCTGGCACAAGTACGCGGTGTGCAATAAAAGATGACATACCAAAGACAAAGATAGTGTGTGTGGGAATAAAAGTGTGTATACGCGCGGTACAAGAAGAGAGAAAATGATCTACACTAAATGATCCACCATCAACATAAGTATCTTCATCCTAGTAGCCCTGACGCCGTCCTTGATATACGTACGAGAATGTGGGATCTCACGCTTGAAATTGAAAACGCTGTGTCAAAGGAGATGTACGTAATCGGAGGAAAAAGAGATCCGTTTTATTTCCCAAGCATGCTATTGATATGTGATGCATTGATCGGATGGAAGTCCTTCTTGAGCATGTGAAACAATGTTGTTTCATCAAAAGGATGTAATGATAGCACCAATTCGTCAAAGGGATCAACCTCGAAAACGCCATCAAAAAGGAATAGCGACGAATGTGTATGCCTATTCTCCTTAAAGACAGCATACACATCGCGCCAACCACGATGGTCATCATTAGGTCGTGAAAGCCACCCAAGCAATGCACTGCCAGCAGACATGCAATGGAAGTACGTTGGTCCTGTGGTAGAGATTGATGTCAACAAGTCTTCCACGTAGCGGTCTCCTTGCGCTTCAATCATGCTACCCATGATCTCGCCCCTCAACTTACCCTCTGTGATTGTTTTCCAAGTGACGGTCGCTCCAACAAAAGTACTTTTTTTCAGCCAAGCGATATATCGAAAGGAATGCTTCGACAGTGTTTGGCTGTGTCGATGGATCGGGGGAAACGGAGATGTTTTCCATCAATGCCTTGATCCTAAATTGATACGGGTATTAATGTCATGATACATCCATCCAATGTGATGCATATCCTTACCATGTCTTTTCACGTTTTAGCATAGCTTCACGTTCCCTGTGAAGAGCCAACATGATGTGCACAGGTATTGGATCATCTTGCACAAGCCGATGGAATCGAAAGTAGACTCGTTTCTTGCGACCTCAGATTCACTTGTTATTGCCGTTGTTGGACGTTGCATTCGTGGACGCAAGGCTCGACTTTATATATCCGTCATCAGTCAAATCGTCTTCCTCGTTAGATGTATATGATTGGAGCACTTACACAGCGATGGTTGGGCAATCTTTCAGTAGATGAAAAGAGAACGAGCAGGTGTTTTCGGCAGATGCCCCGTGTTTTAAACGCAAGCCGGCAACCTTGTAACACTGGTAAGTATTCTTGTCAAGCACGAAATCACTCATCCATATTTTGAAAATTGGGTAACGTACCTACTGGTTGTTGGAAATACTCATTTTCCCGCCAATTTTGTGCCTTGGTTTAATTCAACACGCTGATCTGGCAACGTGCTTATCATAGGACCAGCCTTTGGGTTCGAGATCAAGCGACTGATCACTTCTGATGGCCGCACAAAAGTGATCTGATACGACGACTTCTCCTCTTGATTACCATCTTGTCGTCTTCTTGAAGTGGTAGAATCCTTTGGGTAAGGTTTCACCTGCTTGCTCGAGTTTGAGTTGCGGGATTTTGCAATGGGCAGAACTTCTATAATTCATTGCCCAATTTAACGTGGGCACAGCAGCATCAGGATCCATACGAACAACTTCTACAACATGCTCAACCTACCAAGTTGAGGATCTTCTCCTTTTCGAATCTCGAGCATATCCCTCTCATGGTTGTCGCTAAGCTGGGAAAGGAACCTTGTAGTACACCACGCGCCAAGAAGTTGCATTTGGTGCATGGATTTGCAAGTCGCACATGATCATAGTGGTGGCGCCATAATTGAAGCTGTCCTTCTGGCCCTTCGATGTCGCGCCCTGATGACAGCTTGTGTAGCAGCGTAGACAAAGCATCCACACTTTCTTCATGATCGCGGAGGTCATTTTCGCCACTGCCTTCATAATCATGCGCGTAAAATGCGCTATTTGAAGCATTGCCTCTCATGTGATTCCAAATGATGTTGCGGACCACTGGATGCTTGAGGATGGCCGTGGGCGATACAACTTCAATCTGCTAGCATGGTAAAGATCTGGTAATTGTAGATGCTGGTCGCGGAAAGAGTAAGTGTTCATACACAAGTGAGTCGTATGCAGCTTTGATGTCCAAAAAGGCTATTGCTGGCCATGAGTTGAAGGTTCAATCCCTATTGGTGGAGGATGCATAATGCGAGATTCGCCTATTGGAACGCCGTTGTGTCATCACCTCTCGGGCTGTAATAGACTTTGCCACTTGATCCAATGTTGCAGCCGCATATCGGGAGGTTGCTACATCAAAAGAACTATAAGTATACTTCATGAATCCACATGATTAGGACTTACCTCAATAACAAAGGAGCCAAATGGCACAATGACAATGAAAGTAGGATCACAATGAAACGCTAAAGATCATCACGTTTATTAGCACATCGATCGCTTACAATAAGACAATCCATCATGGCACTTACCAAGGGCTTTGATGGTGTCAGGTTCAAACAGTGATAAAGCTGGAATGGTGCATGTATTGCTTTGTGCTGATAGACCGGGACCTTCACCAGTGATAGCCTATACGTGATGGTGATCCATGAGTGAATTTGCAATTGGCATACCAAAAAAGGCAGTTGGCAATATCCATCGCTGTGCCCTGATCCACCCCTTTTCCCCACCAACCTCCATACCAGTAATCCCATCATCTTCAGTAGCATGTTGATATGGTAGTAAGGCTCGTACACAATCCTCGCATGTAGCAAACACGGGAATAAAGAGCGAGATCGATATGAAAAAAGATATTCCTCCACGTGCGACAATCGACCATTATGCGTTTCAATAGTGTGATGTGGCTGTTCATAGCTGGTGCTAACTTTGTGGACGTGGAAGATGGTCGCCAAACGGTCGAATGGGTCAATGGTGAAAGCGAGTGTTGAGTCGACATTCAAAAGAATGAACTCCCACATTTAGCGGCCATGCCCATTTCACTGTTGTGCTGCAATGTCGTCTCGTCATTTGATATTGACTTTCATGTAGCTGAAGCGTCCATTCGAGTGTTGGGGAAACCTGAAGTTGTGGAGGAGAACTTTGGCGTTTTTTTCCCTCGTGCTCTTAACCCTGAGCTCCGATCCAGGAACGTTTATTTGGACAGCAGGATGAAACAGCCCAACCATGCAACCATCCATGTGTGTAACTATGACAACCATGCTTTATTTATGTGTATGTAGGTATGTGGTATCTATACTACTGCTAATGGATATATATTCTACTTGACTAGATACCGCTTTCTGGGATAGGTTTAACCAGCTGGTCATTGAAACGAAGTTCTTGGATACGATGTCGCTTGATAGCAATAAATCCAAAATGATTCTCACGTCCACAAATGCTTCTGAATACTTGGTCTCGTAGTTGTTCAATTACAATAAACGGATTATATTTCCACTGATCCTTGCATATGTAATGAGAACGTAGTACCGATTCGGCGTGCTCAGACGTTAAGCGTTGAATGGGGTCATAAGTGTTGGAACATGTGTGATAAAACTCAGTGATGTTGCGGTAGGAGTAGTAGTCGTCGTCGTCGTCGTCTTGTGCTTGCTCATCAATAATGCCAATCAGTCTGCAATTAATGTCCATGATATGATCAACGTGATACAATTCATAGGTGAAACGGGTATCTGAAATCCGAAGCGTATCAAGGCGATGATGTGATATCGTTAAGCCGATGCCTGGTGGAATACGACAGGTACAATTGTGGACTATCAGCCGTCTTGTCCATTGGACCATGCTGCCAAGGTCTTCAATCAATGAATTATTCAGTTCCAAAGTCCCCAATAGCCTGCTGGGCGGTACATCTTGTGAATAGGATAGCAGTGGCTGCAGCAGCTGCGCTATACTATTATGATTCTCATCGTATAGCCTTGACGAGATAACGAGATGCTGAAGGTGTGGTAAAGATTCTTCATCATAGACCAATCGCTTGATATCGACCTTGGCGCCATTCAGCTCGAGGTATGTGAGTACCTTGCCAGCCCACTGGATGATAGGTGTTGCATCGCCATGCGTAAAACAAGATTTCAGGATAACATCATATGCAGATGCTTTGATTGTATTCTGACTCGGGGGACCAGCTATGATATCCTTTGGTGTTGACATACTGAGCTTCTTTAATCGTTGTGTATCCACGAGATCAAGGAATGGTCTTAGGGAAAGAGTGCTTGTGGGATCAATGGACAAGGATTCCAGACTTGATATCGACCCTGTTGTTTCATATCGAGCTTCCTTTCTGATGGTAGTGTCGTATGCATGAAGTCGCTCCATTTGTGGTGTCAAACAAAGGTCTCCACCAAAGTTAACGTTGACCAAGGATAAATCGATTAGAGAAGGTGGAAAGTGCACAACATCATCGATGACATAAATAGGTCTTCCTTTCAATGTCAATGATTGGAGAGTAGTAGTCCTCCCCTCTGCTGAAGCGTTGATGATGATAGGCATCAAATGGATGCATGAATGTTCTGTTGATGACTGAAGCGTCAAATGTTTCAAGTGCGGGACACGTGCCACAAGATCTGCTGCATTGGTGAGACATTGATCCATGAGATGCAAGTGCTGAAGCATCGAATGATCTCCAATCCATCCCAAAACACGTCTGCTACTGATAGCTGGTACTTGTGTAATATGCGACCATCGATGAAATTGCTTCTCATTCAGTGCTTCCCATTGCCATTGTGCAAAGTCGATCGCTTCCAAATGACGACACGTGCGAGTGATAACGTCGAAATCGTTTGCTGATGGCCGAATGTCGTATCCGATTGCCAATCCACGTACGTATTCTCCAACAGAAGGGGCTGAGTCAAGTGCTGATACAAAGTATACAAGTTGCCTTGGAGACCGAAGGTTGACATGCTTGTACAAGATCCGCTTGACAATGTTGTACCACAACCTGCATACTAAGAGACACGTGCGTTTGTCATCCGTTGAATCAACGTAAAGCAGTATTCGGTGGACGATCTCAAGAGGTAGTTTCATTGAATAAAGGATGAAAGAGAAAGAAAATTTATCTCATGTACGGTGGTGGTTGATTCATGTATAAAGAAGAAAGAGTGGTTTATTGTGTCACAGCGCTATTGTTTACAGTACATCATTCGATCATCACCACCCGGGTTCATTGTTGTCTCCTCTCTACGTACGCGATACTACAACACCCATCTTCCTCCCAATTACTCTCTCAGCTGAATCTTTGCTTCTGTAGGCACTCTCATTATCAGAGCGAATCGTTTTTGTTGCTGTGCTACTTTTTTCACCCCTATTACAGATACCAGCATTAATGATGATTCCTTTTTTCCATATGATGGACTTACACCCTAATCGCTAAGCTTGTATTTCGAACCAGTACATCAAGTAGTGGAAACAAGTCGATGCGTGCAATCCACTTCGGCGGCACCTGCCGTGTTCCAGGATCCCGGTGATGTATCATAGGTCGCACAAACGTATGGCATCTACATCCCTAATCGTGCTCGCTTATGGGAACTATCCATAGATATTAGATACCTTGTTCTTCTTCTCATTAAACCTTACTGAATCTCACTTGTCGTATAACGTCCCCATTTATCTTGACAACAACAACCGACCACGACAGTGCTCAAGCGAAACGCTTGATATTGTCACTGTTCTCTTGAGATACTATTGTTTGTTTTTAGCGACAGGGTAGGTTAAGTATCCCGCAAAAATACTTACTAGATCATATACCCATTTGTATAGCACATATCGGCTCAACGATGATGTAGGCATGTACTTTTATTGAAACACCCTGACTGAAGCATTTTTACTAGCCTAGCTTTGATGATCTTGAGTTGGCCGTTGGGCGTATGGCAATAACAAACAGCAACGACCATCTTCGAAGCAAAGTTGTGTTTGTCAAAAGCATTCTCTCAGCGATGTAAGACAATCACCTTTTTTCTATACAATATCATGCTGATTTGCTACTACAGGGTCGACAATGTTTACTCCGGAGTGGTGCATCCGACGCATTCAGAGGTTTCCTGGAATCAAGCGATACTGTGGCCGATACCAAATTCCTATCAGACTAGACATCCTTTTGATTGTAATGATAGTTATACCTACCACAAAGGGTCTATCAAGGAACACAGCTACATACCATTAGGCAGCAATGAGCACATCAAGTGGTAAAGCAGTGAAGTGAGCTACACGGATGAATGCATGAATACCCTCATTTTGCGGATCACATAATAAAGACTATCCTTGAGACTTACCAAAGGCCATTGATGATGATATAGATACAAGTAGAAAGGGCGAATGATAGCGTTGGAAACCACAGCCTTGTTTATATAAGAGTGGGCGTGAGAATTGTTGTCATGATTAATCAAACTGATAAAGTTGTCAAGCATCATGGAAGTGATGGAAAACCACAGCTGATAAACCCACCTGCCACTTGAAACGTGATTTTTTGTAGGTGACATAAGTATGTCCTTCATAGAGAATGAGTGAAAGAGAAAAAGGTTATTGAGTGTACAAGGGGTTGGTGTTGATTCATGTAAAAAGAAAACGAAAAGGTTGGTTTATTGTGCCACAGCTCTATTGTTTACAATACAGTACATCATTCATCATCACCACCCGGGTTCATTGTTGTCTACTTGGATTTGCAGCTTTTGGATGATGAGTTGGATCCTAAAATGAAAATGTCAATCAACGTGATTTATCATCGGCAATGCGTTTAAAATGTAGTACCTGTGCGGATCTTGTAGGCTTCATTGAGAAGTTCATTGTTGGATGAATCTTCATCCACAGAAAATACCATGACACCACCCAGGTCCTTGCAAAGTGCATAATCAACCTTGATGGAAATGGATTGGGGATCATCGTATGAAATGAAGGTCTTGTCTTTGGGGTTGAAGAGCCATGGTGTTTGAGTAACCTTGTCCCATTGTCGGATCCATGGGGAAGCAGCCTTGTCGGGAGCTGTCAAGACGCCTTCCGATCGCAAATTACCATAACGCCAAATACCAGACATACCACCAGGATCTGTAAAAGGTATGAATGAGCCACTTTTTTTTATCCATGTTTCAATACGACTATCGTACTACTTACCCTTGGGGCAATTGGGATCTTGCCAATAGGCATCAAGTGAATCACCTTTTGGAGGCTTACCCTTGACCTGGGGTTGGTATTGGTTTGTCTTGCTCATGTCAACAGTGGAAGCTATGTAGCACACCATCATCAGGTTAACAATTTTCAAATGATAGGACGCAAATAGTACTCACTCGTAGAACGGCCATAGAATGCCAAACCAGGGGAAATCTTGCTTGCAGGAACACCAGCCTTGATCCAAGTTTCAATCGAGGACACATAGCTATCATCATATCCCAAACCAGGTTCAAAGTTGAAAGGAGCATTGGGACCTACAATAATCCTTGCGTCAGCATTTGTATTGTAAACGTGGCACTCTTACACGTACCCGAAGTGGAATTGAAGGCGCCATTGATGTCATAAGCCATGATGTTGACGCGATCCAAAACTTTGCCAAAAGCGGATACATCCTTCATGTTACCAGAAGATGTGTCAAAAGTACGCACATGCACTGCTGCTGTAAGCTCCTTGTTCTTGTACTTTTTATCAATGGCCGATCGAAGTTCTTGAAGAAGTGTCAAAAGGTTCTTTGCGTCATTTGCCTTGTCGACCTCATTACAACCAGCACCTTGACGACCAGGGTACTCCCAATCTATACAAATGAATGGATCATGGTTAGGTTAGTATATAATAGAAAAGATCGACATGTGTGTGTAACCCTTACCGATATCAATGCCATCAATGTCATATCTGCAATTACAATAAATGACGACCCATTCGATTAGCATGCTGTACCCGCTTTTTGTAACAAGACCCGAAACTTACTTGTCGATTTGATCAGTGCTCCATTTGATGAATTCGGATCGCTTGGATGAATCCCCAACCATGGAACTAGTTTTTAAAATTGTAAGCTATCATCATCATGGATTGTTGTATGTATTCTTCCTTTTACCTAAAGGTGAGACATCCACTCCAACCACCAACAGAGATGAGAACCTTGGCATCTTTAGCATGAGCAGCTTTGACTAATTCAGGGAGCTGTGTTTCGACTTGCTGAGGATCGGTCCATTCGGGTGTGCTTCCCTTGATCATGATGGCGAATGCATAGTTGATGTGGGTGTACTTCGAGAAATCAATGTTGCTGACAGGCCAACGAGCATATAACCCTGAAAAAGACCACGTCAATAATGACATCATGTGATGTAGGTGCAAGACTTACAATTAGGGAAATAGCCAGTGAGCGTTTTGCCTGATGACTTTGATGAGGAATTGGAAGGAGCAGCACTTACAACACCACCCATGGTGATGATGGTAGTAACTGCCAGGCATAACAAGTGACTGAGGAAAAGACGCATCTTGTATGTGTTGGGGGAAATTGGAGGTGGCGTGAAATTGGAAGCCTTTTATATCCATAAACGTTGAATTCTACATTCTGCCCATGGTTACAGTAGTAATGGGATAATCAAAAGTATGCAATGACTCCGCAAAGCTTCATTCATTGTGGTCAATTTTTCCCCGCAATGAGCTTTCAATTAAGTGAATGTTGCTCAAAACGACGTGACGTTTGTTAATTAAACGAATAGATTGCTGTCCCATTATACTCGTTGATGATGACGATGATAATGAATGGGATGATGTTGGTTGCTGCTTCCCTTGCTGCATGCTCATTGACAAGTGTACATAGTAGCAAGGAGAAAGTAATGCGAGTCATGGTGATGACGATGCATTAGTCTATCCAGGAACACACAAAGAACGTCAAGATTTAAGATGCATCATGTTGCATCTAAACTAAGGGAGGGAGAAAGAAAGGAACGTGTCTCATGGTTATGATGCAGCGGAGAAAGATCATCAATGCTCATTATCGTGCATGATTAATGATTGTGTACATTTGTGTACATTATCCGGTGAGTAGAATTATCGCCATACGATAACTTTTGACAACACTTTTGGTGGTACAACACGGCTCGGCACTTTACTAGCTCTCTTTCTGAAAATCCCCCCTTTGTGATACCATGTATCGTTAACGTGGCTACTATGATGCGTGCTTTGTAGAACAACAAAATCTACATATACAACTTTAATGGTAATATACATGGGACTGATTATATAGGGAAAATGGATAACAAAAAAAGAAAAAGTATCTCTACTACTATCACTACTAGTATTTGACTTTGAGACGATCGACAGGGAACCTGCGTGCAAGGTAAGCATGAACAGGACCAAGGACCACCAGCCTTTCCCAAGCGAGACCTGCCACCACGTTGCCAATGCATACGCCCCATAGTCGCCAGCGGAAGGTCCAGGGCATGACGTTATGGCCAAGAGGTGTATTGTAAGGTTCAATGTTACGTGATGGAGGCGTATATCCAAATTGAGCAAGCACGCTCTTTGTACCACAATTAAACCGGAACATGCATGCAAAGTCGTTAGGATCTGCCAGGGTCCAATAGGATACGATCACCAGGTAGCCGAGCCAAAGAATGACGAGTGCATAGTTTCTCCACCAGCTTTGACGGAATTTGTAACCAAAGTTGAACACGGCAGCATTGTTGATGAATTGGAACAAGCATACAAGAGCAAGTACTTCGGCTTCGTAATTGTCGGCTAACAACCACCACTTTGAAAGATCCACTGCTGATGCATCAAATTCATTGCAACGGAACCAGCCTACATTATTCGTAAGGTAGGTAGAAAAATTATTAGTCAATCATATCCTGCCGATCAAGACAATGAATGAATCGTATAGTAGTAGTCTAACTTACTTTGTTTGTATAGCATAACAAAGGCACCAATCAAGAACAACCAATTGATCGCCACAAGACCCCAGCAGGATGCCAATGTCTGAGGACCCAATAAACGAGCCGTTGGTCTTTCAGGAGCAAGACGTTTGGCAGCCTTTGATTGTGACACGGCCCACGTCAGGAACACAGTAATGAATACATCGACAGCGATCCACACGTTTTGAGACATTGTGGTGGAAAAGTAAAAAGTATAGATCTTGAGCATCATCATGACTTGACCATACACTATAAAGAGAGGGTGGGTTGGTGGGTTGAGTATCACACAATCAGTAAAGCATTGCACTATTACTTACTAATGAGATATTTGTATCCTGTAAGTGATGTAGCTAATGCACCACGGCCTTGTCGAATAAGCTCCACACATGATTTGACGCTTCGAATACTTGTGCTGAAGGGTGATACGATAGATGCTTCGGCATCGGACATGGCAATACCCACGTGTGCAGCACGTAAAGCACCACAATCATTACCACCATCACCTGTCATGGCTGTGATACCTCGCTCCATATGAAGTTGGATGCATTGCACCTTGCCATTTGGAGTCATACGAGCGAACACACGAATATCCAACAAGTACTTTCGGATAAGATCATGATCCACAAGCCAATTGAACGCTTTGCCAGTAACAGCCAATTCCACAGGGACACGTTCTTGTTCGTTCAAATAGTCATCGACATTGACATCTGGGAATGCTGCTTCATTATCGACATCCGACCACACCACACGCTCTTCTTTTGGCTTGTAATCACCAAGTAGCACCTTGGCACCCGTTTCAACCATGCCACATTGACGTGCAATATATACACCTGTGAGAGCTGTATCACCTGTAATCATGGTGGTACGTGTAGCGCCACGTTTCAATTCGGCAATGTTCTCAGTTGTGTCGTCCTTGAGCTGATTCTTGAAGACAATCAATCCAATAAAGTTGATATCCTGCTCCATTTGATCACGATTCCATTCCCGGAAATTTGACATGCCACCAATCGCCTCCAAATCAAGCTCACGATGAGCACATGCAAGCACCTACAACAACAACATCATTATCATCAAAAGCTCGCTCTTTTCCCTATTCAGGTAAAATCACTTACGTAGCATCCTTCACGAGCAAGGGATGATGCCGTCTCATCATAATCCTCTGGTACAGATTCTGGGTTGGAGAGATCCTTGATTTTCTCATAAGCACCCTTGACGAAGATGTGGACCTTGTTTGTGTGTGTATCCAAGACAGCAACGGACATGGACATGCGAGCATGTACAAATTCAAAGCGTTTGAGGACGTGAACAGGATCGGCATTGTCTCCAGCATTCTTCACAGGCGGTGTCAACGTATCCACATAGTCATCCTTTTCATGTGATTGGAGTTCAAGTTTCCACTTGCTCGATCGGAACATTTCAATGTCAACGGGGTTGCCGATAAACTGGTCGTTGAGAATGGTCACAGCATGACATGTGGCGATACTAAGCTGCATCAAACGTGGCATTGACAAGGGATCATGCTGGTGCACACCAAAGGTGGGCGTTTGCTTTTGAGCACGTTGCTCGACGACATTGTCCACATCCGTGATTGGCTTTGTACCATAAAACTCGAGACCTTCACGCGTAAGGGTGCCCGTCTTGTCAAAGCAAAAGAGTTGTACCTTGCCGGCCATTAAAATACGTGGGAGATCTTATGCAACAAAGCGTTAGTACCACATTACACAAAACAGAGGTGGCATGTATAGAGGTATAAACCTACCAACACAGTAAATCTTTTTGTGGCGTAGACGACCTGCTGCCACCGATTGACCCACGACAAGTGCTGCAGGGAGCAATGGAGACACCAATTGCGCAATGGCGAACATGGCATAGAACCATGCGGCTGTACCCTTGGCATATAACCAGATGGCGAGTGCAAGACAAATGACGCCGCAAATGAGAAGGATAAGAATGACGATCTTGATCTGCTCATCAAAGATAAAGGAGACGCGTGTCGGGAAGAGGATCTTTTTGACGAGTTCGCCCTTATCAGTGGAAGTGCCCGTTTTGGTAGCCAATGCAATCACAGGCTGATCGGCTTCCGTGCGTTGAGCTTGTGAAATGGTGGTACCAGCAAAGATGGTGGATGTTTTGGCAGAACCCATGGGATCATAGCGCATCATATCATCCGTACGCAAAGGGAACTTTCGAATCGGCAATGGTTCACCTGTCAAAGAGCTTTCATCGGCTACAATGTTACCACTCAACACCACACCATCACATGGCGTCGTTTTGCCTTCTCGCACTTCAAATACATCGCCCGGTACAAGATCAGCTGTTGACATGGTGGACCATACATCGTCACGTCGAATACGGCATTCATCTGTAAACTCGGCCATTTTCTTGATTCGATGCTCGGATTTGAGACGCACAACCACCTTGACAAAGGCTGATAGCAAAATCACCGCGGTATCCGCAATACCCACCTGCCCTATAGTTCAATCATTAGTCATCATCCATCATCCATTGCATCTATATCTATAGTTGTCCACTTACAGTAGGCAAAGTAATAAAAGAGCCATAGCACGGTGAATTGATAAATGTAAAAGAAGGATGAGAATTCACGAAGAATAGCCATTGGCACATTGGGCACATAGACACTGATAAAGTTGGCACCAATCAGCTCTTTACGTCTTGCAGCTTCATCCGTTGTCAAGCCTTCAGTTTGTTTGGCAAGATCAGCATTGGTGTCACCCAATTCAAATTCGTGTGGGGAAAATAGCTGTGTCTCGGGATGATAAACATAGCGTGTGCATTGGTAAACAAAGTACTTGGTGCCTGTACGTGTATGCTCAAGCTTGGATGTGCTCACCACGACATCCAAACCAAAGATTCGCTTTCCTGTTGACTCAAGTTGATGAACCCGCTTCATGATAGGATCTTCATCTTCCAAGAAAATGAGTGCTATAATAATAAGGTTAGATGCATGTATGTGTGTCTCATAGTAATGTCTTACCTGGTTCAGCCTTTTCCACTTGCACATATTGACCCCGGTCATAGGTACATTGGATACGGAAAAAGTTCATGAGGCGGCTCTTGAAGATGACGAGCGATGCAAACCAACCAAACAAGATATACCACATACCCATAAATGTCTAAAAGAGACGTTGAGTATTCTTAAAGATGTACCCAAACAACGTTACTTACACTAGCTTGCACCGTTTGATTACCACGGAAAAGGATGTAGTCGTGGTAGTAGTCTCGAGTAAGCAAGATCATGTAGGCAACCATGCCAATGGTTTGCAGAATGTACAGGACAAAGCAAAACATGCCCAAATAGTCACGTCGATATGCCTTGATCACCATCTGCTCTTCAGGCTCCAAAGAGGATAGATACGATGAGCCTGTATCATCTTCTTCCATTCCCTACATACATATACAATAACAATGTAAAAAAGACAGCGTCATCATACACCACCTTGCCTACTACTTACAGAAGGAGGAGGATTGGCAGGCTTTTTTTCTTCTCTGGTAGCTTCTTCGTCGTCATGATACTGGCTAACCACCGTTTTACGTGATTTGCGGTATTGGAGTCGAATCACCTATATACATGCATACATGATGTTTAAGCACACACATATTATACTATACAACTATGACTGACCTTTTCTCGAAGACGTTTATAGATAGTCCAACCCACCAAAGACACGACACATGAACCATAAAAGACATAGAGGGCAATAAAAACAGGCTCATGGAAATTGAGAGCTCCATAATTTGGGGTCGGGCAATTTCCCCACATGATCTCGTATGGATTGGGGACCCATTCAGTGATGCCTGTAAGGCTCATATCGGATGCACAGGATTGGATTGTTTGAGTATCTTTTTGAGATGCATTGAAATTGGGAATGTCCACTGTTTGTGTATCTCTGCATGGATAAATGTTTCCTTGCAAGGTAGGTGCACCGGGACAAGCACATGAAGAAACAAGGTTGGGAGGGCAAGTCGAGCGACAAGAGCCATCAACGCAAAAGGTAAGACCTTGTTCACATGTAGGACGCACCGTTGGTGGGCACAATGAGACATCACGCACACACAAGTTGGGACATGGATACGAATGGTATGTTGGTAGTGGGCAAACGGATCCATTCGTTTGATGGCCATTGACTACATAATTAAACAAATAGATGTTGTTGTTGTTTGGTAAGTGGCGCATTTTATTATTGGCTGCTGTCGCTCACCTTCATTGAAGGCTGGTGTGGCGCGCACAGACGTTGCGCAGTAAACCAGTAGTAGTAACAGCCACTGCTGTATGGATATTGGTATATGCATCAATACGAAAAAAAAAAGTGAAGAGAGGAAAAAGATGTTCTTTTTTGCCACAAACAAAAAAAAGCCCGGTTTTTCATACCTCGTTTTCGTCTGTCCTTGGAACATTCAATTCGTGTGTTCAGCACAAAAGTGGTGCAAGAAACAGGCAACAACCCCTGCGATATGGGGGAGGGGGACATTCAGCCACCACCCATCATCCCTATTCGCTGTCTGCATGAGCGTCGGACTTTGTATGACAAGGGGGACACCACACACACACACAAACGATGTCTTACTCACTCCCCAGTCGAGAAAGTTTCCATGGATTTGACTATCATGGATATACCCACCTATTGCCATAAACGTAGATCGGCTGACTATGAACCATTGTTAGTGGCTATAATCCTCTTTCTAACCTTTTTGACTTTTGCAACGTCATAATTCATGCTGAGATCATGCACACAACCGATTTTGACAGGAATGACGTCGTATAATACATATAACATTCAACACACACAAAAACATACAATAGAAGGTAAAAGTATATATTTGATCAACAATGATGGTACATAGGTTGTGTAGTAGTAGTAGGTCTCTTCAATTGACTCATGGCCAGTGTGATGGCTACCATTTGATCTCCTCCAGCTTCGGCCAAATACTCTTCAATGACACGCCGATCCATGTGTGGCAGCGTATTACACATCTCGGTCACCACCGTATCTACGGATGATTCACCATGTTGTTGTTGTTGTTTTGATTTGGCGGTAGTGCTGTTAAGCGTGGCAGTGCTTTGACGACGTGATAAGCGAGAGAGTTTTGAGAATGAAGATGAAATGGATCTTGCTGGTGAGGTTGTAGTGGAGGTAGTCGTTGATGACATGGAATCCGTGGATCGTTTCTTTTTGGTCTTTTTATGTCGTAAAGGTGGATTATTAGCTGTTGTTGTTGTTGTTGTCGTCCTCCATCGATTTGTTCCCATGGTCGTCGTTGCACTCATTGTTGCTGCTGGACGAGGTGGTTTTTGTGCTGCTGCAGTGGACATGGGTGGTGGGGGTCGTTTTGCTCTGTTGAAATCGTAATCTGGGAGTGCTGATTCATATTCGGGTGCTACTTTGGGTTGACGTGATGATTTCGACAAGGATAACCGGCTGAGAGAAGTAGGTAAAAATAGTCGACTCATGGAGGGTCGAGGTGTTGTTTCACCAAACGTGCGTCGTCCAAGTGTACTTGATGCAGATGCCTTTTTAAGAAACATGCTGATGGATCCACTCAATGATGCCGTGCTGCCATTGCCATGTAATGTTCCTTTGGATTGTTCAGCTTCATCAGGTGTCCGTGGTCGAGGAGGAGGTTTGTAGCCTATTATCCATCATCAATGGTTAATATCAAATGCCATTCTTGATATAACAACACTACCTTCAGTCATTGGTTTTGGAAGCCCTTTCTCCTTTACGCGTTTCATCCATGACGTCAATTTTGAATCTGCACGCATACATTGCTTGAAAGTCTTTTCATAAAAGGCGAGACGTTCTCGTGGATCGGGTATCCGCATCATTTCATCATAAGATCGAGCAGTGTATTCAACTGTAGAGGACTCTTTTTTGTGCTTGGCAAAGTAACGAGATGATTTGCTGGATTTTTTACTAAGGGTGGATGGGCGACGAGAACGACGTGATGTGGTTGACATGCGTGATCTTGGCGTGGCTACACATGCTGATAAGGGTGATGTTGGCATTGAATGCATATGTTGATGATAGTAATGATGATGATGACGTTGTGATTCAATGGAAGGACGCATGGGTGGCGTATTGTCATTGGAAACGACTAGGATCGCTGGTTGTGAAGCTGTCGTGTTGGGTGACGATGATGATGTGTGGTTGTCATCGCTCTCTACCTGCAATTTATCTTGCTGATGCTGCTGATCCACTTTGGTCTCATCAACAACAATGGGCTTCCTCTCCTCATGGGCTGATTTGCTGTCGCCATCATTGCTGCTGCTACTACTCGAATCCACTAATGCCTTTTCGTCGTTCTTTGCCAACTTTTCACTGTCAAGCCGTTCACGTAATGCTGAAAAATGATCCACGAGTGATGAAAAGTCGTTGGAAAAACGAATGCTGACTTGATCCAATGACGTGCCAGCCGTTGCTGCAGGACTCGTCGTCAGGCTTTCAACCAATGTTTTCCCAGCGTCTTCGATGTCCTCGACAAAGGTCTTTTCATCCGGTTGACATATGAGCGTCTTTGAATCTCTCTTTGTTGATGTTGCTGTCGTCTCCGCATGATCATTATTCATCGTCTCTGTGTTTTCTAATAATGTCAATCAGTCACTTTTGCATAATGAAATAATTCTCCTAAGACATACCACAAGTGGTGAAATTTTCAATGGTGGCCTGTAGGTCTTGAATCTGTGAAAGGACATCTTTTGTCATTTGACGTGTCAGCAATTACAAGAACAAGGAAAAGAGAAAAACAATGTATATAGAGCAGTAAGGGGATATAGGTCTCTCTCACCTTCAACAGCCATGGTATGTTTTGGTCTTGTCCAATACCTTCAGGGACAACAATCGATGGCTTTATATACGCTGGTCCACTTGATCATTGTTATCTGGACTGTGTTCCTCTATAAGATCCCAAATGAGCCATATGCACACACTCATGACGATTGTCCCTTTTTCCTCTCACCATTGGATGTCCCCCATAATCCATTCTTGAAAACTGATGATGATGATGATGTTGTATTTAGCCATAGAACGAATGATGCTGTGATATCCGCTGCATGTATAAAGAAAGGGTTGCTTGGTGGCAATCTGATCCAGCCATCCATGGTGTATATATCAATCCTTAGCCAATGCCAATAATCTCTCCTTTTTTGTCTCTTGCTGATAATAATGATAGGCGATCTCGTAATGCGTTTCACTCAGCGGATGGATTGTTGTTGCTGTTGTTCTCTTGACCAAGCTCCTTTGGATCACCATATTTCTTCTTTGCACGACGTGCCTTGCGTGCTTTTGACTTTTGAATCTTGGCTGCACGCTTGGCACTTTTGCTGAGATCACCATTGATGTACGTATCCAATTTCTCCTTAAGCAACTTGCGAGCAATTCCTCTGTTTTGTTCAAGAGAGCGTGTTTGTTGGCACTATTCCACCTTATTAACATCATGCATACCATACAAATCATTCAATGGTTATCTCTACCTGAACAAGAATACCCGTGGGGATATGCTTCAACTCGACACAGCTGACTCGCTTGTTGATCGCTTGCCCACCAGGTCCAGATCCCTTGATGAACTTCTCCACGAGATCAGAATCCTCAAGTACAATCTTTTGTCGTTCCTTCTTGACTGGCTCTGTGGTCATCCATCGTTGAAGAGGCTTGGATATGAGAGGGCGTGTACGTGTAAGCAATAAAGTAAACATGCGGCGATTGGAAGAAGAAAAAGAGAAGAGAGGAAACACGTCGCCAACTGGCTGGGAATTCATGTAGCTTTGGTATACGTGACACCCACACCCACACGCATGCATAGGCTTCCTCCCTTCCATTCATATACTTGAGCTTTGAGTGATGTGACAATGATGGGATTAATGGATAAGGTGTCTTTATTGTATTGGTATCATTGTTGGAGGAGAGGATAACAGGTCTTCAAACGTTGACAATGACTAAACTAATGATTGCCTGTTTCCACTTTGATATCAAACAAGTACATTGCAATGCGAATAAAGGACCATGGCTATAATAGAGTTGACTCATTATGATGGCAAAATGTCACTTGACGCATCCTCTGATGACAATCAAGCAGTGTCTATAAACGGCATGACGCGGGATTTCATTTTCTATTTGACAGAGGGACACACAAATCCAATCCGGATAAAGAAGTTACTGCGCACAACAATGAAACGTCATCATTGTATGATCCATATTCACTTTAACAAAGGTAATTCCAGTAAAAAGAGATCATCGTTGCCATGGATACAAACTATAATTGTAAATAAGAGAGGGAACCAATTGTTATTTAGAGCATGACTCATCTCTGTGGTAGGTTGCATCAGGTATGGTGGCTTAAATGATTGGACAAGTGGGAGTGTGGGTAAGATCTGTCAAATTCCCCCCCAATCGGCCCTGCCGCCGCAAGACACCTTTCACTTTTTCCCCCTCGCTCTCTCTCTCTCTTTATTTCCCCCATGGTCCTCAAAGTCGTCCTTCCAAAGTTAACTCCACAGACAAAGCCTTTCGCTAATGCTCTCAAGGTTGTCCTTGCCGCCCTCGTTGCCGGTGTCAAATTCCAACAAATTCCTGGCGATGCAGTAACCGTTGAGACCAACAACGGAACTACTTTGACCGATGCCAACGTTGCTGTCAAGTAAGTTGTTCAATCGAACCACCACCACCACCACCACACGTTCTTCATGCGAACTCAACATGAACTCTTTTTCTTCAAGGTACATTCTCAACGTATTGACATTTGACGGATCGGAGACCGCTCTCTTGCAAAGTGCAGCTATTGAACAAGAAGAAGGTATCTCTCGCTTGGTGTTACAAAAGAGCACACACGAGGCTTTCAAGATCTTGGATGGTTATATGACCAAGTATGGTTCAAAGATGTTCAGCTCGGTAAGCATAGGATGGTGTGATGGATCTCATGAATGATTGGCTAATCTCGTTCGTGTCGATCAGGGCGACAAGTTGAATGCTGTGGATGTCATTTACTTTGGTACTCTTTACGAATTCTTGAACAACAATGAGGACAGCGGCAAATACCCTGCATTGAACACATGGTTCACCAATGTGTCAAAGTTGCCAGCTATTGCATCAGCTCTTGAGACCGTGGATAAGCTGGTAAGAATTTGAAAAGCATGGAAATTGCTGGAAAAAAAAGATTCATTGGGTCTTATTGGTATTATTAGATCTCCAAGGCTGCCAAGAAGAAGATGGCTGGTGCTGATCGCAAGTCTACCAACAAGCAAACAGAAGTTGGTGAACTTAACCCCGAGACTCAAAAGATCAAGACTGAAAAATTCATTACTGTGCCTGATGGCAAGACCAAGATGTAAGTATGGGATCACCATCATGATTGATCATTCGAGAAGATTGACAACATTTTCAATAGTCTTCCCAAGGATGGTGAACGAAATGTGCTTATTACATCCGCCTTGCCCTATGTTAACAACATCCCCCATCTTGGCAACATTATTGGCTCTACTTTGAGCGCTGATTGTTACGCTCGGTAAGATAATCATGGAGATGGAGGAGGATATGGATCATGTTGCATGAGGTCTTATAGTGTCATCATCATTCTAGTTACTGCCGTGCTCGTGGTTACAATACTCTTTACATCTGTGGTACCGATGAATATGGCACTGCCACTGAAACCAAGGCTTTGGAAGAAGGCGTCTCTTGCCGCGCTCTTTGTGACAAGTACAATGCTATTCACAGCAACGTGTACAAGTGGTTCCAGTTGTCTTTTGACCACTTTGGCCGCACCACCACCGACAACCAAACCGAGATTGCTCAGGACATTTTCAACAAGCTTCATGCACATGGTTTCACCAGCGAAAATGTCATGACCCAGCTTTTCTGTGAAAAGTGCCAAAGGTATGGATATATATATATATATATATATAGGTCATGTCATTGTGATGATGATAGCTAATGCATTCATAGATTCTTGGCTGATCGTTATGTCGAAGGTGTTTGCCCCAACTGCAAGTACAATGTAAGAGGAAATGCTTTGTGGATTGGAGTAAAATGTTAACATGAGGTGTAGGATGCACGTGGTGATCAATGCGATTCTTGTGGCCGTTTGTTGAATGCTACTGAACTCGAAGAACCCCGCTGCAAGTTGGATGGTACTCGTCCCATTACTAAGGACTCGAAGCACATCTTTTTGGATTTGGATCGTCTCCAAGGTGATATTGAAAAGTTCAATGCTCGTGTCAACGTTGAAGGTATGTTATTCAAGATAGGGATAGGTTGAGGAAAGGAGTATTTACTCATGGATGGCATGATAGGCAAGTGGTCTTCCAATGGTGTTCACATTACCCAATCTTGGTTGAAGGAAGGATTGCGTCCTCGTTGCATTACTCGTGATCTCAAGTGGGGTACTCCTGTTCCTGTGCCTGGTTTCGAGAACAAGGTGTTCTATGTCTGGTTTGATGCTTGTATTGGATACCCCAGCATTACATCATGCTACACCGATGAATGGGAAAAGTGGTGGAAGAACCCCGACAACGTCAAGCTCTATCAATTCATGGGCAAAGACAATGTTCCTTTCCACTCTGTCATCTTCCCTGGTTCCCAACTTGGTACCAAGGATAAGTGGACTATGGTGCACCATATCAGCACTACAGGTAAATGGAGAAAAAAAAAAGGATTATATGGGATGTGGATAACTTATATACGGTGTTGTAGAGTACTTGAACTATGAAGGTGGCAAATTCTCAAAGTCCCGTAACATTGGTGTGTTTGGTACCAATGCTGAGGAGAGTGGTATCTCGCCCTCTGTCTGGCGCTACTATCTTTTGTCTTCGCGTCCTGAGACTAGCGATTCGATGTTTACATGGAACGAATTTATTACCAAGAACAACAGCGAGCTTTTGAATAACCTTGGCAACTTTGTCAACCGTGTCATCAAGTTTGCCCTTGCCAAATACGATGGTGTTGTTCCTGAAGCTGATTTGTCGGGTGATGCTGAACAAGCATTGATCAAGGATGTCAACGAGCTCTTGGGTCAATACGTGGATACAATGGAGAACGTCAAACTTCGCCAAGGCTTGAGCATTGCCATGTCGATCTCGGCACGTGGTAACGTTTACTTGCAAGAATCCAACCTCAGCAACACACTCTTCACTGAAACTCGTGGCAAGTGCGATGCTGTCATCAACCTCGCTCTCAACCTTATCTACTTGTTGTCTTCTCTCCTTTATCCTTACATGCCCGCTACTTCCGAGAGCATCTCACGTCAACTCAACGCACCTCTTGGCGCCATTCCTGATACTTTTGTATGCAACATCCTTGCTGGACACAAGCTTAACGGTGCAGCTTATCTCTTCTCCAAGATCGATGAAAAGATGGAGCAGGTCTGGAAGGATAAATATGGTGGCTCGAGTAACGCCTAGATTGTTAGATGTTTGTTCATATAATACAATGTTTGTTACATATCCAAATGCGTATGAAGGTGCTCATTGTTGAAAGGATTGATTCATGGATTTAGAACACCGCTATCAAACCTCGATAGTAGTACACAAAGAACGTCAAAGTTACCAATGACTGAGACTTGAAATGGATGAATCGGGTTGGCCTTCTCTAGCGTTGGGATTGAAACAAAGGGATCAGCTCATGGCTAAGTTTGGCAAAAACGGACGATTTTGTACATGGCATGCGACAACGACACGATGCTATTTGCCTATGCAAAAAGCGATGTGACAGATGGATGTATTTCAGGCTGTGCGTGGACAATGCTGGTTTCACCAAAAGACCCAAAATATCTCGGCAACCGCAGCAGCTCGGGCCGTCAACCATATCTATGGGGAATCATCTCCAACAATTACGAGCTCTTCTTTATCCTTCTTTTTTTCACACGCGTATCTACACATACATGCTTGGTGTCTCGCTACTATCCAAGGCAGCAGCTATTGTGTTGCTTGCAGGAATTACATATGCTAGCCCGGTGGCAGACTTTTTACAACGGCCTATTGGTGCTTTGAATGATCATCAACATCATCATGAAGGCTTGACGCAACATCATTGTGGAACATTTTCCAGCGAGTCACAAGATCGAGACAAGTTTACCGATGCATGGCTCTCTTCTCTTCACCCTAGTTTACCAGAGCATTCGATACGTTACAAGACGCCTGATGATGGTATCTGTGACCCAAGTGTCAAACAGGTTAGCTGAATAGGATCATTGGATATCGTTGGATCTTTCCTCAATGCTTTATTATATAGATCAGTGGCTATTTGGATGTTGAAAAGGATAAGCACTTTTTCTTTTGGTTCTTTGAATCACGCCATAATCCTAAGGAGGATCCACTTATTCTTTGGGTGGATGGAGGTCCTGGATGCTCATCCATGGTTGGTCTTTTGACCGAATACGGGTACGTGTAATTGGTCAAACAACGCCTGTGTCTCAATGCAAGCTGACGACTTTATGTTGTACATCCCTTACTAGGCCATGCCTTGTTGACAAAGAGACAGGGGATACAACCTTAAACAAGCATTCTTGGAACAACAATGCAAGCGTCATCTTCCTTGATCAGGTATGGATGTTGTATATAGCATGGTGTGATACATGCGATTGATGGATGGAATGCTTGTTAGCCCTTGAATGTGGGGTATTCTTATGGAAAGGGCGGTGCTCTCGATTCGGTTGCTGCTGCTCAAGACGTGTATAGTTTCCTTCAAATCTTCTTTAAGGAGTTCCCTGATTATGCATCTCTTGATTTCCATGTTGCTGGTGAATCATGTAAGTGACAATGTTCGTCGACCATATTATTGTTTGCTGAATTCTGTATCAAGATGCTGGCCATTTTGTTCCTGCTATCGCTGGTGAGATCAACCGCAACAATAAGGATCTATCTCTTTCCTTTTCTCTTTCCATGGAATCCGCTCTCTCGACTATCAACCTCAAATCGATTTTGGTTGGTAACGGGCTTACCGATGCATTAACACAATACAAGTATGCATCCGAATTTGCATGTGGCAATTCTTATGGAATCTTCCTTGACCAAGAGACGTGCGATCAAATGGATGAAAAGTACCCTGCATGTGCAGAGCTTATCAAAGAGTGCTACGCATCCCAAGACAAAGCCTCGTGTATGCCAGCTTATCTTCAATGCAACAGGGACATACTTGAACCCTACCGAGCACAAGGCAAAAATCTATATGACGTTCGTAAAGAATGCAAAGTCGACAAGTTGTGCTTTGAGATCGTGGGTGTTATGGAAGCCTATCTCAATCGGCCCGAGGTTATGAAGGCACTTGGTGCACAAGTCGACACGTTTGAAAGCTGCAATGATGATCTCGGCTTTGAATTCAGCGTAAGTGATAATACTATATCCGCTATGTAGGTAGCCTATTAATAAGGACACCACTAGACTTATGATTGGATGCGACCTTATGTCAACGAGATACCACTGCTTTTGGAAGATGATATTCGCGTCTTGATTTATGCTGGTGACGCTGACTTTATATGCAATTGGATGGGCAACAAAGCATGGATGATTGAATTGCCTTGGAATGGTCATGATGAATTTGCTGCTGCCAACGACACGGATTGGTTTTCCATCACCGCGAATGAGCAAGGTGGTGAGCTGCGTACCACCAAAGACGGCCGTTTCGCCTTTTTACGAGTTTTCGATTCGGGGCATATGGTGGGCATGGATCGAGGCGACTATGCTATAGACATGTTGAATAGCTGGCTACAAGGCACTCTTGTTTAATGTTACGCATTGTAAAGCAAACATCTACTTTTATTAAACATGTATGGCTCATTGTTTCAAGAAATGATCGTCTAAAGCGATGGCAGCGATAATATTTGGAGTAGTTTTAACGTGGGATGTCAAGCTTAAGGATGCAGATTGATGCGCGTCTTCATTGATACGACGTCAACTTGACATCATGAATCATGCGTTGGTTCATTTTATATGCTGGTAAAATATAAATTGATCATTTGTATATGTGGGCTTTCTCCTACGCGCAATCAAACGTAAAATGGCTGATCAAGGCTCCAATTTGTAAGTGCTTTCAATGTATCTACACACATGCAAGCTTGCCAGTCGTCTAATTAACATCAGAGGTCGACACACTGGAGGCAAGACTTCGAATTTAACAACTGGCTCATACGATACTGAGGACGATTATGCAGACTTTTTGAGTCCCCGGGACGTTGAGCGATCCACTTCTGATGAATCTGATGAGAGCATGAACACTTTTCAATACCCTTCCGATAGCAGTGGTGATTCAGCCGATGAAGGAAACAGGGAGGATCACATGAGCCTGGATGATAATGACCATCATGGTGGTGATAATCACGATGAACAGGACCACGACTCGCTTGTATCATCTCTTTGTGCGCGTATTACCAAGTTATTGCAAGCCATGAAGATTTCAAAGGATCGTTAATTTCTCATGGCTCAAAAGGTGGGCACAAAGGAATGGGGGCAATGAGGCAGGGTCATTGATTACTTCTGTAATGCATGCTTTGCACGATGGCAAAGGACTCATTTTCTCCGTTTTCATAATCAGATGCTCAACCTATGTTTTATGAGACTATGGCGGAATACAATCTTCATGCTTGGATATACACACACACGTGCGACAATGACTTTTGTGCCAGCTGGAGAATAGCATACCATTTACATACTCAGTGCAACTTGCTTACGTGAATTCTCTGTCACATCCACATGCATATAAAGCTACATGTTCAACCCCTTCAAAATGCGTGAGGGCATTCAAGCCGTTACTTGTACAACTCATTATCTTATATGGTATACGGACATTGCATATACATCGGCTGCACGCCATTTAGGCCTTGTTGCTCTTTGGATTAAAGGAGCAGTGGATGAGCTGCATATGGTTAGGGGTGGCCATTTACTACTTGCGTTTTTGAAGTTGGTAATTTTTGGGCATAGATAGTGACGGTCATGCAATTGGTATGTTGGGTAATGCTTGCCTCAAGGGAACTGCCTAAGATAAAGAGACCATATCCTTGTCATTCTTCATATACATAAAGGACTAGACATGGGCTAAAGATGATATGGGTAAAAGGACCACCATTGGGATACGCGTAAAAAAGCGGGTTCTTTTTGGAAAGAAGTGACAATTTTGGGAAGCAAACCTTGTCAAAAGTCCCCAAGGTTTGCGTGGCTGAAGCTATTTCTCGACCTATGTGAACCACGTCTATGGTTGGATGTGGCCATGTATAAAAGCCATGCTGCAATCTTTTATAGTTCACACAACAATTACACCATGGTCAGCGTATCTTTGTTATGCAAAATAGCATGCATTGTGGCGTTCACAAAGGTGTTCGAAGCACATCCAGTGACCTCTTCCTCGCAACAAAGTGATAGCAGAGGTGACATACTACAAAGTCATGATGATGAAAGCACGACACAGGATCACCCTTCCATCGAGTGGAGAACGCTTACACCAAAGGCCAATACCCATCCTATCAATGATAACTTTATCAAGGTGCTAGCAGATTCTACATCCCCAAAACATTCGATGCGCTATAAAACACCCGACATTTGTGACCCAACCGTCAAGCAGGTTAGTTGCATGAAATTGTATCCTAAGGTGCTTTTACATGCTCACGTGCAATAGATTAGCGGTTACCTTGATATTGAAGACGACAAGCACTATTTCTTTTGGTTCTTCGAATCGCGTAACAATCCTAAAGAAGATCCTCTTATTTTATGGCTAAATGGTGGACCTGGATGCACATCTTTGGAAGGTCTTTTTACTGAATTGGGGTATCTATATTGTCAAACATGATGCTGAGTGCGATTGATGTTGATCGAGTATTCCTACAATGTAGCCCTTGCTTTATTAACAAAGAAGGTGATGGCACTGTTTACAATGAACACTCGTGGAACAACAATGCAAGCATCATTTTCCTTGATCAAGTAGGTATACAATGAGCTACGCTATTATGCACCAGCGTACTTGGCTAAGCCTCTAGTGGATGCTATGCTTTTCTCAAACATAGCCGACCAATGTTGGGTACTCTTATGGAAAGGATGGCAAGCCTTATTCAAGCGAAGCTGCCAAGGATGTTTACGCTTTTCTTCAATTGTTCTTTAAAGAGTTTCACGATTATGCAGCCCTCGATTTTCATGTCGCAGGTGAATCATGTGAGTTTACATCCTTGTCACTTTACGTAAAGGTGCTCATATTTCGTTGACAGATGCTGGGCACTACATACCTGCCATCGGTGGCGAAATTAACCGCAACAACAAAAAGAGCACCTCTGATGACGATAAAGAAGATGGTTCACGGAGGATGGCAATCAAGCTCAAGTCACTTTTGGTTGGTAATGGTCAGACGGATCCACTCACACAGTACAAATACTTTTCCAAGTACGCATGTGAGAATCCATATGGACCTGTGCTCAACCAAAGTATATGCAATGACATGGATAACAAATACCCTGGTTGCGCAGCTCTAATTCAGAAGTGCTATTCATCCAAAGATCCATCATCATGTAATGCTGCAACCGATACATGCAATTCGGACATGTGGGATCCATTCTTTAAGACCGGAAAAAATCCATATGATATTCGAAAGGATTGCGTAGACGACTCGTGCCTTGGACTTGACGCGGGCTTGGAAAAGTATCTCAATCGCAAGGATGTCATGTTGGCTGTCGGTGCTCAAGTAGACAAAGTGGTGATGTGCAATGATGATATCAACCTTCGATTTACGGTAAGCCCCTATCTCCTATTGTTGTGGCCTTGTTCCCCATGTACTCATTGTTGTGGATTTAGAGTACGGGTGATTGGATGCTTCCATACGTCAATGAAATCCCGCAGCTATTAGAGGATGGTATCCGCGTACTCATTTATGCAGGCGATGCCGACTTTGTGTGCAACTACATGGGGAACAAAGCATGGGTCATCAAGTTACCTTGGAGTGGGCACAATGAATTTGCATCAGCAAAAGACACGGCTTGGTTCTCAAGTACTGCCAACGAGCAAGGCGGTGAGCTTCGTCGAACGAAAGATGGTCGATTGGCTTTCTTGCGTGTCTTTAATGCCGGTCATATGGTACCCAAGGATCAAGGTGGTTATGCCCTTGACATGGTAAATAGTTGGCTACATGAACAACTTGAATAATAACAAAGAACACTGGAATTTTGTCTTCGATGGCTTTACTGGAATTGATGCATGCATGCTGGATACGACGAGTACATAAACAAACCATGCTTACCTATATCAACTTTCAACTAGCCCTATCTTATGCAACATTATATGAGAACGAACCATTGTACACCACTATAATAGGTGGACCTTTCTATAGGCGTATATGGGAATCCATCATGCACACTCCACCACTAACATTGATCCTTCAAATCCTCCTGTCCCTGAGCTGTGTTACGCAAACACGCCTCTCTGCATCTTTTGCTCCATTAGTGTATGTCTACTAGCATAGCAAAACGCTTACGGCGGGCATACGTAAAACATAAAGGTGTCTGTATCTCTAAACTTTACAATCAAACGTGGGGTCTTTAATAGAACAAAGCTGCTCGGCGGGGTGCAAGTTTGACGATCGAGGTGGACAATACCTGATTTCGCAGATGTCGCCACCAGCCAAACTCACGTCGAGTCGACCTCTTGAAACTGATAGCGACATTTGGCAAATCTGGGATTGGTCACCTCGATCGTCAAACTTGCACACACATGATTCCTTTCACCCCGCCGAGCAGCTTTGTTCTATTAAAGACCCCGCGTTTGATTGTAGAGTTTAGAGATACAGGCACCTTTACATATGATGTAAGCATGATGCTATATGAACGGTGGTCTTTGTTCAATGTCAAGGTGTCCAACCCTGATAGAGCCAAATATGCATAGGGGCGTGGCTGTGTAACGGAGCCATTTTGCATGACTTGAATGGCGAATGTATGATACCATATACGCTATCTATGATCGGTAGCTAATAACCACTTCCTCACAATCGGCACAGTTTTCAATTCTATAACATGTAAACAATGCTCCTGCTCCAGCCCATCATTCCCATCTTTCAATTGTCTTGATCCGAGGCGATTTGACTGAGCTACGCTGGAACAGCAAACATGAAAATTAATGAATCGCAGACCCTGCGAACGTCTCCGCCTTTCAAACTTTGGGAAGCTCCCATTCCAAATATTCAAATGAAACATGAGGTCTTTATTAGATAAAAGTTGATCAGCATGCGAGAGCACCCTTCTGACCAATTTCCAAGTGGGAAGTGGGCAACTTTGGGGCGGTGGGCCGTCCGCTCTTTTGATCCCATCATCCACCATTTGGATCACCCCGCATTTTAAATCTTCACAATGAAGTCTGCGAATTTTAAATGAATGAAGGTGATCAGCATGTCCCAGCGAACCTTCTGACAACGTTTCAGGTTCGAGATGGGGGAATCCCAATGTAACACATACTATTTCGATAAATCATGAATCGGCGCTGTCCTCCATTTCCGATTTACATAGTAAACCCACATTGTACCCTCCCATTCCAAATTTTCAAATGAAACATGAGTTCTTTTTTAGATCAACATGATCAGCATGACCAAGAGCACCTTGTGTGAAAGTTTCAGGTTCGAAAGGGGAGATGTCAATATCAAGGATTGATGTACAGTGTTCATGCATTTATTACAAGAGGTGTCCTACCTAGTTAATTTCCTCTCCTCCCTCTTCCTCCCATTCTCAACTGTTGCCCCATTCAAGTATACAACTACCATCTGCAAACGATTGTCCTGCTTCAACCCATCATGTCAATCCTACAACTTTCTCGATCCGATTGTCTTTGGCTGAATGGTAAGTCCATGGCGGGTGCACCCCACTACAACACTCGCGTTTCTTGACACGACACCTTCTCTTGAACACTCCTCTTCCACGATCAAGCGTAACATCGTTCATTCCAGCAGCTGCTATCAGTGACGACTTCATTCCATTGTCTCATGCAGCGTTCACAACCTTGTCACAATACTACAACACACGCTCTTGCACGCTTCTCTGCCACAGCAAACGTAACACAGATAGCCATTGTATAGAAGCAGTTTTATTTACGCTTAGCAACTTTCTTCAATACATACGACTCTTTGTGGATATGGATGTGGATATGGATATGGATTTGAATATGGGTTTGGTGCATGGGATGGGAGGGATTGGATATATGCAACGCGTGGAATAGGTATTTGTTCTTTTGTATCCATTTGTCAACTTGACCATTATGCTTGATGCTATCATCTTGAACGATTGGTGTGTTCTATCCCATGGCAACTACAATCATCATTCTTTGTGCAACCTGTCAACCATGTACAACCACCATCACCCAGCTCCATCATGCATATGATTCTCCATCTCAAATCTATTCATTCACCTTTAGACAATTCCAAGATAGAATCTTCCCATATCGATGTATCTCTCCATTAGAGCAACTCGTTTTACCTCCCAATCTATCTCTTGTGAATGATGTTGGATTAAAGGTTACTTTAGCGAACAGGAGATTGTTGTGTATTGGCCAACCATGTCTAAGCTTCTTTAAAACCTTTCTTCTTCGTGAGTTGGAACTCACACTTATGTGGGAACTTGATCCATTGTATTACAGAAGATTTATGCAGGATTGTAGAAGTACATCCATTTGTAATTGCTGTGTTAAAGGGAAAAGAGGGAAGGGAAAGAGTCTGAATGATTCATTGTATCTTGAACAAAGGTTGTATTCGATAGCATAATCCTCCTCCCTTTTTTCGATGATTAGGTATTACCGATACATAGACGGCGATATGACCACTTACCAATGCTGTGCATAAGCTCAAAGGACTTGAATGAGGCTGACGCTGGTTTCACAAGCGTGGTGCGACGTCGAATTGGAAGCTTTATCATGTACAACGACTGCTCACTTCTTTATTGGGTTTTTTCGCACGTATTCCCTTACATACTATTACGCTGAAATGTCGGCTTTATCTTTGCTGTACAAGGCAATAGCAGTTGGTATCTTACTGCTATCATTGACGATCCATGCAAAACCAGGAACGATATTACAGCAGCCTATTGACAGCAACATCTTGTATAAGAGTCAAAGGGCTATGGGTCAAGACCTGAACCAAGAAGACTGCATGCCAACAACAAGCCAAGAAAACGATATCAATGGTGCGGCCGAGCAATGGTGGTGGTCGTCTTCATCCAAGGATGAATCACAAGGCTCGGATGGATACCTCAAGTCTTTTTCTCATCCTGCCTTTCCAGAGTACTCGATGCGATACAAGACCCCCGAAATTTGCGACCCAAGTGTCAAGCAGGTTAGCCACATCACTTGCTTTACACCTTTTTGCGTACTTGGATGTTGGTAATAACAGCTTGCACATGCACCCAGATTAGCGGGTATCTTGATATAGGATCAAACAAGCATTTCTTCTTTTGGTTTTTTGAATCTCGAAGCAGCCCAAAAGAGGATCTTGTTATACTATGGCTTGAAGGAGGACCTGCATGCTCAACCATGTTGGGTGTGTTTGTAGCAATAGGGTACGAGGACATGTGGGATGACACTTGTAAGCTTGCATCTGATGCTAAATGATACTACCATGTACAAAAGCCCTTGTATAGTGAACGACCATGGTAACGATACGACGTTGAATGAGCACTCGTGGAACAACAATGCAAATTTGCTCTTTCTCGACCAAGTAATATTACACCTATGGGGTCTAACTCAATGCATGGTATCTGATTGCTACTACCATTTGGCATAGCCATTGAATACGGGTTTTTCCTATGGCGAGAATGGTGCAATGACATCGAAAGCAGCATCCAAGGATATTTACTCCTTTCTCCAATTGTTTTTCACCGAGTTCCCTGAATACTCCAACCTTGATTTTCATATCGCTGGTCAATCATGTGAGTACATAGACTACACTATTGGCTATATACAACAAGCCAAATTTACGTTAGCATGGTATAGATGGTGGTCATTTTGTTCCTGCAGCAGCAGCAGCAGAGATCAATTACAACAACAAAGTCATACAACAAAGCACACCATACGATGTCTACGCTTCACATTTATTACCCATCAACCTCAAATCAATAATGATTGGTAATGGCCTCACGAATGCTCTTATCCAATACAAGTATTTGTCAAAGATGGCATGTGAGAATTCGTATGGTCCTGCTCTTGACCAAGTCACTTGCGGCGCAATGGATGAAAAGTACCCAGCATGTGCAGCACTCATTAAGCGATGCTACACCTCACAAAATTTGTTTACATGCATGCCAGCGTACATACAATGCAACAAAGATCTTGGTGATCCCTATGTCAATAGCGGAAAGAACATGTACGACGTCCGAAAGACCTGTGACCAAGGTGGTATGTGCTATGCCGTTCTTGATGGTATGCAAAACTACCTCAATCGTCCTGAAGTATTGGAAGCCATTGGTTCACGATTTGAAACGTTTGAAAGCTGCAATGATGACCTCCATGAAAAAATAGCGGCAAGTGCCCATCATCATACGTATGTAGCTACAAAAACAACCGCTAACTCGTTGGTCATACATAGACAAATGATTGGATGCGCCCAATTGTGGATATGATTCCCGAGCTTTTGGAAGATGGTATCCGTATTCTTAGCTATGCAGGCGATGCGGACTTTATTTGTAATTGGATGGGCATCAAAGCATGGATGTTGAACATGCCGTGGAGTGGGCACGATGAATTTGTTGCTGCCAAAGACACTGCTTGGTTCTCTCCTACAGCAAACGAACATGGTGGTGAGCTACGTCAGACCAAAGATGGTCGCTTTGCTTTCTTGCGTCTCTATGATTCGGGACATGTGGCCCCCATGGATCGGCGCGATTATGCTATTGACATGTTGAATCAGTGGCTGGGTGAAGAACTAGCTTGATGTGGGCATTGATGTCTATATGATACATACAAAAAAATAAAGGATGCTATCAACATGGGATGTAGTATGGTCTAATGTAAACACGATGAAGCCGTCGTAACACAAATTTATGGTCTGTGCACATACGTAGACAAGCCCTTCCATATTATAGACGCAGCTCTTAATCAGGTTGCCTCATTGTTCTTGTCACATAATGAAATAGGGTGATGATGGTCTCATGCACGCATATGGTGATGAGGTCTTTATGCTACTGCTTTGACAAGAGTGATTCGGCAGTTTCGTTTTCAAATAGTTTTGGCGAGGGAAGCTTTTTCAATATGCATAATTCTCCTCCTGATGATATAGGTCACTATTACCCACCCACCTTTCAAGCTACCACCACCTGTCAATCGAATGAATGAAGAGTCATTTCATCATAGAGAATGTTTATGCGGGTCATTATGTTGGATGCGACGTCCTTAGTAAGAGCACGATCATTTTGGAGACAAAGAATGGCAATACAAAAGATAGAATGGGTTGACGTTTTATTATCAACTTTATAATATTAAGAAAATAACGTAATTTACAAATATGGAATAGAGGTGGGTAATAGTAATAGAGAGAACCAGAGTGGAGATGAAAAGAACAAGAGCATGGAATACAATAAAAGGCCGAAGGATGGCACCCAACAAAGACAAAGCATATGAAAGTATTCGTTAGCATTTGGAGAGTAGCATCAACGCATCATCATAGACTTACCAAGTGATTTTCCAGCCAGGAATCAAAGAAAAAAAAAGGGGAAAGAGAGAAGGGGAAAAGGGAAAGAGAGAAAGAGGGAAAGAAAGAAGTATGTACAAAGAAAAAAAGAAAGAAAGAAAGAAAGAAACCAGCTGGATGGCCATCCCCTCACCTGCAGCAATGAAACAGATGTTAGGCCAAGGAGATGGAATGCAAAAACAAGTACACTTACCCTGCACAGGTGGGGTCAGGCATGGGGGCAGAGACAAAGCTTGCGAGAAATCGGGGCCCAGACAGAGGAGAGCGAGGCTCGTGTTGGTAGCACCCTTGTTGATAATCCTAAAGAGAAGATGATGTAAGGAAATGTTGCTTTGAAAGTGATAGATCATATAACTTACACTTGCTGATGTTGATGATGAGGAGGAGGAAAAGCAGCGAAGGAGCGAAAGCGAATCTTGATGATATTGTATATGTGCTACAAGAAGTACATACGAATGAGATGGCATTAGATGAATGCTATTAGCTGTACACTTACCAAATGAACGTGTGCGTGTGTGTGGGTGTGAGTGAGGAAGAAGAAAAAAAAAGGTGCTGCGGAACGGGGGGTCGCCTTTTATCATTTCTGCGCGCAACACGCGACATGAGCACGCCATGATGATACCTCTGCCCTTGGCTTTTTTCTTTTCAATGCAATCCTTTCCCCTGATCATTGTAACTCATGTTCTTTTCATGAGACGATTCCAAAACCGTTTCAAGCGCATTGATCCGAGCCAATCTAACAAAGTTGGTATTTGGAAGGCCATAAAACGTGCAAGAAGGAAAAAGTCATAATCACTTGTATATATGAAAATGTTCCCTGAAACGTGCTCTACATTTTGGTCTTTTACTTTTTCAAAATGGATGGGATTTGATTGAGATACGACCGTTTTCCATGAGACGTGACATCGATGTAACTCATGCCTTTGTTTGGTTGACAAGCTATATCATACCTTAATCATATAATGTTCTCCGACACCTGCTCTTCATTTCCATATTTCACATTTTCAGAATGGATGCAATTTGCCTGGGATACGATGAATTTTATTCAAAGATGACGATACTACGAATCAACATGGATAATTGCGTTCGTTGCTGCCGCATAGATAATCCCATCCAGTTGGAAGACAACTTTTGTCAAAGATATAAGCCCTCTCATCAATACCACTCCAATCCCATCCATTATCATCCTCAATAGCATTCATATTATATGATCCTTCCTCCCCGCTGTTAACGTGCGAAGTAATCAACGCAGCATTCCAAGGTTTATCGTCACTTTAATTGATTGTTCCCATCCATCATAACCCAATTCGACTCCTGATAAGCTTCCTTAGGCATCCTGATGTTGGTCAACCTCTTTCTTTTGTCCATTGTATTTCAACCTGTCGACATATATGATAGCTGATATAGCATCATCCATAAGGACCCGTATTTATTGAATCAGGTTGCTACGCGTAAATAAATGCTGCAATGTAGGTTGCTACAAGTAACTTGGAGATAATGCAATAATAGCACCCGCTGTTACGGTTGGCTGTGGCAAAGATGCGTGTAAGGCCATGTGTTGTAGTGAAGTGACCAAGGTTGTGAATGCTGTTACGTTTGGCTGCGGTCGAGGAGTGTACAAGAGAAGGTGCAGTGTCTATGGAAGGCGTGTGTTGTAGAGGGGTGTACACGCCATGGACTTGCCATTCAGTCAAAGACAATCGGATCAAGGCAGTTGTATGATTGACATGATGGGGTGAAGCAGGACAATCGTTCGCATGCGATGGACTGGCAAACAGTTGAGATTGGGAGGGTGCAATGTAGGATAACGAGGAAAGAGAGAATAAGGCAGCATCTGAGTCGTGTGATTAGAAGTTGAGCCTATTTTCATCATAAAAATGATACAGTACTACATATTGTGTCTGCATGCTAATTACACAATGTGGATCAAAGCATTATTCCATAGGTAGTACCCTAATAAGCCCTTCCACACAAAATCGACGTTTACGAGCGAAGCGAGCAGTTGGCGGCCTAGTAAAAGTTACATGAATCGGATGTATGAGAGTGGATGACCAAACATATCGCTTTGGCGAATCATGAGTCACCGAACAAAAAATCATCTCAGATCAAGGGCATTATCTTGTCTCTTGCTCTCTCTCTCTTTTCCCTTTCCTCTTTCAACATATACAACATGGCACCTACCAAGAAAGTCGGCATCCTTGGTGCTACTGGCACTGTCGGTCAACGCTTTATTCTTATGCTTGCGGATCATCCTGTTTTTACTATCCATGCTTTGGGTGCTTCGTCTCGTTCCGCTGGCAAACCTTACCAAAGTGCTGTCAAATGGAAGCAAAGCAAGCCTATCCCAGCCAACGTTGAAAACCTTGAAGTCAAGGCTTGTGTCCCCGAAGAATTCAAGGAATGCGATGTCGTCTTTTCCGGTCTCGATTCCGATGTTGCTGGTGACATTGGTAAGTTGGTGTCAAGAACGATCTAAGGGTGTGAATCGGTCCCATTGATTCGAGTCCATTCATATAGAAATGGCATTCTTGAAGGCCAACCTTGTTGTATTCTCCAATGCCAAGAACTATCGTCGTGATCCTACTGTGCCTTTGATTGTGCCTACTGTCAACACAGACCATTTCGATTTGATCCCCTATCAACGCAGCGTTTATAACCAGGACAAGGGTTTCCTTATTACCAATGCCAACTGCTCGACCACTGGTTTGATGGTGCCCCTCAAGGCATTGCAAGATGCATTCGGTCCTATGAGCCATATCCTTGTGCACACTCAACAAGCCATCTCCGGTGCAGGCTATCCTGGTGTCCCCAGTTTGGATATTCTTGATAACATTGTGCCCTATATCTCTGGTGAGGAGGAAAAGATGGAGTGGGAGACATCCAAGATCTTGGGTGGTCAAGATGGCAAGCAATTTTTACCTTTGACCAACACCATTGTTTCCGCTACTTGCACTCGTGTCCCTGTGATTGATGGTCATCTTGAATCCGTCTCTGTCAAGTTTGCCAATGGTGCTCCTTCGATTGAACAAATCTATGACGTGCTTGACAAGTACACGTGCGAGGCCCAGAAACTCGGTTGCCATTCTGCCCCTGAAAAAGCCATCCTTCTCAACCGCAATGAGGATCGTCCTCAACCTCGTCTTGATCGTGACTTGCACAAGGGTCAAGCCGTTACTGTGGGTCGTGTGCGTCCTTGCCCTGTTCTTGATATCAAGTTTATGCTCCTCGTTCACAACACCGTTCTTGGTGCTGCTGGCAGCTCCGTTCTCAATGCCGAAGTTGCTGTTGCCAAGGGTCTTATTTAAACCTCTTTGTAGATCTTTTTTTATTACTATGTATAAATGTCAAATACACACGATTGATTTCACTCTTCTTGCTGCTGCTGCTGCTGCTTGGCTCTTTGTGCCATGATTTCCATATCCAACATGCGTCCTTTTTCTGTATTACGCCGATACAAGTTTAAAAATGTGCGTTCAATCTTGGATCGAAATGGGATCTTGAAAGAAGGTGATACTTGGAAGTATGCGTATTGCATAAACAAACACCATGAGGGAGAGGAAGGTGATGACGAAGATGATAGCAATGATGGTGATGCGATTGCATATTCGGGTGTCAGGGGTGCTACAGGTGCCTTGCCGCGCCATGGTCTAATAGCATCTTGACCATCGAGAGCACGATAGATGGTCACATCTCCAACAATAGCTGCCTCTGATGCCATCTCGTTTAAGGTTACAATAGTCATTTGTCGTCGACTTGAATCGATCCATGTTTCATGTCGAATGATCATATCCGAAGGGATGGAAGAGGCTGGCAACATACGCATCACATTTGGCAACGCGACATGGCAACGGCGTACGATTCGGCGTATACCCGACAATGGAACAAGAGGTTCTTCATCCGTGCCATAAGGCATCATTGCAATGATATCATTGGGGACATCCACTCTTGGTGGAAATGTAGTGAGATTGGGTACAGGGTTACTTTGTCGTTGTTCATCATCGGCGGATAATAATATCAAATCAAGATAGCAAGTGCAATGATCACCTCGGCGGTATGGTTGATGTTGTGCGTTTGCAATGGATGATGATGTCTGTTGTGAAAGTGTTTCGATATCTTGTTGGGAAAAGAACACCTCATCAGAAAGGATCTCGGATGCCTTGAGCATGGGGTATCGTTCATGAGTTGGATAGCGTTGTTGGTTAGCCCATACTGCCAATTCCCATGAATAAGGATAAAGCATATGAGCCACTTTGGTGGTAGACATGTTGTTTCAAAAAAGTAAAGAGAAAGAATGTGCCATATGGCAGGTTTTATCCATTGGATCACTCCTTTTGATTGTCTTTTTCCCCTTTATATGTCACTGAGAGGATGTTGTTTTCATACATATTTGCTCACATGTCCATAAACAAGATAAATGGCATGTACATTTTCTCTGTTGCCATTTGATAGTGCGTGTTAGTCCACAAGGATTTGTTGTGTTTGAATAGCCTGTGGGATATGGATCATGGATCATTGTACTACAACAGGAAGATAAATAACCACCTACAATGATGATCCTTTATCAATAATGAGCCACAGTCGCGACCTTTGGTATTACTTTTTCTTTGTTCTTTTTGGCAAAGGGGGAAAAAGAATGAAGCAAACACGTGTGATGTTATCATTGATGACAACCAAACATCCCACTAGTGAATGACCAAATCATTTTATAAGGCCATCAATGTGTTTATCTACTACAGGTAGGCCATACGAGATGAGCGAGTCAAGTGAAGATGATGAATGCCAAGGACACTATGCGTGTGTAACCAGTGTTCCTAATTTAGCATCTAGCAGATATGGGATGGTTTGTAAAGGTCCCTGCGGCGACGCCGCCATTAGCATCCTTCTTCCTCTGATTTATTTTTAAACACGCACGTATATCATCATCCACATGTCAAACGAAAAGGAGACTTCTTCTGCACCTGTTGAGAACAGCTTTACTGCTTCTGATACAACAACTACAACTGCTACCACTGCAACTACAACGACTACGGCTACAACAGATACGGATATGGTAGTGGAAAGTAACGAGCCTGAACCATCATCGAGACCTAGCGAGTCAGGTGCTAGCACCAACAGTGTCACCACAGGCAATAAGCGACCAGCATCTCAACAATCGCATGACCATGGCTATCGACAACGCATCGCTTCATGGATTCAGCACGAATCGGATACCGATCTTTACATTCGCTCCCTTTCCGAGTCGCTCATGATTCACAAGGAGATTGTTGAACGTATTGAAAATGAGAAGGAACAGTATATTGAAGCCGTCGAGCAAGAGCGTAAGCAGGAACGAAAGCATGCCGAACAAGAACGACAAGCAGCTCATCAAGCATTGGAGACGCAACGCCAAGAATATGATCGATTGATGCAAGCACACCAAAACGCTCTCGTTGATCTCGACAAGAAACGCAATGAATATGCGCGTATGGAAGCCAACTATTACTCGCATATGCGCACGATTCGTGCCACAGATGATGACCTATCAACCGTACAAAGTGAACTCAGCGCCGTACTTAGCCAAACAGCCAATCTTTGCATGAGCTTACGATCCAAAGCCGACAAGGTTGCTGGTGCACGATTTGTATTGGAGCATTGGCCTGAAAAGGAAGCTCTTATTCGAGAACACATGCTCAGCAAACAACAACAACAACAACAACAACCAGCCAAGAAACCCGACACTGAGGATGATCAGCAACAAGAAGATCAAGACGAGAAGAAAGAAGAAGCGATGAAAGAGGAGAACAAAGAGGATGAGCCAATGATGATGGATGTTGGATTTATTGGCGTGTTCATTGAAAAGTATCTTGTGAATATGATCCTTTCACGCATCCTTCAACAATCTTTACACCCTGGCGTGCCAATCAATGATGCTTTCCAACAAGTATTTGAATGGATGGACAAACGCAATACAGAATGGGCTACTCGATTACGACAACAAATGGTCGCACTCGTGGCACGTCAAGCTATGGATGATGAAAGCGCTATTGAGGATGCCAAACAAGCACTTGTTAAAGAGATGATGGAGTCTTTGTCAAAGGTGTATCCACATGTTGACGGCAATACAGAAAAGAAGCTGACGAATATTGTCAATCGGGCCACCAAGCTCAACCTTGCTATCAAGGGCCAGGAGGTGCTTGTTAAAGTACGAGAGATTGAAGAAGGTGAAGCAACCTTTGATTCATCCACCATGAAAGCGGCTAGTAAAGGCAAGGCTGAAGGAACGGTGACCATTGTTATCTCCCCTGGCTTTTCTGCAAGTGATCCCACGGATGAAGAACATGGTTTCCTTGTGCCTGCAAAGGTGCTCTGCTTGTAAATGTACATTTTTTTTCTCTTATTTGCTTTCTTTTTAACGTTGGTTTTCCCTTTTTCACATATTGCACACACACACACAACACACAACACACACGTACACTCACATTCACGCACTCACACACACTTGTTCAATAAATACATCTTTTTTTCTCCTGCATGATAAGGTAATCCAATTTGGAGATTTTTCCCCAAACATTATCTAAACATGGAAAAACTGAGGTGATCATCCCTTCATTGTTTTGATGTTGTAAATAGATAATGCCAGAAAACTGGGCACGGTTTACATTATAACCTTGGTTACCAAAAAGGGATGAATGAGATGGTTGGGGGTGAGAAAGACCACTTGATGATGGACCTTTATGACGGCGACGACGACGAGGTATGCACATGTTAAAGGTAACCATAACGTATCACTGTTATTCATTATGATCGTTGGTATCAACGTTGTATATCTTTACATTCTCGTGTTGGAGGAAAAATGATTTCACGACAAGATTCGAATTGGAACGACATTCTCCAAGGGCGGAAACTCGCGTGGCCCATTGACCCGTATATAAAGCAACTGAAAATTCATGTCCATCGTCGTGTCAACGACTCTCCATCCGATCGAAAACGATATGCGGTTCCTTGACATTTGCCTGGCAGCTGCAGCCATCACCACCCACGTTTTCGCTGACAATCAATTTGTTTCATTGCCATTTGTGGCCGTGGATCGAAAAGGGGTGCATACATCAGCATGGAATCAACGTCTGGATGAATCAGGTGTCAATGTACCATTACAGAATATGGATTTGGCGGTAATACAAGATAAACGTTGATGATTTCAATTGATTAACATGATCCCTCAATACTCTTCGTAGTACTTGATGAACATCTCCATTGGTAACGATAGCGATTGACAAGGATGATGCATGGGACCAATGATTGATTTGCGATTTTAGGTACACCACCTCAGCCTTTCACCCTGTTATTGGATACAGGCAAGTAGCTTACATATAAGTATAATGCATCCATTTAACAGCAAGGTACCTATAATAACAGGATCGTCGACAACGTGGGTGCCTATGGAAGGATGTGGTCGTTTTTGTGGCTATCCTCTGCATACGCTCCAACCACTCGAATCTAGCACGTTTCGCTCGAGCAGCCTCTTGTTCAGCATTCGATACGGCGAGGGCTTTTCTAGAGGTTTTTATGCCGAGGTACGTTCAGCTGGTCATAGTTGCCCAAACGACATTGAAATGGCCTTAACAATGATGCTCAGGATACGGTGACCTTGAATGACGCCATTTCAGTCCCCCACACAGTAAGTCTTTTGACGCTTCCATTCATACCCATTTGCTAACCCAAGATGGAATAGAATTTTGCTGTTTCCAATATAAACGATGGCGAGTTGACAAGGGATGGTGCTGGTAAGTGAATGTTATTGTTGTTGTCAGTGTATGCTGGTGACTAAAATTATGCATGTTGATGCATCCAGATGGTATCCTTGGTATCGGTAAGTTGATCCATCTTTAGAAATTCAAGCTTTGACGTGGCTCCACGTAGGCCCTGATCCATTGAGCCGCTTTAACAATCCCAACCAAACCATTGTTCCTACGCTCGTAACAACCATGTTTGAGCAAGGTGTCATTAGCAACAACTCGTTCTCCATTTACTTTCAGCCAATCAACGGCACATCCCTAGAGAGCCGTATCAATGGAAATATCATTTTTGGAGGAGGTGGGTCATGATGCATTCTTTATTGTGTGTGTATGGGAATGAGTCATTGCTGATTATCATCTTTTACGTAGTCGATTTGGATAAGGTGGAAGACAAGCAGATTACGTACTTTCCAAGCACCTCACATCAAGATTACAAGGTTTGAGAATACCCAGCAAATGCTATTCATGCATTCATCTCACCATCGTTTGATAGGATTATTGGGCAGCGGATATGGAATCGATCATTGTGGGCAATGAGACTGTAAACTTTGATTCGGTCATACCTGCATTGGTAGATACAGGTTGGTTTGAAAAACGATAGGCAACAACAATGATGATGCTGATTCTCATCGTATATAGGATCAACCTTGATTTTCGTGCCAAAAGAAATCGTTGAGCTTGCACTCAGCGACGTGCATGACATACGGGCAGACTACATGGGCCAATACCTCGTGCCATGTGACAGCAAGGAGCTAAAACCAATTACCTTCAACATTGCTGGGACACCACTCAAGCTATACCCTGAGGAGTACATTGTTCCCCATACCATAGCTGGCGGCGTAAGTGTGCTTTGATGCTTTATCTTCATCTTGTCGACTAACCCCACCCCCTGATTCCATCGTCGTAGTCTGTCAATGGCACACCTTACTGCTACACCTATCTTCATGAGTCACCACCCTATATCGATATTATCCTCGGTTACGGTTTCCTGCAGCAGTACGTTTCTGTTTATGACAATGAGAACAATCGTGTTGGTCTTGGACGACGTATCAAGTAGTATAAAGAATAAAGATTTACATGGAATCCTTGTGGATGCATATCATAATCACATTTTGAACTCGTACTTAATATGCTTTATTCTTGGTTGGATACGTGACATGAATAAATATGGTAGGTAGGGATATGTCAAACCTCAATGGTGGTATTCTAGTGAACGAAAATAACGTTTTTCCCATGAGATAGGCATAGATGAAAATGCAATTTACTATCTTCATTCTTGTGAAACAAATGATTGGCTAATGCTATACATAGGTAGGTAGGTGATCGACTAGTTGAAAAGGTTGTTGTCAGCCTATGTGAATGTGGCATTAATACGACGCGTGGATGAATCATAAGGCCAAATCCGGGGCTAAGTGTTATCATTACCCTATGCAGACGTAAAAGGTGTATCCGAGATGTATATAATAGTTTCCCGGGATGCGTCATTTTCGGATCGGGATAATCAACAGCTCCGTGTGACCGTAAGAGTGTGATTTATGTTTTTGAAGTGCAGGTCACCGCATGAAACAAACTTGTCAATCTATTCTTTGTTTTTTCCCTTTCACTCGACACTTCCTCCACCACCACTCCTCCTCCTTCTCCTCATTCACGCGCACACACTATCCTCAATGTACCCGGGTATTCAAGTCAGCTTACGTTTTCGAACCGTTTGCACGCGTCTCCCTGTTCATGGCGCCAAACCTCGCATGACATTGGTGCCCGAAAGTGTCCTTGTTCGACCATGCGCGACTCGCAAACCCATCATGGTGCAACGATCGTTCCATGCCGCTCGTCGTTCCAACAATGCTCGAATGTTGCGTAGTGCAGAATCGAAAGCAACCACGTCCAGTGCTAATGCTGCTGCCGAAAGCGAATCTTCAAGCATGACTTCACGAGCTGCTCAATTGGCCAAAGAACAAGCTGGTACTACTGCAAAGGCATCCACAACCGCTTCTACCATGAGTGCAGCAGCATCAGCATCAGCAGCACCTGCCACAACCAAGCCCAAAAAGTCACTATGGCAAAAGGTCAAGGATGAAGCAACACATTATTGGCATGGTACCAAGTTATTGGGACTCGAAGTACGCATTTCATCCAAGCTTACTTGGAAACTATTGAACGGTGGTCATTTGACTCGAAGAGAAGCGCGTCAGGTAAGGGTGATGACGATGATATGGGATGGAGGGAAGGATCTCTATATACTAATGGATGATGTTGATGATGATGGATCATAGCTTCGTCGTACTACATCTGATATTATGCGATTGGTGCCCTTTGCAGTCTTTGTATTGGTGCCATTCATGGAATTGTTGTTGCCCGTTGCATTGAAGTTATTCCCAAACATGTTGCCAAGTACATATGAAAGCAAATCCACAGAGGTAGGTGGAAGGTTACACACCTGCATGTTGAACATTTTCTTTTGACTCATCCATTTCATTATAGGAGGAGAAAAAGCGCAAGCTACTCAAAGTCAGACTGGAGATGGCCCGATTCTTGCAAGAAACTATTGCCGAGTCTGGATTCCCTGGTTCTGATAATTCACATGCAGCCAAGGATTTCTCTGACTTTTTCCGCAAGGTAAATAGGAGGGGAATGTGGATGTGAGCCCTTATCAGTGTGGATGATAACCTATGGGGGTGGACCCTTTTTCTCTCTCTTTCTAGATCCGCATGACCGGTGAACAAGCATCTACAGAAGATTTATTAAAGGTGGCTCGACGTTTTGAAGATGAATTGACTTTGGACAACTTGTCACGACCTCAACTCGTTTCCATTTGCAAGTACATGAATATCAATGCCTTTGGTACAGACAACTTTTTACGTTTCCAAATCCGTAATCGTATGCGACAAATCAAGGCGGATGACAAGGTAACACACATCACATACGGGGTATGAAAAACCATGGGATTGACAATGGACATTGGGATGATAGGTTATTCAAACCGAGGGTATTTCCTCCTTGACTTTGCAAGAATTGCAACATGCATGTGCTGCTCGTGGTATTAGAACTACCGGATCCTCTCCAGGCCGTCTTAGAGATGAACTTGCTCAATGGATTGACCTCAACTTGAACCACCGCGTTCCTACCACCTTGATGATTCTATCACGTGCTTTCACATTCACAGACCGTGCCCTCACCACTGAAGATGCCTTGCGTGCCACCTTTAACAGTTTGCCTGATAATTTGGTATGTTGTTGACAAGATGGAAAGTGTATGTATATACTCATTTTTTACGTCATCCTAGGTCAATGAAACTGAATTACAAGTGCTTGAATTGGTGGGCCAGAGTACCTATAAGCAAAAGTTGGATGTCTTGGAGCAACAACAAGAATTGATTGAGGATGAATCTGAACAAGAAGAAAAGGAGGCCAAGGCAAGACGTGAGGCAGAAGAAGCTGCACGTGAAGCTGAGGAAGCACAAGCCAAGCAACAAGAAATGGAGCAAAAAGAAGCTGAAAAACGTGATCAATTTGTTCCTGATGCCAAGGTATGTTTGAGGATCGAAGGATTTCATCTACAGGGTAACTCATGGGTGATGGTTCGCTATATAGGCCGAAGAAGCTCCTGCCAAGAAGTTGGATGAAAAGCTTTCTACTGCAGAGCAACAAGAATTGCAAGATGCATTGGCCAAGTTGCGTACCAAGGTGGATGTTCTTGAAGAACGAGCACAACTTAATGAGATCAAGTTCAATTATGAGGATTACAAGGACGTAAGTATCTTTTTTTTATTATGGTTGGATGACTCGCGTGTACTTAAACTATCATTCTAGTTGATTGAACAACTCAAGGAAGCTACCCATCGTGATGCTGACAAGGCCAGCCGACGACTTGGAAAGAAACTTGAAAAGATGCTAAGCGAGATTGATCGTGAGCTGGATACATTAGAGAAGGAAGAGAAAATTGATAAAAAGAGTGAACAGGAATAGACTATTATAGACGCTGTAAATATCTACAATGAATCAAATCAAATCCCCTATCATAGTATTACATGTGTATGTGTGAATGGGATGGGATGGGATATGTAAACGAATCATGCCTTTAATGCGACCAGGCCGAAACCGGTGGCTCGTGACTAGCCAATGTTTTGAAGGGCAACAATAATGACAGCAGCCATCAACCCACCCACCTTCTCTTGAGCTCCTCCGCCGCAACCCACCAAAACAAAAATGTTCAAATCCGTTGCATGCAACATTGCCAAGGTATTCATCGCACTCAACTCACGCCTACAATGGACAACGACAAGTAACCGATTCCCTTCCAAATAGACGGCATTCCAACAAAAGCGTGCATTGGCATCTGTATCCGAGAAAGGTATTTTAGTGTGTGTGTGTGTGTGTGTGTGCCTCAACAACCAATGCACCATGGATACTCATAGTAGTTTGTCGTTGACATAGCCACCAATCCATTCCCCCAGCATGTACAAGCATTCTTGCGTGATTTCAAGACAAGTGAACCTGTTGGCATTATCGATCTGGATCGCAAAGTATTTGGTGCACCTCTTCGACGAGATATCCTGCAACGTGTGGTTGTATGGCAACGAGACAGCATGCGACAAGGCACACAATCGGCCAAGACACGATCCGAAGTCGTTGGTTCTGGTAAAAAGAAGGCTCCTCAAAAAGGACGTGGCAAAGCTCGTGTGGGTGATATGAAGTCACCTCATATGCGAGGAGGTAAGAGGAGGAGAATAGGGTATTGTGTGCGTATTGAATGGATAGGAACTTATACTTTCTTCTTCAAGGTGGTGTTGCCTTTGCTCCCAAGCCTCGAGATCATTCTACAGACTTGCCTCGTCAGGTGCAAGAGCTTGGTTTACGTGTTGCCCTGAGTACCAAGTACGCCCAAGACCAATTGACCATTGTCGACAACTTTGATCAGCTTGAAAGCCCAAAGACCCGTGAACTCGATTTTATCTTGAAGAACACTTATGATCATCCTACTCTCTTGCTCGTGACTGAGGATGATAATGAACGATTAGAACTCGCAGCACGCAACATTCCAAAGTGCGAAGTCATCCATGTCGACGAAACCAATGTCCTCGATCTCCTCACATACGACAAGGTCATTATTGAAAAGGGTGCCGTCGAGATCCTCGAAGAAGCTCTTCAAGTTGTATAGTAGTCCTAGTAGTAGCATCATCATAGATTCCTTCTCCCCATCCCTCTCTCTTTATAAAATAAGCTTGTAGAAATCAATCATGGCTTTTACGACATCATTGGAATTGATGGATTAGGATGGATCAAATTGTATATGAAAGTTCATGTTACTCTTACACAAAAGAGGGGATAAAAAAAGAGAAAAAGAATAATGCTTCTGCAAAGAGAGAGAGAGAAAAAAAAAGAGAGGAGGATATGCCAGAGTATTAGAATGATACAAGAGAGAAAAAAAGGGGAGTTTGGTGGACGAGAAGAGTGAATGAGAGAAAGGCGAGAGAGAGAGAGAGAGAGAGAGAGAGAGATGTGGGTATATGGTTTATGTCAGTGCATCATTTTTTTGGGGTCGTTCATGCGTTGCTTGAATCCTTTAAACGAGAAGGCCTTCGATCATCGTCATTGTCATTGTGATGTACTGTGTCATTATCCGCATCATCATCATCATTCTTTCGGAATAAATCATCGCCCAACGGCTTGCGTTGCTTGATAGGTTCGTTTCCAAGTTTGAATGTGTTTTCATCATCGTCTTCTTCTTCATGTTGTTCATTCCATTCAGGTTTGCGCATAAATTGTCTGAAGGTGTCAGCAATCATGATGGCGTCGGTGGAGCTGAGAATCGAGCTGGATTGACGTGCTTCCTGATTTTGCATAATGTGGGCCACAGCAGGTGATGTGGGTGGTTTATTGTTGCCGAGTTCAGTTTCAGCGATGCTCTTTGTTGGTGACGATTGTTGTGGTGAACCAGGTTGTGCATTGCGTACGCTTGCCATAATAGGCGTGGAGGAGTGAATCGATGACATATCATTTGAATTGCTGATAGAGCCTGCAAAAGGGCGAGGTATGGTAGGCATGCTGGCATCGGGTGATTGCATCAAATTACGCTGATCGCTTGTTTTGCTGTCTCTCATGTTGGCTGCTCCACCGCCAGCAGCAGCGACATTGTTCTGGGCGTTGGTACGTTTCAGTCGGCGGATGAACCAAAGCAATCCAGCGAGCGCCGCAACAAAGACCACACAGGCAATGACAATGACAGCAATTAACCAGCCTGGTAACCCGCTACCGCTATTGCTTGCATTTGCACTATCACTTCCATTGGGTGAATCACTTCCATCACTTGATGTATTGTGTGCGCTTTCTACAAGATACCAAATATTAGTTAGTAACACACATAAATCTCCTGGGGATATAAAAGATACTCCCCCTCTCCTGCCTCTCTCCATTCTCTCCCCTCCCCTCTTTTGGTTAATAACCCCACTCCCTATCAATCAATCAATCAATCAATCAATCCAATGTATACTTACGTATCAGCGTGAATTGCACAGGTTTTGGAAAGTTGTAATCGTTCTCGATCTCCTGCTGGTATTCGTATCCATCGGTGAGGACATACGCGTAGGGTTGCCATGTCTTGTTTGCTGAATTGTCAGGGAGTTTGGATGGGAACCAAGAGTCATCGACTTGTTGGACAAAGGAACCTGGTGATCGTGGTAGTCCTTTCCATTCCTTGACGCTAGTATAAGTACCATCCGATTCGTACAACAGATATAGATTGATTGTATTATCCTATTCGGCCAATGAGTATATAAAGTAATTCTCTCTTTTTATACACGCGTAGCTAGTACGTACCTCAGATGTGATGTAGGCGGGGTTGCTATGATGGACAAGAATGGGATGAGGATCAAAAAAGGGATCTGGGTCAGCTCACAACAGCAAAAAATAGTATCATGGGCGGTGGGGTGTAAGAGTGTGCAACCTTACTTGTACTTCCAAGTGAACTCGTAATAGCTGCCATTGTACCAAACGTCGCTTGATGTGGGTGAGCAGACGCCCACCGTGTTGGGTTGGCTAGCACACGATGCTGAAACAGTTACTATGGTAGTATCTCGGTCAATATGCATGGATCATAATAATACTATCCCCTCTCTTCCTTTCCCCTAATCGCGTTGTGTATGTGTGTGCATCAAGAAACGAATCAAAGGAAAAGAAAAACACATACCTTGTCGTTTCCATGGAAATGCTGCTGCTGCTGGTACAAATGGAGAGTAGTAGCAGAATAAGCCCGCAATGAAAAGCAGTGGCTTCATTTATGGAATTGAGAGAGTTGCAGAGGAGAAGGAATTGGAAAATAACAAAGGAAGGAGAAAGAGAGAAGGAGACACGGTCGTTGCAAAGTCGCTTGTGTTCTTGGCCTTCCAATATCCAACATCAAATTTGGTACGGTTGCACACACCTGAAAGTCGCATACGCTGATTGGAGCCCTTGAAACTCTCCTCTTTCTCATGTCGGACACACGTTATCGTCTCATTTCCCGGATACGCTTCCGAAGCTAGAGCAAAAGACGTTGATAGTATAGCGAGCTTAATAAAAATGTACACATGTTTATCGTCTTTGCATACATTGATGCAAGTTTATTAGCCAATTTCAATTGGAGCGCACATACGCTATACTATCCTCCTAGCGCACCCAAGAAATTCACATACCTACTTATAGTCTTGGATTATGATGTACAATGACACTTCTTTTTGTGATCCCCATGAACGGCTTTGCACCCAAATGACAATGTCTTCGTTCGTAGTATGTACTTCAACTCATTCCCTTTTTCCAAATCGTGACCATCATCACCATCAATGTAGTACCTGAGGATAGCCAGTGCCTGCTATTAAATATCTCGGCGAGAATTACCCTAATAATAGTGCTTTTATTTCTGATGAAATGGGTGTAGATACTTTGTTTGCCTATGGATGGTGTAGACAATCAGTCAACTTGCTATCACTACGGGTTGATGTAAAGGATTATGAATAGTACCAAATACGAACATTAAGCTTTCACGTGTTTAGCACTTTCAATCGTTCTATACTTGGATCGTTTGATATCACAATGAAGCCACCACTCATTCCTTTTGTTTGAATGACGTATATAAAAGAGGATTGATCATGTGACCCTTCTTCATTATCTGCCTGTAATTACGGATGTCGGGATTCAAGAGATACATAATCCCGTGGGGAAAAGAGATTGTCATTGTGCTTTGTCATCGGTAATAGGTTTGTGCATGAAGGGTGATACAGCTGTTACTCTTTAATGGTATTTTCTCGCTCTTTTTCCCATTTGATTTTCTTATCACCTTCTAATTACTCGTCCTTTGAACCATTCATGTGGGGTTTCATCGTCGATCATGACATTGTGATTGATGGTGGTGTGGGGGGTTTATCACCGACGCTTACTACAATTGTATTACTAACTTCCAAGCGTGAGCAAAAAAGTTGCTGTCAACATCACACTGACTGACGCACACACACGCAATACACTCTCAGCAGCATTAAGTACCTGAATGTGCGACATCCATTTCTCTCTTTCTCTCTTTTCTTTCATCTTTTCTTTATTTTATTAATGACAACGACAACTACAACTACGACAGCAGCACTACAGAAATACCTTTCAAGTTATAGCCTTGCTTTGGCTGAAGACCCTTCCAAAGGACGCAAGGTGGTTGCCACGTCGTTGATCGAACGCGGATCCATCGTTACTACATCGCAACCTCTGGGAACAGTTCCGCTCAAGGCGCATCGTAATGAGTTTTGCAACTATTGTTTCAGAAAGCTTGGAGCGTCTCAATACAGCACTACACCTCTCAAGCGATGCTCACGATGCAAGTCAGCTTACTTTTGCGACATGAATTGCTTCAAGAATGCCTGGCTCAGCTATCATCAGTATGTATGTCGACCCAAGAGTAGCGATGAAGAAGAGGACGACGACGACGAGGACAAGGAGGAGAATGTGTTATCCATGGATGTGGAGATGTTGGAACGTGTTGCTTTGAATGCTACTCGTTATCACAAACGCAAAGCCAAGATGGATCAGGAAGAAGAAGAAGAAGGAGTATCAGGATCATCATCATCCAATGGACATGAAGAAGATGTGGAACAAGAGGAAGAATCGGTTGAGGTAACCATGGAAGCATTCGAGTCATTGATGGATCATGGCAACAAACATTCAAGACATGTGCAAGAGCATTTTGCCAAAGTTGCTCAAAGGGCAATGAGCAAGTCGTATTTGGAAGACACGCCTTTGACGCAACAAGATCTGATACGTTTCATGGGCCGGTTCCGATGCAACAATTTCAGCATTTACGACCAACAATTATTTGCCATTGGTGAAGGTACTTATCCAGTGGCCTCCTTGTTCAACCACGATTGTCGTCCCAACGCTGCCATTTTGTTCGATGGTGCATTACTGATGGTGAAGGCTATTGATGATATTGAACCGGGACATGAGATCACAGTGGCCTACGTGGATATTGCTCATTCAAGAACGGTTCGCAAGCAGACGTTGAAGGACAAGTACTATTTTGAATGTCGATGTGATCGATGTCGTGATGATAATCCCGTGGGTCGAATCGACGCCATGTTGGGAGAAGAGATGTCGGATTGGGATCGAGCTGCCAGCTTGTTACAAGAAGGAGAAGAAAATGGCGATACCGATCGTGCACGGATCTTGCAGTTACTGGAAAAGGATTGGGATCTGCTGATGCTCACACGCCGTTTCAATCGTCATAACAATGAAGTACCCGACACAGATGAACCATTGACATTACCTTATTACGTCCATTTCTTGTTGCCATTCTTGACTCCTTATTTATGGGCCACAAGCAATCCTGCCATTCGATTTGTGGGTGGATCAACACCGGTCGGCACATCCATGACCATTCAACACATTACAGAGTTTGATGATCCACCTACTGCATTCGCACGTCCTTATCCAGGTGAAACCTACCTTGAAGTATTGGGAAATGCGATTGACAAGACGCTCTCGTACAAGACCCCTGATCGTGTCATTCCATATCGTATCACCACATTGGCCAATTGCACTCGTCTCTTTTTTGATGAAATGATGGAGGGTCATTGGCGAAATGCTACCAAACTCGGCATGTATATCCTCGTTCAATACGCCATCATTTATCCACCTTATCATCCCATGCTTGCACAACACTTGCTACTGCTCGCCAAATCAGCCTGGAATTCGATCATCCAAAACGAACTCGTTACACAAACAAAGCAACTTGAAAAGGTGCAGGAACGAGGTGTCAGGCGATGGATCTTGCTTGCCAAGGAAACGATTGCACATACATTCGGAAAACAAAGTCAAATGTGGCGCGAGGTGATTGAGCTGGAATGGATCTTTATTCGGGAACAAAAGTTGAAAAAGTAGAACCCTCGTTTTCTTCTTTATGTCTATGTGTGGATAAAATAAAAATGGTTGTATTATTATTATCGTCATTTATGTATGAGATAGGGAGTGAGTAGGATGATGATGAATGATTGTGTCAGCACCATGCAGGGTTCTAACAGCTGTTGTTGGGTCTGATCAGCAAGGATCGATGTAATTTACTTGTTTTCAATAAAGCGATTGATAAGTACTATGTACGTACAAGAACAAGGAGAGGACGATGCTGGAGGGTCACTGTATTTGTACTAGCGTGGATGTGTGCACACACCACATGTAAGTTAAAAGGTGGTCAATGTGTGTGTGCCTTGCAAGGAAGGGAGGCCATGTTCTATAACCGGTTTTGATTCAACACATGGTACGCAAGCGGCAGGTGTATCAGAAAATGACCCGACCCTGAACAAGAGCTCTCGGCATCCAAATAAGCTTTTGGAAAAGATTCATTGAATCCTGCTGCTGCTGCTGCTGGTCATTGTGCTAATCTCACATGGATACACGCGATTGTGTGTGTGTGCAAGTACATGCATTATTATGTTGTCGTCTTTTCTTTCACTTTTTTGAGTGTTGCAGGGTGCATCAGTAATCTTTTGCTGTCTCCTTCCCTCATCCCTGCATTTGTCTTTCTTTATTCCTTGGGTAAGCAGCAGACCCCCTGGTAACGATATGATGGAATAATATGATAACGACCCTGACATAAGTTTCTGCTCTCTCCCGCCCCTTTTTTTCTTCAATCATATCCCATTCCAACTCTGTGGATGGTCCCCATTCTTTTTCTTTTCTCGCGTTTTGGTTTGTGCAATCGAGAAAAAATTTGATTAAGAAGCACAGGAGGTGGATTTAACTTGGGGGTCTAAATAAACATCTCCATTGACTCTTGCATCTTGTATGTAAGGACATGAATCGATCAGCTGTCTTTCTCCTTGACTTGATCACCGCTGCACGCTATCGTTTGTTTGGCAACATCCATGCTATACACAAGCACACACTTCATGCTACAATGTTATCTGCACATCCACACACACACACACACACACCACACCCATGGAGGATACATACAAATGATCATTGTTGGGGTCTCGACCCTTTCACATCATTGTCTTTGGCGTGCATTGTTTTGGGGTAAACATGGTTAAAGGAGTAATGGTAGTGAGATTCTTGCTTACCTCCACTGAACAAGAACCAAGGGGAGGAGATGCACCATATGGGCGCGCGCGTTAAGGCACTTTCACATTCCATGGTCATGTTCCTTATTGTCCCATTCGCTAAAGATGGGAAATTTGTCATTATTGTTCTCGTTGCCATGCTCCTTCTTTAACATGGCAACGTGATGAAATGAAGCATCAAAGATACATGTACGAGGAAAATCACGCCACTTTGAGCTTTGGAAGGAAAAACAAAGATGATCATTACAAAAGCAAACGCCTTGTTCTGCATATCGGATGGAAAGATGATTATGGATGAAAACCATCTATATGGGGTTTCATCCAAGAGTGGTATATCTCGTGAACCTTAGCCATGTATTGGATGATTGCCGTCATTGTCGTAGCATTAGAAAGGCTGTGTGGTGGAGTTTGATACCAAACAAGATCCCAGGAGTCGGATCCGTGTTGCACATGACCTGTAACCAACGCATCCAAACCACCGGAAAGAGCGTGTGCACGAGCACACGTACGTGTATATTTTACTCAATCATGTCCTTGCGTCTTTGTTGGATTGAATTCAACAAACCTCCCCCCATTCACTCCCCCAACATCATATGCACACACGTCCTCTACACACACACTTGCGCGCCCCAGGCATTTTTCCATTTCATCCCTCTTTTTTTACATTTCATCCAATACAGTCCACTCCACTACATCAGCAATCACCCTGCATTAGTAGATGTATCAAGCAAGCAACAGCACATGTGTATGCTACATTTAGGGGTTCGCACTCGCTCTCACTTTTTTCTTTATCCAATCCATGTGTATGTCAAAGGACGCTCAAGCCATTTCCATGGGCTAAGAAAGGGGTGAAGCACACACACACACACGCACACGCATACGCATCATGTTGGCTGCTTCTAATGGTGGAAACTCTTTTTTCAACCCTGCATAAGAAGCCCTTTTCACACATCAAACCACACACACCACATGGGTAGACCACCATCAATTAGAACAAACAATGAACTTTTTATTACTATTACGTCGTGTATGTGGCATTTTTGTTTAAAGTTATGTACATGTGCGCAATGAAAAATTATAATAGCCATATGAAGAAATAGGGTGACATGGGCATATAGGTACGGTTAAGGGGAGAGTGTCTTGGGATGGTTGGTTGTGTGGGTGGGTATGGGTGGGTGATCAGAGAGGAGCGCAAGAGGAGAATAAAGGATTTGAACATAATGTTATATTGGGGGAGGAAAAAGAGCTCGTGCGTATTGTACGAGTGCATTAAATTAACATGATCCATAAGACATCACCGCAAGCAGCTGTTGTTTGTTGGATCGAACGAGTTGAGAGGAAGGAGAAAAAGCGAGCAAGAGCGGTGGTGGTGGTGTGAGATCGCAAAAGATCTAATAGAGGGATGATGTATATGTATGATGTTGTGCGTTTGTATAATCAAGAGGCGTTGTGTATGATGGTGGTGTATAACAAGGATTGTATGCTGTGCTGTAATAGGTCGAGTGTTTGTATCAGGATGTTGGTGGTGGTGCATGTTGTTGTTGTTGTAATAATGAAAGTTCATGGTAGTGTGGGTTGTTTGTTTCAAAGAGAGTATAGAGAAATCCCACTATCACGTCGATTTTCGGGCTGATCCTTAACGTCGATAAAGCTTGAGAGGCTGGGAAGAACGACACCGGGTTGTGATGGATAATATGGGCTTGGTAACAATCCAGGTGATGTGGGTGGAAGATCATCCACTGAGCTTGAGCTTGGGCTTTCTACAATGAGAGAAGGTGGTGCTGGTGGAGGTGATGAACCTGCCACAGCAGCAGCTTGTTGCCATGTTGTGGGCGAATGCAAAACACCATAGAAACATTCAGCGCACGTGCATCGTTGCTGTCGTAGCTGTTGTTGTTGTTGTTGAACAAGACGACGTTCTTCGATAAACGGACGCCACTGCACACTGGGTCGTTTACCATTGCTAGCATGATCATGTTTCATATGCTTGGTAAGCATTGTTTTACGCACAAAGCTTTTGGAGCATCCGTCAAATGGGCATCTGTAAGGTCGTTTGCCAGTATGCGTGCGGCTGATGATAGAAAAAGAAAAAAAGAAAAGGGCGTAAGCATGCATTGCATATACATTTGGCGATCGATAGATCACTTACCGGTGACGTGCTAGTGAGCTGCTGTCACTGAAACTCTTGTTGCATGATGGGTATTCACAAATGTGTGGTCTCTCGCCTGAATGGGTACGCATATGCACGGTCAAGGCTGATCGCTATAATGAAGCAACAAAGAAAATCAGCTATACAGCTATTATTGAGGTGGGTGCATCAACGCCTACAACGTTCCAAAATTGGAACAGGCGTCTTTTTTATTCTTACCTGGATAAAGCTCTTGCCACAATCAGGTTCACGGCACTTGAATGGTCTATGAAGCAATGTATATAAGTTTATCGATCCATTTGGACATTTGGGTGTGTCTTTACATACCGCTCGTTGGTATGGATACGTAGGTGGCGTACAAGGTCTGAGCGTCTGCCTATAATAATGAAGCAGGATACATAAATATGATTGCTGTTTTAGATTTGCTTAATAGGGTGTCGTACCAAAGGTCTTGTTGCAAGAGGAAACGGTGCATGCAAAAGGACGCTCCTCGGTGGGAAGGTGGTCTTGGTTGACAAGCTCGAGAATCTCCATGGTAACGTAGAAACGTGGTGTGTATATTGTAAGTGTATATATAGGTGCGGTTTTGTCCGTGAGCGTTTATGTGTGGTGCTCGAGTGAAGAAAAAAGATGGTGTAAAAAAGCCAAAGCAGACAAGCAATGGTGGGTGTATTTATACCTATGAGTGCCAATAGCCACACATATGATAATGGCGGTGTGGTGGGTCGTGCAAAAGTGTTCGTGCGCGCTCCTGTTAATGCTTGTGCCTCACTCCTTGCTTGTCTTTTGTTCCCCTGAAAGACGTACAACAGATGTCTTGTGTTCGCTCAACATGCATGTATATGTGTTCTACCCTGAACATCTCTTTCTCTCCCCCCAAAAATCACAACCTTCTTTACTTTACCCTCCCCCAATACTACTGCAACTAGTCGAGGGATGTGCTAGGAGGTCCACGGAGAAGAATAAAGAGAGCGACCATAAAAAGTGCAATGAAAGGAGCAACAAGGGAGCCACTGCCATTAGAAATTAAAATTCGTGTCTACCTTAGCGACAAGAGCGTGCTGTCATAGACAACACCCCCCACTCGTGTAATGCGATCAGCCCTGCTGTGTCGCTGCGTGTGCACTAATGATCGCTTTGGGCGGTGTATTGTATTGCTACCGAAGGTAGCAGTGTGTGTGACACGGATGAATGCCGATCAATAACCAGCGTGGATTGTCATGTGTTCAAGATGTCAATCGCTGGGTATTTCTTTGTTGCACCATCAAACACCGTTTTGGAAATAGGATGCGAATCATCTCTTTGCTGAAGCATCCATCACACATACACTGCTGGCACACACACATACACACACGCCAACCTTGTTTCTATTTCCCCAACGAACACCCTTTTCTTTTTTTTTCATTAGTCCTTCTCAGATGATTGGTATCCCTAATCCCATTCATCTCTCATACACACTATAATATGCTCAAGGAGAAGCGATCTATCGTCCCTGTACTAACGATGATGCATCGATGATGTTATAATGGGAACGATTGGAACGTACACACAAAGCTGATACCGTACACATACCCCCAATACCACTCACGCGATTGAGGAACAATGGGAGGTGTGTCCGCCTAATACCCTGTGCACAAGGGCAATACGTACAAGTACACTGCTGATATTAACAAGGTGGGTGGGTGGTGTGCTACAAGGGTGACAAAATGTGTCATGGTGATAATCATTTACAATAGTAGTAATATGTATCATCTTGCTACTTGTGGGATAAAGTGGTATACAATACGCGGGTGATTGTGAGATGAGATGCATATGATGTTGCTAGTGACATGCAGCTACATGATGCTGATCTGCACACAACGACACCGCATGGTTGGGTCACACAAGGCGGTTCATAATCATTGATTGTGCGAGAGAGCATATTATTCCTTGGCTCTCATTCCATATCCCAGTGCTTTTTTCTCCTTTGTTCTCTTTTCTCCTATAATAGCCGCGTTACGATCTGCACCTGATTTCAGCACATTGTTGTTGTGCCCCACAACACATACATACACCACACACATACATATTACCCCGTTCCATGCTTACCATGCAGATCAGGGATGTTCCTCTCTCTCTCTTCCTGTACGATGGCTTTGCTTTTTTTTTTGCTCTCTTTCATCACGCACGGAGCATGTCTTTTTTCTCCCCATGGCTAATGTCCCTTGTTTATTCTCCCGTAGATTTCCTTTTACTAGGCAGCTACTACTACTTGCATCTTCTTTTTTTCCCTCCATCCCCGCGTCCACCCCTTTTGCTGTGATCTAATGAACACGTACACACATCGATTAATGCACAGCAACCACTGAACCCGCGAAAAAAAGCATAGGGTTCCCACCCATACATACAAAGGAGCTTGCCAGGGGATGACCACGTACATACATACACACAATGAGGAGAGCACAAAACATGAAGCATCTCATACACTCAAGGCACGTTCTGAACAATCATCATCACGGGACATGATCGAACAAGGGGTATAGAAAGGAAGAAAAAGAAAGAGGGAAAAAGTGTAAGAGGGATGCAACTATAAAGGACGTTCACGGACCTATGAATGGAAATAGGCATTTCATTTCATGTTGTCTTTTTGGGAAATATCACGGCCAAGTCGTTCCTTTTCATCCTTTTACAGTATCGTGGCCTTGCTAGTGATTGTTGTTGTTGTAGTAGCTATCCATCATGCAGGGTTTCCTCTCTCTCTCACACACTCACACACTCACTCACATTTATGTTCATCATTTTACTGCTCCGTTTTCAACATCATCCATCATTTACCCTTCTTTTTGGGGATCACGATAAAGAAAAAGGTTCACGTATCAAGACAAAGACACATGCAAAACATGATTGGATGAATGGTACTCAACATGTGGCCGCATTGGTTGGCCATAACAACCTTGCTTGCTAAATGTACGGATACTACAAAGTCTAACCAACTGCTACAGCAGATCGACGAGATGAAGATTATTAAGGAAAAGAGATGATTTAGTATCACTTTGTATTGACTTATCCACCGTTTTCGATCGTACGCTACCTGGGATTTGGTGGGTGATGAGTGTGGTGGCGTCACGTGGTTAAACATCGTTATCTTCATGGTAACCACGTCGAGGTGAAGATGAAGGAATCGTGCAACTTGTCAAAAACATGTACCAAAGAAAAACATCTTTAAGCCAACGATCTCGAAAACGAAGAGAAGAATGAACAATGAGATGTAAACACGCGTGCATGAAAATGACAACAATGTCCATCTCAATAGCAACATAACATCTCAATTGAGATGCGGGGATTCAAGTGAGTGTGCTAACTTGAAGGGAATCGGGGTGGTACACGTGCAGTGCATCGCTCTTTATTTTGTATCACTGCACTCCTCTTTGTGAGACCTTTTGTTCATCAAGCCTTTCCCTTCCTTTTCCACCCACCACAGCGTTACTCTTATATCATGGCTACCACTGCCACTACTACGTCTCCCGATGCAAACAAGGTGAGTACTACTACTTACGCTCGTCCTTTTATTGATATCATTCTGACAACCACTATCTCCCAGACTACTTTGAATGGCTATGTTGGTTTCGACACCATCACCCAGCAGATTGAAAAGAAACTACTCAAACGCGGATTCCAATTCAATGTTATGGTTGTTGGTAATGTCAATTGCTTTCTCTTTGTTGCCATGGCATGTCTTGCTCACCCCTTTGTTCTCTCTCTCTCTCTCTCTTGGACATTTGGCCACCCAGGTCAGACGGGTCTCGGCAAGTCGACATTGGTCAATACCATCTTCGCCTCGCATCTCATTGATAGCAAGGGTCGTCTCGAAGCAGCAGAGCCTCCACGTCAAACCACAGAGATTGAGCAAGTCTCTCACTGTAAGTACTGGTTTTTCCATCATGTCCCTGAACTCCACTCATCATCTCCTATGCTCTTGTTACTCCTATCCAAATGCCAGTGATTGAAGAACATGGTGTGCGTTTGAGACTCAATATCGTCGATACTCCCGGTTATGGTGATCAAGTCAATAATGAAAATTGGTAGGTTGTAGTAGTGGGTGGGGGGGGGAATCATGCAAACAATTCCTTGGAAGAAGACTCATGTTGTTAAATGGATCATTAGCTGGGAACCTATTGTCAAATACATCAAGGATCAACACTCAGCCTACTTGCGAAAGGAATTGACAGCTCAACGTGATCGTTACATTACCGATTCTCGTGTTCATTGCTGCTTGTTCTTTATTACACCATCCGGTCATTCGTACGTTTAATCCACCATCGCCTTTCCATCACGTGATACTCATTCATCTCTTTCTTTAGGCTCAAGCCTATTGACATTGTGGTGCTGAAAAAGTTGTCAGAGGTTGTCAATGTCGTTCCTGTGATTGCCAAATCGGATTGTTTGACCATGGAAGAACGTGATGCCTTTAGACAGCGTGTAAGTATGACGCAGTCATGTTTGGGATGATCCTGTTACTGATGGGGGTAGGGCATGTGACATGATAGATCAAGGCTGAGTTGGCATTCCATGATATTCGACTTTATCCTTATGAGAGTGAAGAAGACGATGAGCAGGAACAATCGTTGAATGAGTATATTCGCGTAAGTAGTCTTTGAAAGGATAGTGGGAGATGAAACCAAGAGACTAAATATAGATCATAGGATTTGATCCCGTTTGCCGTTGTGGGCTCGGAGCGTAACGTGGTTGTGGATGGCAAGGCAGTACGTGGACGCAAGACACGATGGGGTGTGATTAACGTGGAGGACGAAAATCATTGCGAGTTTATCCATTTACGCAACTTTTTGACGAGAACTCATTTGCAAGACTTGATCGAGACCACAGCACAGATTCATTATGAAGCTTTCCGTGCTAAACAATTGTTGGCCATCAAAGAATCCACCCAACAACCAACATCACCTGCAGCAACACCTGTACGAACCACTTCCAATCCTTCTGCAGCATAATACTTCAAAGTCTACATGTGCATTTCCCTCTCTCTTTTATTCTCCTCCCAACCAAACCCATTATCCAGTCAACATATCCGCCCATTACTTTTGCACACACACACATGGAATAAAAGAAAGTGTGAATGGGGTAAAAAGGTTATTATTCAAGAAAGCAAGCGTAAAAGTGATTGTGAATGTGTGGATAAATGCGGTGATCAAGGCAAGGCATGGGAGAGGATTTTATACTGTACAACAAGGAAAGAAGAAGGATATGTGGGTGGAAAGAAAGATATCTCTGCCTGGAAAAGAGTATACATGATAGGCGACACAAAAAGTAAGATTCTAATCTTCGTCAATTTGCCAGGCTGTATCGTTTTTGCTCGCCATTTCTACATCTTGTCGCTCCTTTTTAGATCGACCACGTTGAACATAAGCTTTCAGACCACGTCCAAAGTTTTTCATGCAAATGACACCCAATACACCAGTTGCTGCCGTGAGCAAAATGCCAATAACCACTATAGGAATGCATGAGTAACGTGCTGATGGAGTCTTCAAATCCATCCATACATACCGAGGCAGATCCAGGTATACCAATTGTTGTAAGGCTGTACGGTTTGTGATAGCATCAATGAAAAGTGAACAATGACAATGCCTTCAAAAGTGACAAATGTAATCATTCGACCATAGCTTTCGGTGCTTCCCTATAATAGAAAACATGAGTAACCCAAAATGACAATGATGTACATTACATTACATACCGCAGTGCGTGCAAAATAAAGCATTGGCAATATAAGAATGGTGACGACAATTTGGATACCAGATTCCCATGTAACGATATCGGATGTCATGCCAAATTGAATCACATAGAACAAAGAAACCAAGAACTCCATGAAAATGTCAATCTTAAGACCAAGAACAAAGAATTGAAACATGCGGTACATGCCTAATGGTAGATGTATACATCATGAGCCTTATTGACTTTGTGGCGTAAAAAAGCATCACACCTACGTTGCATTTGAACATCGGCACCGATTTTCTTGTAAATGTTCCATCCAAATTGTCGAGACATGCCGTAACTGAGATAGATCATGGCACAGGCAAATAAAAGAATCACCACTGAGAGAGCAATTTCAAGTCGCATGGCTGTTTGCAGGGGCGTAGTTGGATAATCGGTAGTGCTTAATCGATCCAGCCATCGGACACCATCGACCACTTGCAAGGCACCTAACACAGCACATACTGCATTGAGAAAAGCCAGGGCAAGGATTTCGGCTGTGTTTTGATATACGGTCTACATACATGTCTATAAGCTAACAGGAACGAATACAAAAGAGTGGATAACTTACAGCATCAAAGACCATGCCAAGAAACCATACTTGGAATCCAATAAATGCAAGGTTTTCCCATTTAATACGTCCCAAACGATCGGCTGCTTGTTCTGGTATCTTTGCGTCGTCGCCATTTATGGTCGAATAGAGTACATTAACTTCGGACGGCTCTGGTAGATATGCTGCTTGTAGTGTGTTTTGAGAACATATCAGCGCTTGTAATATAATGATGATAAGCGCTTGTACTGCCGCAGTTGCAATATAGAGTTTCGACCAGCGAGTCTCTGTAATACGCGTTATCTAAGACAACATGAATAAGTCATGGGCACCAAGAAGTTGACTAGTATGTAACATGACACACGTACGATCTTGTTGATTGTCACCATGGTCTCGTTCAAGCAATCCAGCTGCTTGAGTGCGTCAATTGAATAAAGGAATGGGTCGGGGGTAACTGGAATCGAGTAACGGAAAGGGCAACCAAGCCAGTATCCAAAGGTAAAAAAAGAGTGCGTGTCAGGAGAAGCGAAAGGAAGGAGTTGGGATATGAAAGAATTAGGTCGTTCACATATCATAACTACTGCTTCCATTTCAATCAATAGATGTTGCACAAAGATCCAGACTATTCAAAGAATAGGGTGATACAAGCGTAAATGGGAAAGCCACACCGTGGTGGCGCTATTAAGGGGCCCATAATGAAGCTCCTCTCAATGCTCCAATTTCTGCAAAGTTGTATGGTGGTGGATGTCAATAACCAAAAGAATCATTCGAAAGACCATGTTGTACTACCCAACAAACACAAGACCATTCGTTGCAGGCTGTTGCTATAATAGTTGTCGTTTTTGCTGTTGCTTCGCAACCCTTATTTATTACATACTACCCTTCTTTGTGCCAAACCACGACCAATAAATCGTCCGTAATGCCATTTCCAGAAACATTAGCCTTATTCATTTCGTGAGGCATGTTGCCTACTTATAGCTATGTCATTCGCTGATTCATGCATGATCGCCATCAATCACACTAAAGGCTCGTTGATGAGGAGAGAGAAGTAGATTTCATCCTGATCATGTACATAAACGGCCCGCCACTTTACCAGTCAATGCATCATTCTTGTCACTGTTTCCACCTTCCTGTGATCACTGAAATACCCACGCCCACCACTATACAGATTTAAATAAGAACGTTGTCGCCACACATCCCTTTCTTCCATGGTATCACCTTCGATTGCTTACATGGAGATGTATCATGATAGATGACGGTGGTCCTTTTTTTGTAACCGCGTGGACTGCATCTATCTTTGTAGTCGCTTTTAGCTTTTCATTGTTATCCTACTGTACTCTCATTATCATTTTAGACTGAGATTGACATAGCCGCCTCCTATTTAAGGATGTAAAAGCGGATTCTTTTGATGTCGTTTCCTTCCTCTTTTGATGCATTTACGACGTTCGGATCTGTGCCATGATGTACATACCTTACGTTGGTGGACCACTTTTCCTTTACTCGAAATTCATGGGTGGGTGATTCAACCTACTACGCTGATCCATGTAGACAAGAATAAAACAAAGATTGATCAAAAGAGCATGATCTCTTTTGTGTGTTCCCCTCTATGTCTTTGTTTGACGATATCATGTATGGCTTTATTGAATTGGGGTTGTAACAACGACCTTGCTCATGTACCTAAAGAACAACGCCAGCACCTTCAAGACTATGTTCATGAACGCGTCAATAGGCAAGGATGGTTACCACACTACATCTTGATGCGTACTTGATCCTCTGCTCTCCCTCTGTTGGCTTCGCCAAAGATACCCATCCTCCTCTCGGTCGCTGGCGTTCTGCTTGGCACCATAGCAACGGTACTTAATACATGTTGGTTACGTACACACCCAATAGCAGTCATCTTGCAGTAAATCAATTCATATTTAAGACGACATTTACAATGAGAGGAAAAAATGAGAAGCTTTATGTATCGGTGGTTGATAGTGAATCTAATCTATGTATAATGAAAGGAGGCGATGATGTGAAGGAGAATCCGACGCGGGTTGATCTGTGCGTTGTTCCTTTTTCCCTTTACCCAGCAACCACAGTTTTGCCATGAACGATCCACATCAAGAACGACAAAATGCCTTGCTCGATCGAATAGTTGCCAATGCGGTACGTCTACTTGCATACATGGAGAACGATTGCCATTGAAGGGACCTGGCTAACAAGATGCCTGTTTTTAGAAAGCACTCAATGGTTCATTAGGGAAGCTCAATGATCGCCTAGAGGTATTCATGTCAATAGCACCTCCCTCATCTTGACACTGCACAACAATAACACGACTTGATATGATGATTCCAGGATGTCAATACAGAGATGAATGATATCAGCAACCATGCCAAATTCTGGTCAGCTTATCGATCATCAACGCAAATCTACTTGGAGGCCACCAAATCATTTTCACCACCGAAATAAACAATGATACCAGCATCAGATGCAATGAACAGTTCGTGCTATGGATTGGACATGGAAACAACAACAACAACAATGGAGGAATGAGGATGAGGGAAGGGAAAGGGCTGGTGTCGCGGAATATGCTGCTATTTGATCAACGTAACACACCATTGTGCCATACACATACAAATCACGTCAAACGCGATCGGTTGCACAAAGACACATTTCAATCACCATTGTTTTTTTATCATTATCCATGTTTATGGTACAGCATCGATACAGCATTCCAACAAGCTTATCATCATCATATATATATATATATATATACATCCATCACCACAACATGTTATCGACTCAGCAACCGCATTGAGGTTCTCTGCTTGGGAATGGTGCGGGGAGGTACCTCCGTCGCCAAGAAATGGATGCCGTGAAAAAGTGACAGGATCGCGTCATTTGTGCAAGTAAGCTATCACCGGAAAAACTATAGGGTATTCACACAATAATACCAACTACAGCCATGAATCATCGTAGTTCACATATGGATCGACACAAGTGGTTGCCATGACATCCTTGGTCGTTGGGTGTGTGGTTGTTGGATGCAACGTGCAACAATGTGCCTGGAGGAAGGATCCGATCATTGACTACATATGGCTATATGTGGATCTCGCCAATTGTTATTGAATCGCATTGCCGTTGCCGCTGATAATCTACTTCGATACCTTGACGTTTCCCATGTGACACAGTCGATCGTCGTGCTTGCAACCAGTGATGGATACGATTCATTTGGCCCCTCTTCATTGACGCATCTTGTGCTTTGATATTGGATTCATACACGAATTTACTATTATCATAACGATCTTCACGAGATGCTAGCGAAAAGTGATCATGACGTCTAGCCAGGTATGTAATGTGGGGGAGCGCGGGGGAAGCGTATCAAATGACACAAGATGTAATGATGCGATTTTAGCTTATCTAGAGCTTCATGTAACCCGACGTCCTGATCAAGATGGCGACACAATGGATGCTAGAGGTCTATAAAAGAGGTAAAATTTACTTGATGGTTATGGAGATCAATTCGAGACAACATGAAGTTCATCTCTGTAACATTGACAGCAGCATGGATGCTATCCAGCTTCCTTATTTCTACTCAAGGCGTTCAAGCAGCAAGCAATCCTTCCTCTGGCGACAAGCCCAACTTTGTTTTTATCTTTACGGATGACCAAGATTCCCGATTGGACTCATTGGATTATATGCCCAACTTGCAAAAGTATCTGGTTCAAGAAGGCACCCTTTATGAGAATCATTATGCCACCATTGCTGTGTGCTGCCCTAGTAGAGTGGGTTTATTACGCGGCCAGTATGCTCACAATACCAAGTACGTATCCTATTTGATCCACCTGCAACTTGATGTTAACCACACGGCTCATGAGAATAGTATCACGGATGTCAATGCACCCTATGGAGGCTATGGTCGATTTGTCGAGCTTGGTTTACACGAAGACTATTTGCCCCTATGGTTACAGCGGGTACGTTTATTGCATGCTCCTTATTTACGGTCATTAACGTGATCGTAAATCGATTTATACAGGCTGGATATTCGACCCATTACATTGGCAAGCTCATGAACCAATACAATGTGAACAATTATGACAGTCCTGCTCCACCAGGGTAAGCACACAAAGGTTCCCGTTAATGAATTTGACCCCATGCTAATCTTTTCATGTACTTGAATGATTCAGCTTTGACTATCAAGGTATATTGGATGATGCGTATTTGAAGGGAAGTGATCTTTGATGCTAATCTTCTATATCCTTACAGAGCAACTTGTTGATCCTTATACCTATATTTACGACACGGCTGTTTTCTCGCGTAATGGTGAGGCACCAGTGTACTACAACAACACCTATCAGACGGATGTGATCCATGCCAAAGGCCTTGAAGCTCTACAAGGACAAAGAAACGAAACGAAACCATTCTTTCTTTGGTGTAAGTTCTTTGTTTCCAATGTCATTGTCATCGTCTCTAACGTGCCCATCTATGACTTTTAGTGGCTCCTACCGCTCCTCATGGTCAATTTGTTATCAACAGCGGTGCTGGCAGCACTCGCACATACCCTCCTGTACCAGCTGCTCGACACTCATACCTCTTCCCCAATGCCACTAGTAAGTGTTTTGTTTTGCTTTGCTTTAAATGCATTCACTGACTTCGATATCTGCAGTTCCCCGCCATCCACATTTCAACCCAAAGAAACAAACCAAGACAGCCTCCTATTGGAAGACATTTGAGCATCTCAATGAAACTACGGTGGATTATCTCGATGAGGTGTATCGTAAGCGTCTTCAAGCGTTACAAGCCGTGGATGAAATGATCCCAACAATCATTGCCGAGCTGGAAATACAAGGAAAGCTGGACAACACTTACATCATCTACAGTGCAGATAATGGGTATGTTTATCATGGTAAATTTTGTTACGCATTACTAAGAACGGTACTTTTGGTAATAGTTTCCACTTGGGCCAACACCGAGCTCTCCCAGGAAAGTGCACTGAATTGGAAGAAGATATCAAGTGAGTACCAATTTGGCAATGTGATTAGGGAAAAAAAAGACTCACATGGCCCATTATTACAGCGTTCCTTTTGTTGTGCGTGGACCGGGCGTACGAAAGAACCACGTGAGCAGCCTTGTCAGTGCACATCACGATCTCGCACCAACCTTCCTTGCCTTGGCGAAGGGTGACGAGCATGTACCTGAATGGGTGGATGGTGGAGTAATCCCTTTGACAAAAGATCTTCAAGAACATCCACGTCCTGTTGGCAAGGAAAGTTTCAGTGTCGAATTTTGGTCTGATAGCGCGCTTATCGAGTATGTACCATCTCATTTTCTTGAAGTGCATGGTTACTCATACCATTTACTCTTATTATAGATTTGTTCATACGGCGTCCAAGGCTGGTCCTAACACGTATAAAACAATTCGAGTGATTTCTGATGACTACAACTGTAAGTGTTCAACGAGTTTATTGTTAGGCAATTGATTGATGAATGATTTTACATCCTTCTAGACAAATATACCGTTTGGTGCACAGGCGAGCACGAGCTTTACGACATCAAAAAAGATCCTTATGCAACCAAGAACATATACAATGATGCCAGCTCTCGATTGGTGAAGCGCCTTGATGCTTTACTTTCGGTTTTGAAAGCATGCCGTGCACACACTTGCCGTGATCCTTGGCGGGTTATCCATCCTGAAGATAGCAGTGTTACGACCTTGAAGGATGCATTGAATAAGAAGGTAAGCTGCACTTTTTTTTATCAATATCATGCATACTGATGTCCCATTTGCAGTATGACCGATTATACAAGCGTTTCGAGGACTTCAAATTCCATGAGTGTCTAAACCATTACTCTATCGCAAACGAGGCACATCCATTTGATCATATCAACCTTGAATCCAACACCAGCTCTTCCAATCCTGTGGAATCCACTGCTAATAATCAACAACACAACAAGCGATCCAACCATCAATCACCAAAGCCTACATCAGAGGAAGTCGTACGGTTATTCAACCTTGTTCCACGATCTACAACGCCTTTGGGTGACCAAGTGCCTTCCGCTGAAGAACTGGAAAGAAGAAAGAACCCGGTATCTCGTGAATTGAAAGAAACAGAGGTGGAATGGGAAAAGTATGGCTTCTATAATCGATTTGGTAATTAAGGATAGACATATTATAATACATCAATGACCCGCTTGAGCGATAATAAAAGGATAAAATTAGAATCATGATTTCTCTTCTATAATCCCCATAAGTATTTCCATAATACAATGGATCAAGTTCCCACGCAAGTGTGAGTTCCAACTCACGAAGAAGGAAGGTTTTAAAGCTTAGACATGGTTGGCCAATACACAACAATCTCCTATCCGCTAAAGTAACCTTTAATCCAACATCATTCACAAGAGATAGATTGGGAGGTAAAACGAGTTGCTCTAATGGAGAGATACATCGATATGGGAAGATTCTATCTTGGAATTGTCTAAAGGTGAATGAATAGATTTGAGATGGAGAATCATATGCATGATGGAGCTGGGTGATGGTGGTTGTACATGGTTGACAGGTTGCACAAAGAATGATGATTGTAGTTGCCATGGGATAGAACACACCAATCGTTCAAGATGATAGCATCAAGCATAATGGTCAAGTTGACAAATGGATACAAAAGAACAAATACCTATTCCACGCGTTGCATATATCCAATCCCTCCCATCCCATGCACCAAACCCATATTCAAATCCATATCCATATCCACATCCATATCCACAAAGAGTCGTATGTATTGAAGAAAGTTGCTAAGCGTAAATAAAGCTGCTTCTATACAATGGCTGTCTGCTGTTGCGTTTGCTGTGGCAGAGAAGCGTCCAAGAGCGTATGTGGTGTCAAGGAACTCGTGTGTTGTGAAGAGTGACAACGTTGTGAATGCTGTTTGAAACGATGGAGTAGACATCCGTAATGGCGACTGCTGTTGCATTTGGTTGTGGCAGATGAGTGCGCAAGACAGTGTGTAGTATCAAGGAAGGCACGTGTTGTAGTCGAGAGACAAGAAGGCTGTGTACATGCCATGGACTTGGCATTCAGTCGAAGACAATCGGATCAAGAGAGTTGTAGGATTGACATGATGGATTGACGCAGGACAATCGTTCGCAGGTGGTAGTTGTACTTGAATGGGGCCAATAGTTGAGAATGGGAGGAAGAGCAAGGAGGAGGGAGTGGATGAGCTGGAAATTAAGAGACTTCTTCGGATGCTTGAATGATATTCTTTTGTACAAGCGTTGCCCAATCACATCCTCTCGGATCAAGAAAGTTGAATGATGGAGATGATGGGATGGAGCAGGGGAATCGTTCGTATGCATTGGGTTTGGTAAAGAAGGTGAATGGGAGGAATGGGCTATCAAGTGGCAGTTTACAAATAACTACATCAATTTGATCTTTCTGAATTGGATGATAATTCTGTGTTTGAGCGTTTTTCAGTCAAATCCACTCGAATCAAGAAAGTTGAATGATGGGCATGCTGGGATGGAGCAGGACAATCGTTCACATGCATTGGATCGGGTAACAAAGGTGAATGGGAGGACTAAGGTTATTAGCTGGCATCTTGAACTATTCCTAAATAGTGTACATGAATCATGCATCGCCTGTGCTGAATGACTCAAGTTGCACAAACACGCCCTCTGCATCTTTTGCTCTATTATATCCATACTACTTTACATTAAACAAAGACCATTTCTCATATAGCATCACCCTTACAGCATATGTAAAACATAAAGGTGTCTGTATCTCCAAACTTTACAATCAAACGTGGGCTCTTTAATAGATCAACGTGCTCGTCGGGGTCAAAGGAATCTTGTGTCAAAGTATGAAGTTCATCGTGGGCAATCCCAGATTTCGCAATGTCGCTACCAGCCAAACTGGATCCGGGGCTCAACCTCTTTCGACGACGACCAAAAAAATATTTTTTGGGCTGTTTGCGACATTGAACGCGAAACTTTCACACAAGGTGCTGTTGGCCAAGCCGAGC